CCTTAGCGTCCAGGTCAGCGCCCTGGTCAATCAGTAGCTTTATCACTGCCTCATGCCCATGTTCTGACGCCCAGACTACCAACGATGGAACATCAATGTCTTGGGAGTATGGCCGTGCTCCCTTTTCGAGAAGAAGCTTCACTATCGCTTCATGTCGGCATTTCACAGCCCATGATAGAGGTGTTCGACCATCCGTATCTTTAGATTCTAGGTTTGCCCCTTTCTCGAGCAGAAGCTCCACTACTCCATAGTGCCCATTTTGTGCAGCCCGTGAAAGAGCTGTCTGGCCGGGAGAACCGCCCTTTGCTTTAATATTCGATTGGTGCTCCACAAGGAGTGATACAACCTCCCGATGCCCGTTGCTAGCAGCCAACCAGAGTGGTGTGCATAGAGACTTTGATAGGCCATCTACTTTCACACTTTTCGCGCATAAAAGTAGTCGGCAGATTTCAATGTGTCCTCTATCAGCTGCATGATGTAAAGCAGTATATCCCTCTTCATCTGACACATTAACATTGCAGAAATCCAGGAGAATCTCAACGATGCCTCTATATCCAAGCTTTGATGCGACGTGAAGAGCAGGGAGTCTTTCCCCAACCAGCGGAAGATCACAAACACGTTGTAAGACAGGCCCTGCAGCTAGTGCAATTGACAGAAGACGCTCGTGCGGCTCCTTTACTGCCCATCCAAAGAGACCGTGTAGGTGGGAGTATTTTGAACGACCACCAGGAACCCAGGGGTGGAAATTCCAAGTTTCATTAAAACATGTAGCAAGCGCCTTGAATTTGTCCCAGACTACTGATGTATGGGGTATCTGTTTGGTATGCAAAGCCCAGTTTGTGACGGCGTAATCAAGAAATTTGTACCGTGTCCGATCTGGAGTTGACATTGTGCGTATCATGCGGAATTGTACTGAAATGCACTGATTCTTCTTCCGAAATAATGGGATGAAGGGTTTGGTGAGCCCGAGGCGGAGGACTGGCCGCGCAAGTAAAGCCGGCTGCGGAATTTCGATTGCCGCTCTTTCTGCTGATTGTTTGCTTAGTTGAAGACTGAAATCTGAGAAGGAAAGATAGGTAACACAAAGTTCTCCACACTCTAAATCTCCCTGCTCTGTGTTTGGGTAATCTCGAATACGTTTTGCTTGAACTTCTCTTCCTTGATATTTGTCGAGATATTGTTTCACTGAATGATGCGCGAAGCGTACACAATTGTCAGTAGGATCTATGACAATAAGATTCGCACAGCAGCCAATCACAACATCTTTCTGTGGTATCTTCTCAGCGACCCACCCCGTATCTCCCAAGTCAAAGGAGACAGCTTCTCTCAGTTCGTCAATATGAAGCGATCTAGTTCCAAAGCTAACCCACTTGAGTACCTTTAGGGCATAGCTATCTTGTAGATTTATTCTGTCAATGCAACGGCCATATGTTTCTTCCAGGCCTTTAGGCAGTGTGGCTAAGGCTGATCGTATTCCTGCATCCGTGTAGCAAGTATCCCAGAGGATCTCTAGCTGGAGATGCACCCATAGAAACCTATATATGTCAACATAAAATCCACCAAAATAAAACCTCATTGAGGAAGCTTGCTGTCATACATTCCTGACGACTCCGTTAAAAGCGTCCGCTTGATGTCTTCCACCAACACAGTATCATCAGTAAGCTTTCTGCACATGGTCTTATCAATAATGCTTGCTTCGATATAAGCCTCGATGTCTTCCATAATATTGCCAGACGTAGAGATCTGGCGAATTCCTGGCATAAACGTGGCGATGTTTATGTATCCCGGAACGTGGTCCCTGCTGAGCAACAAGATCCGTGATCCTTGCGGGGGCCTGGAGAAACAGAACAGCGATTGGATTAATCCCAAAAGGGCTTTCCCATGATTCTGGCTCAGAACGTCAAGCCCATCAATTATGTAAACAGCGTCCGGCACAGAATGGAAAAGTCGATTGAAGATATATTTCAGGTCTTCAAAATCTGGCTGGATCGGTTTAGGTCCGAAGAACTTCCTAATTTCAGTCTTAACATCTTCCGGATAAGGTCTGGACGTCGTGTGCAAAAAATCGCAAAGTTGTTTGATACAGCTAGAGAGAATATATGAGCTGTCCAGGGATCTATGATACTCATTCTCGCAGTAGAAGAAAACAGTGGGAGAACGATTTTCGGGATAGTGGTATAATGCAGCCTCTACCACTGCGGTTCTGCTGGTTGTTAGGTGATGATATCGAAAGAAGATTCCACGTAGACTAACGCTATTATTGTTTTGCCTGAGCCAACTGACAAACAGTTACACATCAGTACTGCATTGAAGGTACGTCGAACGCGGGCTTACTCTTTCCTGAGCACCATAAAGTGGAGATACTCTTGTCAGTGAACCACGCTTGGAAATCCGGATGATCAAGAAACCACTGTGTGGTGCCGACGAGACGTTTCTGAGAGAGTCTTCGATGAACCTTTCTATAATCATAACTTGAAATTTGCTCTAACAGTGTCTCATAATCTTGATCATCTACAATTCGTTAATAGGCATTTCTAAAAGAACAGTTAATGCACTCACCATTTCTACGCACTGTCACACTTGTGGCATGCTCACCTCCGAATGGGAGCTTTCCGTTGTAATAAGATACTAAAGGATCTTTTATTAGTTGAAACGTGACTATCTCTGTAACTTGAACACTCAACTTACAGTCTGAGCGCGATGGCGGTGTGTCTACAACCTGGCTTGTGTGGACCACAGAGAGGAGTTCTTTGGCATAGGCAGCCGCCGTTGCTGCTGCGTATTGTTGCCACTGTTTGTTTTTATGTGAGTCAGAATAGTCACAGATTCCTCGGATCACTAAGCATTGAAAGTCATCCATTAAGCCAGCCGCCTCCATTTCAAAGCAGAGGATGCCGATTTCCCGGGCCAGCTTATCTCTAGTGCGACCATGCTTCACCACTTGGTTCCCAGATGCAATAAGACCGTAATGAATGATAGGGTCGTATGTAAGCCGAGCAGGTCGTGTTACTAGCCTCGTATTGTCGCAATTGTCGCAAGTATTTTCGGAGCCACAGTGGTCATATTCCGAATCAAACAATAGATCCTGGTCTGCACCACGGTATGTGAAACTCTTCCTCATCATGGGGTTCCTCGCTAGCATCTCAGAAAGGAGGGTTGGAATCTTGTTTGGCATTGATAGATGCGCTGCTTTTAGCCTGGAGACTGCTGTCAAGAGCACTGGTAGCGGCTTATTCAACACCCCAGTGCGTTCAAAGCGACCGCCGCTCACTGTCTTGCCATAATCATATTGTATGACCCCACCGAAGTCCCTTGTTGGGTTGCTTACCACCACATCACCCAGTCGAATGTCAACCTTCTCGCTTGGCGCTCCTCCTCCGATGCCCACCATTAGAAAGAACCGTATCGACTGAAAAGTGGATTGCATTTGTGTCGCCAGTGTTGCAGCTGATGTCGTACCGTAAACACCCGATCGGAGGCATGCAATGACAATATTATGATCATATATCCTACCTAGGATGTACGTGTTATCGTCCGTTGGTTTCGTTGGCAAGTTGGGGTGTTTCTCATCCAGCATCGCTTCCGCCGCAGCCATTTCCAATGGGAGGGCACAGAGCCATGCGACCGTATAGTCCTGGTGGCGAAAGTTTATCGTTGCAGTCGCCATTTATATCTACGGCAGGAACTGTTGTTATTGCCTGCCACGGTAATGAAAACTATGATAATATAGCCTGCCTCACTGGCGTGGAGAGGTCACATCCACCATCAATGCGATTTTGGAGGATTGTCTGTGATCGGAACGGAAGAAGTCAGCCTTACCCCGTGATCTGTAATCCTCATGTCACGAATGACGAATAAGCCAATAAAAGTTAGCATAGAGGGGGATAACTTAAATTAAATACGACTAATAAATACAAAAGACCAGCGCCTGCAGGCCAGCACCCACCAACCAGGTAAATACTCGCTCGTCCAGTCTCCCTGAAGTGTAGATGCCGAACACAACGAAGTTCACTTAAAAATAAGTACAACGCAATTGCGGCCGCATAATTCACTAAGCTTCATCCTTAAGACCTTCTACCACTTTCCTTTACCTCTTCCTCTTCTCAATTCTTTTAATTATATGTCATGGTGGTTACTTAAAACTTTTGAATAGTCCAAGCTTTCGGGCCGCCAGCTTGTCCCACACTGGGGATATCGGGACCCACAGCATGAATAAACTACGATCTCAAACTGGGCTTACGCAAGTCATGTTCGTGGACATGTTTCGAAGCGTATCTTCTAATCACGAACAGAGTCAACAACGCGAAACTTAGGTCTCTCGAATGAGCTGCGTGCTTCCATGTCCTGGGATCAATCTTGCGGGATGCATATCAGCAGACGCGGGCTCATTCTTCCCCAATCTCAGTTAACTCGGGATACAGGAGCTGGCGCGTCGCCTTGGGTGGATGGTGGATCGTCACGTCTTGGTAGGGATTGTCCCACAGCTCCTCAGTAGTAGCTATGGCATCGTCCTGCAGCACCTCAGCATCCCGAAGAAACTGTGCCATGACAATGCCTTTCGGTCAATGTCTTCCGCTCGACTGCTTCGAGTGTCTCCAGCAATTCAACGTCCTGTATATACTTATCTCGATACCTTCTACACTGCTGCTTTAACTATCTTCAATCTCCTGCAGAGTATGTATGTGGTGTACACTTGTGGCCAAAGAAGTCGGTGGGGCATACAATCGAGGGTTTTCCCCATGATTCAGGCCGAGAAACATAGTCGTCATTGAAAGGGCTATACGTCATTTCTTCAGGACAGCAAACGCCACCGAGAAGCCTAGCATTTGAACGATATTGGGCTAGCTTGCATTACGGGCAAAATGTCTACCACAGGGGATAAAGCGGCTGCCGATAGCCCAAGAATAATCGCCTTATTGCTCCATCCAGTGGTACATTATATTTTATACCTTACATAGTTTCCCTGCAGAACCCCTAGTGCTGCTTGTAATTATACATATGGTAATTTGTATAGTAAAGGTCTTTACCGACCAAATGCCGGGCTGACGCTAGCGTAGTTGGATCACTTTTGGAACAAACCTCCGTAAAATAGTTCTGTGCAAGACCGTACATTGAGCGCATTTACGTGGCAAGCTGAAAGAGATAATCCATTTTCTTTCCACAGCTCCATCTTCTTGCTGTAGCTGCATCTGCCTACTTGGGTCAATGTCGAAATCGAGTAAGAGCACCAAACACCTCCGAGCTAGTACAGTTTCATAGTCGTCGTGGATTCGCAGAGATATCCTGAGTCTCAGATCAAGGAAAAAAGTGTCCTTAATGGGGTTCAGCTCGCAGACCAGGTGACTGATATGTAATGAGAATGTAGAAATCGAGGTAGGATCGACATACTTGGGATCTCTCTCAGAGCTGAAGAAAACCTTGTTTTAAATACCGAGATCGCGGATTTGAAAATAAAAGCCACTTTTCCTTAACAAGTGTTACTAGGTATCTCTCTGGAAACCTTTGTTTAGAGCTCATTGTCCCTCAGACTTTTTCTCTGGATATTTCCAGTCTGGAAACTTCGTTTTGAATTCTACTTAATAAGTATACCGAATGAAAAAGCCTTGTCTATAAGAAAATAGAGGCGCTTCTCTTCTTTAAAACTGAGTTAATATGAATTGTGACTGGGCTAATGGAAATGTTTTCCTTACAGAAGAAGCTACATAGTACAAATCACAATTGCAAGACGTGGGACCCACTTAGGCTTCAATAGTACCGTGGATTGTTGCCGATCCGTGCCTCCACTTTATTGTTTTGGAATACGCGGGAGATACTTTCCCCCACAGCTCGGCATGAATTTGGATTGGTGAACTGGAGGGGTGGTGGTGAGCTGAAACCGAGCTGAGCTGAGTCGGTAGTTTGTAGATCCATTGAAAGTAGAGTCAGAATGAAATGACATGGCCGGCAATTTCCGAATACCATGGGGGTGTACATACCTTATAAACTCACTGTTTCTGTAGTCTACAGGGCCCGGATATCTTCTCCCTTTCTTCTCCATTCACTACTATTTTGGAGTTTTCTCGGTTCAGTTCCGTTGATTCCATTGCTTTGGTTCTTGATGCTTGTCCGACAGCCTCTTTTCGCCCTTTTTTGGGTGAGCGTGGCAACTGCCTCCCAAAAATGTCTGTCATCCAATATTGCGGGTACGAAAGGCTACGATGCCTGTTGTACTGGTCGATCTAGCGGTACAGAGTCGATAAATGGTGTTGAATTTCAATTCACTTGCCAGCAGTATTCTCTTGACTCCAATCGAAAGCAAGGGCAGGCATCCGTGGCTATGACTGCTGCAGATTGCGCTGGACAATGTGCCGAGAACCCCGAATGCGTGGTTTCTACATGGTATGCAACTAAAAAACAATGTCTGGCGCTTTCAGACAGAGGATTCCGGACCTATGGCCCAGCGAAATACTGGGTCACGTTTGTGCGAACCGGAAAGACAACCGAGGAAAAGGGCGGCAATGAACAGTGCAGCAGCGAGAAGCTGGTCTTGGAGAAGGAGCTTCAAGAGAGATGTGAGAAAGAGAAGGTTACCTTAAGCACCAAGTGCGACGAGGACCGAACCAGCATCGACAAGAAACTCCAGGAGAGCAAGGAGGAATGGGAAAAAAAGATAACAGCCTTAAAAGCCACCTGTGACGCAGACAAGAGCGCCAAGGAGCAGTGTGAGCAGGACAAGGCTGAACTCAATAAAAAACACAACGAAGAAAAGTACACAAAAGAGAAATTGGAGCAAGAAAAACAAGTTATACTTAATAAGTATAAGGAAGAGAAAGCAGCTCTGGAAAAGGCAAATATTGATGAGAAAACCAAGCTGGAACAGGAGAACAACAAACTCAAAGAGGTCATCGCCACTAGTGGTGGTGGGCCAGCTAAGCCCGATTCCTTACCAGTAGGGATCAATCCTTACCTGCCTTGTCCCAATATTGATGGCAAAGAATACACCGTCGATGGCGTAACATACAGGGCGTTCTGTTGGAAAAAGCCGCGGGGACGCTATATCAACACAGACGTTGATGGGGGAAAACTTAATATCCGGGACCTTGTTATCGGTATGAAGGCGTGCTCTCTGGATTCAGCATGCCAGGGAGTATATTCCAACCATCAAAGTTACTGGACCATCCATCTAGACTACCAGTTCCCTCCCTTAGAGGAAATTCCCCACCTTAATAGTGAGCAGCATTTGAGTTTCATTCCGGTGCAGCCTCGTGGGAACAATTTCAAGCCTAATGCGCTTGCTATCCCCAGTCTTCTAGCAGGAAATGTTTTTGGTGGCTGCCCCGAGTCAGATGGCCAGCAGCTAAATATTGGCTCACACACCTTTAACTTCCACTGTAGGGAGTACACTGGAGCTCCGGATGCACACCTACCGATCAGTTCTTATATCCGCTACCCGCCATGGTGTTTGGCAGTCTGTGCAGGAACCCCAGGTTGTGAGGGCACCAGTATGGGATACGGTTCGTGTAAGTTCTATTCTAGGTTTGAGAAGCTTGAGAAGATGGAGCAGTCAAAGATAGTTCCTCATCATTGGGTGGCTGTGCTATCGCAGGCGGGAAATGATTAGAGATATGGCAAAAGAGAATTTCATGCTCTGGATAGGACTATTACTACTGCGTTTTATCCATATTGACGGCAGCGGGATCTTAAATAGACCTAGCACGCACACCTTGTTAGATAATCTCGTTGCCTGAGCCTTGCAGATAGAACCAATCAACAACTTCTTCCTCCAGGAAGGCCTGTAACCTTGGAGATTGGCAAGCAATAGAGGTCATGCAAATTCGACGTGAACACAATCTATAAAATTTGGTCTCCCATATATGACTCACTGAATATGGCTTCCTCGACAAAGACAAGCTGTTCGTTAGTAAAAGTCATAATCCCAGAGCAAGTTTCTCAGGTTTGACAATAGGCTGCCAGCTCAAAAGGAAGCTCGAGTGCGATGACTTCGTTGTGATGACCAGGCCGCAAGGGCTGGCGGTAATTGGCAGGAGAACCAATGTCTGACTTGATCACTGATCACTATAATGGGTTTTATGCCATTGGCTTCTTGCAAAGATCTAGGTTGGAGATTCGATGTCCCGCATGTTTATACGGTCTTTCCTTCGCTCCTAACCGCTTTTCCCGCAGACATACCCTCATTGATTGGAGTGGTGTAAGGCACGCGGTCATGGCCTTAGACTATCCAGTGCGCTACGTAGTAGCGGGTTCTAGAGCCCACGAGTTACCGCCCGCGGGGAATGTTGGTCATTTAGTAAAATTCCTTATACCGCCTAAACCCTAGATTAGGTGCCTTACAGGTAGTCGGCTCCATGTATTCGCCTTGGAGTTGAAAGGCCGCGTGCTAATTTTCTTACCACGTCCCCCATTCGACACAAAACAATGCAGACGGTTTTATAGCAAGAAGACCCGGCTATTCGACTATCGACGCAGTGTCTGGTCTGATCTCCGCCGTGACAAATGTCAAATTAGACTTTGGTGATATTAGCATGTTTGATGCTATACCTTTTCTTGATCAGACTGAGACAGGCCAAGGTAATCAGGGTATTAACAATGAAGTACACAATTTATGTGCCGGTATAATCCGAGCGAAAAGGCCAGACGCCATGATATACTGTTTTGGAACAGAAACACGGCACTCTCTTTTTCAACAAGTTTGCTATCGCGGCGTGGGGGAAAGTTTCGATAAATGACAAGCGAGGGTCAGTTTATGCTCGACCCGGGCTATCTTTAATTCGCGTGAATTCATTTCAACCAAGCCATGCGATAATATTGCCCGATATTCTGCTGCCTCGGGCGGCTGTTAGTAGTAAATACACCAAGGCTTTCGCTGTGTTGAGGCATAGGTGGATTGAAGAGCCATCGGTGACATCGTTGAGGAATGAATGCAGTGACGCAGTCAAAAAATAATTCTGATGATAAGTCTGTTCCTCCGCAATTAGATTATATTAAGTCGTACATAAGCAGCTAGGGACTAACAAAACGATTGGGAACGACAATATCCAAAAGGGTGATGACGAACTCTCACTGGGGCTCAGTTTGGAGAAATATCTGTTTCATAGCCCTAGCGACAGTGCGTCTGAGGGTATCTATATCAGCCTTGACGTGTCTACTATTACTTAGCTTTGCTGCGATATTTCGTAGGCCTTGGAAAAATTGACGATAGAAAATGATGCGGATTTGGGCTTACCACAGCAGATATTAGAAGGTCTCAAACGTTGGCGCCGCAAAGCCTGGCCAAGCTAGATTTAAAAGCAATTCGAGTGTGTATTATGGGTACCTTGACCATTCTGAGATCTTGGTCCAGAAGTCTACACAGCCGAGGAAACTGGCGAAAAAGCTGGAGAACAGGTTCTAAAGCCTCCTGCGTGATTCGAGCATCTCTTACAGCCAGTCATGAAATAGGGTATTCCGTAATAAAGCTGCGCAAGCAGGTGCTTTTCGAGGGCTTAGCAGAAAAAGAATCAGGGCAAACCCTGTGCGAACTTGGCTCCTTGACCGGGAACTGTTAGGATGAGGGCAATCGCGACCAGCTGAAAGAACTGCCAAAAGTTTCAGCATCCCATATAGGTTATGATACCAGAAAGTGCGGCACATACGACCATAGGGTATGGACAACAGGGCTTCCCGTCCACTCAGCCATACTTAAGCCACATATTAAACGCGGCAGACTAGAAAATAAGCCCTTTAGAAATTACTGCTTTAGAGATAAACGCCGCTAAATCATAAAATATATATAAATAAACTAAATAAGCTGTAAGAGCTATATAAGCAAATAGAATAAACAAATAGATAAGCTAAACAACTTAGTAAAATTTTTATTAAATAAAAATTCTTAACCTAATTATCTATCACTTTTTTTTCTTCCAAGATACTCGTTCTTAAGAAACAGCTTCAATTATAATCCTATACAGAAACCAACTATATTACGTGATAGAAACTTATTGCTATCTAAGAAAAAGTAGACTGGTATTGTCAAGATTATCTACTAGTCAGGGTAGAAGACCTGTCGGCTAGGTAAGGATACGTAGGTAAAACAACAGTAAATAGTCTATTGATAGAGACTGATTCTTGATTTCTTTCTTTACTACTTCCGTTGCTAATTTATAGCTAAAGATCTTTAAAATTTTTTGTATAGAGTACTGAATCTTTAGAGAGGGTCCACTATTCGTTATTAAAAAGGTGACTGATATAGATATCGAAGGCGCCGTCTGGCCTCTGAGATGTCCATGCACCTGGGGCAGGGTATACTGTACAGTCACCTTGCATAATCGTTATCAATTCTGTGATAGTATGCTTTCTCTACATTACTCTCGAAGAAGACAAGATTAACTTTGTAGAGCAGTATAGGAAAATACGAGACAGTGTTCCGAGCCATAGCGATTAGACTACTAACAGATGAGTCACTTGTCTATTTCTGTCCGTTCCTTCCACAGGGGGCTCGCTAGCGGGATCAACTAAGGTTGCATACTAGGGTTGTGGCTGGCGGTCCTGCCCGTCCCCCGAAAGTTAGAAAAGTGGCCCTAAATAAGGTATCCAGTTACTAATCGGCGTTAGATGTGACGTCACCCGAGAAATTTCGTTTTTGAATAATTGCCAAATACAGATACTGTACCGCTGGATACCAACTTATACCCAGTGGCCTATAATCCTTTTATCTTAGCATCCTTGCTTGGAGCGTCACTTTCCTGTATGGGATTTCCCCCTTTCCTTCGATCATCTTTTCTTGTACTACTACTATTCAAAGGGATGAACCATTCGGCATAGCAAGTATGCAACATAGTAACAATGCACACCTTTTTGCATTCTGTTTCGCCGCCTTCTTTCAGACTTGACATTGAATAGCTGACTTGGCTGATACCACACTAAGGCACCTATGACTGAAATCTTCTTTCTTTTTAACGTGTTTTAGTGTGACGGATTAGAGGACGAGTCAAGGCTCCTTGATGTGGCCACTAATACGATACCGTGGGTTGTACAGCATATCATAAAATGGTAGAGAAAATTGATTGGCGATTGACACCTATGCAATTCATCATAGACATCTGGTATCCCTTGGTTCTCCTTGTGTAACATACCACTGGTGGTACTTCCTGAAGCGGCCGAGTAGTACAATTCATCATAGATATCTGGTATCCCTTGGTTCCCCTTGTGTAACATACCACTGATGGAAATATCTGAGTAGTAAATCCCATAATAGGTATCTGCTATCCTTTGGTTTCTTTGCGTAAAACATCACTGTCGGAGGTTCTCAAAGCGGTCGACCAGTGTTAGACATTGACAAAACCCGAGGGACTGCGACGGAAGTGTAAAAAAAATCAGCCATACTTTATGCATAATTTGGCTGCAATTTGGGTATTACACTTAGTTACTTATATGTGTTATAGTCTAGAGGAAGGCTGCGACTGATTATTCTTGTTTTCATCCTTATCCTTGGCTTTAATATGTACAAAATGAACATCATCATATCATAATGATACATCCGTTGGAAATCAATGGTCCGCATGATCCGCAGCTTCAGCTATCTAGGGCTATGGCCTAGGGAAAATGATGACTGACGTAGACACAACGCAACACTTTTTTGACCTCAAAACTTTGGGGCATTATTAATCTGCCTTTTATTAACCGGGAGCTTTAATATAAACTCTGAATTAAATTAAACAGTGATGTGGTTGCTTGTTGAAGTTGACAACTTTTCATGGTTTGATTTTCCCGGACATGAAATTAGCCAATCATGTTTTTGCAGATATGGCCACACTAAACCATTTATAGAGATCACATGATGAGAATCGCTATCCGTCCCGCTACATACGGAGTATATTTTACAACTTCGCCTACAACAGACAGAAAAACTGTCAACTAATTAAGCCTGCCCTGTTTTAAAGCAATAAGAAGTATTAGTATAACAGAAGTATAAAAAAAAATTATAGGTGAAAATATACTCTCTTCTACAAGATATTTATTAGGATACAGATCAGGTTACTAAGTTTCTTACTGGTGTTTGGTATACTAACTATAGCTTAGTAGCTCGACTTTGATCCTGTTACTCTGGGCAGAAGGATTAAATTACTGTATATAATGGACTCATTCATATATAATCTGGACTCCTAGCCTATATACTAAGCTCCTGGCTACAAAATAAAAGATAAGGACTGTATAGTAAGTTATCCAAGAACTTAGTCTAAAGTGATACATCATTTTCTTTCCCCGCCTGGGTGGATTCGAAATGGCATCCGGTTCTCAGTCAGTTACTTACGTGTAACTGATACAGCATCACTCTGCCCATCTTTTTACAACAAGTTGAATATGGCCAGTTCGGAGCTGCGCAAGGGCCAATGCTTGTTTCCTGTTTAGCTGATTATTCAGGGCCCTTGTATGCTTCTCTGGAAGAGCTGTACGAATTACATTTGTATATTTGCCGACTGGGTTCTGTAGAAACTGATTGTGACAGCCAAGCAATGTGATGGTATTGAAGCCCTCTTATTTATAATCCCAAACGTGAGGAGGAGAAGGAATGGTGAGGGGCTGTGCAGAGAAGTAAACAAGCTAGAATCAAGCTAGGATCAAGCAATGCGATTAAATGATCACATAGCATTCGTCATATTCCTTTCCTTTGTAGACTTAGAGTCAAAGCTGTGCCTTGCCCTTCTTTCCTTCGGCATTTATATCCCAAGGACTACCTAACCATGGCCATGGAGCCCAAAGTAGCCTAACAGCTCGGTGGTGAGGTCCTACTGCTTTTTCAAGGAGGGCCACCATTACCCATAGTACTACAGGTGGTGGTTGTATAGGTCGATGTTGTGGTAGTGGTAGAGTAATCAGTCAAGGTGACTGTGGCTCCACCAGCAGTGACGGTAATAGTTGTAGTTGTAGTTCCTCCACTCTCGGTGACGGTGACAGGAACAGTGGCGGATTTCCTACTAATACTATCAGTGGATTGATAACTCCGAATCCTGACTATTGCTATCTTCGGCAGCTGATTTCTTACCCGCTGTTACAGCAATTCTTGTGGTTATTATCGAAGTCCCCATCGTGGTTATCAGTATCACCGAAATCGCCGTTGACGATATTTACAGGTAGGAACCCGGGCCCAGAATCTACCCATCCACCCCCAGGAGAATTGTGAGATACCGCAAGGTGTATCAGCATTGTGGCAAATGCAAAAAGATAGATATGGTAAAGCATTGTGCCGAATAAGAGAGAGTACCAAATAGATGAAGGTGGAATTGGGCCCTGACCACTAGCAAAACTGAATGGAAGTAGGATGGGACGACCTTTCTTTAATAAGCCTTGCAAGGATAAATAATAGTTAGTGGTGGAGCTCTACTGATGCCTCTCGCCTCTTATATTTCTTTGCTTATCGCATTCCTGTCGCTCATTCCTCCATGCCTTCGGAGCTAAAAGGCATGTTTTCTGCATTCCTTATGCGATGACTGTTTTAGTTAGGGCTCCCAGCGCTCCCAGCTCTAACGAAAATGCGAGCACCGCATTCTTATGTCGCTGACAGGTAGGAGGGAACTATCTTTTAGGGAATAATTACAACTCGAATCATCCATTAATCTACTAAGAATAAGAATGACGGAATGGATAGCAGCCTCTGCATTCACATAACAGTATAGGGAAAACCTAACTCCAAGAGGAATAAAAACCTATACTAAGGCAGATAATCGAATTATCAATAGAATTACCACTTTTAAACATGTGCCTTACCACCTTCCGTTCCCTTACCATTTTCCGCCCCTACGACACCAGGATCTGGTGCTCCTGTGGTCGGGCATCCACTGGGACACGGCTGTGTTTTTGTGAAAGAACAGACAGTTGCGATATCAGATGAAGTAACCGTAGGTTGCCGAGTTGTCTTAACGTAGGTATATTGGACTTCGCACTCTGTGCAAACGCTCGATTTAGTCTCGCTGCACGACCCAGAACAGCTTGAAGGCGGCGGGTCTGGGGTTGCCTGTGCAGTTGAGAGGAGAAGTGCGGCTAAAGCGTAGAAAGTCTTCATGTTGTTCTCTGTCCTTCTTCCCTATGGCTCCAGTTAGCGTATCCATGCTCACCTACGGTAGTTGGCTTTTCTCGCCCTCTTACCGACAGGATGGAAAAATGTAACTTCAGACCGATTTACGGAAGCTAAGGCCGATGCTGTGGTTCTTTATTCCAAAGGAAGACAATATTAGCTTGAAGGCGACTTTTGAAAGTGGTGAGCTTCTAACCTTCCTTGTAGATAGAATTTAGGATCAGATTTAAATTACCAAGATGAAGGGAAAGTTCAAGGGCTCTTTAAATGCTATCACTGTATGGGCTCTGAAGTGTATTTACTGGGATGCAACCTCTAGCGTATATTCTATTCCCACATGTAAGCATCATTGAAAACGCAATGAAGAGTCATGGCATCATGATTTTGCCGCAGTAAGGCCTCGTGACGCATGGAGAAGTCAAGGAGAAGTTATGTCAGATATCAAAGTCGGCAAGCTGCAGGTGGATTGTACCGGAAAAGGCAACAGTTGCTTCACGACGGTGTAAAGTCTAGGATCCACTGAAATGTTACCAACAGAGCCTTAGACAAATGGAAAAGTATGATCTCTCATCATCATCGATGGTATTGCTTCATTGTGAAGGCATGTTACATTTAAGATGTGCACTTCGAGTCCTTCCATTACCACGGTCATTTCATGACCTACACATAAACCTTCGCTTGAAGTAAATATCCTTGGCATTGGCCAGGCCCCAGACTAATATCATGAAATTGACGCAAAGAGCAATAGACTTGGCTTGGCTCAGAGCGAAACTACTACCGTTGATGGACCATTCGAGCCTTACTGGTGTATTTTTCTACCCTAGGTCTTGTCCTATAAGAGATCGTCAGACCCATAGTATTACCTTCTCTTAAGTAGAATAGCTATTCTGAGGTGCTGTTTCTACTTCCTTACAATTGTTTGCAAGGTCTGGCGATCCACCAATTGATCGGATAGACAAACTTTAACGAACACCTATCAACCTCTTTCAATATGGGAGACAGCAGCGAGAGCCTAGTTCTTGGACTAGGATACCTACCTACACCTCCCGATGTCACCAAGAAACTAGCGGGAATCAAACTGGTCAAGAAGCCGGCAGTCCTACCAAAGCACGTTGATTTCAGCGGAGACATGAAGCCCCCGAAATACCAGAACGGTTGGGCATCCTGTGTGCCTTTTGGCCTCCTCGGGGCGCTGGATAGCGCTACCCTCCCAGATACGTATTCCGAAGCCTACAATTGGTACAAAACCAAGCAACTACATGGGTTTGACCCTCATGGAAACTCTGGCGTCAATGTCCATGTGGCTATATCAGTCATGCAGAAACAAGGCACTTGCTGGGAAAGCTCTTGTGTATACCCCACTGACCCTGACCATCGGTATCCAAAGTACGATTGGCCAGAACCTAGCGACGCAGCGAACAAAGAAGCTCTCAAACACAAAATTGCCGATGCTCGATTTCTGATTAAACCCGTTGATAAGGATGCGGTGAGGATGCTCCTTGCAGCGAAAACCCCTGTTGTTATTGGATTCTCTATGTTCGGTGACCCTACCTATTGGAAAAAGTGGATTTGGTCCGACGAGTGTTTAACAAGTGGTGTGGTCCCCATGCCACCTGAGCCTGTTCCGGACCCAACTGATGGCCATTGTGTCTCGTTGGTGGGATATGATGATGACAAAAAATTATTCAAGTTCAAAAACTCCTGGGGCAGGGAGCGGGGAAAGGATGGCTGGTTCTGGATGCCATACGAATATTTTGAGAAGGTAGATCAGCAAGGCAACCCATACATCACCGATGCAATCGTCTTCACCCCTGGGCAGGAGCAGCCCGCAATTCCCAGTTTACGTGCCATGGCTGAAACAGTAGCCCCGGATGCAATCTGGAAGCATTTTGCATTCACTGATGGCGAGCAGCCAAGCGGGTTGGTTTAGCACTGCCAGCCGAGAAGAAAGGGGCAGAAGGGTTGCAATGGTTGGGAGAGTTGGCCCTTCCTGCTCCACCATACGTTACACAGGAGGAATGGTAATTTTCAACCTCTACCATTCAATCTTCTTCTACATGCCATTCAACCTGGCCTGGCGGGAGCAAAAATTGATGAAGTCTCTGTCTCATCGATTTTACAATGATTAACCGCATTTAAATTGAATTGCAAATTTATACTCGTGATAAAAGCTTCCCTGCTTGCGCGATTGTACTGGTAATCCAGACTTCATGCAGTCCACTATTTGAAAGGCCCTGGATCGCTCGCTTGGTGGTGTTACGCCTCCGAGATCTCTGGACCGCTTCAATTCGCTCTAAAGTAGAGTTTATAGCCGCGAGCTGCTCAGATTGAACTTTCTGCTGTTGAAAAAGGCGTTCTAGGCAGCACTCAACTCGCGGAGAGGTCTCTGCAGATTCTCAATACTTGAAGACAGAGGATTTGGAGGCGGCGTAGTCTCTCTGTACGCGCGTAGATCAGGTACGGAGATCTCTGGTAGAGATGGTAAAGCATTCTGAATAGTTTCAATAATAAAAGATCCATCGGGAGGGTAGATACCGCGCTCCTTAAGAGTCACAAATAATCTGTATATCGAAGATCTTCTTACGTACGGCTATAATATTACCAAAAAAATTGTCTTTATCCCCCGGAACCCCACACCACTGCGTAATACGATTATTCGCACTGCGAAAATGCGTCTTTCCATCGAGCGGTTGGTAGAGGTGAGTTGTAAGAGATCTAAAGCAAAAGGGGAGAATCTTATAGATCTCGCAGAGTTGTAGAAATTCAACTGTTTTATAAGAAGTATGGCTGTCGAAGATAAGCACGCGTGTTTCTCCCTTATTTATACGATCCCTAGTCTCCTTGTGGAATCGATGAAACCATTCAATCAAGATTTCGTCATTGATATAGCCTTTTTCCAGAGACTGCAGTATAGGCATCCGGTAAATTTACGTCATACAAGGCCTCCATAAATCGCTTGCCTTTAAAGATAAAAAGCGGCTTCATAATCCAACCGTGTGCAGCAATACATTCAACCCCAGCTATATTCTCCGCTCTGATTCTAAAGATCAGGAACTCCTCCTCTTAGACTAAGCATGTTTTGCCTCTTTCCTTCGCCTGGTTAGAACCCGCATTCGTCAGAATTATACACAAGGCGAGGATAGATCCCGTTAAGTTTATAAGCTAATTATACCGGAATTGAAGCTATCTAATATCCTCTGTGTCTAGATGCTTCTTTTCTTTTGTTTTCTACTTTATTGGACTGATTTTTAAGTATAGAGAAAGTCTTTTAGTAAAGCGATATATCCACAATCAATTAAAATATTATTTAGAATCAACACGGTGCACAGTAAGATTTATCCATTTAAAAAGAAATACAATCGTAACAGAAAGATATAAATTATATATTTTAGTTAGACTGGCGTTTGGCCAGGTTAGGTTAGGTTAATAGGGTCAGTTATACCTAACCGCTAGGTTATGGCTAGGTGACAACGGTTAGGTTATGCCACTCTATTTCTAATATTGAAGTATATTTTTTATTGGCTCTTACTACTGCCAAGAGCGCCAATTCTTGGAGCTCCTATAGACTAGCCAATGATCGATCTCATGTAAGAAAGGAACAGGTATGAGAGTTTCTAACTGGATAATGGGGTGAGCAAGAAGGTGAGCAGCTCACCCAAGCTCACCCGAGGTCGCGCGACCGTAAAGCGGCTCACTCACCCGGGCGGCAGCCACCCGACTTCTGGACGCGTTTAAGCCACACGCCGGGAGGTCAGTACTAGTTGGGTGGATGAAAACCAGCGAATCCCTCCTGTTGTATGTTTTTTTCTTTTTGGTCCAGGATTTCATTCTGATCGGACTAACCGTGACTGCGATACCTGACAGGGACTGTATTCATTGTATAGAAATCTACAGTTAATTCGCTATTAACAACACGACAATAACCTTGTATAGATGTATAGAGTATTCGGGCATCGTATAATAACTAACCAATGAGTCGATTAATCAATGCAAACTTATACACTATTTGACATCTCATGAACTTGGCAATTTATGCGAACAGCTCATTCCTACGGACGGGGTGGCTGTCGGGGGACTTCCTGCTTTGGAAACTCACCGAAGTTCCCAGCTACTCGCCGAATGAGCATATACCCCTTCTCGACTCGTGATCATGTAGCTTCTTCAATTCAGCTATCAGACTTTGCTTTTCCTATTCCTACGATTATAGGGCTTCCAGGGCATCGATTACATTAGCCCTATGTTGAAGCTTAACATGCATAATCATCTTAAGTTGGGCACTTTCGGTCACTTTCACCGAATAGCCCGAATATCATTGGGGGCTTGGCATATACAGAAGACGCAGTCCCCGTCTAGCTTTTACTAGGGTATATCTGACAATACCTTTCCTTGTATAACTTAAACATTGTGTTGTCATTAGCTACAAAGTGGTGATAATGTCAGGGAGCGTCGCATCCCAAGCAGAATACGCCGGGACAAGAAGCTCTAAAACGAATAAGCAAGCATCTCCAAAACATCCATGGCGCTTCTGGACAACTATCATTGCCCTCTCCCTTACTCGTCTTCTATCGACTATCGAAGGGATCATTATCACGAGCGCGTTGCCCACGATAACGGAAGCGCTTGGTGGATCCGGTTCATACATTTGGGTTCCCAATCCTTACTTCTTAGCCTCATTGGCAATCTTGCCACTAGTTTCTCAAGCCAGTGATATCTTTGGCCGCCGCCCACTTCTTCTTATGGCTGTGGCCTTGTTCATACTCGGCAGTGGCCTATGTGGTGGCGCCTCGTCAATGCGGATGCTGGTTGCCGCACGTACTGTGTATGTATCGGATATTCGAATACATTGTCCGCAAGCGCATCATCCTAGTAGACAGGGTATTGGAGGTGGGGCAATAGCTCTTTTGATCAATACTGTCGTTACTGGTACTCCTGCTGATCCCGTCTGCTTCGAGAGACTTTCACTAACTCCTGTTTTAACAGATCTAGTACCACTACGAAAGCGGGGGAAGTACATGGCTCTGATCTAAATGACTGCAACTACCGGAGCTGCCGTCGGCCCATTACTCGGTGGTCTTACCACGAATCACTCGACGTGGCGCTGGGTTTTCTATCTTAATTTACCTATTGGCGTAAGTAAGTACCGAGCGCATGTCCTATCAAGACAGCACATACTCATCAAGAAAGCAGGTGCCTTCATTTCTCTATTTCTATCTCTACATATGAATTATCAGCGCGATCAAACTTGGAAACAAAGATTAGTGCGGCTTGATATAGCAGGAAATGTTATATTTATCGCTGCCGTTATCGCACAGACCTGGGGAGGGGAGGGACCATATATGACTGGGGAACGTATCATATCGTTGTTCCCATTGTCCTTGGCTTCGTCAGAATTGGACTCTTCATCGCGTTTGAAGGGACCGCTAGCAAGGAGCCATCATTCCCGCGCAGGATAGTCTCCAATCGAACTTCTTTTGCTGCATTGATTTTATGTTTCACGCATTCGATTTGTGTGTATTGGACATTTTACTTCTTACCTATCTGTTTCCAGGCCGTTCAAGGGAAATCGGCAATGCGCTCAGGTAAGATAGAAACCATAGCGTGGTGCTCGGTCCTCCTGCATACTTAGAATGTCTACTAAACTAGTCAAATTATAGGTATCAACAGGTTACCCATTTTCGCTGGCGTCCTCCCATTCGCGATTATAGGAGGTATACTCTTATCCAAACTCGGCCGACATAAGCCACTTCACTTCCTCGGCTTCATTCCCTCGCTATCTCTATGGGTCTTTTCAGCCTACTCACTACAAGCTCTAGTACAGCTGCCTAGGTGTGCTTCCAGCTTCTCTTCTCAGTTGGTGCAGGCCTACTCGCTGGAATCACCCTCCCAGCCATGCAAGCCCCGTTAGACGAAAGCCTGGTCGCAGTATCCACAGGTGTCTGGAGCTTTGCGCGGGGCTTTGGCAGTGTGTGGGGTGTCACGATCCCAAGTGCCGTTTATAACAACCAATGTCGGAAGCATGCAAGGAGCATCACGAACCCAGCTATAGGCCATTATCTGATAAGAGGTCGTGCATACCAATATTCCACAAACGCACTCTTAGCCAGCATTCAGGACCCTGTTTCTCGGGAACAAGTTGTTCAAGTCTTTCAAAAGGTATGTTGGCTGGGCCTTGCAGGTTTGTAGTCTACTGAATAACACCAGACACAGTCTCTTCGTACAGTGTGGCTCGTGGCAATAGTCTTTGCCGGCTTAGGGTTGGTTGTAACGCTTGTTGAAAAGGAAGTCAATCTCCGGGATAAGCTTAATACTAGGTTTGGGTTGGATGAAAGGGAAAGTGGTGACTCATCGGATAAGGCCTGACCTTTCCTGCAAAGTTCAATACTTGTAGAAGACTTTGCGTTTTTGTGAAACTATTGGCAATGCGCTCGTGAGATGAAGTATAAACATTGGTATATTCCGGCCTTGCAGAAGAGACATGTAGAAAGTCTTTGTACCTAGATATCGCCATTATATACAAAGCTACTTATCATTGTAGTTCATTGTAATCCATTGTATTGAGTCCTTCTGACTTCTTTGTTACCTTCTACTACATTCATGTCTTTATGTCTTCGCATTGAGATAAAGGCTTCCCAACCAAGTGCGTAACTGAAGGATTCTATCTATTCTCTGTGTATCTATACGAGAAGTTCTTTGACCTGCATAGAATTACCAAAATATCATGAGAAATTATCAGGTTAGTGGTGGACCATACCAAGTCACTCAATATTCGACCACAGCCACTAAGGCAAACTCCACGAGCTCATCGGAGAAAGAGTGAGCTTTCATGTCCCAGATGAATGTCACTATGACTAAGAATTTGCTCTGGATGCATTATAAAAGAGTCCGCTACCCCCACCTATGACCAAACCATGGATACTAGCTTGTAGATTCGCAACCCTAACATGAACGACGACATGGACGATGACGCGGAGGACGACAAGGATGATAACACAGACAGCAGCGCCGAAGATGATGCGAATCTATCCCGCCGAATGACCCTCCCCATTCATCCAGCTGCAAAAACGAAACAAAATGCCATCACTGATCTCCAAGCCGATGCTCCCCATTCTCTCAAGGAGCACATCGAGAAACTGTTATCCTTAACCCTCGGTGAGACCATCGAAGCCATCTCCGATCTCATGTCCGGCCCTGCCATCAATGTTGTATCAAATGAAGAACGCCTTATCACCCATGACAATCACGAGGGCACTGTTGACCTCGTCCGACTTTGTGAAGTGTACGATAACTGCGCAAAGCGCTGGTTGGAAGAGCATGCAGACCTCCAAGCACATATTCTGCAGGGCTCTTTCGACACGTTGGTCTTATCCCTCTACAGATTTGGCGATCTAGCTCTGAAGGCAGGACTCACAACATGGGAAGCAATGGAACTTCCGGACGATTGCAACCACTAAAGTACCGCACAATTACGTGTTATCAAAGAGACGGCGTATGAGAGCTCTCTTCCTCTTGTGCAAGGTGCTTAAAGTGCTCTATGGCTGGATTGGCTATTGAGATGTATGGGCGCAGACTGGTTTCATGACGGAGGCGCCGGAGCAGGGTGAAGATTGTATTGCATATCAGGCTGCTCGGACGGTTTAGCACGCTCCCTTCTTTTCCTTCGTTTTGTTGGGATTCATCTTTCTCTTTCGGTTGATTGATTTCTGTTCTTTTGGAGGTCATTTAGTTGGGGTCATGCTGAATCTAGGTCCCTCTATTCGACGTGTTTTCATGAGAGGGTGGAACGCGGACCAGTTTTGATGACTTTCCCTACTCCGACCTCTTATTGTGTATTGTTCATTTCTTTGGCTGTAGCTCTTTCATCCTGGGTGATACAGAAACTGAGTCCCTCCATTGACACCCTTTCTGGTGGCTAAGTGGAACGCGTGACAGGTTTGATAGAATCACTTCAATGAAAATAGTTCACATCAGTATTACACTGTGACTAAAGTTTTGCAAAATACATAGTTTTACGTACAATGTCCCGTAGTAAAGCCAATCAGTCAGTATTATCTACCGATAAATTTTGCATACGCTGAAGGCACAACACCAGCCACTCTATAGTAAACACCCGCGGTGCTCCACCTTCATTTATCCCGCCAACAGTGACCGATCGAATTCGTCCCTAGCACATAGGACGAAATCTCGCAATTGATACTCGTTGTACAGATTTGAATAATATTCACATTTCGCCCTTGTGTTCTAGAATATTGACCAAGATTGTCTCCTAGTCCTGTTGACCTTGTGATGAAAATTCGCCCATTGACCATCTTCACCCTTCTGCCTATACTTCATAAATGTGTCCCCATCAACAACGTCGGATAGGAGAATTTCAACATCCGAAATCCGCGACTCGGCCGTTGCATCTGACGAAGGCAAATCGTCTTTCTCCAGCTGAAAATCAGCATCATTGAGTCGCTCATCTAAATCCTGATTCGGATCATCATCAGCATGGAAGCTGCCATGTTCCACCCGAACAACCTCTTCCAGAACGTCCGCCACCAGTGGTCCATTCCACAAGCCCTCTCGATGTGGTGCCGCCCTCAACAACCTGATCGCCAACCGACGAATCTTCAAAACACGACATTTCAGTCCGGTATAATAAATTGGCGGGATGAAGCCTGACTCAATCGTGAACGAATAGCCGTTGCACTCCGACTGGCCATTTTGGAATGCCATGTGCTGCTCCTTAATGGGAAGACTAGTTGTCGACCAGAACCGCCGCATATCAAAGAAAGCGGTCATGACACCGACAAAGTCATTCGTGTATGCATCGAATACCATCTCCCCCTCCCTTGAAAGACAAACTGAAGCCATGATCATAGCCATTTCATAGTACACCCGGAGAAGCAGGAAACCAATCTTCTCCTTACAGGCGTCAGTCTTGAGAGATAAAGAAGCATTATATGCTTTTCTCCAGAGCAACAAATCTGCCATAATTCTGCGCTGCGTCTCAAAGGCTTCCGGGTCCGTTCCCGGACCATCGTCTGCAGGGACTGAATAGATATATCGTTCCAGACAGTGGATTCGAGTAAGTAAATCATCGAGAGCCTGTCTTGCTTCGACAAGAGAGGGAAATCTATGAGGAAGGGCGTGAAGCTGCGGATCTCGTACAATCACGCAAAGGTGTGACGGGACGTGACCAAACATCGCCGATTGAATCGCCAAACGAGCATATGACTCAACCAAGGCATCGTGCACAAAGTCCTCCGCCGGGCTAAGTATACTCGGCGCCATAGAAGTACGCGGTGCAGGCGCAGAAACATTGGCCAGAAGCTGGATGCCGTGCCCTAGATGCGCACTGCCCATTTTATGTTGACCACGCAGGTACTCTAGTGTGACAAAAAGCATACAAGTAATAAGGGTGACGCGGAGGCCAGTTTTGGATGATCCACCCGGCCCCGTCGTTACACCGCGTAAATGCTGAATTGCCTTATTATACTGCAGCAATATGAATCGCTCCGCATACATGCCGTACCTCGCCGGGATAGACTCGCTGCTGACATTAGAGCGATGAGCCACTGATAAGGCGACGATGGCGTGCCGAACGGCCGGTTCCTGTGCGCTGGCTTGGAAGACAAGAGTCTCCCAGAACAGTGAGGCAAATACGCCTGCAAATTTTGTTGTTGTTCTACTCATGAACCAGTCGAAGCACGTCTGTTCTTCCCGCGTTAGACAGCCGGCTGGTACCGGCGTGCAGTAGATGGATAGTGCCTTGTTGGCTTGTGGTGGGCCATATGGGCTCCCCCCGCCACCCCAGATGCCGTAGCCATCACAAGTGCGACCGGTAGAAATGCAGCGGCGACAAGCTGGGCGACTTTCGTCACATTTTACACGGCGGGCTCTGGTGGCGTTGTTAGCTGGTTGAACGGCCTAGCCCTGAGGATGATTGATGGTGGTGAGGAGGACTGACTTGCAGGTCCTGCAGCCCGTTTTGACTTTTCTTCTGTTCGTAGACTGTGCTATATGTCTCATTGATGTGGACATATTTCTGAACCGTCTCAATAGTGCTGAGATGGCGAACAAGTCTCCACGAGAGTAAGCGCCAGATGGCCAGAGTTGGCTAAATGGATTTACGTAGAAAGAAGACCTCAGGCCATCACAAGGGCTTAGTTCGAATTGGCTGGCTCGGAAACTTTGCATTCTGATTGGTTCCTCCACCACAGAGTGGATCTAGCAACTACTGCAGTGTCGTGATTGGCTCCGCCTTTAAGCTTAAGTCCGTCGAATGGCATCTCGATAGAAAAGCTGGAGGTCATTACTAAATGGTTGAAAGGTTCGGAAATAACGAACCATACGGCCCCTGATCCGGTTTTCCCGTCTATCAAGACCAGTATTTAAAGGTTAGACATCTTCGCCCCTAATCTCCCACACACACACACACACCGCAAGTATTCTCAAGCCTATATTCGATTCACACCTTTAGCCCTAATATCACCTTAGTAAATACCTCACTTTGCCAAGCACCTACCAATGTCTCCTCCACTTCGGACCCTCGGCCACAACGGCCCCCAGGTCAACGCTGTTGGCCTAGGTCTTATGAGTATCGGCGGGATCTACGGTGCTGCTAGTTCTATTGAGGAAGGAGTTGCTTTCCTAGATCATGCATATGCCACTGGTCAGCGCTTCTGGGACACAGCAGACGTGTACCTCAGCAGTGAGGAAATCGTGGGCGAGTGGATTAAGCGGTCCGGCAAGCGTAATAACATTTTCCTTGCCACTAAGTTCGCTGTTCAGGCATTCGATGGGAACGGGTTGACTATTCGCTCGGATCCCGAGTATGCCAAATTGGCTTGCGAGAGGTCCCTGAAGAAACTGAATGTCGACACTATTGATCTGTACTATTGTCACCGAGTTGATGGGGTGACACCAATCGAGAAGACCATTGAGGCACTAGTTGAACTAAAGAAGTAGGTGGCCCCCGTTCGCTAACCCAGCAACCAAAAACACCTGGCACTGACCCATATTCAACATTTAGTGCAGGGAAGATTCGATACATCGGTCTCTCCGAAGTCTCAGCTGCAACACTGCGTCGAGCCCACGCTGTTCACCCAATCTCCGCCCTCCAGATAGAATACAGCCCCTTCGCCCTCGACATCGAATCGCCTAACTCTGATATCCTGGATACCTGCCGCGAGTTAGGAGTTGCCGTTGTAGCCTACAGCCCTATCGGTCGTGGTATCCTGACCGGCCAGATCAAGTCCATGGCCGACTTTCCCGAGAATGATTTCCGCCGTTTCCTCCCCAAGTACTCGGAGGAAAACTTTCCCAAGATCTTGGAGCTGGTGCAGGGACTGAACGATGTGGCCAAGGCGCACAATAGCACTTCTACCCAGATTGCGATCGCGTGGTTGCTCGCACAGGGGCCCGATATCATTCCCATCCCAGGGACAAGGGCCATTGCTCGTATGGATGAGAATTCTGCGTCGGCGCAGATTCAACTCTCGGACGAGGAGGTGAGCACTATCCGGGAGTTGATCAAGCGAACAGAGGTTCCTGGCACTCGGTACCCTGCAGAGTAAGTTTTTCTTCATCTCCTCTCCCTTCTTTCTAGTTGGCGAGTGAGCGTTAACCTGTTGTGCAGGATGATGGGCCATGTTGCTGCCGATACCCCAGCCCTGTAAATGGCAAATATATATGTCTATCTCTGCCTGTGTACATGTCAAAGCGATTTAAAAACATAGGTTGACCAGACCAGAGGTACAAGTTTGGCCCGTGTTGAGTACAGCTTAAAGAACATTACCAATTGCTGCTATCAAGAAAGCCAACATCACCTATTGACACTTGATATAAGCTGCGAATATGATTTAATATTCTTTTATGTATTGTTGCGTTCACTTGTTAGGGCTTTGGGGGGAGTGGTGATGGTTTTCGGAACGTATGCAAAGAAAATTATAACGTAGTAAATAGCTGTAATTTAGGTACTGCAGGGAGTGTATAAATACTAAAATAGATAGCTAGAAACATAAAGGTTTTGCATGACTTCCTCGTTTTGTTTCTTTTACAATAGATCCCCAAGTACCTGCTCGGGATTCTCCATCACCGCGGAAAGAAGTCCAGTAAACATCTTACTAGCTCTCGAAACCATTTCCTCTTGTACTCTGCCATCCCAATACGTCAAGGTGGCTTGTAAATTGTCCTCAGATTCGTCAATCTCAAACACAATATCGAACTATAGCAATAAGTCAATTTCAACATAATACACACTGTCACATGGTAAATACTTACGTCCATCCCATCAGACCACTCCACAGGTTCAAACCGCAGCGGCCTAGTTTCCTTAGTATCGATAGCATGTCTGCGGTGGTTGACGAGAGTGCTGAAAACTCGGCTTGGTCTAGGTGCGTTTAGTGCTTCTAGCCATTGGGATTGGTGAGTGAGAGCCTGGCCGTAGTCTTCCTGGATGATGTCGAGGACCTTTGTCATTTTTGTAGTCTTGTCGATGTTCAGTCGCTGGATGAGCATATTTAGGTAGAATCCAGTAGACCCGGTGGCTTCGACGCCTGGTGCACTTCGTGTGGACACGAGATAACCGAAGGATATATCTGTTAGATTGGTTAGGCGCTGCAGGAGTGCGGCCCAGAGAGATTTAAAGAATATTGCTATGGTGATGTCGTGTGCGGTGCAGAATTGAGTGATATTTTGCATGTGGTCGAGCTGGATGCTGGTGGAGTGAAGGTTGCCGCGATGGATGGGGCTATCGTGCGAGGACAGAAGGCATGGGGATATATCCTTTAGGTACTCTGTCCAGAACGTCCTGTCGGATACTCTAGAGGAAGAATGGAGGCTGGCAATATATTTGCTAAACGGAACTGGTGTGCCATCCGGCGTATTTCCTCCATACATCTGTGACCACTCGTCCACGAAGATGGAAGAAGAAACAGCATCGTCTAGTGCGTGATGCTGCTCCATCATTAAGAATACCCTGTCCGAATCGGTCTCGAAGATGGTCAGTCGATACGGCACATGCGGATTAGACAAGGGGGTATCTTTCTGTTTCGCAATTGCAGTTTGAAGATCTGCGGCGGTGCATCGGACGGTTGAGATATTGTCGCTGAATGGTTCCTTTAGCATGACTTGATACGCACACTGTTGAACAGTCACCAGAAGCGATCGGTATGTTGAATGGCGCCTGACGAATAACATCCACGCCTCTCGAAGTCTGTCTGTGTCCACAAGCCTCGATGTATCCTCTGCGGTCAGCTCCCACACCGTGTGTGGTTGGTAGTAACCGTTCTCCCTCGAACCAGTCAACCACATTACCTGCTGTAGTGGCGTACAGGGAACAATCTCTTCGATCTCCTCTGCATTCACAACGCCCAGAGCTGGGAGTTTGCCACTGACTAACGCGTCCCAGGCGGCAGATGTATCAATCTTTGCTTCGTTGTGCAAAACACCATCCTTACCTTGGGCCAATATAGCTTTTTCTGCAATCTTTGCGATGGTTTTCTTCTGGAAAATATCGGCCACAGTGAGAAGAAGACCTCGCGAACGACACTTCGCGGAGACCTGCATAGCTGCGATGGAATCACCGCCGATTCGGAAGAAATTATCGCGCATCTTGAGACTGTCGATGTTTACATTAAGAACGTTGGCAACGGCTTCACAAACAATACTCGCAGTTTCATGCACCGGAGCCTGGCTGATGTCGCCAGAGTTTTCAACCTCTGCAGAGGCATCACCAGCTAGCCCTGAACCCACGACCAGCGGTTCTTTGAGGCCCGTTTGTGAATTTCCTACTTGGATCTGACCAATGGTGAGGGATGGGTCTGACCAGATCTGACGAACCACCTGCTCAAACTCCGAGAAGAACGTGGTGAGCTGGTCGTGCGTGATGGTTTGCGGGTCGTAGTTGGCTAGCACGGTAAACCCATCATTCCGCGGCTCCAGCATGCAACTCATGGCGAGGGCAAAGCCGCCAAACGCAGCATGACCGGAATAGCCATCCTGGTATAGAGTGAAAGGCTCTGGAGCCTCGGATTCAACAGTTGGCCAGACATTCAAGTATGTCTGGAACTGACAGGCCCGAGCGGCATCCGGGCTTACGTTGCGGATGTTTTGAAGACCAAAATGCTCAAACGGAAGTACGCGGATGGAGTTTGCCTGAATCTCTGACATGACGTTTTCGACTGTTTCAGATGAACGCAGTTGAATTCGCATGGGATATGTGCCTAAGGTTGGACCAGTGACTGTGTTGATCCCAGGTAGGGAAGCGCTACGCCCTGATGTCGTGAGTCCAACGACAACATCAGTGGATCCACTATATCGTGACAGCACCATCGCCATGGCGAGACGGATTAACGGCGTTAACGTATGTTCGGTGCCCTTGTCGGTGAGATTCAGGATAGGGTATGTTAGCGATTCTTCTGCCTGGGGAGCGTAATGTGTTGAGGGAAGGGGCGGGAAACTGGCAGCACGGGGGTCAAGGTTGGCGAATTCGGTTTGCCAATACTGTTGTGTTTCGTCATTACCTCTGTCGAGAACATACTCGATGAACGAGCTAAAAGGTCGCTCATCGAGGGTCTGCCCTCTGTATGCAGCTGTGGTCTGCTCCAAGAGCTGCCGGACAGTCCATCCATCGCAGAGAGAATGGTGCAATGTCAGAACCCACACGCGAGTTTGGTCGGAAGTCGTGGTAGTCGCAACACGGACGAGCTGTTCGCCCATATCGACCTGGCGCTGAATATCTTCGGCGATATACTCCTCCAAATCGTCCGGCTTGTCCCATGTCACATGATCGTCGCGAATGACTGCCTGGTATAACCGAGAGCCAGCCTGGAAGAAACGGGTCCGCAGAATAGTGTTGGCTTTAGTTGTCTGTCCCCAGGCCTGTTGCAGTTGCTCATCTGTCATCTCCGGCGGAATTGTATAGAGAAAGTGGCATATATAAGTACCGGGATTCGCGAGGGACAGAAACATCATTCCTTCCTGCAAAGCGGTGCAGGGATAGATGTCCTCAATATCGTCACCGGAGACATGGCACTGACCTATGGCCTCCTGTTTAATGTCATCACTATTTCCTAGCTCCAGGTTTTGGATGAGGGAAAGAGGTTGATATTGCTTGTCCGTCTGCTGGGACCTTTGCATCTTCAATGCCATATCACAAAGCTTTGGAGACGCAAAGATATCCGCGACGGTCATCACCCAACCCTGCTCCATCGCCAATCCAGCAAGCCTCATCACGGTGATTGAATCTCCTCCTAAACTAAATATAGTGTCTTCCACGCCGACTGCCTCGGGTTTCAGACCAAGTAAACGAGTCACAAATCCATGGATGACTTTCTCGTGCTCGGTTGACGGGGGCTTCTTGTCATGCTTTGCGGCCGTATATTTCTGCAGATCATCCAGAGATAGAGAAGCCATGTACTCTTTCAACCGTTTTCGGTCTATTTTCCCGGACGCGGTCGTGGGCATTTGGGCTAGCTGCACAAACAAACTTGGGACCATATACCCCGGCAACTGAGTACGGAGATGTGCCTCTGCCTGAGCAACACTGGACCGGAACACGTCGTCAGGGATATGAAAAAGCTCATTTGGATCTGTCGCCCCGACAGACTCTCGAAGGATGAAGGCAACAAGAACGGCTGTGTTACTGTTGAATTTCACCACGTCCACCACCAAACCGGGGATGTCAAAGCACTGATTCAAGCAGTATTCAATTTCTCCGAGTTCAATTCTCTGGCCACGCAACTTCACTTGCATATCCTTTCGGCCTAGGAATCGAATCGATCCATCTGGTGCGTATTGTACCAAGTCGCCTGTTTTGTAAACGCGATTTTGTGGTGACGAGGGTGAAAACCTGCCCAGGAATTCTGGGTTCTCAACGAAAACAGCCTCTGTCTTCTGGGGATCATTCAGATATCCCCGTCCTACGATCGGCCCTCCGACTAATAGCTCGCCAACGGCACCGATAGGCACCAGACGGTTGTGGTCGTTGCTATCGGCCACCCAGCATACAGCCCCAGTGCCGAATCCGATATTCAACGGGTCTGAGTCCAGGGTGATGTGAGGCTGGATGGTAGTAAGAACACAACATTCAGCCGGTCCATAGATATTGAGTAACCGGACATGGTTTCCCCAGATGTCTATCACTGCTCGCGATAATGCCTCCCCTCCGACAACAATTGTCTGCAAAGTCGGCATATCTTCAGGACGGAGAGAACGGAGGAAGGATGGGGTAAAGTCTGCATAGTTAATCTGGAATTTGTTAATGACACTGACAATGTCATTCATCCGATCTTCGGCCGAGGGGATGCAAATTGTGCCTCCAGCGAGCAGGGTCGCTAGATGATCGGTGACGCTCACATCGAATGAGTATGATGCGAATTGCAGGGCTCTAGTTTCCTTATTCATTTCAGCGGTTTTAATGTAAGCCAGCGCACTGGAGCAGAATGCACCATGCTCGATGACAACCCCCTTGGGCTGGCCTGTAGATCCAGAGGTATACACGACGTAGAGGATATTAGATGGTGTGACATCGGACCCAGTGTAGCTGGGAGCCAGAGTTGCAAGGCTATTGTCGTCAGTATTAAGCACACTAACCTTGCCTGTCAGCTCCCTTGCTCGGGATACTAACTCTGGAGGGCAGACGACAAATGATGCTCTAGTGCTCTCGCAGATCGTCTGTAATCGCGCCAGCGGCGTGCCAGGATCCAACAAGGCAAATGCAGCGCCAGCTTTGATGACACCTAGAATAGCCACCGGGGTCCATTTACATTTCTCAAAATACAGTGGAATAATCATGTCCGGCTTTATACCACCCTCTTCCAACAGTTGCGCAGCGAAGCCATTTGACAGAACTTCGAGCTCGCCGTAGGACAGCTTGCCATCCCAGGAACAGACAGCAGTAGCATCTGGTTGAGATCGCGACAACCCCGAAATTAAGTCGTGAACACATCGTTGGATATTTTCCGGCGCTCTTTGACTATTCCACATCTGCAACTGGGCTTTATCCTCCGGACATAAGCCCTCAATATCACCGATGCGCGTATTATCTCTGCGATTGACCCATTTCATGATATGGGAATGCTGCTGAAGCAGCCGTTCCATCTGAGCATCGGGCACGATATTATGATCATATACAGCCTGCACGCTGACTGAATCCCCTGCCGGCTCTACAACGAGAGTGATCGGGTATGTTCCGAACGTGGCATGATTCTCTAGATTCTGGTCGTGCGTGACTTCGGCGAAGAGCGAGTAATCATCCCGTCGTTTCGGTTGCAAGACAATCAGACTCTGAAACTTACAGGCCGCAGCGGCTTCTGGGGATAGCATGCGCATCTGACTGAGACCGAATTGCTCATGCGGAACCATTTCCGCTCGACGGGCATGGAGTTGGTTCCAGCAGTCGGCAACCGGTTGGCCATCGACCACGAGGACCTGGAAGGGGAATGTGGCGATCGTCGGGCCGCTCATCAATTCCACACCGGGCATTGTAGCGCGTCGTCCAGTGTCCGTCACGCCGAATACCACCTCTTCGGACGCCGTATGGCGGGAGATGAGAATTGCCCAGGCCATGGTGACAGTCGTCGATAGACCGTCAAAGCTCATGAATTCGTCAAACTCGGTCGTCTGGATGAGAGACCTAGTCGCTGCCGGCGTATACGACTCGGCTGGCAGAGACGGGAATGAAGTTGGATTCATACGCGAGAACTCATTGCGCCAGAACTGGGCGGCTGTCTCGTTGGAAGCATCCATGCAGTAGGAGCTAAACCGGGAGAAGAACTGATCTGGTACTCGTTGATCCGCATATGCAGCTTCAATATGCTTAAGAATCAGAGCCAGCGACCAGTCGTCATACAAGGCGTGGTGCAAAGTGATGACAAAATAGGCTGGGCTTGTAGACTTCTCGCCCTGGATGAAGCCAGCCCGTGCCAACGGTGCTCCTAACGGTGTCTCTTTTGCGCAGTCATCGATGAGATACTGCTGGAGATCGCCACTTCTTTGACACTCAATTCCCTGACGCAGAACTACTTGAATCGCACCCTGAGAGCCAAGCTGCACGACTCTCGTACGGAGAATCGTATGCGCTCTTACAGTGGAATCCCATGCAGCGTGGAACTTATCGAAAGTGATGCCATCTTTCAGGCGATACACATACCGAGCGACGTATGTGCGTGGGTTCTTGACAGAGAGCGCTACTAGAGCTTCTTGCACGACTGTACAAGGATAAACATCCTCAACATCATCTTCGGTAGTTCCGCATAATCGGCTAGCTATTAGGATAAGATCTTTTGACCCAGCACTCTTTGGTAGCAGAGAGAATGGAGGAACAGCAGGTTGTTGAGGAGCCAGGATACCATTTTGTGTGTTCTGATTGAGGTGATCTGGCGTTGGATCTGGGGTTTCGTAATCCACCGTCATGGTTTTGAGGCCCAGGAGTACGCCGAAATGAATTACACTCAGACTTTCGTGAGGAAGAATGGATTATAAGGCGATGTTAAATTTTAAAGGATTTAATGCTTGCCAGTAGCTACTAGTACTCTTTCTGCAGGTAGAAACCTTCAGCTGAGCTGACTCTCGCCATATACGCCAAGTGGGCCGAGAGACGAATATCACCACTGATTAGGGGGGAAGAAACAAAAAAAAAAAAACAAAAACAAAAACAAAAAAGCGATCTGCATTCAGCTGCTCGATCCCATGTCCGCGAGTTCATAAAATCGCGCAATGGAGACTAGCTCAATTCAAAGGTGACGGCCGTCTTGACTCTTTACTCTTTCTCAGATGTTCCAAGTCGATTCTAAAATGTAGCTCTACCGTCGTACTTCATATTTTACCTCCTGCTAATAACCATTTTTGATCTACATTTCATCACAGAACAGACGGATGGACAACCTTTTCGTTCACACTGCCCAGAGTAGGCCGGATCTCTGGAAGGTCCTCGAAGATCCAAATCATCCACTGAATGCTGCCTGGCCGCTCTTCCTCGACCAGGACATATACTTCCAATACTACTGTAGCCAACTTAACAAGATCAAAGCCTTTGCTTGCTTTCAGTATATCATTGTTAAAGTTGATAACTACGGAGAAGAGCACATTATCGCCTGCGGACGTTCTGTTCCCTTCTACTGGCCAGAACTAGCCAAAATCGGGGGTAAAATAGCCCTCGCCCAACACCCAAAAGTGCTGCATACCCTTCCAGATGAAGGTTATGATGCCATCCTCTCCCGAGCGTTCGAACAATACTTCGCCCGAGAAGGCCTTGTCCAAGCCCAAGCCCTAGATAGGCCAACCCCATTCAACGATCCCGCCGCAGCTAGAATAGAACAGCCTAACGCACTGTCCGCTATTTCTATCACTGTTTCTCCGGAATACCGCTCTCAGGGCTTAGCAGAAGCTCTTATCCTGGCTATGAAAGAAGCAGCTATCGAGCGCAACTTTGACGCTATGGTAGTACCGCTACGGCCGACACGGAAATCAGAGTTCCCAATGACCAATATGACAGATTACGTCTTATGGCGGGCGACAACACCAGATCCCAACCTCCCATTTGATCCATGGCTGCGGAAACATGTTCGGTTGGGGGCTAAGGTGATCAAGGTGGCGCGGGGAAGTATGCGTGTGGAGGGCAGTGTGGAGGAGTGGCAGCAGTGGACGGGGGTCAATATCCCGCAGGCTGCGCAGGGTGGGTCTCTCAAACTGGAAGCAGAATCGGGCAAGGCATATGTCGAAGTTGTGTTTCCAAGAGGCCTGGTACCCTTGCGGTATTATGTGGATGAACAGCGCTGTGTCTATATCGAGCCGAATGTCTGGCTCCATCATGCGCTACCGAGCTTCAATATACCCATCCCGCTGGATTCATCGATCGTATAACTCGAAAGCTTTTCCTTTAGACATGCACATGTCTGCGTTTCTGTCACCTCAATTGAGATGGGGAATATATTATAGCATAGTTTACTGAAGAATCATGGCCTAATCTGATTTCTTTCCACAAAGTTGGTCCTCCCATCCTGTCAGCTGATAGATTTCTGACCGCCCCTTTTCCGTGCTTTAATTCAGTTCTGGGGTTTCAAAACATACCGAAGGGTAAGGTACAATGCCAAAGATAAGCACAATGATTGGCTCATTAGGTGTGAAAATTAGCTAATAGAATCTATAATCAAAGAGTCGTAGTTCAGCTGCTGTGGGGCGGGATCGTAGATTTCTAGTTCTTTTAGGATCAGCACAAGTAGTTCGAGAACTCAGTTTAAGTTGAAAGTTCGGCCAAACCGGAACTAAAGGCAACCTGACCTTTCCTAATTCAGACAGTATTTACTAGCGTTTATTAGAATTATTCAAATGCTAAATATTTCCAGCTTTTACAGGTGTTTTAAACAATCTCATTGCTAAGGAAATTTTGATTAGAGCAGAGATCAACACAGAATCTAGAACCATAGAACTTCCTTGATGGATCCACTGACCTGACTATTATAAACCCCCCGAATAGGAAAGGTCAGATTAATTCAGCTCCCTTCCAAGTGCCGGGCCAAAAGTTAACCCTTTCAGCTGCTATGGCTTCATATTTATTTATTTAGGGTAGCGATCTGCGTACACGGCCCACCGGTTTGATTGTACTCCGTTCGCACAGGATGGGCCAACTTTTGTTTACAAGCTTGATTGCGCAGCGGAGCATAAGCGAAGCATGGAAGCACTCCTATATTGGTACATACATACGATAGGCTTTTTTTCTCAGTGTCTGAGTTCTCATTAGATTGGTCGAGAATCCAAGCCGGACATCATTTCGGCAATCAAGTCAAGTGTAAAAAGGATCTAGACAGAATTAGATAATATTCAGGTTATGTGATTCCTTCGCTGCGCACGCCTTGCAGTCTGTTCTCGGCTTCCTTTAGCACGCAGGATAGAGCATTCCGTGTCTAGGGGTAGGCAAAGATGACACGGCAAGTGAGCCAGTCAATGGGTTCAGACTTTCCCAATTCGTGCCTACTTCTAGGTTCGACGCGTATAGGGGGTGTACGACGGTCGGACGTCGTGTACCCCCAAACTCTCCCATTTCTAGGCCGATCCGGACGTGGTCGGGGTTGGAATTTTTCTTATTTTTTAAATTAATTTTTGATCTCAATCTTTAATAGTTTTGGGTCTATTCTCTATCTTAATTGTTGACTGGCCAATTTACTTAGAGTGAGATTTTGTTGGAGTATGCCAAGCCAATTGGAACGGATAGTCTATATCAGATATAGCTACCATCAGCTCTATTGACCCTAATACGATATCTCCGACCACTAATTTAACCCTAATCTACGATATTCGACTGTCAATAAATTTCTAGTAGTCTACTAAATCTCCCGTAAGCCGCTGTATCCTCTGTATTCAATCTGGATGCCAGTTCTATTGATTAGATTATTTCTAGTACCTAATTTAGTAAATTATCTACGGAATTATCTAATAGCTTGATCATCTACTGACTTTTATACCAGGTTAAAATCAAGAAAGATTATCACTTTGTAGAGGACCTCCGTGTCTATTGGCCCGCATTGATATTTTAGGGCCTTCTGAATCAGCTGGCTGGAAGGGGCCTGCAGGGGCTGCCAGATCGGAGAGTATTGCGGAAAGAGCTTTGATAATAGCTTTCGCTGATAGACTATCAGATTCAGCCAGACTAGAATAATTTGGAGGGCTCCGACAGGTCAGCTGGCTGTCTAAGGCTCCCCAGTAGATCTTAGTAGGTAGGAAACAGGTAAAGCAGCAGATATCAACCGGTGGTTGAAACTGTGGCCGCCACTCTAAGTTCAAATGGCCAATTGTTTCTTGAAAGATCTGACATGTGTGAGAGCTGTGGTTGAATTGCCTAGGATTTAGGGTTTGGTATGGCCAGTTCTGTTGACTTAATTGATCTAAGATAGTTGGCCCGTGTCAATATTTTAATATCTACTGTATACCCTAGATATATAAGAAGATTACTACTTACTATAGACTTATAAAAAGCAGTATAGACACTGATCCTCCCACCAGATTCAAATTCTGTCGGTTAATATTGCTATCTGATCGATACTATCCTGATAGTACTGCTTGGATCCGCTGAATAGTATTTTGATATTGACCTGCTCGTACCCTGACAGAGGTCACACAGCGCCCCATCTGTCTGGCAGACCTTCTTAGTCAAGTAGGCCCGGAACAGCTGCCGCTTATAGGAATCACTGGATCTAGTGGTTAGATCTGACGGCTTGACCAGGCACCAGGACGACCCTCGATCCTGTGGGCTCCAAGTGGTCCTCCCTGACTCCTGTATAAAATTGGTGAACGACCAGGCGCCTTGCAGGTGAATGATTAGGCTGATATCGGTAAAGTCAAAACCGGCTCCGATAGCGCTGGTGGCCACGAGGACTGCGGGGCCTATCTGACCTGCTTGATCTGCTTGACCTGCCTGGATAAAGCGGTTTAATTGGTCTTATTTGACCGGGTCAGGTAGGTCGGCATGAAAATAGTAGGTCTCTGGGTATTGGGTATACAGATCCTCGACCAGGGCCTTGGACATGCAGAATACAATAATCTTCAACGGCCTTACAGCATTCTGATTGCTCCATTCAAAATGCTTAATAAATTGAATCAGGGCCTCGGAATATCCAATCCTTTGAGATATCAGTTGCACCTGTAGACTAGATTAGACTGATTGATATTGGCTCTGATCACCTCAGATTTATTGATCATCATCATCGATTTCAGCTCAGTTTCTAGATATCTAGGCATGGTAGCGGAGCTGAAGACCATGGGAACTGGTAGCTGCATAGCCTGCTTCGCCCGATGCATCACCTGACGATAGGATTGAGCTAGGGGGATTAAATGACATTCATCAAAGATCACGTGGTCTAATAAACCCTTACTGGCCAGGGTTCTGGCATAGCTGTAGAATCTAGGCATTGAAAGAGACTCTATCGAAAACAGTAGAATTCGAGGATTTGATCCTTGGTCATGGCTATCCCCATAGATCCGGACCGAGAGTCCTAGGGCCTGTGCCTTGCGGTAGAGATCAATTTTTAGGGCTACCAGGGGTGCTACTAGAATTGTTGTCTGGCTGATAGCTAGACCAGCTGCTAATAGAAAAAGGGTAGTCTCCCTGGCTGCGATTGATGGGATCAGGATCAGATAGGGCACCTTGGTCAGTAGGGCATACAGGACCCTGGCGGCACTGAGTCCCCTAACGGTATCAAAAAAAAATAAAATTCACAACACCATATCACACGCTATGCAAGTGGTATCTTCGCTAAAACAAAAGCAAAAGCTAGGAAACAAACTTTTAGACAAACATCAAGAATCATACATCATAAGGCTTCTTTTCAACATCATAAACCGGCGAGCAAGCCAATTTACTCCTGGCCCTTAGCCAAGGACCACATAGCTTAAACACCACAGGGATCGGAATCATCACAATTGCAATACAGCCCAGCATGGTTCCGGCCCATTGGACGCCAAGATTCTGCATCATCTGTCTCGAAAAGAGTGGGAATGCACAGCCGACTGCCGAACGGAGGATCGTGTTTGCTGCTATTGTGGAGGCCGCACTAGGCATTATCCTGTTAGCTACTGGCTCTGGGTATAGTGAGAGATTGGCAGGCTTACAGTGCGGGATAGCAGTCCACGATGTAGTTGAAGCATTGCAGGAATATAAGGAAGATTCCGGCACCAGTAAGGACTCCTGAGGCCATGGGAGCCATCCAGTGGATGGTCGATGTGTAGCCGGTCCAGCCGAACCTGTTGAGATTGTCAGTAATGGTGCTAACTAGGTATATAGACAGAGGGGCGGTAGCTTACCAGAACATCCCTCCAGTAAAGAGTACAGCGCCTAGAATGGCAGGCGAGAGACGCCATTCAGGGATAGGTTTGTCTCCATTTGCTGCAAGTTTTCGTTTATAGCCACCCTGGAGAGAAAGCATGAAGCAGCCACCGAGCAGTTCACCCAGAATGAGACCGACAAAGGCAAGGCCACCAACACCCATGTTCATACCGTAAACACCCTGGAAGACGACTGGGTATGCACCGAGTAAAGCATACATGAGGCCATAGATAAACGAGATGTAAAGGGAGATGAGGAGGAGAATGGGCTCCGTGAATAGCATGGTTATCGGACGTGTGAAGTTGTTCCGGACGAGTTCCTTGAAGTCAATCTCCACCTCATCTTGTTTGGCGTGAATTCCCCAGTTATGCGTTTGCCGACGAAGCTCCGAGGCCTTACGGACCAGAATCACGGGAGGGTAAGACTCATCCAGGAATAGAAAGACTAGAATGAAGCCCAGGAACACCATGATGGCAGATATGTACATAGTCCATCGCCACCCGAGGGAGCTCATGGCGATAAATCCACCCACGAAGGGGGCGGCAAAGGGTCCAATAAAGACAGCCATGCAGAAGATCGACATGATGATACCCCTCTGGGCATTGTTGAATAGATCGGCAAAGACAGCAGGGACGATTGAGAGGGGGCTGGCGGCGAACAGTCCAGCAAAGAAACGGCAGATCATAATAGTCTGTACATCTTTTGCAGTGGCACACGCAATGCTAAAGACACCACAGCCGAAGAGGCCAATGGACAACGGCCAGCGTCGTCCGATAAGCTCAGAGGCCGGCGCCCAGATCGTCGGACCGGCAGCGAAACCTAAAACATATAATGTGACGCCTAGTGAGGCAGCCTCAGTACCGATATTAAATTGCTCGCTCACGGATCCAATGGCAGCGGAGAAGACAGCACTAGCGAAGGAGCCGGCAAAGGTTGAGTAGCAAAGGATGCATACGAGAAACGCTCTAAATAGGTGCCGTGTTAGTAACTAAATCCACTTATGTGAATCCGTTGTGGGCCAGGCGAACCTTCTCAGCATGGACCAGTTGTAGGGATGTAATGGATCGTCTGGTCCATCAAACTCAACTACATATTGCTCGGGATCAGGAAGCAATGGAGGATATTCTTTCCCAGCGCCCATGGGTAGCCATTGCTCTCGGGGCAGAGGGCCTCTGGTTGAGCCAACGGTTGTCTTTTGCTGAAGGCGATAGGTATTTATGCGCTCCAGCTCTAGTGAGTTAATATGGTTTGCCGTCTCCTCGGTCAAGTCCTCGCTATCGGTGTCGGTCTCATCTAGAGATGGGCATTTGCGGTGCTCTTCTTGGTAAGTCGGGATGTCACCCCGGGTATAATCCATTGTAAAGCGATTATATCGAATTTATGGATATGTACAGAGAAATAGCTGCGTGTGAGAATTCAACAGAATTCTCAAGGAAAGGTTCCCAACTGCTACTAATATACACAGGAATGGATAGAGCCACAGACCCAACTAGCCCTCAAGTTTCCACATCATTTTCTTCTAGTCTGGTGTGCTCCATCGAAAAGAGACGAGCCCACTGACGTTTTGCTGCCAAACAGAGCCTGATTTCAGTATCGGATAGACCCATTCTTTTCCGCGATAAAGATTTTCGATATAAAAATGATGTTATAGAAACGCGCACGAGCCATAGCAGGATGTGCCTGTCGGAAACGTGGCCAATCAAGGCCTCGGCAGCTCTCTGACGGCTTCGGTTATTGACGGCGCTGTGGCGAGTGTCAGGAACAGGTTAGTGAACCCTGACTCAGGACCGAGGCCAACCGAGAGTAGCCGCCATCACGACACTCGGTATCAGGACAGAAGATTTTTCATAGTTCAGGACGGAGTAAAAGTGCCGATTATGAGGATGGAAATGACGGGAAGGCCCTTCCGGCCCAGTTCTCATCGATGACCGGTACTGAAAGCCATGCCGTGAAAGCGAATGTGCATGGCCCGTTCTTCATCCCGTAGCTCTCATTGGTACCTTGATATTGGCCACCACAGGGGCTCACTCTTCCTATGAACCCACACATCAGAAAAATCTAGACTACCTTGCGGGCTGTGACTGTGATAAACAAATCGTCCTGTCACTCCGTATTGCAATCTATCAATCCGGATATTCAGGATAAGACACTCCAGACTATCATTAAAAACGCTGTCAGCAATGCATCATGCTACATTGATGAAATACTTCCTAGCACACAACGCGCATCGGTATGTTTAGAAATATAAGCAGTAGGGTCAATGTCGCCGTAGGCCCGGCAGCCAATCAGATGCTCCAAGCGAATGTATGAGTCCGACTTTAAACCTACGGAGACCGACGAAGACTGGCTTTCTTACGATATCCTTGAGACCGATTATTATCAATTACCAAGCAGAGCCTTCGAGAATCTAACACTCGAACAGTTTTCCCTCACCTTTTCTTTAATTGAAAATAACCCACTGTTCACATACACTGTTTTGATCAAGCTTGCCAGCTCATCACCTCTTCTTATGGAGGCGCCGAGCGAGATTAAGCGGAGTTACCCAGTCTTAACATCGTTCGAGCGGTAGCCTAAGCTTAGCGGAACCAGTCTAGCAACTCAAATGATATCCCTACTTTGCAGGGCGACGAGAGGCACTAGCCGCGAATTACGAATATCGCAAGTTACAAGCAAATTCAACTTCTTCTGATATCCATGAGCACTATATGACTGGCCACATCGGGCAAATCCCGATGCTCTGCGCGAGGGAAGTTCGCCTACCACTCTCGAGCCAGTTGCTCCTGGATCCCTTTGACATGCCATACTCCTCCTTTGCCCACAATCCATAGTTCATGTTCCCCAAATGCCACACTCACAGCCCCATTCTCACCCCCACCGACGCGAATTGTACCCAGCGTATACCCTGTGTGGGGATCAAGAACATCAACGCCATCCCCGGCACCGCAAAAGATCAACCCATGTCGCGACACCCTGACGCCATCATAGAAGTAGGAAATGGGATTGGTGAGGAATCTTTGATTTGACAGTACGGAGCCTCGCTTCGAGACATCAAACGCCCAGAGCTGTCTCCATCCATAAGGATCGGTCCTTTTTGGAAAGTACTTCGAGACCCCTGTCTCCGGGATGAATAATGTGTTCCCGTCAGGGGAGATAGCGACGCCATTGGTATTCCCAGTGGTACTATAGACTACCTTAGTGCGAAAGGTTGATCGTTCAACGAAGTAGACAGAGGGGTTTGTTGGGGGTGCAAAATCAACAATCTGTCGGCCCTATTGCGGGGGTCAGTAACCTAAGCGTTTGACTGGGGGCATGACAACCTGAACATACCCAGCCTGATCTTGAATCTGTCAGCCAAAAGTTACCCTCCCGGTCAATTTCCAGGTCATTGAAACCCGCAAATGGCTGCACCAGGTAGTTGTTCAGCAATGTTGTTTTCTCGTGGCTGTGAGGGTCGATCTTTGCCAGCTCTCCTGTTTGAAGGTCACTGTATCCATCCGTTACCACGTGGATGGAATGATTGTAGTAGACGCATCCATGAACGTTGTATGTGGGAGGGTCAGTGGTTATGTTGTGCAGGGTATTGGTCTCCACATCCAGGAGGTACTGCCATGAGTGAATGCCATCGTCGCCCCCTGGTGGGCCCCATTCGACAAAAAAGAGTTGATTGGTATCCTTGATATAACACGGCGCTTCATGAACCTGGTAGGCTAGTTTTTGAACATGCTCCACTGTTGCGTTAGGGCCAATGATATCGAAGAACCTCGAATCGTAGGCTACAAAATCAGTGGTATTCAGATACGATAATCTATCTCCGTCAGTACGTCATATAAATCGCTGAGAAGGGATGGCCTCCTTACGCTGTGTTAAGGCCTTCATCAGAGACCTCTGAGGTTGCCCATGGAGCCTCAAACGCTGTCCGGTTGAAATGGCCAGGAAGATTGGCGAATGCGGCGAGCGAAATATACGCCCATCTGGCCAGGCTGTTGTTTAGAAGCGGCGGAAGCGAGTTCAGGTAGGTATCCATATTGTAGGTATCCCTTCTTCTGTTCGGGAATAATACACTCGCAATTGTTCCTGGAGTCAGAGTTTTGTATCTAGATTAAATACACCAATTTCACCCCGCAAACCATAGTCTATAGGTGCTGTTCGAGCAACTGTCCGGGGTACTCCCAGCATAAGCCGGATGCTTCCAGGACATGACTCGCGCGACAACGAAAGAACCGACACTAGCAGAGTAGTAAACTCCAACCATCGGTCATTGGCCTTGGTCTCTTCCCGGGGAGTCCGAGCTACGGGCAGACCCCGTGGGGTAGATCCGGGCAGGAGACGTTGTTCCCCGCAATTATCATTTCCTGGTCTAATGTTGGCTATGCTATGCTCGCGTATGCACTGAGAAGCTCCCCTCAAGAATTGAATCTCGGGGGAGGCTTGCCTACATGACTGTCCTACAGTCTTATGTGGAAGTAGGGCTACGAGTAGCATCTACGATTCTCCACATTGAGAGGGGGAAATGAGGATGCAAAAGATCAGAATTAAAATTGAAATCAAAGCTCCAATCCATACTTTGGGCCTCGTCTACCAATCATAAAGCGCCTTTGGTGTCTCTACCATAAGAGTATGCCATTCATCCTCTGACAACCACGACCGTAGACTTTTCAGCCATGCGTGGTCGTCCACCTCCAGGAAAGGGGTCTCTTTCATCGCCTCGTCATACGTCCGGACCTTCATACGTGGCGTGTGAGGCCTTATCATAAAGATGTTAGCCGAGGCACCAACTCCCGGTATGGATCTCACTTACCAGTCACTCCCCCAGAGGACTCGTTTCGGATTCGCATCGATATAAGCTCGGACCAATGGTTTAAGGTCGTCATAGAAAGGTGCTTCATTGCTCACGCGGTACGGCGCACTGAGTTTGACATACAAATGCCCCTTGCGAACCAGGTCCATGATGTCTTCAAATCCCACTTGGCGGGTCACATCTCCCTCGCATTCGGGTGGAAGCATACTTGGACCTTTTAGTAACGTAAAGTGATCTGTAATCAGGCGAATTCCAGCAGGAGTGATCTCCTGTTCAATCACTGGTCTTAACTCCTTCCAGAACTCCGGATGGGTTTGTGTGAACGCCATGGTCCAACCGGGACAGTGCTTCCCAATCATGCGGGCGTGTTCCCGAAGTGCAACCTTCTGAAGCTCAGCATCGTGCATAGCCTTGTACTTATAGACGTTGACTCGGATGCCTCGGATGCCGGCATTATGCATCTCTTGCAGTTCTTCCCGTGTAACCGTCTCAGGGTCAATGACTCCAATCCCCTTCGTGGAGGATTGCCCTAGCAGCTTGACGAAGCTTTTCAAGGATTCTACGTTGGCTCCGTACGATAGGCCATGTGTTAACACCGAATTGGTAATACCCAAACTCTTCTTGAAATTGATGAATTGTTCGATGGTTGCAGGTGGAGGCGTCAAGTGGCGATCGGCGGCGTAAGCAAATTGTACGGCTTAGTTGTACCACTCTCGTTAGCAAGTCTCGCTACAATCCCACCTCGGGGTAGAGCTCTCACGATCGAAGATGTGGTGATGAGCATCCCAGCATCCATGCGGGAACAGCTGAGTGATAGCATTATCCTGGCTTGATATGGTCATCGCGAAGAAATAGCGGTATTTGCGTTCACTCCGGTGAGCATCCCACTGCCGGCCGCATCGTCTAGCAATGAGCTTAAGTTATTTACTCGGGCGTATCCAGACTCAGCTGGTGGCTCATGACTTCCTGGGTCTGGAGCTGTCCTCATGTCCAGGCTCGCGGGCTACTCCGGCCGACTCCACTACGGCCTCCACACGAACGGATTCTTCCCGCTCATCCCTTCCCGTGGGGATTGACTGCTCCGGTGGACAAAAAAGGAGATGGAAAAAAAGGAAAAGCCGCAATAGCGAATGTCGCAACAGCGGGCGACATGACGAAAGATAGGAAAGAGAGCCGATATCGTCCAATTCCAGCGCATCGGTGCGAGACCAGTGATCAATGACGCGTGATATAATTTCTCCGGTCATGGAATTGAAGGGTTATCAGATGAAACCGCAACCAGAATGTCTAAGAAAGAAGTCACTTCATGGCAATCCATAGTCGCTGGGGCTGCAGCTGGCGGCGCCGAAAGCCTTCTGACAGTAACACTCCCTTTCGAATGGCACTCGGGATGAAACTAAACGCATCGATAGTATCCCACCGAATACTTGAAAACTCGCCAACAATTACTGAATCCCAATGCCCCGAAGCAGTCTCCGGTCCAGCTATTAACCGCTACGATCCGACAACATGGTATTCGCCATCTATACACGGGTAGCATGGCCTTTTGCGTCTCTAATGCATCTAAATCGGGAATTCGTTTCTTCGCGTTCGATACTGCGAAGAAATGGATGCCTACGGACTCGTCTGGCAAGGTGACATCAACGGGAAACATGTGTGCAGGTCTGGTTGCAGGAGTTGCGGAAAGCGTACTCGTTGTCACGCCCGGGGAAACATTGAAAACCAAGATCATTGATGACCGAGCGGGCGCGAAGATATACCAGTCGGCCAGCCATGCAGTTCGGACTATTCTATCGACCGAAGGCATATCTGGATTGTATCGCGGGACGCTGCCCGTCACGCTAAAGCAGTCATCTAACGCCATGGTGCGATTTACCAGCTACAACTTCTTCCTTCACCATCTCACCACGCTCGCGAGTGCGGGCGCAGGCAATAACGCACCAGTCTGGAGTACCGTGATCGCCGGGGCGATGGCTGGTGTAGTCACGGTGTATGCTACAATGCCATTCGATACCATCAAGACACGTCTACAAGCGTTGGATGGCTCTCAGCGATACCGCGGATCTGTCCATTGTCTACAGTCAATCGTTAGTACAGAAGGTACTTTGGCGCTATGGAAGGGTACTACTCCTCGTCTCGCCCGGCTCAGCGTATGTCTCCCGATCTGATTCCTTTTAGCCCATGCCGCTGGCTTCTGACACATGGTTATAGATCTCGGGTGCTATCAGCTTTGCGATATACGAGCGTGTGGTTCAGTGGACGGGGTCGTTCCGAGGTTAGTGACAGCCAGGGAGAAAGGCTCTCTTTCGTTCTGTTTCGGTTTCGGTGGTGTCAACATTTAGTTAGATCACGCAGAAATGGAAGAATCGGATACCTCGTGGTTTGTGTCAAATGTCAAGATCTAAAGTCAAATATTTTTGGTGGCCGTAAGGACATCGAGATATATATATAGTGTTTGTTTGTATATTATCCCCATGCAGACTTTAGTGCTAGATATACAACGCAAAGGGTGGATGGTGCGTAGTAGAGATTAATGATTGTTATCAATATATCAAAACTATTACCCCACCGATTCTATCTGATCCTACTTGTTAACATTCCATGATCATTCATATCCTTTTAGTCCGCCGGTCGCTGACTCGGCAAGCAAGTGGATTGCCTGATTCGGAAGGCTACAGTCAAGCAAACATTGCAAACTGCCAAGCCATTTTGCCCCCCGGATCTTCCTCGCATACAATGCATGATCCTGGTTGCTCCTCCCCACACCTACACGACATTAGAACAGAAAATCGTTCATATCGCTTTGATGGGCTTGTGAATCCCTAGTAAACCATATGGCACCTACAGATGCCGATGCTGTCCCACCAGCACCGTCGAAGAAGGTGCGGTTAGCCTGTCGTCGATGCCGCGCCAAACGTGTGAAGGCAAGTAACGTCCAGCCGATTAGTAAGGACAAAAATTGCTTGACGATCCCAGCTAACGCTCTTCCAACCAGTGTGATGGAAGTATTCCAGCGTGTGGGAACTGTGCTCGTGCAGGTGTTCCGTGTGTCGATGTCGATGGCCGGAACAATGGACTATCCATCCCACGAGAGTATGAGATTTTGGCATTCCACGGGTAGACAATGGCTGACGACAATTTAGCTTCATCACACGATGCTATGCCAGGATTAGCTGGCTTGAACAAAGACTGAAGGAGGTAGACCCTCAGTTCGATGTATCTCAAGGGCCTGCAGTCGACATGACCAGCATGGATGAAACAACCGCTTCTCGTCCTGCAATGTCTACTAGTGGAACAGGTCAGGAGCGTGCGCATGCACCGTCACCGGTACTCGAATGTGCAGATCAACCAGTTGTTGAAGCTACCACATCTTCCAAGCGCTCGTATTCTATGGCGGAGGGGTCAGAGGTGGAACAACCCATTTTCGTTGAGCTGGGCATGCTCTCCTTGCACTCCGATTCCCGACAGAAACACTATCTAGGATCATCATCTGGTCTGCTTTTCACGAGACTAATTGGCATTGACAGCGAGCGAAGTTCTACTGCCAGCCCAGAGTTGGCGTCAACGTCCTCTCGCAGTGGTCATCGTCGCCGCTTGGCCCTTGGTCGGAGTCAGTCGCGCGAGGGCTATCAGGTTCTCTATGATCGATTGAGAGAGGTAATCGTGCAGAAAACCGTTGTATCGTTGCAACTGGGGATGCTAATCGTGAGTAAGGAATTACCGTCACCAGAGGAAGCCAGTGCCTTGTTGGAAGTCTATTTCCAGGTGATCCACGTGGATCACCCATTTCTTCATCCTCACTCAGTATGTAACGCCTATCGGGCACTGAGAGACTGTGCAGACCTCGGTTGCAATGGCCATATAGGGTCCAATGGCTGGATTGATTCTATCAACGCGTTCTCCTACAATGGAAGATACGATATCATTGCCGGGAACGAAACCACACCGATTTCTGTTTTCACAGCTACGTTCCATATTTTTATGGTCTTCTCACTTGCGGCGACCGTTATGACTCGGAACAGAAGCTTTGATCACTCTCCTGACAAGTATTATCGGGTAGCTATGTCAGCTGCCTCTGAATGCTTCTGCAGCATCTCCGTGCCAGCTCTACAAGGAGTGCTGCTGCTAATGGTCCAGGGCTTGATTGGTCCTGCCGCTATCAACATCTGGACGCTCTCGTACATTGCCACGTCGCATTGCATTGACTTAGGCCTCCATCGAGAACCCACTGACTACTCTGAACTCACACCCACCGCATTGACGAATCGCCGGCTTATCTTCCATACAGTCTATTCCCTTGACCGGTACGTTACCGTCCATACCCAATGCACCTCGTAAAATACATGCTCAAAAGCCTATCATAGCTCCATAGCAACAATCCAAGGAAGGCCACTGGGTATTCGGGACGAGACGTTCGATGTAAGGTGGCCAAACTTCGAGGAAATCCAAGAGTTCTCATACCCAGCCGAACAGAGTAATGATACTAATGAACTTGATGTGCAACTGCCATCGCCAGAGACCATGGCTTTGTGCATTTATCGCTTCCGGGTCGACTCTTACATCTCGGAAATAAAGCTTCTATTCTATAGGTTGCCAGCGCAAGGGGATGCCATCATATGGCCCACGGATCTAGCTAGCATACAGCAGCGCATAAAGGCCAAGCTAGATGATTGGCTAGCTGAGACGGCGAGTCTTCGGCCGACATCAAACACGCAGGACATCGAGGACAGAGATTTGAAATTTCACTGCGAGCAACTTAAACTGGAATCATTGTACCATTCGGCTATCACCCTGCTTTTCCAGCCGTCCCAAGTCTTTCGGTCACCGTCAAGGGCTGCTTTGAACCTGTGCTACCAGAGCTGTCGGCGGCGCTTACGGATATACAAGTATCTCAACCATGAAGAAAAGCTGCACTATACCTGGCGGCATGTACATGGCATTTTCTCTTCTGGGGCCACGATCGTCTATTGTTTTTGGGCCTCGCGTGACCTCCTAGAAACGATACCATTCTCGGAAGCTCTGAGCGATCTTCGCACATGCTCTAACCTACTCAGCGTTGGCAGCCAGTGGTGGCCGTCTCTTCGCAAAGGAAAGGACAGTTTTGATAACATGGTAGATCTCACAATCAAGCGATTGAGCCAGCTACAAACCTTGTCTCAACTGCAACCACCATCACGGGTACAACGGCGACGGATTGTCCAGTCTTCAGATCTGCCACCACTCGCATCGAATATGGGTGCTACACCGGATATGGTCCACACGCAGATGGGGTTACCCGTTCTTGACCACCATCATGCTGTTGTATATGACTCTGTCAGCTCTGTTGACGCCGCAGCCACGGCTACAGAAACTATGCGAACCGGGTCATACCAGGAACACCATACTCAGAGCGAACTCGACCCGTTTTTATCACAGATTGGTAGCCTTCTCCCGGCTGACTCCGACCAATCTACCATTGACTCAGCCATGGAGGGCTTCTTGGTGGAATACTTGCATGGTGACTGGGGCTGGGATCCGTTCTCTAGCACTAGCATGGACAACCCAGAGTACGTATGATACACGAACCGTACAAACAGGCCAGAGTTCTACCAACTCAGTGTGACTTGTGGCTTTATGCTATACAAAGTAACCTATTGCGCCATCTATCTATTTCCTTAATCGCTTGATCGTGGGGCCCATCTCTTCCCCCCTTTCTAAACACAACCGGGTCTCCTCATCAATCTCATAACGCTCTTGGCAAAGTCGGACGCAGTCCTCCACCTTGTCCGCCGGTACTGCCACCACACCGTCTATATCCCCCAGCACATAGTCTCCTGGGTTAATGACCACCTCTTCGCCAATTTCGCGATTCTCGTACGCGACTGGCACGTTCAGCTCTGACGACCTGGTGAAAGTATTTGATCCTAGGATGCTGACTCCACGCGCAAAGAGGCCCATATCCAGCTCTTGATGCTCATTGATATCTCGGAAGCGGCCGTCAATAACGACCCCAGCTGCACCTTGTTTCTTGGCGTGGGTGCTCATCAGGCCGCCCCAACAGGCGCTGATCAATCCTTTTGGCTGCGAAACGAAGACGACGCTATCTCGAGGTATGTTATCAACAAAATGACGCTGGGGGGAGGGCGCGGTTTTGTCGTTGGCATGGACCATGCGGACCGTGTAGGCAGGGCCGAAGATCTTTGCTTTCGGGCTCGTCGGCCCAGGAGAGAACATTTTTAATCCTGATAAGTAGCCACCACAGGGCACTTTAAGCTTAACTAGCGCATCACCAATCTATTGTTCAACTCCGTGAGCTTTTCCGACCCGTGATGTTCCCTAGATTGTGTGTTCGGTGATGAGTAGCTTAACTCACATCGCAGGAAGTAAACTGTTGAAGAGCCCGGATGGCACTGGATCGGCTGGCCATTATGATTAAGTTTTGACCAAAGGCTAAAATACACGATCTGTCGCAGAAGGGAATCGAGGAAGATGAGTGCAATACCACCGAGGAGGTGAGGGTTGAAGAAGTCAAGGTGAAAACGCCGACGAGCGGAGGAAAGCCGACTGAGGGTTCGGAACGATCCGAACGTTCGCTGATTGGTCCGGAGTAGTCCTGAGAGCTCCAAAGCTTCTCCGATAATCTACAAACTGGACTTCCAACTTGCCTTTATCTTTTTTCTCTCGTCTTCTTGATCCTCTCAAACATCTTGTCCTTCATGGTCGCACGAATTGGAGGAAGAAATTGACAATGCAGCGCTTTCTATCCCCAGTTTTACGCGCCGGACGACCGCAACCTCGTCTGGTCGGGGCGCCTGTCAGAAGTCTCGCAACCCAGAATAACACAATCCCGGTGTGTATTCCGTATTTCGCATACTGACGGAGGCCTCATGCTGACTACTCATGGAAACCAGCTATTTGGGGTCAACTATGGCGAGCAACTTAGCAACCTAGATGCAGTAAGGCAAGGCTCAAAGCGCCCTCTGACATTGACCGAGAAGCTGCTATACAGCCACTTGATCCCGCGCGATGATAAAATATGGTCGTTGCAGGAAATCGATCGGGGGAAGACGATTTTGGAATTGCGACCGGACCGTGTCGCCTGTCATGATGCTACCGCGACCATGGCCCTCTTACAGTTTATCAGTGCGGGCCTGCCGCGAGTCGCAGTCCCAACGACGGTCCATGGTGATCATCTTATAATCTCCGAGAAGGGAGCAGAGCCAGACCTAAAGCGGGCACTTACAGAGCATGCCGAAGTCTACGAATTCCTGAGTAGCGCGTCTAGAAAGTATGGAATCGGGTTTTGGAAACCTGGTTCAGGGATCATCCACACAGTGATCTTTGAGAACCATGCCGTGTGCGTTTCCCACTTATTTTGCTTGGAGATATAAATATCTAGTCATACTAATCATCTGTGTTACCGTAGTCCTGGCGGCCTGATTATCGGTACGGATTCTCACACGCCGAATGCCGGTGGCTTGGCTATGATGGGCGTTGGTGTTGGCGGTTCTGATGCAGTTGATGCGATGTCAGGAATGCCGTGGGAGTTAGTCACGCCTCATATCGTCGGGGTGCGCCTGACCGGCCACCTATCCGGATGGGCATCCACAAAGGACATCATCTGCAAGCTCGCCGGCATCTTGACCGTTTCTGGAGGCAAAGGTCGCGTCATTGAGTTTTTTGGCCCCGGCACGGAAACTCTGGGAGCTACGGCCATGGCGACGATCTGTAACATGTCTGCAGAGATTGGCTCGACTTCCTGCATATTTCCTTACACCACTGCGATGGAGCGATATCTTGCAGCGACGAAGCGAGCGCATTCAGCTAAGGCGGCACAAGAGGTTAAGCAGGTATTGCTGCAAGCCGATGAAGGATCGGAAAAATACTATGATCAGATTATCGAAATTGACCTGAGCACCCTCGAGCCACACGTCAATGGGCCCTACACCCCGGACCTTGCCCATCCCATCTCAGAGTTAGGGAAAGCAGCCTCCCAGAGTGAATGGCCCATAAATCTGAGCCATGCGATGGTTGGAAGCTGCACCAACAGCTCCTATGAAGACCTTGACAAGACGCGACAGCTCGTCGCACAAGCTCGTGAGGCTGGGTTAGCCAAATTTAAAACACCCTTCCTCGTTGCACCTGGCAGTGAGCAGATTCGCGCCACGGCTGAAGCTGATGGTATACTCCAAGAGCTGCAGGATGCCGGTGCCGTTGTACTGAGCAGCTCTTGCGGGCCTTGCGTTGGCTCGTGGGACCGCAAAGATGTCGATGTGCGGGGCAAAGAGAAGAACTCAGTGATATCCAGCTTCAACCGGAATTTTGTGGGCCGGCACGATAGCAATCCAGCGACTCACTCATTTGTTACCTCGCCAGAGATAGTGACCGCATTTGCTTACGCTGGACGCCTTGACTTCAACCCGTTAACAGACAGCATTGCTGTAGAGTCTAATGACGGAGAGAAACCCTTTCAATTCAAAGCCCCTGTGAGCCGGGAACTTCCAGGGAATTTTGCTTCAGGAGAAGAAACTTTCCAAGAGCCTCCAAGTGATGGCTCATCATTGTCTGTAATCATCGATCCGCAGTCCGACCGCCTGCAACTGTTGACTCCATTTGCACCATGGCAGCCCGGGTGTGCTACTAACATGGAACTGTTGATGAAAGTGAAGGGCAAGTGCACCACAGATCACATCTCACCGGCAGGGCCATGGTATAAATACCGAGGTCACTTAGAGAATATTAGCAATAACATGCTCACTACCGCAACAAATGCATTCCTCCCTGGTAACGACCCACAGATGCTAGGCCACACTCGCAACCCCATTACGTTGGACGTGGAGGTTGTGCCTCAAGTGGCCCGTGAACTCCAAGGGCGTGGGATCCGGTGGTGCATTGTCGGCGACTTCAACTACGGCGAAGGAAGCTCACGCGAACACGCAGCCTTGGAACCTCGTTATCTTGGAGGGGTGGCCGTAATTGCGCGCTCCTTCGCGCGGATACACGAAACTAACTTGAAGAAGCAAGGGATGTTACCTCTGACATTCGAAGATCCTTTGGACTATGACAGGATCATGGAAGGCGATCGCGTGACATTAATTGGAGTCGAAGATGGTGAATTGGCACCCGGTCGACAGGTTACCATGCGTGTCACTCCACGAGAGGGATCCCCGTGGAATGCGCAGTTGAACCACAGCTATCATTCTGGCCAGCTGCACTGGCTGCGCGCTGGCAGTGCCTTGAACCATATTAAGCATACCGCCCTCACTAAATAGGCGGGTTTTGTATTTAAATGTTTATACCACTATAGATTTCACACTTGTACATTGTTTTATGCCACTAGTTACAATGATTTTAAGAATATTCACCTTCATCGTCTGTTTGCCCTAAGGTCCCTGTCCACCTATCCGCGTCGATAGAACGCAACAATAATCGTACGAGCGGGATTAAACAAAAACGAGGGCAAGGCCCCACGCCTGAAATGAATCTGGAAGGTATAACCACCACACTCGGGATTTCACGCCTTCGGTGAGGATTATAATTGGAACTCCCTCATTGGCGATGTATATGTGTGGGGTAGCGTAGAATAGGCTTTTTCCACGACACCGGAACACTCCTGCATCGGAGCACTCCAGACTCAACGGGCTCGGCACTAATGTCCCAGTGGATACGATGGAGGATGCAGTCCGGGGTATGTCCGTGTAATTGACCCTAGCTAAGTGGTCAGCTTCTTTAGTGTGAGGACAAACCCGTTCATGGAGACTTTGACTAACTTGCCACCTCCACACCATGCCTGTCAGGCAATATTCGACGACACCGATGATGAGGCTTGAGCCCCGCGCAAATATGCCTTAGAGGTAAAGGATACTTAGGGTTGGAGGTTGTCCAGTCTTCTGCTACCCAGTCTTGTGCTGAGATTAGTCCAAGATTGTGCCTCCGACTTGTCCGCTGCAAATTCCTTCTATCTGCTTCTAATATCCTTCATCGACTCATTCTTCCATTGTTTCACCTTTCTCCGTACACGACATTCAGAAGACATGGGTGCTGCCGGCGGTGGCTTCTCCCGGGATGCTGTAAAGCAGATCCCTGCTGAAGCAAAAAGGCTGTACATCTGGCTTGCTGTGATTTGGTCCAGCTACTGCGGCGGCCTCCATGGATTCAATACATCTAACATCTCCGGGGCCATGAGCTTGGATCCCTTTGTCCGGGACTTCCACTGGACAGATTTGAGCGATGCCCAAGTATCAAATAACAGTGGCTGGGCGGTCTCCTCTATGCTCCTGGTATGTCCCCTCTGACCCTGGCGTCTTCTCATGTCTCGAAGTGTTGACAGGAATAGGGGCAAGTGGCAGGTATCCTTCTATCAGGGCCATTGGGTGAAATACGGGGGCGGAAACCTGTTATTATGACCTCTGCTATTTTCTATACAATTGGCGCACTGTTAATGTGTGGGAATGTTGGTTCGTTCGCCGAATTGCTCGTGGGGAGAGTTCTCTCCGGTATAGGGTCGGGATTTGGTATGACAGCCGGGCCTGTATACATCTCTGAAGTTGCCCCCCAGGAACTACGCGGTATGATGACGACTTTCTACAACATCAATATCATGGGTGGTGTTGCGGGAAGTTACTGGATCAATTTCGCATCACAGGGTGTTATATCTTCGGAATCTAGTTGGCAGTGGCGTACTACTTTTGTCTTGCAAGCTATTCCGTCGGTTATTCTATTCATTGGCTATCCTTTCTTTCCGGAAAGCCCTCGATATCTTATGATGCGTGGGCGGGTGGAAGCTGCCCGCAGCAATCTATCACGACTCCGAGGTGGGCTAGATGAGTCAAACGATTACTTTGCTCAGGAGTGGATGGAACTGCAGAGCAAAGTCGACACTACGGCGGAGGCATCCACTCAGTCAGCGCTCAAGTCAACCCTATCTCTCCTAAAAACATGCATCTCCCATGCACCCACGCGCCGTCTTTTGATATTTGTTACCCTGATCCAAACATTCTTCATCATGTCGGGTGGAAACTCCATTACCTATTACGCGCCGACAATTTTAAAGTCAATAGGGCTAGACTCCAGACAGGTCCTTCTTTTCACTGCTGTCTATGGACTTATCAAAGTGGTTTCGGTCTTTCTTTACGCCTTCTTCTTTACGGATCGTTTTGGTAGGCGGCCACTTCTTCTCATTGGGTCCGCCGTGAATACGGCTTGCTTGCTCTACCTAGCCGTCTATCTCGGTGTTGCCGATCTGTCAGGTTCAGCTGCGCCGTCCCCAGCCGCCTGGGTCAGTATCGTGAGCATCTGTCTCTTTGCTGTTGGCTACGCGATTGGCTGGGCGCCAGCCTTCTCTCTGACTGCATCGGAAATCTGTCCCACACATCTGCGTGGAACCATCGTCATGCTCACGTTCACGTACCAAAATCTGCTGAACTTTGGCATCACAAGAGGATTTCCTAACATGATTGTTTCTATGGGATCGTTCGGGCCGTTTGCCCTATTTACAGCGTTCACTGCGTGTGCCACTGTCTGGGTGTTCTTTGCTTTCCCCGAATGCAAGGGACGTAGCATGGAGAGTGCGAGTGCATTGTTTTCGCTCCCATGGTATATGATCGGGTTTCAGAAGGTTCCAACGCTTGGTGAGGAGACAAGGGAGAATGATGATGAGGAGAAGGTAATATCTATTCATGAAGAGGATGTCCAGGCGAAGGGCAAAGATACGACGCCCTGAAGGATGGATGGCTCTGGTTGCAGGCATGAATATTCATGGGTCCCAGGATATAGCTATAGATATCAGACTTATATGAATGGTGTTCTTAGCCTATGTCGTTTAGCCGTCATTGCATCTGTGGTGGTAGGACTCCTCAGGGGGGAACGGGCAATGAGTTAGAGTAGCTTAATGCGAGTACTAGTGCACCAAGCTCAATCTATATTTATTCAATCATAGGTCCAAAGTAGGGCTAGAAAGCCCAAAGATCCCAAATACGCTGCTTTATGCGCATTGTAACCGCACTCAGTGAGCTTTGCACCTCTCGGTAGACCGGCAGTTTTTATCGTTGATACAACGATACGTGATCGATACCGGCCAGGAATTGAGGAGGTTTAGATATTAAGAGAACATTCTCAGGGTAAGCTTTCTCGTCTCAAGCCTTCTGGTCCATCTCATTGTGACTGTGTGGAGACACCATCACTTTAGTTTCACCAGCCCACGATTGAAACCTGATATGTATTGTAAGCAAGATACTTCACGACGGGGCTCAAAGCCAACCCGTAAGGACAATATCTCGGTTTGCTACAATATACCGTTGACCTAATATGAAAACGAGATCGGTAGGCTTTGCAAACCATCTTTGAAAGCAACACGGCCTTGATAAATGACGGCATACGGTCGAGTGTAACGTTGCCTTGGTGGCAGTACGGTATATTCGATGAATGAGGAAGGCGCATGGGACTTTCGTTTGGAGGCAGATTTGTTATTAGGTCATCGGCCTGTAGACTAGACTTCTTTGAATTCTCTTTACAGAACAGCTTTGAAAGATACCATTTCAGAAGGTAATTACCCAAAACTCGATGACCTGCTGATATTTGCTATCCATAGTATTGACCATGGCATAGTTAGAAACTCCGTTTTGGAATAGCCCCCACTGCAGGGTAGGCCTATCGATTACAGTAAATAAAGGAAAAATGACTTATATGAGTAGCTATGATAGAGCATATTTATCTCAGATTTATCGTCTTTGGCCCATGAGAGATGCCAAGGAGCATTCCTATCCCGGCGCCACTCCAAAAGGCACTGACCGAGTGCTTTCCAGCAATCGCCCGCCTGGTTCGACCAGAGCTTGGGCTTGAAGTCGTCTTGGTTAGTGGTGCGGCCAGCATCGCCCATAACTCGGTAGAGGATGTAGATGTTGCGGCCCTAATGAATGTCCTGTTGGACATGTGAGTGTAACTGCCGGCACCCCCGAGTTCACTATGCAGTCCGATGGCACGGTCTGCTTCAATACCTGCCAGGGATTTCCGATCTAGATCGATCTGATCCAAATTGGTGATGGCCCTATCGACCGCATGCATAATGCAGAGCCCTTCTATGAAGGGTCAGTAGCCTCCGTATCAGACCTATTGCGGCTACGGGCCATGTCGTATGTCGACCGTGGGAAGTCTGGGGACGATGTAGATTTTAGATGGTTATTGTGGGAGGTGGCTAGTGGGGGTCAAATTCTTCCAGAGCTCGATAATGAGGAGAGGGCGTATGTCGCCGAGGCTGGGAATTCTTTGTTAGGGAGGGCTGAGCGGCTGGTTTTGCTGGCTGTACTGAGTGAGAAAGATGCAACTGTGGTTTTCAATACGATGGAAACATAGAAATCCATTTTTATTATGGTTCGAACGGCAGGACATTGCCTTATTTGTCGCCAATTCATCTGGTATTAAGTACAGTGAGCCTGTCTCTTTCGACAAGTATGAAAACATATGGTCCCTTGTGGACTCAGCTGGATGCATGGGGCATTAACCTCTTTAGAATACAGAAATGTGAGATGGATAAAGAACTAAAAGAAATGCTAGCAAAATATGTTCGTGGCAGCTCAGAGGGCTCTTTGCAGGTCCAAGTCGACGAGCCATGCAGGGTGGGTGGGAAAGTCATTGGAGCCTTCAATAGCGGCATTGACAAACAGGGTGTGACGCCCATGTTGAAGGGAATTTGCATCACCAGCACAGTGGCTGGTCAGGTAAAACGCTCGGGGGCCACTCGCCTCGATATTGGAGAGCTTTTCGATTACTGTTGACTGGCCGTTGTCGATGTCTGTCAGATGGGACGGTTTCTCGCTGATTGTCTTGCGCCATGCGATCAGTTTGGCTCCCCAGCTTCCATGGATGTGTCCAAAGCAGTGCATTCGCGGTCTGCATCGAGCGACCTTGTCAAAGAGATGCTCACAGCCTGCCCGTCGACTAGACATAGAATGATCCAGGATGCCCCGAGGCGGGCCATGCGTCATAACAAGATCAACACTCCCAATTGCAAACTCATGACCTTCATCCGGTTTATACTGAAAGCCCCATTCCCCAAACGATGGGGTGTACGGGCTGGCGTATACTGTTAAGGACGCGCCGTTATTAAGAGTAAAGTAATGGGTCCCTTCGTCTAGAAGTCGGATCCCGCTTTTCTTCACGTCGACATGGTCAAACAGCTCTCTAACCTGCCCGCAGTAACCGTACTCTTTCTCGATCAGTAGTGGGTCAATATCTTGCAGCCTTTGAGCTTCGTGGATTTTGTTCTGAAATGCAAGAGGGTCGAGTGTGAAGTCGTGATTGCCCGCGATAACAAGTTTGAGTGGGGCGTTGATCTGCTTTATGAGATTGATGGCTGCTTTGAATTCGTGCAGTTTGGACCCCATCGTGAGATCGCCACAGTGAATGGCCACATCTGCAGGTTCATTCGATGATGGTATGGAGTCGCGGCTGTGCGTGTCTGAGATGACGAGAAACCTCGTTCTGATGGTAGCCATATTGAAGATTCAGGGCTGAAGACTATCCGTTGTTCTGACAAGTAGTAGTGTGGTGTACGGCTTAGCAAATATCAAGGATGAGGTTGGACGCATGGAACCTCTTTGGCGGGTTCGAACATCCATCCTTATCACATGACACCTTTGCATCATTGCTATAGCATCAACGATGCTTCTTGAGGAAATAGTGAAGTCATCGTTACCTGAATAATCAGGCCAGAGAACTCGTGTACAAGATAGGTATGTCGTGGCTGCACTGTAGCACATACTTTGAGGTGTTCAATAATATACTGGCATCAATTTACTGTCTATCCTTGCAGGGAATTTCAACTATCATAGCCCAAGCATCACTACTACCTAGTTAAACTTTATAGCAAGAATGCATTCGATTGGCATAACGTTATCATTGCGATGTTTATATACAAAAACGAGGCTACCTCCCCAACTCCTACGGGCTCATGATTCTCCATACCGACTTCAAAGCAGACTGCAACCAGCCACAAGCGTCTCACATAACTTCATTCCAGCACTTGCCACGGCCAAGTGCTTTGTCACAGTCACTACCGGGGAAGTTCCTCCAGGTCGAGCCATTCTTCTTGCAGTTCGAGAACCATCCGTTGTAGTCCATGCAGATGTCATGTCGTTTCTTGCACTTATCACTGTGAATGTTGAACTTGTCGCTGCAGTTCGGGCCGCCATGGTTGTTCATGCAAGATTTCTTTCCCTCTCGCTTCGAGTGGCTGCCATGATGATCATGGTCGAGGACAATCTTCTCGCCAAAGTCGTAGACGAGCACTTTACCATACTGAGCGTGCGGCTTCGCGGCCTTTGCAAGGTAGATAATACCATCTTTGATGATATTGCCTTCGACACCCGTAATCGAATCGGTCTGTCTTCGGCCCAGTACCGAGCTGTCGCCGTTGACTTGGTCGAGGTCCAACTCGCCCAGTGAGTTCGCCTCATGCTGCTGGCCGTCATGCTCGACAAGCGCTCCGTCGACAGGGAAATAAGCTCGCAGTGTGCCAGACCCTTGATCGTAGAAGTAGTTTGGCATGTTCTTCCACACGTCAGGGTTCTTGTTGTAGTGGTCGTTCAGGTCGTCCAGCTCCTCCTCTGGGATCTTGATAGTTTTGTAACCGACTAATTTGACAGTGTCGTTGCCGAGCGAATAGTCCAGTGAGTTAATATAACGCTCTTCAAAGAGTCTTAGGTCTCGCTCAGAGAGAGGCAGGGCATAAGAAAGGTTGGAGGATATCGCAAATGCTGTCAGGGTCAACAGCCTGGAAATGAATGAGGTCTTCATATTGAGCAACTACTCGTCGGTTAGGTCGATGTTTGATAAGAAGACTAGTGATGGTTTTGAGATTTGTAGGGTATCTCGCGTGCTATTTATCTTCCATTCTCCAGGAAGGTAAAATACTATATTGACATTCTCCTTGTTTACTCCTCACATACTCCCGCATTAACACGAGTTTCTCAAGATGTTAAAATGCGTCACGCATGAGGCCATCCCAGAAGCGATGAAGATTGTCCTCATCACGGCTAATTTAAGAAACTATACGACCTCTCGCTCGATTTCACGGTCTTCACTCTTCTTAGCCTGAAATGAATACGGAGAATTCATTTCTGAAGAACTATTTTTGGTACAGCCAAGAGCGTCGATCACGGGCGATTGTAGTATCCAATCGTCTGGCGGTCATTACGATGCCAATGCTGAATAGCCTCGCCGGTTGTATGCGAATACGAGCTCCGCGCACTGGGTCATGGTCTTGGCAGAATTTTGATGTCACTTCGTATCAGTCCCTCACATGATGTAATATAGACATCCACTGATTTTTGACCATGGCTCGCTCAATTGTAGTGCGCTCATTCGACGACGGGGTAACCTCAGGCCGAGGCTTTTGTGATATGCTGCAACCCTGAACGTATGAGAGAAAGGTATCAAGACGAGACATCATAAGTTGGTGGCATTGCAGATCCGTCCTCGTATTGCGGGAGAGACGGGTTTTCGTGCAGAAGGCCCTCGGGCAGGTCTTCACCGGTCGTCACTTCATGCAGTAAAAGAGGGTAAAACGCCTTGAAGGATTTCCAAAGCCGTTTTCGATCCAGCAAGCTCCTGGTTTTCTGGTGGTGAGTGTCCTCGCCTGTGATTATCTCAAGTTTTAGTTGATGGCTAACGGTAATTGCTCTCTTCTTGGTAGATAGCATGTAAGGTCGAAGAGATTCCGAAGTTGCTTGATTTGGAAGCACTGGTGCCGAGGAGACGCGATATGAAGAGATATCTAAGCTGTCTACAGCTTCTGCACTCCGTGGGATCGTGATCCCGAACACGATCTCAATTTCCCCATCAGTGTCTTCAATATTCGACTGAGTCGTTGACAGGCCCCTACTGGCAGTCCATCGCCCTTTCTGTGTCCCGCGTCCTACTTGGCGTACGCATTGCTTCTCGCATGTCGTGGTGTCCTCGTGCCCACCAACCGTGGTGACCGTCATTAAACGAACTGTCTCTTCCACCCACCACCTGAGCTCTTTGATGACCACATACTTCATTTCCATAGGCCGATCCCCGGGGGTAATTGTTCGACGAGCGACAAGATTGGCAGAGTATGTTAATCTCGCGGCACTTGGGTCTACAGATACCTCTGGCGTCAGGCACAGTTCTGTTGACAATGTTGCCCCGTGATAGTTTCGAACGTGGCTGACACCATAACCGGGACCAGGAAGCACGCAGCGAGCTATCTGGATCGGTCTCGTCGTGCTTGTCGAGGTCCCTGAGGGCCAGGTTGCAGTGGCCGTAAGCGTGTAGGATACTTCCCCTACCATTGTCTTCATGGTTCCCGGCAGACTAGCAGGAATGGGAATAAGAAATTGAAATCGCAATAGCCTCATGCCACCGTGCTGGTCAGCTGTGGATACCGTTGGCGAGCCTTCTAATATACACTTCATGACTGTTTCTACATCCGAACAGCCTCGAAACTCATGAGCCGCATTGACTCGGTTCGGAGCGAGGCGCCGCCTCGACAGGCGCTTGAACAGATGGACATTTTTCTTACCGATAGCCATGGAGTCGCGTGTTCGGGTTGTTAACACTTGATCCAAGGTGAGTGTGATATCGGGGCATTCTGGCTGGTCGAATCTAGGAGACGAAATTGGTACCAGAACAGATCCAGACAATTGAGGGCTATAGACCTCATTGCGAGACAACAGGGTTATGTGATGGGTACTGGGAGCATCTAGCTGTAGCTCCCCCGGTTTCACAACACCGTCGGCGCATTGGTATCCATCGTGGATACGCTGTGTGCCAGGCATCAAGAGTTGTTGTATCGTACACGCGATTGATTAGGATGATGGGAGTACAATGAGTTGTCGCCAGACTTTTCACAGCCGGTGCCTGTCAATGCTTTTAACATGTCAGTCCAATGTAGATAAATGTACCATGGGACAATGTGGAGGTATAATAACGTGGGGCACCTGCTTCCTCGACATAGTCCATACAGATCACGAATCTGATGATGCTAATGTATGCAAGTGGGCCCGCGGTAGTTGAAGTTCCCGAAGAGGAAGCCAAGGAGTACGTTTATCCTTTGCGCTTGAGATGTAGATCCACTATCCCGAACCAATCACGTTCCTATCTTTCCTGAGCATCAGACATCGAAGCCAACCAGGGCGATATCATGGGTGCTCTTCACCTACCTGTGAGAATCGTGGTGCATTCAGCATGTAACCGGCTACAAAGGCCAATAGACAAAGACTAATCCACTAGAGAACTAATAAAGAATGGATTAAAGGGGAGGGCATAGAAGTATATAGCAAGAGGGAAACAGAGGATATGTATATTTGGTTTGGCAAAGCCTCGTATCCTTGGAGATATGTCCTTGATCTTAGAAAGACAACGCTTCTCGTCCAGTCGTAATAGACCACTGGTGTGGTAGAACTGTAACCTAACCAAGTTACATGTCCAGTTTGATTATCATTACTGGCCGGAATTTACCACTCAGGGTCGGTATACCTGTAGGTAGCAGAGGGCCGGCTTACCAACCCTAGACCTTGTTCTAGACGGTTTACAGAACACTGATGCATCGCTGCTACGGCATTGAAGAGACTGACCCGTACTGTCATACAGCAGGCTGGCCGATATGTGTTGTTCGAGAATGTTTCCTTTATCTTCGTCCCGCAATGTCTTGTTGTGTGACAGTGTTCGAACTTGAAGCTGGTCTGGATCGCTCAGGACGACCGAGAAGGGTAATACATGGTTGAGACTGGAATTATCGTCATCTGTGAAGGCCAATGAACGTAGCCTGTGCTCTACCGGTAAAGGCTGGTTGGAGAACAGAATGCTAGTATATGCACTCCCATGCGGCATAGACATGGAGAATGGCAGGTTGGCAGTCCTCTTCTGTTGGACTGGGACAATAGTAATCCAAGGCTGGATGGTTTATGTCTCTCAACTCTTGTTTATTCCCTTGGGATTACTCTGGCATCGTTGGACCGTCCAGTATTGCTCATAATTACTGACTTGGGTGGATTCGACAACCCCTTGATCATTCGAGCCCCGAAGCACGCTAATATCGAGGCGAGATCATCCACGATCCGTGCGACCAGCACAAGCTGCCGAGCCGACTCGCAGCCGATCGGATAACTAGTGTGGCCCCAACGGTAGCCAACCCGGTCTGGTTCTAAGCTTTGTACGTAATTGCCACTGTTGTTTGTCTTTCTTCTCATGGTTGTTAGAACCCATCCGTGCTTGAGAGGGTCTTAGGGAGTGGAAGTTGAGGAAGATATACGGAACTCGGGATCTCTCCATGTCCGCATGAACTGCATCATTCTAGAAGCAGCCACGAAAGCACGAAACAAATACAGAAACTCAATTAAATTAAGGAAGAATCTGGAATACTAGGATTTTCTTTTTACTGCATTATTTTTTAATTTATTAGTTGAAAACTAATATCAAACCAGCAAGGTGAAACTCTTTCGCAGGTAAGCTTTCCTCAGGCACTGGCGCTAGACACCTTGTTGCCTTGGTCGGCAGGGTAGCCGGTGGCCAACAGCGAAGGTCGGAAGCGAAGCCGGTCCAGGTTATCATGGGACTCAGAGTCCAGCCCTCACTAGTGCTTGGCTCCACGTTACTAGGAGACACTAAATCTAACAATAGAGGAGAGAGAGTACAAGATAGCAAGAGAGAGGGAGAAGATAAAATAGAAATAAAAATCACCAAAAAGAAACAGGAACAGAAAACGACCGAAAGTAGCGTTGTAGGACCAGAATTATCTCTTATCGCTACTATAGCAGTAATCAAGTATGCTACATATAATGTACTGCAGCATGCTTAAGATAAACGTTTTATATCGAAGTCTGGACGGACATTCCAGATCTGGAGATAATATCCCCCGTCGACCCACATCTGGCCTTTCTTTGGTTCCTACCCCGCATTAAACTCGAATGGCAAAAGTGAGTTATCTCAGCCTGCATGACAGTGGCATTGGCACGAGAGGGAGCATTACTAGCACACAGTTCGAAGGGAAAAAAAAAAAAAAAAGAGAACTGGACAACAACTGCTTGCTCAACCATGATCTCTGTCAAGCACAGATCCCCTTCCAAATCCATGGAAGCCGCACAGAATAAGGAAAACCGCGTCAAGAAGCGCTCGTCCAATGCGTAAGTTAGTCCCCGTGTCTCGGCGTGCCGTTCGCCACGTCGCTAACATCAGGCCGACAGCTGCCAACGATGCCGAAGACAAAAGATCAAATGCTCGGGATCGCAGCCGTGCGACACCTGTAGCAAGCGCAAATCAACTTGCACGTTCGATGATCGGGACCAGAAAATCCTCGTCACTCGGGGGTGAGGCGCCTTGGCTGATCTCTGGTTCGTGCAAAGGACACCACTGATCATGACTCTTCCAGATACCTCGAAGACCTCCAACGGCAGCTAGCACTCCTCAAGGGCGGCGAAGATGAAGCGTTCAGCCCGCAAAGTATGGAGCAGGAGGTGCTCCGGCCGACGACGGAGGGTAAGGCGTCGATATCGGAGGCGACGGGACGTGCCATACCAACCGATCCCATGCTAGGAGGCGACGACCTGGCCGTCGAAGGGGAACCGGAATGGGGTCACAATCTCGAAGGCGCATCGCAACTCACAAACCCATTATCGTCGGGTCCGTCCACGTTTATGGCGGCAGCATCCGGGCGAATCTGTAAGTGTTGCCTCCGTCGCCTCCCTTGTCCACGTTCACAGGACTCACGAGAAGTGTGGTAGTCTATCTAGGAACCTCGTCCAATTGGTCTTTCGCGCGCAAGATTCTGAGCATGACGCATGAGCATTTATACAACGCGCCCCTGCCCACGGGGAGTCTCTACTTCGACGGTTCGGCGTACGATCTAGGCTGGGAGGGAACGAGGACCACAGTGACCCACGAGATACCCATGGCACCTCCCTTAGACTTCTCCATCTACCTCATCAACGCGGTCAAGTTCCATGCCGGCCAGTTGTTCCACCTCTTCGACGAGGAAACCTTCATGGGCGGCTTGTACGCCTTCTACGAGAATCCAGAGCATCAGATGGCGCATTCGGGCTTGTGGTATATTCATTACTTGCTCATCCTGGCGTTTGGCAAGGCGTTTGTCGTGCAGCGAAATCAAGGGAGTCGACCGCCGGGGTGTGAGTTCTTTACCAAGGCATTGCAGTTACTGCCGGACACCACCAACCTCTGCCGGGATCCTATCGTTGCCACGGAGATTCTTTGCTGTATCGCCCTATATTTGCAATCGCTTGATTGTCGCAACTCGGCGCACAATTATGTAAGTCGCAAACCCTGCCCAGCGCCGCAATGTCGTTAACCGTGTAGATTGGCCAAGCAGCGCGCATCGCCCAGGCCCAGGGAATGCATACCAACATGTCCGCGGAGCACCTCGGGGACGCGATCGTCCAGCGATGCCGCCGGATTTGGTGGACCATCTACATCCTTGATCGCCAGATGACCTCGTTGATGGGGTTGCCGCAATCCATCCGAGACGATCAGCTACACCACCAGCTGCCCTACTTCCCGGGATCGCCCCAGAAGGCGATCGCCCTCAGCATGCAAATCAAGGTGTGTCAGATCATGGACGAAATCAGCAGCAGTAGGTCATCGCCCCATCTGTGAGACGACTTGTGCTGACGGTCCGAGGTGTTTATGGGCCGGATGGCCGCCTGAATCGGAATTTCCTGTTGCGAACCAAAAGCGCTCTCGCCAGCGCCGCAGAGGTGATCACCGAGCTTCGAAAATGCTACGACTTGCGCCTAGATGAGTCCTCAATCAGCGGCGTGTCCCGACTATCGGCGCACCTGCATCTACTCTACCATCAGGTCTGACTGCTTCGCTCCTTCGTGTTCGGGGATTGCTTATGGCTGACCGTTCGCAGTGCATCGTATTGGCAACCCGACCGGTGTTGTTTTGCTTTTTGAAGATGCGCATCCAAACCACCGACAGTTCGCTCGAATCCCTGAACTCGTCGGCCAACGTGCGCAAGCTGCTGCAGGTCTGTATCGACTCCGCGCAGCAGATCCTGAACATCCTGATGGTTCTCCAGCGACAGAATCTCTTAGGTAGGGACCCTTCGCAGACCCCGGGGTGGGCATCGCTGACCGTCTTCTAGACAGTTTCCTCCCGTTCGACCTCGAAGCCACGTATACCGCCGCTGTCGTCCTTGTCACCGCCCCTGCCGCTGACGCGTCCCTCCTCGACGACTGGACGCCGTGGTTCCACACGAGCGTCACGGTGCTAGATGAAATGATATCCCGGGGGAATTTGATCGCCGGGTTTCGCAAGTCGGAGTTGCAGCAGCTCGCCGGGATGCTGAGCCAGCTGGCAACCGACGGAGACCTTCACAGCACCGAATTGGCCAGGAAAGGGCAGCTGGATCGCATCATCTCCCGACTGCCCTCCCCGTCCACGCCGGATCGAGTGTTCGGGATTTCGGAAATCACCAATTTGAATCCGGGTCTGACGACGGACGAGATCATGGCTGTGGCGGAGTCGATCGATACGGGGGATGTGGATTGGATTGCGCACGCCGTCACGGAGAATCATATCTGGTAGTTACGATTTTTTTTATGAGTAGCGATGATATCCCATAGAAATGAGACATGAATTACCTGCCACGGAATGGACATGCGATGGTTTTTAAGACGTCTTGCGTCCCACCCGCTTTCACACACGGTCTTTGATCTATTTTGAAGGTGAAAAGTGACCGACGCGTAGAGGGACTCGGCCTGCACGGGAGCCGGGACTCGGTCGGGAAGACTGCCGAACGGGACACCGGCCGATCGGGAAGGTGTACCCTACATCCAGAGTCGTTTCACCGGCTTTTACGGCTCAATCAACTCTGAATCGAACGAATCCTTGGGAAAGAAAGGTAGTCGGTTTCTATTTTCCAGACGATACATGGCTAGTTGCTATGGAGACTGGAACGGCAGTCGAGACGGTGAAAGATGATATATATATACTGTGATCTATGGTCTTCTTTCCTAGTATAAGATAGTGCAATCGCTTCAAGTACATCGTAAAATTGAAAACAATTATAACAATAGTGCACGTACGAGACAATCAAAGCTTCGGTTTGCCAGGTTGAATATCTTTGAATTCTCTGGTCGACCCGATCCGCCAACTGACTGCGTCACCCCATTTGCCATCACCACTTTGCTGGGGCTCCTTCCAGCGCCAGCGTGGAACAGGCTGTTGCTGGTCGGAGGCCTCCAGGAGGGCCTTCACCCAGCGGCCGAACAGAGGAAACATCTTGAACCCATGTCCGGAGTCACCCGACAGCAGCACCACCGAGGACGAGGTATGCGGAACGTAGTCAATGATGAAGTCCGAGTCGCTGGTGTCCGCAAACCAACACAGGGACTTCTTCACCAGCGGCCGGTTGGCCAACGCGGGGAGCGTGTGTGCCAGTAGTTGCCGGATCTTGGCTTCATCCTCAGGGGGCACGAAGGCGCTGTCCGATACGGATGGGGCGTGCGACACGCCGGTGGCAGGATCCGTGTTGACGTATCCACCGCCCATCGGACACAACTTCAAGAGCTGCGTGACAGGATCGGGCTCAAAGAAGAACCCGAGATCGCGCGCGTAGGTGATGGGGATGCCTCGTAGCGCTGATGTCTCCTCCTCTGTCAAATGAACGTGTGCGACCGACCACGATTTGGCTACGACTTGCGACCCGATGGCTGGCACTAATTTGGCGGCGGCAGCCCCAGCCGCGACAATAACGAGCTCCGCAGGGTGGAAGCGACCGTTCCTCGTCCGGATGCCTGTGCTCTTGCCATCCTTGTAGGTCACTTCAGCGACGGCGCCATGCTCTCCCAGGAAAAAGCGGACCCCCGCCTTCTGGGTCTCCCGGTACACTGCTTTCAAGGCATTGCCCGAATGTGCGTAACCATCAAAGCTATTGAAGTATCCGTTCCAACCGGGGAACTGACCGTCAAACTGCCAGAACCGTTGTCGGATGTCCTCGTCTTTTTCGATCGGAAGGACGTGTGGTTTGAGCTCTGGGTGGCGGTTGGCGGAGGCCTGGAAGCGTTTGAGAGTCTCAACCGCTCGCTCGGGGGCTTTTCCCGAGACACAATGCAGGAAGCCGGTCTGGTGGAAGTGTGGAGCAAAGAGGGGAGTTTTCCACTCGGCGATCGCTTGCTATTCTGGGTTAGAACAAGACCAACGGCTGATGGGGCCCAGGAGTCTACCAACCATGGTCAAATCCGTGTAAAACGGATCTTCATACTCGGCGCGCACGATTTTGTTCAGGTCATTGGCAGCGGAGGGGCGAGGAGGGATCTGGTCATCTTGCTCAAAGACGGAGATGTTGTTATATCCATCCCGAGCCAGATGGAGGGCTGTCGAGAGACCGAAGGCACCGCCTCCGACAATGGCAATGGGCTTGGATTTGGAAACCATGATGGCCAATTCGTAGAATTCGTGATGCTGTCTTCACCCACAGTATCGAGAGCTGCATTAGTTCTTATATATACATGCAAGCGACCCCAGGGCTGCCGGGAAGGAGGTGAATGCCCGGGAGCGTTGCCGGTCGAGGGCCCGATAGTGATAGACTAGACTCCCGCGATAACAGCTTGCAATGCGGGGGATTTCGCACGAGCCCCACTTATAGCTTATCGCCCCATATCCATATCAACCATCGGGATGCAATCCGATGAGGGGTTGTGCCATGGTTCGATGGGTCGATGGGTCCAGCTCCTTGCCGTTCCTGGCGCATGCGCTGTCAGGGTTGTGAGGTTGTGAGAAGCGTGACCTCCCTTGATTTAGGAAAAATATTGCAGAGACAGGGTCTTGAAACATATTGCTTCCTACCAATCAAGTAAAAAGAGAGTAACTAAGTAAATACATAAAGACAGATAAACAGATCGATAGATAGACACACATACATAGACGGGTAAAGAGAGAGAAGAATCAAGCTTCGCTTCTACAGACTATTGGAAGTAGACAATGACAATGATATGATCAGGATTAAATAGCTTATGAGTCCTTGATATACGAAAAGACTACGTCAAATAGAAGTAAAACGTGAAAAACGTGAAATTTTGAAATCTAACTATATGTACATCTTTCCATCACATCGAAATTCATGCCGTCATGTAGTTGTATCTAGTGGTTGCTAGGATAGGTGAAGCCCTCCAAGGGGAAGAACTCCTCCTTGATCATTCTGGGGCTGGTGAAGCGCCGCAGCATGTCGGAGCTACCAGCCTTGTCGTTCGTACCACTGGCACGAGCACCGCCGAAGGATTGTTGTCCGATCAGAGCAGCAGTCGTCTTGCAGTTGATGTAGAAGTTTCCAGCGGAGTAGCGGAGAGCATCCTCAGCTTCACGGATCACACGGCGATCCTTGGCGAAAACAGCACCGGTGAGGGCAAAGCCGCCGCCCTGCTGGTCGGCCTTCTTCAGGATAGAGCTCCATTCGGCGTCAGGGTAGACATAGATGGCCAAGACGGGTCCGAAGATCTCCTCGTCAAACAGGCGGTGGTCAAGGGAGTGGGCCTGGTAGACAGTGGGGTGAACGTAGAAACCAACGGAGTCGTCGTAGGTACCACCGGCCACCAAGGTCAGGGAGGGATCCTTGTTGCTGGCATCAATGATCGACTTGATCTTGTTGAAGGACTGGCGGTGGATCACAGGGCCCATGAAGGCCTCAAAGTCCTTGTCGGGGCTACCGATAGTGATATCCTTGACACCAGCCTTCAGCGCCGTCAAGAATTCCTCGGCACGGCTCTCTGGGAGATACACACGGGAGGTGGCCGAGCACTTCTGGCCTTGGTATTCGAAAGCACCGCGGATGGTGTGGTTAACCGCGCTGGGGATGTCCGCGGTGTTGTGGATGAGGTGGAAGTTCTTGCCACTGGTCTCGCCGACCACACGAGGGAACTCACGGTAGGTCTTGTTGGCGATACCTTCGCCGATCTTGCCATAGATGCTGCGGAAGACATCAGATGATCCGATGAAGTTCAAGCCGGCAAAGTCGCGGTGAGAGAGAGCCACGCTGGTGACCTCCTCCGCGTCACCGGGCACAAACTGCACAACATCCGGAGGCAAGCCAGCCTCAAGCAAAATCTTGTAAACCAATGTGCTCGCGTAGATGCTGGATGGCGAGGGCTTCCACACCACCACGTTACCCATCAAGGCGGGAGCTGAGACCAAGCTGCCACCCAATGCTGTGAAGTTGAAGGGCGAGACCGCGTACACGAATCCCTCAAGGGGTCGGTATTCCATCCGACTACAAGAGTTAGCTAGGGGCTTCTCACAATAGCTCACTGGCGTCGGGCAGTACATACCTCCACATGCCATCAGTACCCCGAGTGGGTTGCTTCTCTAACAGTTCCGCGGCAAAGTTGCAGTTCTGACGGAAAAAGTCGGCCAACTCCGCCGCAGCATCGATCTCACCCTGCCAGACATTCTTTCCTTGACCGAGCATGGTCGCCGCAATCAGCTCATACCGGTATTTGCCCGTGGCCAACTCGGCCGCCTTCAAGAAGATAGATGCGCGATCGACGAAGGGGGTCTCCTCCCAGCTCTTCTTGGCCTTGAGAGCGGATTCGATGGAAGCAGCGACCTGCTCCTTGGAGGCAAGGGGGTAGTTGGTGAAGGTAGTGGCATGCTCCGAAGGAAGTGGTTGATTCACAGACTTGGAGACCTTCTGTGCCACACCGTTGTAGAAGACTTCACTTTGGACGGGGAGTTGGGACCGGAGCTGCTTCAAGGCTTCTTCCACCTTGGCGCGCTCCTGGGAGCCTCGCAAGTATAGAGGCTATGAGGAAAGGAATTAGCCGCCTAGAATCCTATGTTCAAATATGTGATTTGCACTCACGTTGGGTTCATTTCTGGCATCGGGGAGTCTGAAGGGCACGGTCGCCTTGGTGCGGATTTGCAAAGTCGCACTCGGGAAGGGTCGCAAACTACGCGCAGAGGAGCGCGCAGGGTTGGACAGTCTCATGGAAAGCATCTTAGTAGAAGACATGATGAATTGAGGTGATGAGGGTGAAGACAAAAGCCAGAACGGCATTCCAAGCTGCGGGCAGCTCCATCTTATGAATTGGAGATTTCGGCAAAGCATCCGACGCTAAGTCTGGGGTTTCCCCACGCCACGACTGATAGCCATCATGCGCCTTCGGAAGGGAAGCCGAGTGCCTTCGATACGGATGACCGATGATAGAGAGTTCTATTACTCATGGCGCGCAATCAAAGGGCCCCTCTCGGCCGGTTCGCTGTTTCTCGCACGTTGCCAGCAGGGTGTTCATCCGGTGTGGAATGCTGCAATGGCAACCAAGTGAACAACTCCCTACCACGAACGAACAGTATCCCGGCCACCTGCCTTCATGAGCTACACAACATCACAGACACTCCATGGCGATTGGGGTAGCTCCGTTGCGGGGAGACTCGCCGGAGACTTGACCGCTGCTGCAGTATCGGCATCGCTGATCGCGCCTACAGTGACCATTATTGATCGGTATGTTGGTATGGACAATGGTCGCCTTGGGAATGGTCACTGATGAAAACAATACAGAGCCCTTGTCGAACGAGCCTCGTCCAACAGACCTCTTCTCCAAAGTCTCCGTTCTCACACCCTGGCTGCTCTGAAACGGCCGGGCGCATTTGTCTTCTCCCGCCCATTCGGTCTCGTATGGACCTTATATGGAGCGACTTATGCGGTCGCCAATGGAACTGAAACCATCACAAAAGAGATTTGTCCAACCAGAGTTGACCCGATTACATTTGCCACAACATTCATCGTCAATGTTCCTCTCGGTGTCTGGAAGGATATCCGATTTGCGCAGCTCTTCGGAAGTCGCATAGAATCGAGCGCAAAGGATGCTCTTCGTGTGTCTAGCAAGGTCGTCTCAAAAGCTGCCACGGCGACCTTCCTTCTCCGTGATGGAGTAACTATTTTTGGTTCCTTCACCCTAGCCTCCTGGTGCTCGTCTATGATCCCCGATAGTCTTGCCTCCCAGCCCAGCTCAAAGACGGTCATCACGCAGATCGTTGTACCCGTCCTGTCACAACTGGTAGCCACCCCGTTACACCTCCTCGGTCTCGATCTATACAACCGCCAGTCGGGGGTATTGTGGGCGGATCGAGTCGCTACGATTCGGAGACATCTGCCGTCTGCCACAGTCATTCGCTGTGTTCGGATTATTCCGGCCTTTGGATTTGGATGTCTAACCAACATTGGTTTGCGGGAGTTCTTCCATGAACAGTGTGATTGATCTGTAGTCCTAGAAAGCGAAGCTGGTAGAGCCCACATAAGCCACGCGATACATAGAGTTACATGAGATATGAGTTGAAATGATAATTAATTTTCATGGCACCTATATGGTTTCTACTCTCTAGTATCATTCAAATGACGTGTACCGTCCATAAGGCGTGCAATGGTTACGGCTTCCCGTAAGGCTCTCCCAACATGGCCGCGCACCCCAGCTTCCTCCATAACCATCAAACCTCCAATGGTACATCCCTCAGGCGACGTGCCCTGATCCCTCAAGACTGCCGGATGCATGCCACTTTGCAGAAGGGCTGCTGTTCCGGTCATAGCCTGAACAGTCATGGTCCGTGCCAGGTCTCTCGGCACGCCAACTGCCACGGCCGCATCAATCATAGCGTCGACGATCACGGCAAAGAATGCGGGAGTCGATCCGGCCACCGCCGTCGTGGCATCCATCAAGGTTGGGGGGATGTGCACTGTCTTCCCCAAATTGTCGAAGACCGCATCTGTGATCTGCTGGTAGTGCTCGGGGACCTCTGGCTCTGAGATCTCGATGGCTGTGAGGCCTTGCGAGACCGATGCGGCAATATTAGGCAGTGTGCGTACAACCCATGCTCGACCGCTGGCATTGCTGTTTGTTGTCGGACTGCCATACAGGGTGGTCTCAAGCTTCTGCCGGGTCCAGCCAGCAGCGACGCTGATGAGGAGCTTGGTCGATAAAGCCTCACTGAGACCGGGAGTTGACAGCACTTTCTCGACCACAGCGGGGTCCACGCCCAAAACTACCACGTCTGAGTCTTGGACAGCCTGGATGTTGTCTCGCGTAATCACCAAGCTTTGTGAGCGGTTGGGGAATTGCGCGGCCAAACGCTGCTCGGACTCTTGACTCCGAACACATGCAATAAAGCGGTTGAATGGCGCGCTACCCTCTTTATCATTGGGGCCATCGATTAAGCTCTTCAGGATGGCTCCTCCCAAGTTGCCTGGGACATGTTTAGTAAAATTGCCATGGTCGCAACGGAGACATGTTATTTACCGCAGCCAAGAATACAAAGCGTAGAGTTCGCCATCTTGATCAAGATTGGATCGTTGTGAATATTCCTCCTGCGCAGATTGTTATCTTCAACAACAAAGGGCTTTTTGGACGAGAGTCCTTAGATAGTGTGGGTGCAGCCGACGGGATGATGTTGTCTGGTGGAGTTCAAGTCGGGCAGGCATCCGAACCGATAAGATAAACCAACGGCTTTGGACCCCGAGCCACGGATCTTCATCGACGGATTACCCCTCCATGATAACGCATATCGGTGGTTCCTCTCATTACGAATCAATTCTACAAGTGAACGGTGAGTGAGGGGGCGAGTGAAGCGGGCTTTGTGGGACTAGAGCAGGATACGCGACAAGATATGGCCAGTTCACTGAGATAGATAGATTTAGGTCATGATAATCGTAAAATGCATTTCTAAACAGTAGGCTACGCTGAGAATGTAAAAAGTGATTTCAGCCTTCTTCCGATCTCCGTCTTCAATGCCTGATATTCATCCTTTGTCCTCGACACTGCATCACGGTTCTCAATCGCGCGCCGGAGGAGATATGCCAGACACTCCCCCATTCCACCCCATGTGGAGCATTTGTAGACTTGGGGAGACCCATCGGGTCCCTTCAATTGTAGTAGACTAAAGCTGACATCGTCGGACATGCCGTGCAGCTGTGCAAAGCCAACAGGTACGGTGGGCAACTTGGCCGCGAGACGCTGCTGGTGTAGATGATGAGCAGCCATCACGCTTTCCTTGTTGTGGCTCGCAAGGAAGAGGTTCACGGAGGGGAAAGGACGACCGCTACTGGCTCCAAACTCGCCCAGTTCCTGTCGCAGTGCCCCTTGGGCAATAGAGTTATATGCGTCATCGGTGTTCTGCTTTGTGTCGTGAATCAAAGATCGATCGTCGGAAGCCATATACGCGCCCCGTACCAGCTTGAGTCCAAGAGTGAATCCTTCCTGGCTAGCGGCGGTGAGATGAGTGGCCAGAGTAGTAGGGGTGCTCTTGAGATAGGCCTGGTAGGTATTGTAAACGAGTGCGTATCCATCCCGGTTGTACTTGCGCATCATCTCGATCGTCACGCGTGCAATTCCTCGTTGGAAATGTTGAGATTCAGCGTCAATCAGAATGCGAGCTCCTTTGTCTTTGCACTTTTGGCAGATTTCCTCCAGTGCTTCAATCATCTGTACAGGGGGCAGTTCACCGGCAGCGAAAGCTTCCGTCACGGCTGGTCCGGCACCAGTCAACCTGGAGAGTCAGCAATACGTTGAGTAGGAGGTTGTCAAGTGGTACCTACTTCATAGCCAAATAATCATCTTCGCCGAGCAGGTCGACTGTCTTCACTGTGCCCTCGCGCCACGCCTCGATATGCTCACAATATCTCTTCCCAGCGACATCTTGCCCATTTCCTTGTTCCGTGGTGACACCGAGGCCTTGTTGACTCTTGGTTGAATGATCAAAAACAGTTTCCTTTGCGTATGTGAGGAGCGTGCCCCGAAATCCCAGATCTTTGAACATCTGCACGGTGGCCTGGGTCTCTCTGCCATTTTCACCGGCGCAGAATTGCTTGTAGAAGGTCCATTTAAGGATGGTGTGGAGAATGATATTGCGGTCTACGTTCAACAGAAGGCCGTTTCCGGACTTCGACAGGCGAGATAGAATCGAAAGAGAGGGTTTGAGGAGGTATGGTTTCGAGGTGATAGCCGCTACCAGCAGGGATCGCAGTAGCATGCTGGTCGGCAGAGCTGACAGAGGAGGAAGGGTGACATTGGGAGCACTCTTGGTTTCAGCCAACACCGAAGTCGACACGGAGCGCACTCTTAGTCGGCATTTGCCAACATTATTGAGTGGTGTGCCGACTCCACATCGTGATGTGAAGGTTCCTAAGGTTGCGAGTGGCGCTGCTTTGCCAGAATGTATAAGAACCATTGCTTGGGATGTTCGTGATATATCGGGCCCAAGCAACAGAGAAAGTATCCAGCAATGATCATATACCGATGGTTGTGTCCCTTCTGGTAGTCAAGTACTACGTCTATATATACGTATAGGGCATCCTTACTTATCATCCACTGACCCGGAGAACCATGGTCTCATGATACTCTATCGGCTGGCCTCCCGGGGTAGAGATCTGGACAAAGCTTGCGACCCCCGCGGGGTCATTGATAAAGAAGCCAAACCATGGTTCTGGCCCACAGATACGTGTGACATGACTGGAGCATTTAGCGGTTCGATGGGAAGCTCTCCCGTAGATGCGTCCCCCTATCGGTCACCCACGCCGACCTTGCTAGTAGACGGACTCTGCATCTTTCATCGGATTAGAACCTCTAGCACCGACTGAACGTGCCAGACGCAGGATGCAACCCTATCGAGATCATTCTTTTGGTTATCTCTTTCTGTGGAGTAGAAATGCAAGAGAACACGGAACTCCGTCCCGCGAAACTTCACCGGCATGTTGCTACAAGGATGTTGATCGATGTAACATCTATGTATGGCATACATTTAAGTAGCACAACCTTCATGGGTGGTTCAGGCTCTCGACGTACTTACTTACACTCTCGAACGCCAGTGAGATATTAAGCCATTGTACCCCCCAAAAATGGATCTGTTCACAGGTTCTGCTTTCCAAAAATGCAGCTTGCTACAATCAACCCTATGAGTGTTCCAGGGTTTGTTTTTCGAACCCGTTTACCGTGGCGTCTTCTACCATGTCTCCGCTGGTATCCACAAGCATCATCCCTTGATAAACATTCTTCGGTGGGTCTCGATAAGCACGGGGTTTCACTGCCATATTGGGACACGGTCCTATTGACTCTATGAATCCTTCTCGTCTGGTTTCTTCCGAGCTCGACCAGGTGACACCGGCATGGCTTCCCGCGATGTTATGTACATATAATTGCTGTATTTCTATGTTAACAACAGATCGGATTGCCTCTAATCAGGACCAATAGTAAGATTATCTCGCAGTGTAAGTGTCAAAAGGTGTCTCGGCCATTGGGTGAGGAAAAGTTCCGTGGTTTCTTGGCCGCCATCATTTTCCTACCGCGTCTGGTAAAGAGATCCGGACTTTCCGCCGCTGGGCCTACGGGCATCGATCCGACTGAGGTTGAAAGAAGCGCAAATGCTGATTCAAACCCTAAGAGCTTAATGGCTCGCTAGTTCCCCATGCTAACTTTGGACATATATGAGGATCACCGCCGTACCACACAATTCTCCCCAGATGCCCAACGAAGTATAGATCAGGAGAACGGAAGGGCCGGATGGGAGGTATTCAGCGTTCAGGAACGTCATTCGAGGTATCATTCTTGCTGGTGATAACGAGCTCCACCAATGTGACGTTTCCCCGCAGTCTTTTGGCGATTATCATGAATTATCATGAAAGGTGGACCACGGGTGCCTTCCCGGGACCCAGCAAGCCGCCGAATTACCTGAGACACTGATCATCGGCTGCGTACCCGATGGTTGATCTTGCCCGCAAAGTGGGTATAGAATTTGCGGGGAAGTCTCGAAATGACGATAAGGCATTCTGTTATGCTATGCAGAGCATTGAGGCTTCATCTTTCATAGGTGGCTGTGTCATATTAGCCCGGCCGACGCTATGAGATACTGGCCCGCTCCGCTTGCTGAAATGAAGCGATGATAACGACGGATCCCTGCGCTAAGCGAAGCTAACGAGAATGATAGACAGGTTTAAAAAGGCTGCAGTGTCCCACTTCGGCATTGGGACTCTGAAATGCACTTGGCGCTGGCTCGCACATATTCCTCATGATGTTGAAAACCAAAGAAGACCCTAGTGAGCTGGCTCCAGTTCCTTCCCAGGCCGGGGAAGTCCGGGACATGCCGACCTATGTGACCGATGATGTGTTTGGCGAAGTCACCGAGAATGGCCCCAACTATCGTAATGTACGCACCTTGCGAAAGGCACCATGTCGGACACGGACTGACTCTCGGACAGGTTGGATGGATAGGAACAGTCGCGCTCATGATGAAGTCTCAGATTGGCCTGGGGGTCCTATCCATTCCAACCGCCTTCGACACATTAGGGATTATCCCAGGTATCATCTGCCTCTGTGCGATTGCTGTGATCACGACCTGGTCGGATTACATGATCGGTGTTTTCAAACTTCGTCATCGCTCTGTCTACAGCATCGACGACGTTGGTGCACTCATTTTTGGTCGGATTGGCCGTGAATTTCTGGGGGGTGCCTTCTGCCTTTGTATAGCTATCCGCCCATGGATAGGGGAAGGCCATTCGCTGATAGTGCATTAGATTGGATTTTTGTGTCTGGCTCCGGCATGCTCAGTCTCTCCATCGGTCTGAACGCGGTCTCCACTCATGGGGTATGTACTGCTGTCTTTGTGGCAGTGGCTGCGATCCTTGGATTCATGTTCTCCAGCATCCGGACCCTCGGCCATATCACTTGGCTCGCGTGGGTCGGGCTTGTATGCATCCTGACTGCGAGTAAGACCTCACTTCCTCCTTCGTATCCTGTGGCTCTTGTCTGACAACCTGACCAGTCCTCATGGTGACCATCGCTGTGGGTGTTGAAGACCGGCCCGCGTCGGCACCGAAAGATGGCGTTTGGGTGTCCGACTTCAAGATCGTCAACCATCCGAGCTTCAGCGAGGGGATCACGGCGGTCTCCTCCCTGGTCTTTGCGTACTCCGGCACGCCCGGGTTCTTCAATATCGTATCCGAGATGCGTGATCCTCATTATTATACTCGCGCACTGCTCATCTGTCAGGCGGGAGTGACCGCTGTTTACATTACGATCGGCTGTGTAGTCTACTATTACTGCGGGTCGTATGTGGCTTCGCCAGCCCTCGGTTCCGCTGGACCGACTATGAAAAAGATATCTTATGGCTTTGCCTTACCGGGGTTGCTAGTCACGACCACCCTGGTCACCCACGTAATGCCCTTTGCATATAGATCTCTGTACGCTGCATGCACTAACGGCTCCGTAGATCCCGGCAAAATATATCTTTATCCGCATCCTCCGAGGGTCAAAGCACCTGACGGCCAACAGTGTGATCCACTGGGGAACATGGCTCGGCTGCACCTTTGGAATCACCCTCATTGCCTACGTGATTGCGAGCGCGATCCCCGTCTTCAATAGCCTCGTCTCGCTTATCGGTGCATTACTAGGAACCCTCATGTCGTTTCAGCCCATGGGTTGTATGTGGCTGTACGACAATTGGAGCAAAGGTAAACAACACAAGTCACTCCGGTGGATGTTGATGGTCTGCTGGAGTGTCTTTGTCATCGTGATTGGAACATTTCTTATGGTTGCTGGTACGTATGGATGCATTGTGAGTGTGATTGATACCTACAACGCATCTGGTGGATCCGCCGCTTGGTCGTGCGCCGACAACTCGAACTCAACATGATCTCCGACGGAGATTTCGGCTGTCTTTTTGAGACATCCTCTACGAGTTCAAGATATATATACATGTGCGTCAGACAATTTCGTGTAATCTAGATCGTAGGTTCACGCCTCTAAAGTGTGAAGGAGGATACGTCTGGCGTTTTGCAAACAAGCCGTAGCAGAAAAACACTGTTAGAATAGAAGAAAGAAACAAAATGTTTTAAAAAAAAAGAAAATACAAAAAATACCAGTCTGTCCAGGCCAATCATACCTACGCTGAAGACTGGAGGACCCACTGGGCCAAACCCGAATACGATATCATACAACCTGATATTAGATAAGGCGTCCTTCGCTGATACGACATGAAGTTAAGTTCAAGTTACCAACACTTCAGGTGGATCTCATTTGCTGCGGACGGACTAAAACACTTCCCCCATAGTACATAGACATTATCACATGCTCCATGGAGGTGGAAGCTTGCCAGAATACGATTGTGGAGGGGATGGGAGTTGTTCGATCGACAGATCTCCCTGTTTGCTCACACGATTAACTTCCCTATTCTGCTGAACAATTTCTCGTTATTGTTCGAGGATTGTCTCCTGGCTAGTCTTACAGTTGGGTGGAACAGGACAGACGAGTCATTTACTCTGACATGCCTTGGGAAGTCAAGAAAGCCACACCGGCGTCTGTTCTTTCGGTAAAAAGCGGAGCCCACTTGCAGTCTCGCCCCTGTCGAAATGGTTGAGGGTTGCCAAGCCAGCTAAAAGCGCTTGCAACGCCCCAAAGCCGAACCAATTCTGGTGGTGAACACCGAGGCCTTGGCAGGCACAGCTCGCCGGATGCGTCGGGTTTCTTTCTCCTTGGAATGTGCGAATCCAACGGTGAGGAGATACCCTCTCTGCCTAGGGTAGCAGGGAATCCAAGGGGAGAACAGCGGCTTAATATCTTCGCACTCAGGAGGTGGCCGCTGATCGTGAAATGTACGCGCATACCCCTTCGCGGTAGACGCCATGAGGGCAGTATCAGCCCTACGCCACGTAAAGCTCTGACTGGCTATTGGGCACCACCACCATTTCTGGATCCTTGCTTTTCGGAGGTTTTGAATCATGGAAGTCTGCTTCAGGCCCGAGGGAGACACCATGGTTATTGGGTGCACTCGGCGTTTCGATTGAAGGTCATGACGACGCTTGGGCTCCACCTTGGCGGGAACGGCAGATATTGACTGGGGAACCGAAAGAAAATCATTGCCTATAACGGTGCAACTCGCTATCTTAGGCCTCGAGTAACCTTGGCTCCTTATGGCGAGGAGGGTGTGAATTTTGCCGAGAAAAGCAGGCGAGAAACTCATCCTGATCAATGAAAGGCCAAGTTTTTGGACAACGGTCGCGAACTGACCACCGAATCAAGGCTGTATTATTATTAGGAACAGGAAAAAGCCAAAAAAGAAAAGAAAACTGGCAGTACAGTGTGGCTGAAGGTGTGCCACCATGATCCACTTAGCCAAATACTCTCGGTGATTGGCCAAATTACGGGTCGCGAACAATTGTAGAGGGATCAGATTCCCCCATGGTCGCGTGCATATGGAGATCATAATTTCATAGGCAGAGCGCATATCTTACTCATCGGAGTTCAGCAATCGGTTGTTCCATTTCTTGGCTTTATGGGGAGCCGATCCATATTTATTGACTGCATTCCCCCCTTTCCCCCAGGCCCTGCCGGGCCCCTTCGTAGGGGAAATCACGAACCATTCAGACCATGGTGAGTAACATCTTCACTTGGTTCCTGTATGTCGTCAACCAGGTGTCCGACCTGTCCCTCCAGCCGATTCAACCTCAGGCGAGGTTGAGGCCGGGGAATCAACAGGTCTTGGCTCCACCCAGTACGACTGAGGCGCTCGATACTGGTCCGTCTATAATCCAAACACCGACGACTGAACCGAGTATCACACCGTCACCCACGAGCCCACCGCCAGCAGAGGCTACCGATGAATATTGGGATGACATTATCACTGGAGTGTATGGAATCCCACCGCTGCTCAAGATCCACGACCGAACTGGGATGGTGAAATGGAGTTGGGGTCGGGACGACGTTACCCAGGAACTTCCGCCTTATATTAGGCACTGTCTGTATAGCGACGCGAATGATGCCACTGAAGTCAAGTGGATTAAGAACGGGACCGCCATTGCGGCGATCTATAGCGATCTCGTGCTCATGATCAACCATACCCCTGACAACCCAGAGACAGACAAACTGATCACATTCGCTGTCTGCCGGCAGAATGAGTTTCTCTGGAATGCTCATACCCTTGAGCCGTTGCCTGGAGATCGAGTAGCAGTCGGCACCACGGGCTCCAACGCCTGGGACGGCATCCTCGTCTATAACTCCAGCGTCGATAACCCCCTGGTGGACGAGCCGCTGATCCTGCAGAATATTACCGGGCTGCGCGCCATACACGGCATGATTTGGGACGAGCAAGAGCAGATGCTGTGGGCCGCTGGTACGGACGCTGCAGCCGATGGATCTGACCCAATCCCTGCGTACGGAACCATCCAGGGCTATCCCTACAATGCAACCACCGGCGAGCTGGAAGACACCGAGGAATTCATGTACCGACTCCCGGAGGCATGGGATCAGGAGACGGAATGGGGCCCAGGATACCCCTGGTGGTGTGGGCCACACGATCTCGTTCCCATTCCCAATGACCGAAAGTTTCTAATGTCGCAAGACCGAGGGCTACACGCCTTTGACCTGGACACCCGTGAATTCTTCCTCGATAGCAAAGGCGTGATTGATACGTATATGAGAGGGTTCGAGGTCACCACCAACGATCGCAAAGGCTTTGACAGGGCAGGAGAGTACCACGAGCTACCTGAATCAGACCTGAAGGGGTTCAGCATGGCGCCGGATGGAACCTTCGTCTATGTACAGTCCCTATGGCGATTGCTACGGGGGAACCACACAAATATTGTCGTCGATGGAGTCAGACAACAGATCAACCTGGGGGACGAGATTTACCGATCGCGTTGGTTTGCAGACATTCCCGGCTGGCCGAAACCAGCTGCATAAGAAACCCAGCGAGACTGCAATTCAACATTTCTTTTCTCGGCAACCCGCCTGCTGTCATCCCAGAGGGCACAGCCATGGCACCGCTCTGTGGAGTTGGTTGCAACCGTGGTGATAGATGACGACATGTTTGTGCCGCCACATCACCTCGGGAATCTGCTGAAGCATGCTATCATGCCGGTCATGATGCGCGAGCATATTTTCGCATATACATTTAATCGTAACCTACTGCAAGAGCCGGAGGAGCCACAAATAGACGACGACCCACGAATATCAGATCACATCCGTTTGGGAAACGGATAACACCATCAGCTCAACGCCACCGCGTGGTCGCCTTACCTCATCCCTCGCCTCGGGTCTTATGCTCATAGATTCGTTAGGGGCAAGAAGACATGGAGGGAGATCATGTTGATCTCCCGGCCTAGATATACCATCAACGCGAATCGCGTGAAGTATGTACATAGTATTATTTTGCATATGAATACCATAAATACGGACATAATTTCATACATCTATCCAGTTGCACTCCTCTCAGAGCTCTCTTAGCAGCTTCCTGTAATCTGCCTTAGCTACCAGACACTTCACTTTCCTGATGCAGTGGGCTGAGTCTTTACATGGTCACTTTACCACGATGGATGCCACCTCGTCTGGCGACGGGCTTGTGCTTACATGTTATCCTGTAGCTGTGGCTTGCAAACCAATGAGACTTCGATAGACTATGTATACTTTAGCGACAACCACGCCATTCACTTACGCGGGTTGCTGTTCTTATGTAGCCGACCAGTATCTATAACCGACCCTACACCATACGCGACCCCGGAACGCTAGAGTAGGGGTTCAGTTAGAGTATGGATCCGGGGTTGTCAAGCATTCATCTCGTGTCACGCCCTGTATTACACAAGTTAAGCAGATGTTATCCCAGTCGTCCTTTATCGGTATCCTGAAAAATTGTGGCGACATGTCTACCACTTACTGATGAGAATCGAAAGAAGTACATAGCTCGTGTGAGAATCACTAGTGTTTTAAGGAACATTACAAAACTTAAGATGTAAAATTCAATCACATTCAAAGCATTGTCCGGTACACATGGGGTCTGTACCCCATTTATCTCGGATGACAAGCATTCATCACAGACGAATATACGAGCACTCCGTCAGTTGACTCATTCCCATCACGCCGGCAAGGACATCTCTGGGGAAATGAACGAAAGGCAGAGAGTGGGGGGAGTATCCGACACGAGGCGGAAGATTCAATGCGTCCCAGCACTAATTCCCCAGCTTGGACAGGAGAAATTCGCTAGCATCACCAGTGTCAGAAAGATATGTGAAATGTGGCGGTGCCACAATCAAAGTCCCAAGGCAGACTAAATCTCCCACTGCGCAATAGACCTTGACTTTATCTTTGGGAAAATTTGCAATCTGGCCCCCCTCTTGGGCGTTGCGTGTGTATCCGAAAAGGACAACGCCCTTGACCTTGTCCTGCACATCTGCGGAAAGGCGCCTAATGGCACCGTTCATAACAGCTGTTCCTTGGCTAGAGATGCCATCAGTATGAATGGAACACGTAGGGGACAGCCTAGACACACCTGTAGCCACCGGCAACAATCTGAGTGTCAGGGCACTTGGATACAGCTTGCTCAAACAGTCCTTGTGCCTCTGCAATTGCAGCTTGGGAAGTTCCCTCCGGCAGAGCATTTGATGGGAGATCCGCAGTGTATCTGGGTCCGACACCCTGGCAGGCGACATCATCTGGCCTAGCTGACTTCAACAGGTTGCAGACCGCAGGGCCGGTTGAAACGCCCTGGATTGATCAGTATCATCACGTACAACGGGATGAACTGAAGCTCACCAGAAGGCCCGGCTCCGTGGAAGCTCGGGCGAAGATAAAGGTAATGGGCTTGCAAGGGCCATCCCGCAACTCGTTCCCACCAGACACTGCTCCAGATTGTCAGTAATCACTCACGCCACGGAAGGGTTCATTCCCTAACATACATTGTCGTTCCTGGAGATCCACCGGGCTTGCTACTGCAGTCGCAGTCAGCGCAATCACGATGTTGCGGAAGTGCATAATGAGGAAACTTCTTTAGAAAGTGGGTTGTGTCTCTGCGATGCGAGTGCGATGCAGTCTGGATAGAAGTTCTTCCTCGGACGAAGCAGCCATCTTTATAGTATTTGTGTTGTAGAAGCGTCCAGCACATATGCCTCGGTATATTGTCCCGTCTGTCATAGATATAGTGCCTAGCCTTGCCTGGCAGACACCGTGCGCAGGAATTTGCAGTTTGGATAGGCCAACTGCGACTACAAGTTGGAATGCCAGTGAGCCAGATGATTCTCATCCAGCTGCCGAGTATTGTATGGTCCACTTCTGACCTATGATATCCATTATCGATAACAGAGTACCGAGGAAGGCGTGTTTAAGTTTCTTGGTTTGCGTCTCTTAATTAACTTGATCCTCATCGATAGGCGGAGATCTGGGGTTCCCGGTGGATCTATCAATCTAAATTAATCTAACCCGCTATGAAGAACTGTCCCGCGATACTCCAGCACGCTTATCCTAACTTCAACTTCGGATGGTGGTCCGTACTTCAATGAGAATAGTGAGTTCCTAGGGTTTCCGATGTTGTTGGAAGCGGGGTCTCGTATTTTGACCAGCGTCAGCATGCGCCCCAAAAGAAGATGATGTCTCCTTAGCCTTGCCGATGCCACATTCATGCAGAGAAATAGCGTATTTAGCTCACGTCACAGATTGTGGGGAAGTTCAAAATTCCGTGTTCATTTCAGAACATCCTTTGCCGTGAAGAACAAGGGCCATGGGTCAGAATACCCGGCGTCAGTATACTGCGGGGTGGCAGTCGATGGAGGATGCACAGACGACTAGCGCATACTGGACCCTGGACAATTTCCCTCATATATTGCGGGGCAATAGTACGAAGTCTAAGCCTGCCTTGTGTCCCAGGGCCTGGAAGAAAGCTGATCAATCAGAGAAGCCGAGAAGAGAGAGATCGACCTGGGTGGTCTCCTAGTAGCCATACAGGTCGCATTAGTATGCATTGAAACAGTCAGACGACCATTCCATTGTAGGAAATATCCTATTAGGCAATAGCCGATTTTATCTGAGATCCTTCAAGTAACTATCACTATTAACTACCAGCCCAGATAGGTAATGACCTAATCAATCCCAGGGCACTGTATTGCAATATATATTTTCATCAGGTTCCTAGAATCTGTCTGTGCTTTATAGATTATATTGATATCAAAGATGTATAGTCAAGATTTTTGTATATAATGTACTATATTATAGCAATATATTTATATGAGTTGATGTGAATTTATATCAAATTACTATATTTAGCCATCGCATCTAAAGCCTTGAAGCCCGTAGCTGGTGACCAAAGGCTGAAGTTCAGATAGAAACCTCAGAAAATATGCAAGGGAAATTTCACCAGGAGTGATTGGTGACATTTACTCGTTCATGTTGCAGAAACTTCCCGGCTGGCTTTTTTTGTCTTGTTTCTTGGACTTTGTTCCTGCTGCAAGCAACAACACTAGCGATAGCCGCGGCCTCAGGCTGCAAGGCAGAGTTCAATACGTTAGGTTCTTAATACGGATCATCTTTGTTCCGGATCCATCTCCATCTATGGATTCTGGGGTCACTACCTTCTCTAGAGCATCGAGTCAATACTATATAGCCTGCCAACGTGAGAAGAATCCATATGCAATTGCTCGCGCCATTCCATCTCTGCCGTTCTCCTTTTAAGCAAGCCATAAAAAGATGACCCGTGACTGCTGAAGTCTTGACATGATACTAGAATCCGGTCTGCAACTTCACACAAATATATGTAATATCCGTTCATAACTTCCAACAAATACAAAGCGTCGTAGCTCGAGTCAAGCCAAATATATCTGCTTGGTGTATTCTTGGGGTTACCCGGTTGGCATAACTGAGGCGTGAATTCACTGCCGGAGAAGACCGGTTATTGAGCACTCGAGCTACCACAAGATGCGTCTAAAACGCTGCGAGTATCCAGCCCACGTGGTAGTATTTCGCAGGTACCGGCATAATGTAATTGGTTAATTTTGGAAGATGAGGCTATATGATATTATGAAACTACAATGGCACCGTAAGGGTATTAAGGTTAAGGAACGCAAGATCCAGATACGTATGAGGACACCTATAGAAACTGTGCAAATGTGCAGTTGATAGTAAAGCAAGCCAAGCAAAAGTGGTTATAAGACAATGATCTTACGCCAACCTATGTTTTGGCACTGGTGTGGAAGCAGGTATCACAAGGAGATTTGCATATTCGAAGTTCAACACGGCATGCAGCTTCTATATTGCCTATATGTATCTTGGCTGAAGTAAGGCGGTACAAAAACAGAATCATACATGCATGTCATAATATCAGTGTTGGCTCATCGCGTTAACGTGCCCATCCCATCAGAACCAGCACTCAAGTCGAACAATCCTTTGCAACCGGGAGATCGAGCCGGGAATCAGAGGCAGGAGGAAGGCGAGCCGGGTATAGGACAAGTGTGCGACAGCACATTGAGAGTGGTTCCTTAATGCTGTGGAGATGTGTAAGTCTGGCTGTGTTGCAAGCATGAAAGGTCTCAGGATATGGTCACTTACGCTGCAGGAAGAGCAGGAGCAGCTAGCGCAGTTACCGCTGCAGCAGTTGCAAGAGCAGGGAGACATTTTGATGGAAGTGGAAAGCTTTGAGAGGTTTCTCGAAGGGGTTTTATAACTCGAATTGAAGGCTTGGATGCTTGTGTGCGACGAGTGAATGTGATGATGGAAGAAACTGGACTTTGCCTGCCAGAAACGTCCTATTTATACCTTTGACGGGCTTGATTTAGTGGCCAGTGCAAAGCAAAATAAATGGGATTTACCCGCCAGAACCGCAGAAAAGGCATTGGGCATCGGCATAGCGCATCAGCCCACGGAAGCGCTAGGTTTTCATGGCGGCGTGGGGGGAGAGGCAGCTTTCCAAGCCTCATTCTCCGCGATTCCATCATACAATAACATGTTGTGGAGTTGGATCAGGTAGACTGTGACAGGGATGGTATAGCCCGACATTGCCAGCCGACATACGTGAGTTTCAAGGCACCATGACTGCCCCACTCGGCGTAGATAGTATACATGAGTAGTGCGCTTTCCAGTGTCAACGAGGTCTGAAGACCGGCATCGCTTATACTGGGATCCTACCGTGCATCCTAGACTACTCAAAGGAAATACGGAGCCAAAACCAAAAGAAAAGATCCAACTGAGCTGGGTCAAATTCTCGAGATGGCGCTCTTATACGCAGATACAGATGAGGACCTTGGGAACTTGAGCACCTTGGTAGCACTCCCGTGGGTCGTCAGGACCCCCTATCTCCTATATTTCACTTCCCTGCGTGCGTCGTCTACTGCAATATTATCTTTTCCTGCCAGCTAGCCTATCATCCACAAAGGAACGCACTAAAGGGGGTGAAAACAAAAAAAAAAAAATTCTTTTCCTGTGGGATTGTATGCATTGCCCTGATTCGGGAGATTAGCAGCACCCACAACAGAATACTAATCACCCACCCAGGAAACTGCTAAAATCGCGCATCTCATGATTCAACTAACAAGATGAATGAGGTCCAATGAGATAGGTCATTGTCGTCTTCAATCTGCCCCCACCAGCAGGTCAAAGCAACAGGACTTCTAAAATCCTCCACTCAACCGGGAAAGAATAGGAGGCTAGGAGCTGCTTACGCTCTTGCCTGATCAGAATCTGCATTGCTGATAGAAATGACAAATATACCATCGGTGTGATACTCTCTGTGACAAAACCCTGATCATTCTATGATCCACCAGCAGGTTGGTATTGGTCCAAGCAAGCCATGGCTGACTGCGGCAGCGTCGGTAAGGTTCCCTAAGAAGGTATCCGGTTCGCTACGAGCCGATTAATTTCGTGTAGCCAAGCATGGAAGATAGTCTAGTCGCGTTATTATACGTAGTTTGTTCTCAGGTTTCCTACGGACAAAGGCTTCCCGTCATCTGCGAAAGCAAGCTTTTACCACTTCAAGCTGGGTCCCACCCCAGAACGTACGCCTAGACATGACATTGAATACGGTTGCCTGTAGCTCGTGCGAAGTGCCGAACTTTTCACGCGCAGTGTGATCTAGTGAAACCCGGAGTATGCACATGCCTCCGTGCCAAGTATATGAAGTTACGGCACCTCCGAGCAAGCAAAGAGTGATTGGCGATGTTTAGCGTAGCCCCCACGCCCTATGAATAAGGATACGCAAGGGTATTATACGTTTCTGGAATAGGGAAGGCAATTCCGCTTAGTTGTAAAATAATGAGTATGGTATTTGACTCATTACTGCCTTGTAGCAGCCTATGTATATGACCACCCCAATGAATACCTTCACGGTGAAGGTTTCCCTCCTGCATTTTACAACACTTTTGGGTGGCGAACCTCGTGTGAGGCGTGAGGATAAGGGACTCATGCCTCTATATGCCTGCTCGGATTAGCTTGTCCATACCTTTCGCTACTGAGTTCAATAAATGCTTCGCATTCGAGTTCCTTTTCACGTTTCTGTTTCCCTATTAGGAGATTTGCCTACATGACCCCTTGAATATTACGCTGACGGCTCTGAGGTTCGTAGACTGCGACATGTGAAAGTACCTCTTGCTTCGATTTCTTCCCTTACAATCCTTGGCTTATGTTATCAACGCTTCTCGTGATTGAGATGTAACTATTAATCGAAGCCTGTTACCGAGTCTAATGTCTATAGAAATGCCTCACAAGAATATAGTGTGCAAGATGATAGATATTGATTAAGTCAATGTAGCTATACACAGAATTGCTTCCATAGACTGGGCGCGACGTTTGTCACCACGCCAAGGCAAGTAAAGGCAAAGCGAGACAATTAGAACGAATAAGTGAGACTCTAAAGCACGATAACCTGGTGGAAAGTGCAGGGTAACTGTACAGCCACAGATTGGAGACATCGAGACTGGGCATTTGGATAACGCAGAACCGATTTCCTGCGCCACCCTGCAAAACATTTTCTAGGCCCACTTGCCAAGAAGTGCCATCAAACCAACTCCCCAAAGCATTGAAATCACCATGAATGTCAGTCGTTTGTTGTCTTGAGTACGATGGGGATCGAAGAGGAAATCGCGAGCCAGCAACTCGACCAATCCGGTGTAGATCAGAATACCAGCGGAGATCGCATCCAGAACACCTGAGACGACATTCGCGGTGAATGAGCCTGAATTGTAGGTGGTTCTGACGCCGAGTCCGATTGCGATAGATATCGGTGTGGTCAAGCCATACAGCGTGCACAGAACCCAGGGCAACCAGCTGCCTTTGCGGAAGGGAATCGCTGACATCCGGGCGCCAATACCCAATCCCTCAAATGACTGGTGGAAGACGAGGACCGGGTATAGAGTGGAAAATTCTTCACCAGTAACACCGAGGTTCAAGCCAATAATGACTGAGTGGAAGATGACGCCGAACTCTAGGATTAGGAAGGCGGCAATCTGCTGCTTGAAAGACCTCTCCGACAACGAGTCATTGACGGATTGAGATTCAAGCTGTGCTTCCTTCTCAACAGGGGCTTGGTTAGCCACTGTGGTAGTATGCAAGCTGTTGTCCGTTGCGCTGGTCATGATAGGCTCCGGGTCCTCTCGGCAGATTCCGTACTTGACCTCAACATATCGCTCTGCGCCAAAGTCAAGAAGGAAGATTCCGATGAGAGAAGCAAGGACAATGGCTGGGCACCAAGAATAGTCCCCCCAGTGCCCGGTCATGCCAACGCAAGACGCCGGTCCAATTTCATCGTATGCGGGATCCAAGAGATGGATAAACGCTGTGGCCACAATGACACCTGCACCGAAGTATCGCGCGAAGAGATAGACGTAAAGTGGGATATGAAGGCGAGGAGCACGCTTGGCTATTACAGGGAAGAATGTAACAGCGGTGGAGATAATCAGGATCACAAAGATCGCGGATACACGCGCACCTAAGCGTCCATCGTAGTCGTTTTCGGAGGCGTTGAGGTAACAGATGATTTCTGCCGGGTCCGCGGTGTCGAGATCGACGTTGTTAGGATTGAACGACATCGTGAAAGGGATTGAGCTTGAGAAGAAAATTCCAAAGTTCTTGGTCTGGTTCGACTCGCGCTGGGACGCCGCGTTTTATAGGGTAAATCAGGGGCTCTTTGTGCGATACCTTGTGAGAAAATGACTCCCATGGCCAGGCATTTGAACGACTGACAAGGACCATGGAAGCCGAAATTACCACTATCTAGTCACCACATGGTGGCAAGCGATCTATAAGCGAGAATGGAATGGTGGGAGTGTCTGAGCTGGCGCGCGCAAACCGTTAACATAATTTGATGACGGGCCGTATTGGGCTGGCAACTAGAGGCAGCTAAAGTTCATACTACTACTCAATTCGTTCCTAACAGGTCGATAGCATAGTGATCCCGAAATTGCATGGCATCTGAGTGGAGTTGTCTGATGCTGCATGTCCATGCCATGGTCCACCCTGGGAGTAAAGTGGATCATGCGGGTAGTATCCGGACTATCTGCTCGAATCGAAGTCCAGGCAATATCAACATTTCCCCAGGGTCCCCAAAGTTGTTTCAGCTTCTCCACCCATCTTTCGACGTTGGATCTCGATTCGCGGATTCTCTGTCTTTGCTTCTACCAAGCAACTCTGGGCAAAAACAAGCAAAAAGGCCAAGTCAAGGAAATGAGTGTGTGGCAGTGCTGCTGGAGACTTCAAGCAGGTCTCTAACCAAGGCTTGCCATCCGCAACATATGGCTGTCGAGAGGGGCACGGAGGATGTCTGCTTCAAAAGCCCTGTTGAAAGGTTTAGATAGCAGACACCATAACGGACCACACAGGACTTCGGATTTCATTTGTTTTGTTTCCCAGACTGGTTCAGGCTAGTCGAAATACTCAATGGACATTATCCCGGGAGATCTCTCGGCCGGGATTTTATTAGCAAAGTTGCGACAACCGTGACTAACATTTTATTTATCAAAGACGAGAACGGAGCATACTCCGGAGTGGTATTAGTCCATGCGGTCACATGCTGCAATAGTCAGGTTATATTGCGCATTCCCTGGTCGACCAGCACAAGCTTCCCACACGGTACTGTTAGTTGCAGTGGAATCTGAGTAATTTGAAGTGGAACTGGGTAGACACAGTTTGCCTGTGACAACCAAGAGGGAAATCAATACGCCATAAGGACAAAAGAAAGAAGGGGAGGAAGTGCTTTGTTCTAGTGTGCTTGGCTGTCAGCCTTTAGGGCTGGAGTTGTAAGTCATTGATGTCACATGACACACGGTATTCCATGACAGCCTGACAGCCTGGACGGCCAGGTTGTCCACTGCAGTCGAGATTCTCATTTCAATGCTTTCTTCCTTCTCTCGCAGTTCAACATCCATGGGAGGACCGACAGATCCCCAATATCACGACCCTATGGCCACTACCTTCCACCTTTTCCCGCTATTGCCACCGGAAATTCGACACTACATCTGGCACCTCTCTCTCCCCCATGAGCGAGTGATCCATATCTCGTGCGACCGGGGTATCCTTCGCACGTCACGGCGATATGCTCGCTGTTTTCGCGCCGACTGCGCCAATCCGCCGCAGCTACAAGTAAATACGGAGGCCCGCCATGTGACCCTACGGTTGTATGCGCCTTACTTCCGGACGGAATATAAGCCTCATGGCTGCATTTATTTAGCCCCCGATCAGGATGTTGTGCATCTGCACGAGGCAGTGTTAGCATACCTCAGCACCGCGGAGAGGGCGGCTCTCCAACGGCTGATGATTGATGTCCATGACTACGCGTCCTTTGGCGCGTATTGGATGGATAGTATGTGTAGGATGAAACAATTGAAAGAAATTGTGTTGGTGGTGCTTCCGCTTACCTCTTCTCCATATCGATCTGATCAGTTGCCGATGGGGGACGGTGAGATTGTTGGTATGCTGAAAGCTGCCTTTGTGGAGGGAGCTCGGACGAGCCCAGACTGGGCCATGCCACGCGTCAAAGTGATATCGCATGAAGGGTCAGCAATGGGAGATATCGTCGTTACGTCGGATGATCTGAAGACCGATTGAGGCTATGGCCCTTTCGGGAGAGCCGAAAGCGACCATCCAGCTGAAACGTGACGAAACAATCTGACACCTGGTCCTGTCGGATGGTGGGGAATCCCTGCTCGATGCGGAATACGAACACACGGGGCGTTGGAATTCCCTCCGACTGCCAGCGTCCGTCTGGAATGTGGGGATCGGATGCGTAACACTTATGAGACACCTCCTGCCTCCAGTGCCTGGATCATCGATCGATCTTCACGTCTGGATTAACCAGTATCTCGGCCATACCCGATCGATAACAATGAAAGTGATCATTGTCGGAGGTGGTATTGGTGGCCTCGCGACTGCGATTGGTTTGCGTCGTGCTGGTCACCAGGTACAGGTAAGAGGAACGCAGTTCGTGTCGATCATTTAAAACACAGGCTAACAACCGGCCACGGACCTGGCAGATATTTGAACGGTCGTCGTTTCTCCACGAAATTGGTGCAGCTATCAATATCTGCCCAAATGCCGCTCGGGTTCTCTCGCATTGGGGATTCAATGTGGAACTAGCGCGCATGGTGGCCGCACGCCAGTCTATTGTGGCACTCGGCAGCTCGCTCAAACCATTGGCGGAAGTGGACTGCTCCAAGTGTGATGAGATTTATGGTGCACCGTGGTTCCTGGCCCATCGAGTCGACCTGCATTCGGAGCTACGACGTCTAGCTACCGCCCAGGAGGGACCTGGATCACCTGCAGATATCGTCTTGAACGCAAAGGTCGTTGGATATGACGCTTCTGGGGGCTATGTAACGCTGGCTGATGGGTCGGTGCACGGCGCGGATCTCATTGTCGCAGCGGACGGAATACATACGTCCGCGATCCATCATGTTCATGGCCGCGCAACACCACCCGTTTCTACCGGCTCAGCAGTGTTTCGCTTCCTCCTCTCAACCGAGGACTTGCCAGACGACCCGAGTCTAGAGCCACACTTCGGTGATGGCCTGATGAGGGTGATGGCCGCAGAGGGCGTGAGGCGGCTGGTTTGGTATCCATGTGCGAAGTAAGACTGCCTTTGCTTGCCGTTTGGCATCATTTCATGCATTGACTGATTGTATTGCGCAGTAACACGGTGCAAAACTTTGTGGGAATACACCCCGATCAACATAATGGTCATGAACAAGAATGTCAGTCTCTCATGTTTACGCTTTCTGTTCATTGTGGCTGACAATCAATGCCATAGCCTGGGATCGGTCCGCCGATGTCAATGATGTTTTGGCGCAATACCATGACTTCCACCCCAGCATATTAAACATTATCAGGTATTGCTGGGGCGATCGCCTTCTTGTTTCAAAAGCTAACCTACGCTCAGAAAAGCCACAAATATCAAGCGGTGGCCCCTTCTGTACCGGGAACCCGTACCAACTTGGAGCTGTGACCGTCTAGTTCTCATTGGGGACGCAGCGCATCCTATGCTACCTCGTATGTTCTTTTGAGTCAGGCCTGCATGCAATGCAACATCATTTCTAACACCCATACTATAGACCAAGGCCAAGGTGGTGCCCAGGCTATCGAGGATGCAGGTGCATTGAGTGAGATCTTCACTCGGTTGCCGGCCAACCCCACGGCAGATGAGATCCGCGACCGTCTAGCAGTATTTGAAAGGGTTCGGATCAAGCGTGCATCAGCGATACAGGTCTGCTCAAATGTTGGACAGGACGAAGCTTGGAAAATCCGGGAACACGCACAGAAGTACATGCCGGAAGGGGTTAATGTGCCCACGTCGCCATCAGAGTTTATGGAACATAACTTCCGTTACGACGTGCTCAAGGATAGTCGGCAGCATCTCGAGGACTTCTTGGAGAAGAATTAGAATCAGGAAGCTTCACTTTCGTATTGACTGGATAGATTTTACCGCAATCTACCATATTCTACGTTGGCTCATGGTATCTACTACGATTTTCTATGGCGACACTCCTTATTGGGGCATAAAGTTTGAAGTAGGTAAGAACAAAAAGTTCCGATGGCATAGGCTTGAGTAGGCTGGTAGAATAGAACATCAATGGCTACGACGCGGTGGGCATTTTTATACTACTATATGTTAGACTTATAAGACGACTACAAACTCCAATGGCCCTAAAGCTTTGTAGGGGCAGGGATGCAGACAATTATGACCCAGCAGCTGCGGCGATGGATTCCTTCGCACAACCGAAATCACAGGTATTTTTCTACTGATCTACATCGCTGTGCAAAAGAGAAAAACGTTCAAGTTCAATGCGATATGGGTATTTGTCAGGCTTTTGTCTCCGTATGCTCTACTGCAACGGCTCTATCGAACTAATACATGGCGGATCGCCATTCTAAATTACATATGATACATGATTCATTTCCATTTCCACTCGGAGTTGCGATGGATGAAATAGTCCTTGCTCTGAATCGCCTTGCGAATGCCCCAAAGCCCACCAAGGGGCCAGATATCGCGCAGTTTGCGACTCCACGACTCGCTGCGCTCTTTCCGATCCGCTTCGACATCGATGCGCACTTTATCATACACGCTGGGCAGGGTCTCCGCCGTGTACTTCCGTCGCAAGCCGTCATACCAGTCGCGATCGTACATCTTCCAAAACTCGTCCTGGTTATAGTATGTGTGGGCATAGAACCATTTCATGCCGCCCAGCTCCCGTAGTCGCCGTTCCAGATCTCGATTTGCGGCGACAAACGTGTCCGGATCCTTGGGTCCGAACCCCCACACGCCAATATTTAACATCTGGCCGGGCGTGAAGCCCTCACTCTTCACCGTGGTCTCATGCGGGTGGAAGGTCGGCGCTGGGCTTTGCTTCAGCGGACACAGCCATAACGGCCAAATGCCCAACTTCTCGCTGGTATAGTCGATAAAGGACTCGGCCGTGGCGTATGGCAGCGCCAGATCCTGGATCATGTACCGACTCGACTCCCCGCTGGCATGCAGCGCCTTGTATAGCATCCGGGTGTGTAAGAAGTCATCCAGCCACCAGCGCGTGAGTCGGTTGAAGGGGAAATGGAAGTACTGGAATGCCGACCGTCCGACCCAGAAGCCGGCACGGTCGTAACGGAAGAGATACTCGGCCAGCGGGATGTAATCCGAGACGGGGCCCTGTGCCGCTCGCGTCTTCTCCTGCACATGGAGATAGTACCATGGGTCCCAGGCATGGCTGAACGTCTGCACCTGCGCCGCAGAGGGCATCTCGTCCGTCATCTCGCCCGCGACCACCACCCCGTGTTCCGGCCCGTAGACGATCCCATCGACATAGTCATTCCGGTCGTTCAATGTGTGTTCGTGCACCGAGTGGACCGAATCCTTCACACTCCGCTGTGGATGATACGTCGCCTTGACGAACTTCTTCGCCTCGATCAACTGCAGCTCAATCAGGGTGGTGACGCCTAAACTGCCCACCGCACCGGCAGCGCCGTGGAAGAGATCCGCGTTCTCACTCTCCGACGCCTTGACCACGCTGCCATCTGCCAGGATCATCTCGACCGAATGGATCGTCTTGTCAAAAAACCCGTATTTGAAGCTGGAACTTTCCCCGGCCGTACCCGCAAAGCCGCCGCCTGCGGTGATGCCCGGGAACTCCATCACGACCGGCGGCACCAATCCGTATTTCATGGTGGCCTCGACCAGGCGGTCCATGGGGACATTGGGCTCGACGAGGGCCCTTCTCGTGGTGGGATCGACGTGTAACACATTGCGGAGGTCGCCAATGTCGACTTCGCGGTCTCGGCGGATCGGTCGCGTGCTGTTGGTCGAGCCATGGTTGATTCGGAAGGGCTCCTTGCGCTCGTAGAAACCCCGAATGCTGTTCGCAATGCGGGAGACCGCCGTCTTATGGCGTGCCAGCCCCATGCCGGGCAGAATTGTGCTAGTGGTGGTGGGTAGTGGTCGCGCCGGATGTGGTTAAAGACGCTCGCGTTTTCTGGTCGGTCGCTTTCCTGGCGGTCGGGCAAAACCGGAAGTGTTTGGATAAGGTCGGGCCCACCCGGAAGGGATGACATGGAGAGATCACAGCCAAGTCTATACATACATACATACATACATCCGTACACCTCTCTATATTCTTGGGTTCTGACTAGTGTTTCCACGTTGTATTCTATTAATGGTGAGTTTCTGTGTTTGCCCATAGTACAGACTACTCCATTATCTACGAGGCAGCCTTCCAGCACAAAAGTGACATCCTCGGTAGGGTTATGCCTCTCAGGCCCAAGAAATGATGTTTGATGATCTTATGAAATGCTCAAACACCCCGTCGAGCAACAGTTCGGTGGCTTCACAAGGGGTTTGGTCTACGGAACAGCGAATACAGGTCTGGTGCAGTGTGACTGTGTCATTGGATAAACTAAACAATTTTATTCTTGATAATCAACAGGGCCCATTTGAGACGCGAGGAAAGCTCAAGGCCCATTCCGTAGCCACACGATGTACCCCAAAAGGCTTACATCCTAGACATTAACCGGCTCTGCTTGCGGTCGTTTGAACCGGAACATTTGAATCATTTCGGCCCAGAACCCTGGCGCAGGACTGGTGAAGGTAGCTTCGTAGGAGTCCACTATCGGTCGGTCCCAAACCAAGTCGACTTCCTGCGGCTTGAGGATCTTCGTCCGGTGAGCGAACTTCCATCCAAAATACAATATGGGGGCGATGATCTGCATGGTGTAATTCTGGAAGAAAGTCTCCACATTCCACGGCGCGAATGCGGTATACCCGTAGAAGAGTAAGACCAGGACCATGCACACCGCACCGAGGTAGGAGCAGTACGGCTGGAAATAGCCGTAGTATGGAAATTGTTGTCGGTCGATGCCCTGCGCTTTGCATGCCCGATGGAACTGGATGTACGTGATACAGATGACCAGATAGTCAATGAGTGCACCGGCCGTAACCAAGTTGACTAACCACGTCAAGACTTGGGACGAGTTGTCGGAGAGCTGTAGGAAAGACAGGAACGGAAAACACATGACGACGCCAAACGCATAGAGAGGGACTCCGTTCTTCGTCTTGCTCAGGATTTTCGGTGCCCGACCGTCGAGGGCCAAGCCGTAGAGGGATCGAGTGGCGCAGTAGGTGAGGGTGTTGCCCGCCGAGAAGACGGACGTTATGAGCAGGGCATTGACGATGTCAGGCAGGATGCGGATCTTCATATTCGACATTGCAATGACATAGGGAGACGCACCACCTCCTTTCTCATTGCTCTCCCCGGCAAGAATGGCTTGCAGAGTTGGGTCATTCCACGGAATGACGATGCCGACACACAGGGCACCTAGGGCAAAGAATAAGACAAACCGCCAGTAAATGGTTTTAAAGGCAGCCTTGACAAAGATCCGGGGCCGTCTAGACTCGGCAGCGGCCATCGCGATATATTCGGGTCCCACAATGCAGAAAGCAGCAGACCAGATGGCAGCCAGGAAACCCTCAAACCGACCCAGGCTATCGGTCGTGCGATGCGTGGCAAAGGGGCCGGGATCGTTCCAATAGCGAAACCCGTATGCATCGTGAGCTGGGTTACCGCCAACCATGGTAATGAAGGTGAAGAAAAAGAGCATGAAGATCAGGATGACCTTCCCCGAGGAGAGCCAGAACTCAGCCTCCCCGTACGCCGCGACGGCGAGAGCATTGATCGCACTATTGAATGTTCAGCTTGGGTTCTCAATGGGACTAACCACTGTCTAATCTTCACAAATAGGATTTATCTTGGCAGAGTACGTTACAATGTCGCTTTGGGAAAATGTGGAAAGGCCGGGCAGGAAAGGGATCGTTGCTCTGGGGTCATACGCAAAAAGAACGATACATGCCACACACACTGCGGCGACGGGGATATCGTCTCTCCAGTAGCCAAGGATCAGGTTGATGGCGGTGATCTCGAAGGGGATCATGAGAGCTTCGTAGAGAAAAAAATTCCAGCCGACCATGAAACCGAGGGCGTCGTCCACCCACTTGCCCGCGATACGGATGAACCCACCGGACACCGGATGCAGGACAATCATTTCCGAGAGACAATTGTTGATACAAGCGAGCACCCCACAGTACAGGACGTATGCAATCAGCAGACTGGCCGGGCCCCCTGCGGCGAGGCCATTGCCGATAGTGACGAACAGTGCCGTCCCAATGGAGCCTCCAATGGCGATCAGTTGAACATGTCGGTTCTCGAGTCGCCGTTGCAGACCCTCCGCACTATTGATTTGGCCTTCTTGGACATTGGCCTCGACCAGCTGTGGATCCTCCTTCATCTTCAAGTCAGGCTCCATAATGTACACAGGTTGTCGCACTGGGCAGGGGCAGATCGGGTAGAAGACGGCTTAGTAGTACAGCGATAGGCTGCATATCAAAGATTTGAATCTGTTTTCTAGGAGGACAGTTTGTCAGAACCTGGGGATTATATACTCTTGGTCTGGTCTCCCCTTATGCTCTCTATCGCTCCATAGTTCTTAATCTCGGGAAGCCTCCCGGGACGTCATGACCGCAGATCTATCTCTATACTTCTCAGGCTTCAATCAATTGCCTCCGGGCCAGATTGCGCTAAATCTAAATCCCTTGGCACTGCTCCCCCGCAACTCTAATGACCAACACTTCCCCGCTTGATACGTTGAGCAACCAGACGCATGGCCAATGTTAGGGCTACGGTGTGGAGATATACACCGTTGACCCCGCGTTGGAATCACTGCGCCACTTCATGATTGACCGGTCCTTATCTTCTTCGACGCTTTCCAACCCACTTGTTGTTCGCCTTCACACTAATTCGTCCCAAATGGGAAACAGAAATGAGAGCACATTCACACGGCCCATGGTTGTCCCGGGGAATGCCTTCCTCGGTGTGTAGAGAAGGGTTTGGAACGAGAATGACCAACAATCCAATCATTGATTCATACGTTGAGCCCATTACAATTCTCAACGTCTCCGGTGGGATCGTACACTGCTATGGTTTCGGGGATAGTGTCTGACCTTCGCAAGGTCTTTCCACAATGTGCCTCTCTCGGAGCTAGGAACCTCATTTCTCTCTGTCGCTGATCTGTCCACCACGCGACTATGTCTACAGACGAAGCCGAAGATACCACGACCCGCACCGGAGCTTGCATTTGCAAAGGAGTAGGGTTCACCGTCACAGGTCCTCCCGAGGATGTATTCTGTTGCTATTGCAGTGACTGCGCGATTGGAGCTGGGGGACCCTGTCAGATTGTGAGTCACGGATATGGCTGTTACATCTTTTGATCGATCGCAACCTCCAGCCTGCTGTTGCGTACCCTAAGCTGACGGCTCCAGACGGCCAGCTACGCTTCATCCAGCGTCACTATTCGCGATCCGGACGCTCTCCTTACCTGCTACACGATCACGAAGGGTACTGTCAGCGGCCGTGCGAAAGAAAAGCATTTCTGCAAACGATGTGGATGCACAGTTTTCACAGTTCCTTTCAGCCTTGGACGCCAGTACATCGTCATACGACCAGTGCTCATTGAAAACGGGTAAGAAGGAAAGCCTTGTCTGCGATCAATGCATTAATGACCTTCGCACAGCCTCGAAATCTACAAACCCGGACTTGAATGCTTCGTAAAGCGACGTCCTAGCTACTTTTCCGGGTGCCAATCAGCCAAGGAATACGACATAATGCCAACCGATGCTAAGAGCTCGGGCACGCAAGACTAATGTATGGTAGGATCATTCTTTTTCCTCTGTCATTGGATACAGAACTGATATCTTATATCTTGCAAGTGTATGCTCACGGAATCTACCTGAGTGCTTGAACGGTGCGAATTCTCAATGAACCCGAAGCCTAGTGCTGAATGATATTTCAAATGAGCAAGACATACAAAGGTACAGATAAAAGTCCAGTATTCACAGAGAGCACCCAAAGGCCTGAGGCCGTAATCCACCACCAGCATGTCACCGGACTCCTTACACTGTCGCTCTTACATCCTCTACCTCCTCCACTTGTTTGATATCCTTTCCATCAGCATGCGTCGCCTCTCCAGAATATGGTACCTCGTTCCATGTATCGCTAGTGCATGGAATGGGGAAAGCCTTTGCCAAGGCCCAGTATATAGCGGCAGCCACCAAGAAGCCGGACAAATAATTGATGTTGTAGATGTATTCCGCCGCCACCGGTACATCCGCACCAACGGCGCCAGCAAAGCCAACAACATTGATTAGTATGCCACATATGTAAGCCGTATAGCCCCTCCAGGAAACACCCCACGTGCCATAGTACGGGCCGTTCTTTTCGGCACTATATAGAGCCGGGATTTCCAGGTAGCCTCGACGGACCAAATAGTAGTCGCTGACCATGACCCCGGCGATCGAAGATAGAAATACCGAATAGGATGACAGATAGACCGTGAATTTTGCGGAAGATGCCACCAAGTTCCACTATGAGGTCTGTCAATAATTGTAGTGTAGTACCCAGGGAGAGGCGAATGGGATGTCAGATGATTCAATCGGTCATGAGAGATGGGGAGGATGCTTACCGGGCACATAGCCAGACCAATAGCTGCACACACGTACGCTCCTCGGCGAATGGTGCAAAATCTAGGGAGCAAGGCCGAGAGATTTGTTCCAGCGGATACAGAGTTGGCCGCAATATTGGTTCCTAGCTGAGCCAACGCAAAGCCAGCGGCGATCACAAACACCCCGAACCGTTCCGCCGAACTGGCGTCTTGCAAGAACATTCCTAGCAAAGTGAGAGGATTCCAAACCGCCTCGCCGAAGATCACCGATGAAGATGAAGTTACCACGATTCCGATAAACGACGTGACGGCAAAGCCCACTGGGATCGTGATCAACTGTGGCCATATCGCATCTTTTGGATGGCGTGCGTATCGGCTAAAGTCAGGGTTATTGATGATCAAAGCGGCGAAATTGGCAATGCAGTTCATAATGCTTTTCACCACAGCCCATGCTAAGTCGCTTCCTTGCGCAGTATTGGGCTGATGGATGATAGGACCCAATCCATGAGCGCGAACAATCGCCCAGATGAAGAAAGCAATTGCGCAGGCAGGTGAAAAGTATGCTTTCGCCGTGAAGAGGTGCCGGATCTTATAAATAGGAAACCATAGGGCGGGGAGTGACCCCAGCCAGAACAAAAAGAAGCTGGTGAACTCCATGGTGGTGACGCCTGAACTGGCTGGGATGTTATTGGGGATATTCACGTAGCTGGGCCAAATGGCCTGGATCATCAGAGTCACACATTGCCCTGACACAGAATTAGTCCTCCTCTAGCAAAGGAAGGTGGTGGCATAATATACCTCCAAGATAAGTCTGTTGGGCCGAGTGGGTTAGAGGAGTACTAGTACTTTGGTGATTTGCAAATAAGCACATACCTGAACGCCATACCAAATGACAGCCATTGCCGCGCGATTGATAATCGGCCAGAACGAACCCCATATGCCAAAGGATGCTCGGTTGGCCACTGCGAACGGAATGTAATAGATGGTTGCAATGCGGCCCATGGCTACGACAAAGATACCTGATATTGTATAGCCGGCCCAGACGCAGAGCCAGGACTGCCACCAGGAGAGTCCATCCACAATCATGGACGAGGTAATCATCCATGTATTCTAGTAAATTCCAGAGTGATTTAGGAATAATGCACTAGGGTCAAGATTGGGCTGGTTTTGGGGTAGCAACATACGACATTCAGCGAATCCGCAATCCAGAAGGCTACAAAGTTCAGCCATCTCCATTGGCGACGCTCCGGCTCGACTGGACGCGATCATCTTGATGTATCAGTGCTCAATTGACGAAACATCTGTGCACTCCATGAAAACACGTATCGGAATCCATGGATTGTGCTCACCTGGCTTTAGATCTTCATTCGTTAACATTAACTCCGCCGTCGTCAGACCAGGTTCTGTCGGCACCTGTAGGGCCTTGATGGACCTCTTGAGTAATGACATTGTTGGATTTCATAGAACGTTGCCAAGCAGAGAGAAGAACAAGCAACGTTGTATGATGCGAGCTGCCGACCATGAGACTTGGGGGTGTCTGGTTAATATATACCCCGCATTATAGGCAGACAAAGATCAACATCTATACAGTTAGCTTCTCCCCGCAGACGGCCGACTCCGTAGTGGAAGCTAAATCAAACGCCTTAGAAGCCGAGGTGACTACAGTAAAGTCAATCAGGGACCACTCAAACAAGACACAGACCGCCATTGAGGGGGGTTTGCAGTGCGAGGCGAAGAAGGTCGAGTCCCTTTTCAACCCCAGTGTCGATCTCCCCACAGTGGTTTTGTGATCAGCGTTGGGGTTTGATCTGAGGTGACCAATAGAAGCAAGAACATGCTTCCAGAAGAGGGAGAACCCGCATATCAAGGTTTCGTTTCAACCGCTTCTCCTCATCCTTAGCGATGGCGGCATCAACAGGGTAGATTTGAATTGCTTCTAAATCTAATCCAGAATGCTCTTGGACCTTGGCTAATAGCCGCAGTCGTCAAGGATCTAAGGACATTCTATGTTGGTTCCACGTGTCGCAGATCCTCAATATGCACCAGGTCTGGCACCTCATCGTGTTTGGAATCCACGGTGTGCGGGTATCTTGTTCATGCAAACCTCCAGTAAGTGAATCAGCAAGCATCAAAAGGGAGACCTGGATCCCCAGAACCCTGTGAGAGACGTGCACCATCAATATACTAGGTATTCAGCTCACTAAACAGGGCGATCAGTTCCGGATTGGGATAATGAAGAAACGGCAGGTAGCAAGCGATGAGGGGATTAATTGTAACAAGACTGGCTCTAGCACACCAGCCTCCTGGAATTCGACTTTCTAGCCATCGGGATTTGCAGGGAGCTGGAGATGATCTCATCCGGCACCTTTACATTAGGGCCGATCTTTCTCTGCTTCGCACGTGTCTTTCACCAACTCGTGTCGGCGTACTTCATAGGGTGCCTGCCCTTGGTATCCCCTTTTTCTAATGCTCGGGGGCAACCATAGATGCATCGAAGCTTGCAACCATGTCATGGTTCCGGCGTTCTTCGTAGTTGCTCCCACAACTGACAATGGATTTGAATCTTTATGTCCCGATTTCGATCTCCACTTTTGATGAGATGATTCTCCGGCGATTACTGAAAATGGCAATTCCGTCAGCTCTCCGAAGGTTGTTTGCACTGTTTGATTGTGTGAGAGTAAAACGAAATCCATTCCCAAATCTCTAAAAAAATATCACAGTTAAGTTGACATTAATCCGTCCTGGAAAGACTGGCGTACCCCAGCAATGTTATGTAGAATACTAGAAGAAGGTTGAAGGAGCAATCGCCCAGAGGAACAGTGGTAGTGACTGTGCCAACATGGACCCAAATATATATACGTATATTTTTGCGCTTTCTCCCCTATTCCCCATGCATATAGCAGTGGATAAGATACCCACCCCGCACGAATATAGCTAGAAGCAAAACCAAGATTTCGATCCTACTATAGTACGGTCAATGCTATATCAACTGGTAGTTGTGGCTATCTACGCTGGTTCAAGACCTTCCGCTGGCCAACATTCTCTCAAATCTCTTAGGATTCCGGACATTGTCCGCCGTGGCAAACTCTCGGAGATATTACTAACTGATGTCAAAATTCGCTAGGATCGTTACGGTTAGGTCAAGAAGAGACTAGTCAAGGGCGGCGGACTCCGTAATATCAACCAGATTCGACTTGTCCAGTGGATTTCCAATGCTTTGCTGGCACCAGCCCCAAAGCTAAACCCAATCCAGAGCTAACCGTGGTGCAAACCCGTCAAACCGCCGCGGGAAAATTGGGACGGCGAAGTCTATTCAACATTCGATTCTTTTTTCTCTCTAGCATGGCGACAAAAGTCCAGAAGCGAGGCCACGCTAAGGGTTAGTTCGAGCGGCCATACCAGCCTCGAACCACTACCTAGGCTCGTACTATTTCCTCCCTTCATGTCACACGGACCTGAATGGCGAGATAGGAGAAATGCAACCCAAAAAAGAAGAGCCACTAGCCCACTTGAGAGTAGTTCGTCCATGCTGTCCAGCACGGGGCAAGTCTAGTCCTAGATAAGGAAAAGAAGACTACTGTAGCGCGCGAGCTAAAGCTTCATCGAGACTACTAGACCCTGCGGGATTGAAACCCTGCCAATCACCATGAGGCTCCTGCAAGTTTTCAATGGGATACTACCATACGACATGAAGCAATTTTAACATCGCTTGGCGAGGTCATGAGGCTCGAGTTGGGCTCTGGCCAGGGATTGTTTGAGTAGTATTAAAGCCATGGGTGCTACCATGACTGCGTCCCAGAGAGGGACGGAGATTTTTGCGCGACCATTGCCGGCGGCCATCCAAGATGGCGCCCTCACACTCGTTTATGTTGTTTTTGTCGGTCGTTTCTACCCACCTGTGTTCATTCGTTTTTGCCGTCCCGTGGGTTGTCACAGATTACTACGAGCAGGCTGTCGTCACTGAAGACTACTACTACACCAGCAGGGTCATCACTACGATCCAGCAAATTTCCCCGACTGCCACTTCCCTGCCCGAGGCAGCATCGACCATCACCTCCATCGGGACCGGATACTACGGAGAAGATGCAACCGTCATCCAGAAGCTCTATCCCACCGGCGTAGGGAAGCCTGCCTATGATTACGATTATCCCTCCTACTACGACAATGATTACCATTACACCATCTTCAAGGTGTACTTGACCTACTCAGCTCCAACAGGCTGCGCAACTCAATGGACACAGACCACTGCTGTCCCAGTAAATCCGCCCCGTGTGTTGGAGGACTTGCTGCCTCGGACTGCCATGGAGACTTCAGTTTCGGTCGACTCCAGCCAACCCTTCCAGCCGACCACTTACACTTATGATGTGGTCTATGTCGACCCAACTCAGGTCCCTAGTAGTACTCTGGCGTCACTCAGTTACTACAACCGACCCACCTCCCTCTACACTGGTGCACAGTGCTATTATACGAGTACAGACAGTCCCTCCTACAACGGCGGTTACTACGGCTACGACGACGACTACAACTGGTTCCTCGATGACTACTGGATGGGTATCTCACCGTTGGCCCTTACCCTGATTCTCACCCTAGGCTGGATTGGCCTGTTTCTGATCCTAGGATTTATCGAGGCCTTCGTTCGGTTCCGCCGCCTGATGACTGGCTGGCAAACCCGGCGCGGTCTGCCCGTCTGCTGGTCTCTCACTGTCATCCCAATTAGCCTTCTCCTTCTTTGTTTCTTCCGTAAGGGCTATCGCGCCCGCTCACAGGCTGACTCGGAGATTCTGAAGAAGAGATGGGCTGCCATGGGTTTCTGGACCAAGCTGCGCCTATTCTTCGTATGGGGATTTCGGTTCAAATACCCACCGATGCTGGGCCCGGCGCCAGCACGCGTGAAGACAAGCAAACAGCCGGGCAAGAACCCCGGGCCCCGTCTCCTGACCCCAAGTCCATCGCAGAGCGTGGCACCGGGCTCGCGTCAGGGATCCACCGCTGCACGTAGTACTCCGGATCTTGAAATGGCGGAAGTATCTCCGGAACCTTCGCAGCATCTATCTCAGCCCGCTGCTCTGCCGTCGACCGCATCCGGGGCGCTTCCACCTCATCAGGATGACCAGATTGGTCACGCGCATTGAGCGACATGTTGGTGTTGTGATGGGATTGTTGGCTAGCTACCACATCAGGGTGGAACGCAAAGCGGATTTGGCACGGCGACAACTCGAGGTCGCAGTGGCCACCTGTCATTCCTTTCTGCATGTCATATAATTCTTCTATACGGGGCCGTCTGACTATGTACCACCTATTACTCACTCTGCTCGCCTCCCATTGTGCCTTTTAGCGATAGACCTTCGTTGGGCCGTACATAATGTCTTAATGTCTATATTAAATTAATCTCAAGTAGCATATACCACACTCTCATTGCCACATTCAACATATCAGTAGCAACAGTGGACATAGTTACCGGGGAACCAGACGGAACAGGTCCCCAATCACAGGAATATCCGTATCAGCAACGCAGGGTCAAACTCTGGTATTGAGGACTGTTTCTTCATCGAGAAAACAAAACACAGGAGCAAGGTACAAATGTATATTGAGTGTATAAAAAAGAAAATACCCTACCCTTTCAACAAGGGCAAATAGTGAACACATAAGTTGATAAGTCAGGGTTGAACCCCAAAGCCACACAACCCTCAACAGGAAGAGAGCAAACAAATATTCACATAAGTATGCCTTTGTTTCTCTCTATCTCCTCATAACACTCTGCTCCGTAGACTCACCATCTGTCTTTGTTCTGTGCTAGTCCCAATCCATGCATCGGTGTCTCACATCAACTGTAATACCGGAGCCAGAGTCAAGTACCTGCATTTAAACATGCTACACGGCAATCGGCTACCCTTTATCCAGGAACCCATAGACAGAAAGCTCGTATCTGGATGGCCTGGACGAATACGTCTCACGTGATTGATTCCAGGAGGATAACACTGACATGCCCTCACACTCCAGAGGTGAGGATGGTAGGCTAATCTTCCTCAAAGCACTGTACATCCGTCCCGACATTGCCGTTATGTGACTCTCCATCGTCGAGGAGACAAGCGTCAAAAGGAGACGTATCTGCGTCGACGTTGTGAAGTAGGCTTAAATACCATGTATCGTTGAGAGATGTACTCCCTTGTTGACCGTTCAGCCGGTGTTGTTCCTTCTGCACGCTCTCTGCAGCAGGCACGGTTATTGGGCTCTTGGGGGACGTTATTGCCCACGGAAGCTTTGGCAGGCCCAGAACCAAGTACGTTGTGTCTCTGATTATCGGCGGAAGCGATTCATTTCGCGGAAGACGGCCGGTGGCCAGACTCGAGTCAATACACGTTGAAATCAAGAGATATGCACGAGGATACTTCAGGAACACTTCGGCCCAGCCTCTTATTCTCAGTCTTTTAAACGCAGGCGATAACAGTTTATTACGCCCCTTGCTCTCTGAATCAGTATCTTCGAGGTAGTTTTGGCGTTCGATCAGTGATAAACCATCCTGCGGCATGTTGCTTTCTAGAAGCAGGTTTTTAGTAATGGCATATGCTAGGTGCAGAATCTGATTTGTGCCTTGCGAGAATAGCTCTGTGACATCGTACACCCTTCGTGACTGGTCAATAACCTCAGAGCACTTAGCAAGAGAACGTTTTCGTTCGACCATGTCCGAATACGACAAAGAGAGCTTGACATCTATCGCAGCGAGGACCATTGGAGTACCGCAATAAGCAAGTCTTGAGGCTTGGTCAGTAAGAGTAAACAAGGAAAGCAAAACAGAACAAAACAAAAAAAAAAAAAAAAAAACCCAGTGTGAGCGCCAGTCTAGCCTCAATTTGGATGTTGAAATAGGCAACTAGGGACTGAGGGTGTATTGCCAAGGGCGAGGGAAAATTTGTCAGAACTTACACACTCAATGGGATATGCTCTGTTAGGTTCCTTGCACTAAAATAACCAAGCTTTTGCGTGATCTGATATACAGATTCTTTCAAGTCCTTCGCTAAAGGTAATAGGATCGATGTTGAGTGGTCTTGAATCATATCACGATGACTTTCCACAAGAAGTGTCTCATAATGGCCCAGGACCATGCGAGCGGTACTATAAATTTCATGAGCGAGAATATAATCGTATACTCGCAGGGTCAGAACTCACTGGTAGTGCATGGCAGTTAGATTGATCATAATTCCAACACTCTCCGGCTCGGCAATGCCAGTATCATGCAGGGGAGAGTAAATCGTTTCTTCCCATTGAGTGAGCTCCGCTCGCACCTCTCTGATCTTTGTGAGATATAAATCAAGTTCATGAAGGGATAGACGCGGAGCATCTCCGTCCGAAGCTGAGAAGGAGATAGTTATCACATCCGTTAAAATCACGGCCAGCCGGCATTGGGCTTGGAACACTTTCAGCAACAGGCGCTTGACATTTGGCTCATAAAATGGGGACATGATGATTTCGTTGGCCATCTCTTCCTCGTGTAGGTAGTCAATGTTCATGTTGAAATTCGCGGACGTGAACTGAGGGCGACGGTGACGGCCAAGCCATAGGAAGCGATCGCGGACAAAAATAGACCACCACAGCCGTTTCTTGACACTTATGTTGGGTTCCTGGACCGAAAGATGGAGATCGAGGCCTGTAGCGATTGCATTGTGAATTGCGCACATATTCCAGGTCATCGTTGCCTCGGGGTCTTCGGCTGTGGTATGGAATGTCAGCAGCAGGGCGCCTTGTGCTCGTGCTAAGGGGTTGCTCTCGGAGTTAGTATCATACAGCATCTACTTGACCGGGTGCACATTAGCAGACCGATTATCGTTTTTTCAGCATGAGCGAAGATCCAGAAGAACACATACCTTGGCGCGCTGATAAAACGCTCTTCTTGCTTCGCATGTATCGTTGAAGCCACATTGCTGGATGATCTCGACGGGCACAAACTGCACCATCCAGTCCATGGTTAATCTGAGGTCGAATGGCCGCATGATAGGAGAAGGATACATACCGCACAACTCGAAAGCAGCATGGCCTGGAATAGGAAGAGGGAAATTTTAGGCGCGTACTCGGCGTCTTCCAGTTGGAGATACGTGTTCCAAAACTCTACTTCATCCAGAATGGGAACGGAAGGATGCACGAGCAGGAAGTATTTCATGATGAAGACATCCAATGCAGCTTTGGGGGGCATGTCCAGACAGCCACCTGTGACCAGAATATGTACAACGCTCATCGGAAGGGGAGAGAGGGCATTGAGGTCTAGGAATTGTTGCCCAGAAAAGCTAGGGCCGACACTGTCCAGCCTCATCCGAGGAGAGATAACAGGCTGGGGATCTAATATCTGGCTCGAAGCATCAGACTCAGTTTCAAATATCGTTTCGGTATGATTGGGCGAGTCCAACAATTCGGGGAACCCGGAGGCTGGCGGCAGTGTGGAGGGCTGAGGAGTGGTCTCGCTGGGCTTCTCGCTGGCATTGACGGTGTTTTGTTCGTCTCCAATTGGCTTCGCCGACTTCTGGGCAGTGCTTCGACGCTGGCTCTGTTTCAGACTCTTGAATCGTGCTGTAGCATTCGGACGCAGAGTACAGTCCGTTCTGCCATCGAGCACGCAGTTTGTGCAAGGGTAGCCGAGAATCGATGCATCGCAGCGCACCTTGCGTCCATGGCACCGGTAGCAGGCCGCCGCCGCCCGTCGGATGCGCTTTTCCACTGGCCGAGGGCCTTTAGTCTGGTACATGGTGCCCCAGGAAGCTAGTGGGACCAATCAGTGTAAAAAAGTCTGACTATGTAATATCTCGATCTCCAGCGATCATGGAACAGAAGGAATACGTAGAATGTATAGTAGCGGTGGGAACTCCAGGTCTCTAGTGCCTTCAAACGGCTGTGTAGCCTTTAGATATCAATGCCATCCTGAAAACTTGCGACTCTCACTATGAACCGCCATAGCTGACTCCCGCATGACACGCAACTCTCTTCCCCAGAATATGCAGTCTCGAGGAACTCCAAACTGGTCACACCCCGTTCAACATGCGTCTGATCCTGAGCGAATTAGAGCCCAATGCAGCCTCACGGGCCGCGGTATGCTGTCTTCCCCCGCGGGGAAATCTTATTTCGCAAAGGATGGCCATGATCGACTTGCGGGGTATCCCTCGGACCATTCTGCCCATCAGGTGAATCGGATTACAGTCATTTTGCTAGTGTCGTGTGAAGGTTAATTGGTGTTGTGTGTTAGTACACCTATTGACCACATCTATTGGGGGATAGGCGATTAGAGCGGGTAGAGGGGCGATATATTGTCTATCCTTACATCTGGCTCCTTAAACGGATAGCCGATTATTATTAATTTTGTCCCAAGTATAGTTCCAGTTCTCAAGGAAGAACTCGCGTCTTGTTCCTCACTTCCCCTCCCCATGAAAAGAGTCTAATACCATATTATGGGAAAAGTGAAATCGGATATTATGGGTATACCCCATGCCAGAGAGGAGCTGGATCTCGACCTCGAAGCCGCCGATGTTCCTGGCAGGCTCGGTTGGAATGAGCAATCATATGCATGGCCACAACTCAGGAGTCATCTGGAGCGAGTCCTGTGCTGGACCCTTTCGTGGATTGTCTTTCTGGCTGTCGTCTACTTGTATCGTGGGTCATTCTATGCCAAATAGATTGAACTAAGCTAACTCATGACAGTGGCTTCCTGAGGGTTGATGTTGGCTGCTGCTTTTCAAGGATGTGATTCTTATTCTCGATGTTTAGCTAGGCTCATCGTTATCGGGAGTTTAGCATACTGTGTCCATGGCTATTTAAAACTCTTAAACCAAGGTTCATGTATATATAGCAGTCTTCCGGGAAGGTTAATTCGACCCAGTGGGATATTCCATATGTTTATAATCATCCAAAATGCCACCACGAAGCTATTGAATGTGAGTTAACTTGCAGTCGATTCACGTTCCAGTCTGGTCAAATACGCATAAATACATAAGATACCGAACAATCCATCTGGTTCATGACTATGCATGGGAATAATAGAGAGCGACTCAATACACTGGCAGAGTTGAACGAGAGAGTCAATAAAGTTAACGAAGGGTTATAGTAACACACTGCAGACTGAAGCAATAATCATCAGACGTAACAAAAGTAATCGTAATGCATTAGGCCATCCTCCTCAACCGACGACGCATGTCCCTCATGTAGTATTTCATGGGAATGGTCCGGATAAAGCGCGGGATAATCGGGTAGGCGACCTTGGCTCCTAGGATCACGGATTTATAGATTGAACGCCGCAAACGACCATCGCTCATACCATACTCCACGCGCAGACGCTGGGGCAGCATCTGAGCTGTCATCAATCGCACGAAGGGCAGGCCCATACGCAGTGGGAGGAACAACTCCTTGTTGTACAGCAGGTCCTGGGCGATGTTGCGGGCGTGATCGGTAACTTCTAGGTTGGCCACCGTCTTGTCCCAGTAGCGCCAAAAGGCCTTCTGGTCCTTGGGCCAGATCTCGAGCGGCACACGCAGTGACCGCGCCAGGACGGAGTATTCTCGATAGATCAGATCAGCCTTGCGAGGCTCCATGGCGCCGTAGACTTCCTCGTACATGAAGATGCCGCTGGCATACAAGGTGGCTGCAACCCACATCTGAAGCTCCGGGTCATCCGCCGAATATCCTGGCCCATTGACCTCGGCGTGGGCACGATTGACCAGGGAGATAATCGCGCGCTTTTCATCCTTCGTGCCGAACGCCATGCAGTAGACGAAGGTCAACGTGGTCCGCAGACGGTGTAGTGGGCGGTACGCAAAGCTGCTGTGATTGTCGACGCCCTTGGCAACACCAGGCATGGCAACTTGCAGGAGGATGGCTGCAGCCCCGGTGGCGAGCAACACCCCTTCTCGTACGATCTTCTGCACATTCTCTGTACCTTGGAGTGAGTCGAGCAAACTGTCATCCGGTACCATGCTCAGAGTGTGCTTTTCCGAGATACTCGATTGCCATGGCTCCGGGGTGTCATCTCGCTTGGACTCGTCCGAGTCAGACGTGGTCACTGATGGTTTCGCCTTTTGTTCCATTGTGAAACTCTTTGGGGATGTATATAAGACGTGCCAGTAGAACCTTGTCCCACAGAATATCACTCCATCCTTCGAGTAAAAAGATCGCGCCGTGGCTTTCGTATATATAACCTGCTATCTTACATACTGGGCTATGGACAGACTCCACAACTACCACTGCACAAATTTAATTCCACGGCCGCAGTTGGCAGTCCGAGGTGGTGTAGATCTTCCGTGGGGCAGGACGGATAAATTCACCAAGCTTAATTAAATTAAATTGTCGCTGGAAGGTTTCTGTTCCGCGGCAAACGGTCCGAGGAGCAGGAATGCACAGCCTCCAATATACCTTGAACGAAACGAAAATATGAATATCGACAGGGTAAATGGACAAGATCTAAAAAATATAATTGATAGGAACGAATAGAGTGCCAAAATTTAAAACTCAAGCTCGAAGATGCCAACCTAGGTAACACCATCACGAGGCATGAATTCAACCCCCACCTTTTTGGTGGCCAGGATAATCCAAGGTAAGGCGTTCCTAAGAATTGTTATACTTGTTACTAGTGCGAATTGACCGCCTCCTAAGGTGTGGGGATGGACAGAGCCTGACCTCTCCACCCGGTCTAAGACAGACTACCCTAGTTGGACACCAAGCTTGTCTCTACTGAGTGACGATCAGAGGGATCGTGAGTAGTCAGGATGCTTAAGATAGTAACGATCTGGAGCGCTAGTCGTCCCCAGATCCCCGCTTTGATTGATAAAGTGTTTATTCCCCGCACCCCAGGGTGCCACATATGCTAGATGCATTCGCTGTTGTGTGCACTGGTAGCTTCCTCTTCTTCTTCTTAGAAAGGCACCGGAGTGCGTTTCGCAATTGCTGATCCTCCATGGCTATCGGTGAGTCGGACAGGCCCTTTGACAGCTCCAGTGCCTGGAGAGAGTCTATCGATTCCGACTCCCCGGGCAAGGAGAAACAGCGTGCAGGAGAACCATCAGGGCCTCGTGGTGGCAGTGGTGTTGGAGCCAGGTCCACAGAACCGAGATATAATAAGCCCAGAGGCTTTTGGCCGCGTATCCTGAAGCACATCAAGCGGTATTGGCTGTGTTATGGCCTCCTGGGCATCATATTTCTGGCAATCTTCTTGCCCGTGTTGTATGATCGTTGCCTTTCTGTGGATTCTTTCGTTGTTGACAAGATGAAACATTGCTAAGTCTGGGCTTAGTTTCCTGGTAATCATACCCGCAATCGCACAGAGGCTAGTCAACGATGCTAGCATTCCAATCCACTCTGTAGCTATCATGCAACCAACCCCTGATAGCTTAATGTTTTCGCTGTCTGCATCTCTAAATGTTCCCCTCGGGCTGAGTGTGCGGATAGATCCACTTAACTTGAGTCTATTCAATCGAGATGTGAAGCCGAGAAAACCATACGTGACGGCTCCACTCAATGGACTTCGCCTGAAAGGCAAATCCGACATCACGATTACCAACCAGACGACCAAGATCCTGGACGAGGAGCAGTTCACTAAGTTTTTGAGCAATGCGGTTTACTCGAAGAGGTTTATCTTATCGGCTTACGGTAAGACGACAGCCCACCTGGGAAAGATCAAAGTTTCCCTCACCCTGGATAAAGATATAGGACTAGATGGTAAGTGCTGCTGTTGCACCGCAGTTGATCGACCCAGTACCATTGACCTCCGGTGTTGCAGGACTCGATATGTTGAACGGGTTCTCTATTGATGCCGCCAGACTGGCCCTCCCACCAGAGGATGACGGTTCCAACCTGGTTGGGAAAGCAACACTGCCAAATTACTCTGTCGTGACATTTGCTCTGGTAAGCTAGATCATCGGTCTACGGGAACTCAGTAACTGACTTTTCGCACAGGGGAATGTCACTCTCAATCTTAAGGTCGATGACATGATTCTAGGAAACGGTACTATCAACAATGTACTGCTGAAGCCTGGAAACAACTCAGTTCCGTTGCGTGGAGTGGTGGATATCCCAAATGCGATCAGGAATATCGGGCCTATTTTAGCTGCAGAGACAGAGGCTCTGAGCCAGGGAAATGTGATGATCTCAGCATCCGGGAATTCGACTATCTACGACGGGGAGCATATATCGTACTATGAGAAGGTGTTGAATAACCTGACCATCAGCGCAAACGTGCCCATTCTCAAGGTGCTGTTTGGTTCCATCTCCGGATTGGTGTCATCGAATCCCGACGTGATGCAGAATGTGACCGACGCGTTGCGGCAGGCGAACTTGTCGTCCAGCCAAGATATGTGACTAGTGATGATGAATGAATAATGACATAGTGTTAATGACACAAGATGAGCATGGAACTTTTGCCGCGGTAGTATAACAACGGGCGTAAATCAACCATAAGGGCAAAGCGAAGAAGTCCTAGCCCTAGCTAGTGTCCCAGCGGCCGCCAATCTCGAGCCTCGTGGAAGTAAGCTAGCGACAACTACCACCAACCACAAGCGCAAGTGGCTTGAGAGACAGTCTGAGACAGGCGTACTTGTCTCATTTCCCCGCAATCCCAAGGAATCCTCAACATCGCTTCCCTAGTTCCCCGCATTTTAAATGAGCTCTCCACTCTATAGACTTTCGGTCCGCGGCAGTAGGACCGGCAGCGTGAAAGAGAGAACCTTGACATATGTAGAAAGCGAAAAAAAAAAAAGCCATCAGCCCCTCTCACACGCGCTGTTGTGATACTCGGCCGCGGTCACAGAGCGAGAGGGTCCAGTCGGACCCTTATACCGTCTAGCATTATCATGGGACCCCGCACGAGAATACGGCAGCGCTGTTTGTGGTCAACCTAGGCGAGGGCAGGGCTTGTCCGAAAGGAATTTTCTTACCGCCACGATGTGCAACGAGGAAAGGCTCGTTTCGACAGGGTAGCAACCAGCAGACTACGGTGCGATGGCGCACCTGGTCCTCGGTAATCACTGGCAGTGATGGAATACTAATAAGAGTCATCGGCTCCTGCTTGCATCCAGAGTGTCCGTGGCACCCATCCACATCAGTCAGAGTCCGCAACCCTACACAGGATGAGGGCTATTTCTCTACTGTCCCCAGTGCTGCTAGCTGCCCTCGCAGTCGCAGCTTCAGAATCAGACCACAATGCAACCGAGGGATCGACTGCGGTGAGCGTAGCCAACGTCCTAGCTACTAGCATAGCGCAGGAATCGGCTGCAACAGGTGACAGCAGCAACAGTGCGACACAGGAGCAGGGTGCGGTGAGCGCAGCCAACATCGCGCCTGTCAGCGCAGCGCAGGAACCAGCTGTGACAAGCGACCGCGGTAACAGTGCACAATCCACAGTAGCAGAAACTGAACAAAATACTGATGGATTCAACATTCCAGGTCCGACGAATCTTCCCTTATCTGTGGGTGATATTCCTATCCCGACCGTTTCACTTCCTGTCACTGTCAAGGTTCCCACACCCTCGATAGCCACCGAAGAGATTACAGTATCAAAAACCACAGTATCAAAAAGCACAGTAACTGAAAAGGCAACGGAGTCGACGCCCAGACCGTCTGCGAGCAACCCGGGTCTTGACTCCATTGAAGACCTCCTAGCAGGTGTGCTGGGTGGCGACGGACTCTCAGAGATCGAGGAGGGCCTCAAGAATGTTCTGAGCCTATTTACGCCATCGTTTGTCAGGGATGCCACTTCTCTGGTTAGCCAGGCCTCTGGGTTCTTTGACCAGGATACGATGCAAGATACGAAGGCCATGATCAGCACCTTGGGCAGTATCAAACCATTGCTCTCATCGCTCTCACAGAGCAATAGTAGTGAAGTTAGTGTTCAGGGGCTGACATCGCTGTTTGGTAATGGGTCAATTTTCAAAGACATCGACAATATCCTGAAGAGCATCGCTGCTCTACCGGCCATAATTAAGGAGATCCTCGATATACTAACGAGCGATGAAGTCCGGGAATTCCTGCAAGCGTTCCCGGAAATCCTGGATAAGCTCTTGCCGATCCTGAACCCGGAGCTAATCAAGGCTCTGGAGTCGTTGATCACGGAGAACCTGACACCAGAGCTGGTGAATGACTTGTCATCAACTCTGTCTGCCCTACGTCCGCTACTCCATGATATTCAACCTATCCTGGCGAACCAGACCATGGAGCCACTCCTGAATCTTGTGAAGACCATCATCTCACCCACGTTCATTAATGAGATCGAAGAGGTGCTGAAGGCTTTGCCGCCACTCATCAAGGACATCTTGCCTCTCCTTGGGTCTGATATTATCACCCCACTGGTGAACCTTCTCAAAGAGATCCTCACTCCTGAGTTCATCAAACAGATCTCGTCCCTGCTTAGCGACCTTCCTGAGCTATTCAATACTCTTGTGCCGTTGATCAAACCCATACAGGAACTTATTACGGAGATCGTGACACCAGAATTTATCAAGGAGATCGGGTCATTAATTAAGGCTGTGCCACCGATCATTAAGGAGCTTATACCTCTCCTTGAGCCTCTCGGCAATCTGATCAAGGAAGTCCTGACGCCAGAGTTTGTGAATGACATCAAATCACTAATCCAGGCAGTGCCAGGCCTTTTGGACACGATTCTACCGCTGGTGCCCAAGGTTGAGGAGCTACTCAACAAGGTTCTAACACCCGAGCTCCTGAATGCGCTCGAAGCGCTTCTTGACGCCGCACCCGAATTGTTAAACAGTCTGCTACCGCTTGTGCCGGACTTGATAAACCTGATTAAGAAGATTCTGACACCGGAGCTCATAAAGACCCTTGAATCGGTCTTGGATGCGGTGCCAGGGCTCTTAAATAGTTTGCTACCGCTGGTGCCAGAGTTGGTCAACCTGGTCCAGAAGGTTCTGACACCGGAGCTCATTCAGGCGCTTGAGTCGCTTCTCGATGCCGTACCAGGGTTATTGAATACTCTATTACCGCTCGTGCCAAAGCTTGGGGATCTTCTTAAGAAGATTCTGACACCGGAGCTTCTGAATGCGCTTGAATCAGTTATTGATGCTGTACCAGGGCTCCTAAATAAAATATTACCGCTTGTACCAGAGTTGGTGAACCTGGTCCAGAAGGTTCTCACACCGGAGCTCATGAAGACACTTGAGTCGCTTCTCGATGCCGTACCAGGGTTATTGAATACCCTGCTACCGCTCCTGCCAACGCTTGAGGACTTACTTAAGAAAGTTTTAACGCCGGAGCTTTTGAACGCGATTGAATCAGTTATTGATGCTGTACCAGGCCTGCTAAATAAATTACTACCGCTCGTGCCGGACTTGATGGACCTGCTCAATAAGGTTCTCTCACCGGAGCTTCTGCAGGTCGTTGGCTCGCTTCTCGACGCAGTTCCCGGATTATTGAATAGTCTATTACCTCTGTTGCCTACGCTGGAGGAGATGCTGAAGCAGATCTTGACTCCCGAGTTATTAGCGGCCGTCCAATCGCTCCTTGCGAAGGTCCCTGGCATTATCAACGCGATACTGCCATTGATACCATCGCTTGAGGACATGATCGTCAACATTCTCACACCGGAATTCATCAGCGTGATTCAGAAGATTTTGGCGGCAGTTCCTGGATTACTCAACGCCGTTCTACCCCTTCTTCCACCCCTTGAAGAGCTTATTCCGAAGATCCTAACCCCCGACTTCATTGCTTCCATCGAGTCAGTGCTCGCTGCTCTCCCGTCGATAATACAGGACATACTGCCTTTGCTACAGGGCGATATAATCAAGTCGCTAGTACAGATTGTGACTGACATCCTCACTCCTGAGTTCATCAACGACATCAGCGGTATTGCAGGCCTGATCCCGCCATTGGTGCACGACCTGGTTCCAATCTTCAACAAAGAGCTCATGACGGCAATCGTGAATTTGCTGGCGAGCGTTGTAACCCCAACGTTCATCAACGATCTTACCGCGCTGATCAACGCAATCATCCCAGTGGTGAAGGACATCATTCCCATCATTGGAAGCGATGTTGTGAAGGATCTGGTTGCAGGACTGCCAGATATTATCAACGGTTTATTGCCAATTCTGAATATCGACATTATCCTGGGGATCGAAAGGGCTCTTGCTGGGCTTGTCACTAAGCAATTTGTCACCGATGTCGGCGTCATACTGGCAGCGGTGCCACCACTGCTGCACAGCTTGGTCCCCATTTTTGGCACAGAGCTTCTTGGGCCCGTGGAGAATGTCTTGTCCACATTGTTGACACGAGATTTCCTGGAAGACGTTGGAGGGCTGGTTGACACGGTGCCACCCCTTCTCAACGAAACGATGCCGTTGTTCCACCAAGACATTATCGTTCCAGGAGAAAATGTTCTTAAGGAACTCATTACCCCCGCGTTTATGAATGACATTGGGTCTGTGCTCAATGAAACCCCTGCCATTGTCGAGAGCTTGATTGCCGTCGTTGGCAGTGATGCAGTGAGCTCGCTGCTAGACGCTGTGCCGAAGGTTCTGAATAGCCTTTTGCCACTTCTGAATGGAGAGCTCATATCGAACATCGTGAACGATCTGACTAGTCTTCTAACTACCGACTTCATGAATGATATTGGCACAATTCTCGGTTCAATACCGGGTCTTGTACACTCCATCCTACCAATCTTCACAGGAGATACACTCACAGACCTGGTTCAAAGCCTCGTCCCATTGATCAAGGCAGTCGTAGCTGTATGTTTTCCCCTACGGCCTTCTACGAAGAATCGTTGCTAATTTGTGCCTTGTAGTTGCTGCCGCTGCTGACCAATATTTTGGCATCTGTATGAGCTGGGATTTGTGGAGGAGAGTTTTCGGACTATGGCGATACTAACGCAACATTTTTGGCGTGTTTCTGGAAGATATATATATGGAGATCTCGGAGTGTAGTGTAGCGATCTGGCAAAGACGAGTGTTAACCTGGAGGACGTGTCTGCTGATCATTGCTCAGCGGCTCGCATCATATGGACACTGTATCTAATTTTCTGATTAATAATATCATGATTGATGTTCTCTATGGGCACCATTTTGTCTCTCCAAATTACGTGGAGTCCGCTTGAAGGTCCCCAAACGTGGAGGTCATATACAAAACTTGGCTTCGCATTCTGGTGGTAAAGACGTCCTATATATGTCACTCCAGCCTCTCATTGCGATAAGGTTCCAAGAGCTGATACAAGATTCCAAGACCGATCGATCTATATAGATAGAGAAAAAAAAAAAAAACATACAACAGGAGGGATTCGCTGATAGTTACCTACCTAACTACTAACCTCCCGGTGTGTGGCTTCAACGCGGCTAGAAGTTGGGTAAATATTGCCCGAGTAAACTAATAGATAAGCCACTTTAACGTAGGCTTCTTGATGGCCTATCCCGCCCAGGCCAAACCCCGGCCCAAGCCCACGGTGGGTTGGGCTTTGGGCCCGAGTCTAGGGCCTATAAGAGACCTTGGGCCTAGTATAGAAATCTATAATAGATCTATATTGTTACCAACCTCCCTACCGCTCACCTTAACGTCTTCCGCTCTACTTCTTTAAGCGTCTTTAACCTCCCTACCGCTTATCTCAACGTCTTCCGCTTTACTTCTTTGAATATCTTAAACTTCTTTACTACTTATCTCGATATCTTCCACTCTACTTTTTTAAGTATTTTTAATATCTCTACTACTTATCTTAATATCTTCCACTCTATTTCTTTAAATATCTTTAATCTCTTTATCGCTTATCTTGATATCCTTCGCTTTATTTTTTCAAAATATCAAAATAAGTGCTATATATCTTAGATAAGTGCTTAACTACTAATATCTATATTTAGAAATAGCCTTAATCTTGAGCTATTAATATATATAACGTAGATATATATTTTAATATAAATAGTAGCTAAACACGCTACGTACTACGTTATTTTCTATATAAATATTAGGATTAAATATATTATATTCCCGTATTAATTTACTATACCAAGATAAAACTAATTATAAAAATAATATATACCTGATATATTACACTGAAAGGCCATATCGCACGCAAAATACACAACCTGATCTACATGGCGGTGGCTCTCTATTTGTTCATTATATAGACATACCGAGCGGTCTCCTCGCGTAACAAGACTCCATTTTAGTTATATATTGATGTCGTTCTAGGAACTGTACAACGTCTTCCATGGAGGGACGACTCTATCCCCTCCGCGAGATTAAACAATTTCGACTAAAGCACTGAACCTTTTCTAACACGTCTGGAGCGAGGAAGGGGAATACGCTGAATAACTAGCTAGGGGTGACAGGCCGCAGGTGGTTATTTAAACGCAGTAAACGTTACTGTCGTCCTTTTATTTTTTTGTGAGGTGGTTATCCTGAGGCGCTCTTCGGTAATGAATAGGTGGGGACTATACGGGTTCCATAGTTTATAATAAGGCTGGACGCGCTTGATCATTCTCGTCCGTTGTGATGATGGAAGTCCGATTAAGCCAGCGATTAGTAGGTTAAGCGTTACAAGTCTACGGTATTTAATGCGGCATTGAATCTGCAGTTTTTAAGGAATTTTTTATTACTAGTCGGTTGTGCTTTACTATCTACGCAACGAGCGATGTTTGTGACGGGGTAAGGCTGGGCATTAAGTGCTGGATCCACTGCAACTTTAATAGGCTGTAGATTCGTAGCTACGCGTACGTAGCGTCTCGCTGTGTCACGTCTTATATGCGGTTTACCAGGGTGATCAAGGTAAATGTATGGTTCTGTAAAATGGCAGCCTCGTCAATCCACCGCTATGCGCACGTTTGCTGTGTCGGTGATAGGTTTGGAGGGACTGTCAAGACTTATTTTAAATGTAGTGGCTGTAGGGACGTAGAGTTGACAGTTCTAGCCATATTAGCAATGCTCGCCAATAGTATCCGAAAGATGCCTTGGGAACAAGAGTCTTCATGTTACAGCCTTTCTTTTACCAACTAGCACTTACATGAGAGAAGTCAATCAGTACTTATTGTAGGATTTAATCTAGTATATAGAGCTGCTATTATATGATTACAGGCCCGCTGGTGAAGAATTGCATAGAAGAAAGCTCTGCATTATTCGTTTATTCTAGACCTAGTCTAATCTCCGCCGGCACCATCTCCTGCAGATGTGGACTGCTCTGTGCTAAGCGGGCTTTTGAACCGATCAAGATACACCATCCGAGTATGTTCAGAGCGCGAGTAGCCTGGGCATACTTTGGATGGTTCTGTATCTAAATATGGTATACGATGGAATACGATAGGGCGACAAAACGGCCGGGCAAAAAGTCGCGAAGAACGACCGGGCAAATGCCGTAAATGGCAATCCCGTATCATCCGACACTATTGACCGACATACTACCATTATGAAGTACTGTTACTGGATTGCAGTATTGCAGTATAGTGGCCCTTACAGGGAGCCACGGGCTAACTTCCGTACCTCCGTAGACTGGTCCTCTACTACATGCTCTACATCAGGTCCCTCAGTTGGCTAACTCAGCTCGTTTTGGTTGGACCCATTGCTGACTAGACGACGAGTGGGGGTCAATGATCACGTGTATCTGGCAGGATCTCGAACCTCGAGATGCTCAGTAAACGTACAAAAATTCGTGTTGTTTTGATGGTATGACGCGTTTTCACGTGGCTATATGTGTTACTTACCCATGTAGTATATTTTTTTTCACCAACAGGCAGAGGTTGTCGGAGAATAAAGACGTAGGAGTTAAGCAGATCAAACTTGAACGTTCGTTCAAAGAGAGAGATATATATATAATTGTTCACTGTCATGTATTGTCTACATGGTCAATCGAAATTCGAGTCCGGGAATAGTGTCCAAGATTCAATCCGGTAGGAGTAAACTTCATTTTGTAATTGCTATTCATGCTATTTTTCTGGATATCAAGAATCAAGATACATGGGATACTCAGTACTTGAGCCACTTCAATACCCTGGAGCTCGGTTCGAGCCGAACAATGGTGCATATGTTGAACCCCGGATAAACCGCCAGTTGAACCCCGGTCAATCCACTTCTCACCGCCCCAGTATCTACAGTCGTGGGTAAGCTGGATCCTGAATCTTTGTATGCAGGATGAAGTTGTACAAGCAAATAGAGTTATATAGTAATCTCTATTTTCCCACACTGTAAGCTACGTTTGTCGGGAAGCTATTGCATACAGTATTGGTACGCACCATTGTATCCACTGACCCGGTCGTCTAGCCAATTGGATACTTGATGCCAACCCTTCTTTCGCGACTTGCGTCACAGCGACCGCCATCAGCAAAACAGCGCCTAACAAGATACTGGCTCTTCAATATTCAAGCATATTCGAGTGTATTTAACTACCTTAGCCAACTCAGTATCATATATATGAAGAGCGAATTTGATGATACCCTCAGATTCATTGTGCTCATGGCACAGGTGCGATGGGAGGGTGGGACTGGGTCCTTATTCTTGTCTGGGAGTGATAATCGGTTGACAAGGTCGTGTACATCATGGGGCTTAGACGATAAAATGTGGTTTTAATTCCTGAAGCTTTCCCCTGCTAGATTAGTATGAAGAAGATGTCTCCCGCTGTGTCTCGTTGGGTGCGCCAAGATCTCGCGAAGATTTCGCTATGGCCTGTGTGTTGTCGCATTGCTCGGAGGTTGGCTTATAGGCTGTTTGGTAAATTGGTGCGTTGAATAATTGCTTCGATTGGACTTTCTTATCACTGTGCGGTGGTTTTTTTGTATCTAACTACCACGATCGCAGCGGCGGCTAGATGTTGGGTATCTATAGAAAAACAATTATAGTTGTTACACTTCTCGCGGTAAATATTCTTGTAGTAGCGTTGTGAACCTACGTATAGTATAAGATGCAGCGACGAGTAGGGATGCTGGCGGTCGTCTATATGGCTCTGTTGTGGGCTAGTCCAAATTTTGGTCTTCTCGCGGAGACTTTCAGTGTCAAGCGCAAGCCTGTCTTTTGGCTGCATCGGTGGGCTGGTCGGTTTTGTATGCTGTATTCTATTCTTCACGCTTCAACTACTATGGCTCTCACTAGCCACCGAGCTCACTCACTTATATATATATACTACATACCGCTGCTGGTACAGGAACTCCCTGTATACAGGACGCACATGAGGTGCTAGGCCATTATTACAATCTCTTTGATTGTACCATTTTCGCTACATGTCGTGCTTCGACGGCACCCTCAGTTTGTTTTGAAATCCATTACCTCCTGGTACTAACCTGTGCATTGCGCTGGCTCTCCATCTTCGGGAATCATGATCGGCTTGTTTCTGTACCTTGTTGGCGTTGTTGGCCTGTGGTGTCTGTCCAGTGGGGTGCCTTGCCTCCTGTTGCCATTGTGGAAGAAGCGTTGGGGTACCACTGACCAAGATCTGCTCAGACAGCAGGGAAAAACGAAGTGGTTGTACGACCATGAGGGTTTTCTTGTCCTTACTCACCTGTTGGCCTGTTTCTTCACCTCACATGCAACCAGTCAACAACATCAAGGATTAGCTAAGGTCTGTCCTGTTGCCTTGTCGTACTCTATCACGACGAAGTTAACCTCTACTGTTCGAGGGGGCCCCTTGGATAACGGATAGCGAAGACTTTGGTCCCTGGGTCTTGCCATTGACCGGAGATCTGGAAAGACCGGGTTGGGCTGGCAGCACCGAAATAACAAAGAATCGCCGACAACCGATTGCCAAAAAGTATATTATCAACCCGTACATTAGCGTGCACGATACCAAGGCTGTGGAGGTGGCACAGGCATCAACGAGGATGTAGTCTCTTTTTGGTTCGTTCATTTTTCAATAAATTGAAACGAAATAGTGTGTCCGAAGCATAATGCCAAAGGTCGCTTCGAGAGGCATCAGTGCTAAGTGGTGCGAAAATTCGACAAGTCCTGAGAACAATTTGGTCGCTAAAATTGTAATTTGGCTAGAAGCCCTGACACCCAAGGCATCCAGATCATGCTGAGTTTGTGAACGCACAGTGTAGGTTTCAAAAGTTACAGGGGTGTTTGGGATGTTAAAAGGGATACTGGACTCAAGACGGTTCGAATTCTTGTTTGCAAAAGAGAGCTTCTTCTATGAAAGGGTAGCTTATGCTAGAGAAAATGCCAAACGACTGTAATGAGAAGTGTAAGAGCAATTGTTGTGGCACGAAAACCGATTAACTATGTAAGAAAACATGTCAGATTGTCGAAAGAACAGGATGCCAGTTAAAGCAGCAGCATGCAACTTCGTCACATAATCCATATCTCAGAAGACCCCGCCAGACAGACCTCCAGTACTTCCATTGACTTTCGCGGTTGAGGCCAATACCCGAAGCTTTTCTTATACTCCCTTAAGAGTCGAATAACGTGGAAAAAAGGCCATTTTGTATCCATTATAGAGTTGACGCATTCGACTGCGTGACCCGCTCGCTTAGCGAATACGTTAACAAGGATTATAGTTAGAAACTCATTAACTTGATATAGAAGAGCTGTATAACTACCCCTAATTTTGTTTAAACCTAAAGCTCAACAGAGGACTAGTTATAACCTAAAACCAATAAACCGAGGTATAGTTCCAACATTTGGCATTGAGCTAGACGATTCTTCTATAAAGTAGTTTCTAGTGCCTTCTATGACTATTGCAAGTACTGAAATCGATCACTGAGATCACTACAAAACAAGGTACTACGCTTCTAGTACCGAATTCTTGGTAAAAGCGATAATCTCTAAAGAGGACTGGTCATGTTTGACTAACTTCGTTGATTGTAATAACATAAGAATGAGAAGGAGAACAATCAAGGAGACGATAGTAGGGCGGTGACCGGGGCGGTCCACTTTATGCTTGACAGTACCATCTGTTCTGACGGATAATCGACAAGCGCGCTTAAGCAGCCTGGATACAATAGGCATATTAGGAGTCCACTGGCGCAGAGGGTGTTTCAGTAACAAAGAATTGAATTATCCCTTCGCTAGATCATCGTGTCGTTATATCGTCCAGAGTATGCATTTACTGTGCGGCATTTAGATAAGTCCAGGATGGTTGGTAGTTTATTCTATAGCTATGGTATAATCCATATCACTATATACAGTGCCTAGATCGAGGCGGTAAATTGGAGTGGAGTATTCTCCCGCAGAAAGTTAACGTCCCCTACCCCCCGGAGCGCAAAGTCAAAGAAATCCCGGAGATTTTCACCCACAACTAGGAGAGTTTGCAACGGATTGCTGGTCGCAAGACTCCCGTGAAAGTTTTGTGCGATCCCTAACTCAGGTGCCTGGGAAGCCAGGATTGCAATGTCGCTGAAATCATTATGAGCTGCACTCTTAATGGCAATCGCTCGCTTCCAACCGCGGATGCGCGGCCAAACTGACTGCAGGGTGCTGTAATTTCCCAAATGCGCAGTGGCTAGCTGAAAAAGGAACGGGCTGGAAACCCTGTTGTAAGCACTGGACCGTAAAGTGGTCCATCAAGGGAACATCCAGCCTGAACCACTGATGGATCTTGCATCGCCAGAGCTGTTGCTGCTCCCCCGAGTGAATGCCCAAACATGCCGACCGTTATCCCTCGCACATTTTGGCTTCTTGTTGCCTCCTCAAACCCCGGAATCCAGGTTGCCATCTTCTGGGGAGTGAATTGCTTGACAATGGAGTGAATCGATTTTGCACGTCAGACAGTTTCATCTGCGGATCCACTAGAGCTTGCATCGCTCGGTGAACTCCCTAAAGGATGTTCCACTCCGATGACAATATAGCCCCAACTGGCCAGCGCTTCCTGAAACACCGTGTACAGGCCCTCTGGTGATCCCAGACCCGGCGAGAAAACGATCACCGGGAGAGACCTGTGGGGAGAAAGGAACGGGCACACTATATCAGCCATCTGTGAACGAGTTAGTTCGTACCCAATCAAAGGCGCCTTCCGGCAGTGTATAGGTTTGCTCGAGTTGTCGTGCTGTTTCTGATGGGATATACAAGGCTCGTGTTACTGTATTCGCGTGCAAGGTGGGATACCGAAAATGTAGTATGACATGCTCAGGGATTTCTTTACCTGCCTCATCGTCGACCTCTATTCTTGCAGAACCGACTGCAAATGGTCCCGGGGGGGTTGGCAAGGTCAGAGACATATTGGCAACCTCAGTGGAGGCAGGAGGGAGAGGGAGTAGCAGAGCTAGAAGACCGGGCCACCAGAGAATAGATTGGATTCTCGAAGCTAGGAGCCGCATTCCTGACTCGACTTAAATGAATTCTGTGTGTGTTTAGGAGTTGAAGCGGCAAGGGAGTAGGAATCGTGCACGGTCTGTAGTGAGCCCGGTGCTATTTGAACTCCATAGCCCCTGGGGAGCAATGATAAATCGAGAAGAGCAAACATCTCCCAGGGGCCCGCAAAAAAGGGTGGCGTTTATACAACATTCCGATCCTGGAAGCAAGGGATGTGACCGCTTTCACAGATTCTCTATACAGAGAGGACCAGTATTTCAATAATTCACGTTCACGGGCCACTCTATCCCGCGTCGCTGCAGTCTTCCAGGGATAGTTTTCTTTCTCTCTCTCATAAAAGAAAATTCCCTCCTTCCACCCTGTTTGTTTGATGGAGATGAATTGACTTACTAAGTAACAAAAATGGTGGTAGTTATGGAAAGTGGTTAAAATAGCCACTGAGCCGATGCCTGCTTGCCGTTTTAGGACTAGTGCGAGGCTCATGACTGAAGCGCTGGCTAGACCGCGTCTCGGGTCATCCATCTCTAATTCCTCACTGGCTTGCTTCATTTTCGTGGCCTCGACATTGACATTTCTGGTACTTGGGATATGTAGAACTGTGGACTGCTTCTCAAATTATCCTAAACGATCATCGAAACCCCGGCTAAAGCACCAAAGCAAGCACCCTCGGAGTTGAGGTACGCCGGCGCAAAAAGGAGATACATACCAGGGACTTGTGACAGGAAATTTTATACCTTATGATCGAGTCGACACTAAAGCATATTCTGTATTGATAGCTCCGACGCAAAGGTTTCGAGGACATGCTGGACTCCTTCGCATACTACCCCACTGTCGGCTGGATAGCCAGGGTCAAGTCGCGGACAGGGTGCTGGATCTGCAAGTATCGCGGTACCCCGTCCTTTTATGAACGCATATTAAATACCGCTGATGGCTGATGGTTTTTTGATTGGTCCCATGGCAGGATCCGCAAAGTCAAGTGTGATGAAGCGAAACCGTACTGTAGACGTTGCCAGAGCACCGGTCGGAAATGCTTATACAAACTGAACGGGGGAAGTGAGCGCGTCGCAGAATCACCGATGCCGTCAATAAGGCACACGCAGCCATCTTCAGACCTGATCACTCATGCGTTGCGTGAGAGAAGGGCCTTTGAGTATTACTGCCATCAGGCGGGACCGGCGATAGCGGGCGGCTTTGGCAACCAGTTCTGGATGAGTGTCGTCCTCAAGGCCTGCCGATCGGAGCCAGCGGTTTGGGACGGGATTAATACCATCGGGTTGCTGTATGAAAATCTAGACCCATTTCTCGGACCTCCCATGGTCGTCGAAGCCTGGCCATCCGTTAACATACCCAAGGAAGCCTTGGCCTGGTACTCGCGCTCGGTAGAAAACACTCGATCCAGAATCGCACAAAACAAGGCCAATATAGATGTGGCGCTTATCACATGTGTACTATATATCTGTGCTGAGATGCTCCAGGGTGATATGGCAAAAGCCATTCGACTATATGAGCAAGCTGTGCAGCTGATTCTAACTTGGCGGCGACAGGCTTCCATGACGTCACGAACCGTATTCATGGTAGAGGACATATTGCCGCTGCTTGTTCGTCTAGGTGCAGTTGTTCTGATAATCGCTGGATGCTCACCAGAAGGGTTGCCTCAGCTTCTAGCTATATCTAGCAACAACTCCAAGTTCTCATCCCTGGAAGACGCCCAGACAGCGCTCCTGAAGCTGACCATAGAGACCTTTGGCCTCAGGGATGTGGCCCTCCGACATGAGCGTCGTTCCAACGACCGCGTTGGGACCATGTTTGATTTGACCGTACAACAGCGGTCTTTGATGTATCGACTAGGAGAGTGGGACAGTGCTTTCGCCTATCTCACAAGTGCGGAAGGACAGCCGTTTACTGACTTCCCATATCGAGGGGCAGTAGGAGTACTCCTGGCCTTTCGTGCTGTCACGTCTATCATTATTTGCACATGCCTTTCGCAGGAGGAGATAGTGTATGACAAGCATATAGATCAGTTTCGACTGATTGTCGAGCATGCAGCAGCTGCAATACATGCATCTGCGGCTCAGAATCACACGCAGCCGCAGTTTACGTTTGAACCAGATATCGGCCCGCCGTTGTTTTTCACGGCCGTGAGATGCCGAGACACAGCACTGCGATGGAAGGCGTTGACTCTACTTCGACAAGCACCAAAGGTTCAAAGCTTATTCAAGAGTATGTCGTGGGCGACACTTGCCGAAACAATCATCCGGCTCGAAGAAAATCATTCACCGAGAGTAAGAGAGGGGCCGTCATCTAACCTTACATGCACTTTGATTGCAGGAAAGGAAAGTCGTAGTGACCGTTTGCCCAGGGATGAAGATGGATATCTGGATAATCCGCAGGGAACCGTATCCAGCGCAAATGAGTCGGTTGAGGCCGGCGGCCATTGTTCGGATGAATTGTCGATAAACGGAAGTCACTGCATCCCGGAAGAGTATCGTGTGCATGAATTCGGCCTGTCTCAAGCAAATGGAACCGCACCTTTTGGCTTAGCCTCGCGAACGCCCAGCCCCTTTGTCCTAAGAGTCACACGCAATCAGCGTGATCCAGTTACTGGAAACTTTGAGCTGGTAGAATGCTTCCTGCCTATGAGTTACTAGCGTAATAAGTAAGCTGAAGTGTCGAATTACTTGCCGCGAACTGTATTGTATGTTTAACATGAACGGAAAAAAAGAGAAAAATGACCAATATCCTTTGGAGTACCTTATGAGCTCCATATGTGAAGTAGTCCTAGAAGCCAGGGCAGAGGCAAGGAACCGTCGTTCCAAATCAAAACATGAATCAAAGGTGCTGGACTGGTTCCAAGCGGCTCCCGCGTCATTTTTCGAACGACACGGAGCGTTAGGTCATTTCTTAACCCAATGTGTGAACAACCGAACGCAAATGACTGATACAGAGAATTTACACTAATAAATAGTGGTAGTTCTCATTCAATAATATACAGATTACACCTATTGGAAAGGAATCGGAAGTCTGCGGGCTCTCGTCGACCTGTCTCTACGCTTTACGGCATTAACCTGAAAAGTTATTGCTATTAGGCATTTGCGTATAGGGCTCAAATTCCCTAAACTGCTCGTACTTTTATCATGGTGATCTTGTCTAAACTCCGTGCAAGCCTCGATGCCCAACATACAGAACAAGCGCCTTGAACACACAATTGACACCCTGTCCAGGGGTGGGACTGTATGACAAGTTTGAGACTATTCATCTAATAAAGAGAAGAGTTGTTACGGTCAGGACTCGCGAGTTAACGTCGCCAAATGTATACCGTAGACCAGACATGGTCTGGGATAAGGTAGATCTTACAGTATAATGGCCCATCGTGCGTGCACCGCAACGACAGTGGCACTGAAGGCTGGATTGCAGCTAGGGGTGCGCCTGGTGTTCATCGAAGAATTGGGTTTGGTTCGTGTATTCTCTACACATGCTAGTAGGCATGATGTATAATTGCTTACTGGCATATGGTCTGCGTCGCGCCTGTTTAAGGTCAGAATGTGGTCCCAGAAATGGCAGAAAGACATTGTGAGTTGCAGAGGCACTGAACGAGGACCATACCATTGGTGACAGAACTTGTCAAGCGCCCATGAAGGGGTAATGCTGGTCTTATCGCAATACATCTCGAAACGTCTGTCTACTAAGTTGAATACTAGGGATTAAGGCCAGATAATCATATCCTGAGTCTCAACGCATTGTCCACAAGCTCCCTGTTACTACTTACGGCATGCTTTTCAACCACAGCGCATGGACGGATCTATACTGTATCAACACCTTTGTTTCTATAAGGGGTTTGTACTAGAATGTGGTACTGGAAAGATTTAGAATACGAAATAATGCTCGTTGAAAAGACGGAAGGAGGTCAAGGGTCTGATTTGAGGTTTCTGGTATAGGGCAGTATGATCCAAAGACACATCACTGCAAACCGAAAATAGTATATTTGAAGGCTTATAGGAACTAGAGAAATAAAAGTTTATGTGATCTTAGCATTACCTGATCAGCAATCCATGAAACTATCTTGAAAATCAACTAAGGGCCCACTGCCGATCGATGAAGCGAAGGAACAACCGAAGGAACAACCGAAGGAACAACCGAAGGAACAACCGAAGGAACAGCCGAAGGAACAACCGAAGGAAGCACCGAAGGAATAAGTAAGGTATTAAGTTTGTATGATCAACAAGGATCAAAATGCCAAGGAGAAAGGAGATACGGTCTCTAGCCTATTGGGTAGGCTTGGCACTCTCATCATACACTGTAAATGAGATCGCATTTGGCGCGTAGAACAGTAAGATAGAACCATTGGGAGAATCATGTCTCATTATCCTGGCTAGACAGGTTTCTAGAAATTTTACGCTGAAAGAAATTGACCTTTCTTAAGACACCAACTCTACAAGTGGGGACAAATGACGGCCACCAAAGAGCATTACTGACCCAGAGGTATCGAGCCAGAGTGGATTGTAACTATAACCGGTGTTAGACTGTCATAGTCAGCTAATTAACGTTATCTAGCCCGTAACTGAGAGGAGCATCAGTGTTCTGATTCGGTCCGTGCGATTGATTAATCTTGATAGAACCCTGGGCAGCCATGCATGTTCTACTGGAGCTAGCCTAGAGGCATCCCTGTACCTGGTCGAATACTGAGAATATGAGGGGTATGTTTAGGAGGTCCTCCTACAATGGAAAGTTGGGCAGATCAAATGTTACAAATCTTACACAGACCGGCGTGCGGCCACTGGTATAATTTTGACTAAGCCTCTCTCTTAAGCAAATTTTCCAGAGCTGTTCGAGAGCATAGAGCAATCCATAGATACGACTGCCGCTACGATGGTGTTCACTACTTCTCCTACAGTGCAGTCCCTGCCCTTCCCTCCGGATAGTATTCCTATCAGTGACCTGATATTCGACGATAAATATGGACGGTGTCTCGTGGAGAAGTCTCCTAGTCCTTTTATTTGCGGACTCACTGGCAACAGTTACTCATTCAAGGAGTATGAGCAGCGAGTCGATCTTCTATCCCGCGGCTTGTCAAAGGATATCGGCTGGCAGCCGAATCAAGGTACTGAGCTACACAAAGTCATTGCAATTTTTAGCGTCAACACGGTCAGTAGAATTCTCGAATTCCAGCTCCCAAAATTGCTTGTAGGAGGCAGGGTTCACTGCTAACCAGCTCTCATCTTAGATTGACTTTGTTGCAGTGACTCTGGCTACGCAGCGTCTTGGAGGAGCTAGTCTTCTGATCCATCCGACGAGTACGGCGACTGAGTTAGAAAGCCATCTTAAAGCCATTGGCTGTAAGGTTATCTTCACTTGTGCTCCACTGTTACCGACTTGCCTAGAGGCTTCTAAGAAGCTAGATGTGCCTCTGTCCAGCATTTATCTGCAAGAACTTCCTGTCCCAGCGGCGGTACCCAACGTGGATCACTTCAAAACAGTCAATCAGCTCATAAAATTCGGATCTGACCAACCAATGCTGGAAAGAGCAACATGGACGGAACACCAAGGGAAGTCTCGATTAGCCTTCCTATGTTCTTCCAGCGGCACATCGGGATTCCAAGTTTGTGATATGAAAACACCCAAGCGGACAGAAACTAATATGCTTCTTAGAAACTGGTGAAAGTCTCTCACTACAATGTCGTTTCCAATATTCTCCAAACCGCAACGTTTGAACTTGGCGCAGCCAACCGGGACAAATCTTTGGGTCTTCTACCTTTTAGCCATAGCTTTGCACTAGTTACTGCCCTTGTCCAAGTATATCGGGGAGATACTATTGTTATCCTCCCTAAGTTTGATATGCAGCAGATGTTGGCAGCCACAAAGCAATATCAGCTGAATCGACTGTATCTGGTATGGTGCGCTTCCGACTTGCTTAGGGCACAGTTTAATACGTGCAGGTTCCTCCGATCTTAGTTGGATTGTTGAAATATTCGACCCGACTCGGCGTCAAAGAGCTGTCAGCTCTTAAATCTCACCTCGAGTCCGTGAAGTCGGTTGTCATTGGGGCCGCCCCCTTTGACGTCGCCATCGCAAAGCAGCTTTCCGTCATCTTCCCCGATTGGGAAATATTGCAAGGCTATGGTAAGGTTTGCTACTCAATCAATTCTCTTATAGTACTCTACCTGACGCCTAAAAGGCCTCACAGAAGCATCTGTTGTAGTATCATATACCAGATCCGGTAATGTCTATCTAGGCTCGGGTATGCTTCTTCCTCTCGTTCAGGCCCGTCTGATAGAGAAGACTGGAACGGAGGTCACAGCATACGGAACTCCAGGGGAGCTTGTTATTCAATCCCCTAGCATTGTCCTTGGTTACTTTAATGACCCCGAGGCCGACCAGCTGTCATTCACTTCGGACGGCTGGCTGAGGACCGGGGATGTAGCTATGTTCAAACCCGATGAAACAGGCGCCGAGCATCTCTTCATTGTCGACCGACTGAAGGATATGATCAAGGTCAAGGTAAGTTCAGAGTCCGCTCCCAATAATGGTCAATGAAAAACTAATGTACGGGATAATCCAGGGTATGCAAGTAGCACCCGGAGATATCGAAGCCAAGTTACTCTCGCATCCTTCTGTCGCCGATGCTGCGGTTATCGGAGTCCCCGATACAGCCATGGGCGAAGTAGCGAAAGCATTTATCGTCCTCGCCCCTCCAGCATCAGCAAATACCCAAACTAGGGACGAGATCTTCAGCCATTTAATGCATAGTATGGCCGAGGCATGCTGGTTGAGAGGTGGGATCGATTTTATCGAGAGTATCCCCAAAAGCCAGAGCGGAAAGATATTGAAAGCAGCTTTGAAGCAGAGGAATATGGAACTCGCTTGATCAGTTCTCAAAACACGGTTTGCAATCTACGCATTGATAACCGTCTGCCATTTCCTGTGTTCACTGAAGCCATCTATAGTCACTGGCCGTCCAAGGTCATGAATGATGACCGAGCTGTTCTCAACGCTTCGATATCTGTTTCGGTACACGTGATAATTGTGAAGTATTCCCATATGAACTAGATGACCCTGGAAAGTCCGACGTATTATGGCTATGTATCTATTCGCACTGAAGCCAATGCAAATGTGTGGTTCCCAAATGTTTCTAGTGTACGTTAGGTCTAAGTTTACGATACTACGCCTTCCACGACTTGGATGACTGCTTTCGATTATATCTATCTAAGACTTTCGACCGTGCTGCATACCACAGGTTGCTACTGGGCCACGATCTTGCGTTTCGTTAGTCTGCTGGAAAATATCCAACTTCCTATTGTGCTATTCCCTAGCCGAATTAACTTATTATCTGCAATTTGGGAAGTGGAAATCATCGCTCGGTTCCAAGAAGTATGCTACACTGTAGCAAGATGGATTACGGACATGAATCAACCTCTAAACAAGCCAGTTTTTCCTTCCAGAAGATTGACACGATAGTAATGGGGCTGGAATCCTTTTAAATTACTTGAAGCAGAGTAAGAATTCTGAAGCAAAAAGGCTTATTGCCATGGATAACGCTTCCAAAATCGGCAATGTCATCTCCTGGGTGCAGTTGCTAAATCTTTCTGAATAATTCAAGTCGGAGAGGACTACACTTTCAAGCGGGGCGTTAGGCGACCGCTGGCAATTTCTCAAGGCCTACAGAGCCAGCAAGGTTCGTTGATTGCTCATCACAGACCTTGGGAAGGAACGCAGTGCCTTCAATGGTTCATAATAACCTCGTCTAGGCCATGAATGTTAACTTCGGCTCATGCCGACAATTGTTGCTACGATGACGACTGATTTATCCGTCTTTATCCATTCCCCAATACTCCCTCGTCTTTGGAACATTGCGACTACTCAAATTATTTAGTCATCACCCAAAACGAATGGACCCAATTACCTACACATTGGACTCTTCCCAGAGGTCTATATAAAACCCATGATCATTCTCACATGCGTCAAGTTCTCGGAAACAATGATTATGCAAATCACACGGAACAGACAGAGGTGATAATTAGTAGATAACAGACAACCGTCTCGGTCGACATAAGTGTAAGCACTAAATGACCTGTGGGTCCGGCGGGTGGTCTGGCGAGAAGGCTCCTCGTCTGTAAGATTTTAACCCCTGCTTTGCATGCCCGAATCACCTAATGGCAATCAAAAGTGCCTAGGCCTTTGCAGATGTCTCGTACAAGCGAAACATGGGTGCATTTAGCCCTTTAAAGTGGGATTAAGTAGAGTAGGGACCGCTCTAGCGAAGAATCTATGTTTCGGCAGCAAGAACCTGTAGAGAGAAGCACAATCGGAATCCATTCATACTCCAGGTCCGCTTAGGGGAACGAATTCTACCCTTGTTGCTATATTGTATTGAATACGAAGATATGTGATCCTCGAACACTGTTAGCACTATGGAGCCCCAAGCTTGGAGTTATATCCAGGGGTATGAGAAGTTGCATGTACAGCCTATGGATTATCTCCTGTTGCCTGGGCTGAACGAGCACTTCCTGAAAATACCGACCTCCTCTCTCAGCTTCAGATTCAACATGCCAGGATTACAAATAACGCTGAGATACCAGAATCGGGCGATGGTACACGGCACGTTAATCGATGTCTCGAGCCCTGGGAGTTTCTCTGTCCTGCGGCCACTGCAATCAATGACCCACGCGCCTACAATCCTGTGCAGACATTGAATGCAGCACTGCCTGGTCACACGAATCATGTTGATACAGGAATGAGAAATGATGTACAATTGACGGGACCGAACATGGACCCTCCTAACGAATGCGCCCAGTCGGCGATTGACGACTTCCTGCAGTATCTGATGAATCTGAAGCCCACCCCCTCGCTTCACTGCTTTGAACATGGGTGCAATGGGCGCCGGTTCTCGACCCGCACGAATTATATACGACACCTAAAGGAACAGAGTGGCAGCGGGAAGCTCTTTCGCTGTCCTACCTGTGCGCAATCGTTCACCCGGTCCACGGCCAAAAATATCCACGTGAGCTAGAAGCGATGCAGACGATATCGAGACTTCCAAGCCACGATGGGTGCTTTCGCGGCAACACTGTAGCACAGCTTTCTCTGTTCGCGATTCCTCCATTCGATCATTGAACGACAAACAACGTGTTTTGGGTTATACAAGCCCGTCTCAACCTGCTGTCTGTATAGTATAGGGACGGACTTTTCAGGTGTATATCAAGTTTTCATGAGCCGAAACATTATGACGTCCTACACTTTGTATTTCTGTACTCTATCGCCTCCGCTATTCGACTCTGCTATGCACCAGCTATTTGTCGCACCAAACTTCGTTTTTGGAGGAAATTTTCTACTCATAGAATGTATCCTTTCCAGTGGTACATATCGCTTTGCATGTTATGTGAAATGAGAGTACTTTTAAGTCGTCTGTTAATAGGGAGGTATACATGTCGGCCTGGTTCAGGACAGGGTTCGGTACACAACGCAAAAGTTTAATTTATTGAAAGTGTCATGAGTTGTTGGGATATCTTATAGTCACTGTCTTATTCTCTATAGCTAGATAGTATTACTCTTGGAGTTCATCACATGTCGTCATCGTTACCATCTGTTATACTCTTTCTCATTCGAGCAATTCTCTGTGGACGACTATAAATCCGACATAGGAATAGGTTCTACAACGATCGTATTTTAGAGCGAGCCAGCACCCATCGCTCCTTTAGAGGCCCCTTTGAACTTGACAAGAATGGCGTGGAGGATCGGCTTTCTAGGCGGGGTCCTTTTTTGCTTTAGCAAATACCTCCGTTGGTTTCCATGGTGAACTAGCGTTTTTAGTTCTTTCTTCGGGGTTAACGTCCGCACTGGCAAACAAAAGAGCAGGTGGAACGCTAGGAACATGCTACATGCTATAATGTGACCAAGTACCAGGAGTGGTAAGAAATGGGAAGAGCGTTTATTGGAGATCACCCCACCTTTAAATTACTTGTCTCGTCGCGTCACAGCTAGTTATAACAAAGGTCCTACCTTTACACCGCCCCTCAGGTGCGCCGATGTTCAGTGGCCCGTGAGACTTGGTCCCTAGGGGCTTACGGAGCCTAATTGGAGAGCTTTGCAAGGTACCGAGTCCTTCGTTATAATTAGTACTTTATCAACTTCGCCTAAAGCACCGATGTAACTTATCAAGTGCTCACACACTAGCCGAATGGGTAGATTGCCTTTACTAATGCAATAAATAAAACAAGCTTAAAATATTCCACGACACAGACACTTCCTGCATAAGCAGCTGGGCTTCTAATAGTAGGTAGAAATATGCCATTGTCTATTTAGTTTCTTGGCACCTGTTGGGCGAAAAGGACGCTTCGAGATCGTGTCGAAGGGGTACATCCGAAACGACTGGGACGTCTTATGTTATACTTCCAGCCCCAACCCTGCACATGAGACGCAACAGGCATCTCCGTTGATGCGTAAATGCGCGGCTCTGCTAGCTGTATTTAACACTGCGTGTGGGCTGCCAAGCTGGGTGTACATTGTATTACCCTGATGGATAAAATGCAACGTTGAATCGCAAGCCACGCACAGTACACGTACAGTCTAATACAGAAGCGTGTCAGGACATTGATGCATCTCGCCCATTCTAGTTATGACAGGGGTTCACCTGTGCTGACCACGGACCACGGTTATGGCTCTTCGTGCATTCTTTCTTCGGTCCTTATCGGGGAAACGACACTCCTCCAGTTATTGATGACACAGAGTGTTACTATTACTTATTCGGGTATTTCCTGTCAAGAGTTGGGAAATGAAAGAAGAACATTGGAGCAAAAAACCGGGGGGGGGGGGGTGGGGTCAGTTATGGAATATCCAAACAAGAAAGTTGCCAGTCCACTTTTAGCGTCATCTCTGTCAATTAACAATGACTTATGACCTGTTACCTGCAACAAGGACGAGGAGATCATACAATGCTGTGTCGCTGTCCTGGTCAGACTTTTTTTTTGGGTGATCTCTCACCTTTAGGGCTATTTGAAGTAATGTGACGTATTCTACATGTAAGAACAACCTCTGCACAGCTTTGGATCTTAATGACATTGTCGGGATAAATCAAGGACATGAAAGTAGAGCTTGTCGGGCCACAAGCACTTCTAGCCCATTTTATCCTCGTGAGACTTTTCAATAAGCCGAAGTCTATAACAATTGAGAACGCTTCAACAGATCTGCTGTCTATTGTCACAGCGACCTGGATAGGCGGAAAAAAAGAGCTAAGATAAAGTAAGCAAGGAATCTCTGTCATACTAACCCCCAAAGCAGCTGGTTCAGGTCTGTCATCGATAAGTTGCCTATCGATAACTATTGACAATAATCGTTTTCGTCGTCATTGATCGATTAATCATCGATCATCAGCAGTATCCTCACCGCCCACTCACCGCCTCCAGACTATCTTGAGAAGCTTCATGTTTATACCGCTCCTTTCCAATTCTAATGAATCGTAATCATTCTATTCAAAATATGGATTCTGATGCAGATTCATCCTGCTTATCCTATGTATCTACGCTCGATTTTGTTGAAACTGAGTCTAGATCGAACTCAAATAGGGGGAAAAACTCCAACGGGCTCGATGACATGGACCCATACTTTACCTGTACGTGATGAAGTTTCATAGAAAGGGCCCGATCAAGTACTGTGTCCATTGTACAGATTCTCCGTACGGTACTTCAGTCACGACAGATATGCGAAATCATCTTAAATCAAAACATCAGATCTCTATCCTATCTGTTCCAACTTCCAAGCGCACTTTAACAAACTGTAGTCCACCAATTTCAGCAGCTTTATATTCATGTGGAGTCCTTAGGTAAAACGCAAAACATTGATACGAAGGTTTTCCAAAGATTATAGACCAGGCTGTTATTGGTGAGGAGTTAGTTTCATTAATTGTTATCCGAAATATCTTGTTTTTCCTTGTTGAATGGCCTGAGTTCCATGCTCTCCATCGAGTGCTGATTCCAGAATCAGAGGACTATATTATCACAGCACATGTCTCAGTCCCCAAGAAGATTGAACAATCATGGCAAATCTACAGAAGGTTAAAAAGCTTTGGGAGGAGTATCGGGAAAAGGCTCCTAATTACATTCTTATGCAATCATATAAACGGAATACTAAAGCGCTCGATGATTTCAATCGAATTGCTCTAGCCTGGGTATGTTTGCTCGGCCAGCAAGCCAAGATCGATGCGAAGATTACAATTCTGAGTTACCGTATAAGGTTCGTATGAGTGCTCTTATATGGTGGTGTCAGGATCAACAACAAAAAACATTGGCCAAGCCTGTCATATATGGCGATTGATGTCTTATCATTTCCAGCAATGAGCGATGAACCAGAACGAGTTTTCTCAGGAGTCCGTCGTACAATCTCATGGAAAAGGACTAAACTATAAGCTAAAAACATTGAGAGGATAGAATGTTTTTAAAAAAAAGACTAGCAGGAGATTGGGATTGCAGAGAAGAGATACTAGTTTAATTAGATTTTGTTGTCATCGAAGCCCTTAACCGTAAGGCCAAGAAACTATCGATGTCAAGCTTGCTCTGGTTGTCTATAGAAACAGCCCTTTAGACTCAATAGAACAATTGATTGGCATAGGTTACAGTTTATCGCTACAAGTCTGCCTGTTACCAACTCTTTTCTGAAGCCAAAATACTCCAACCCGCATTGATGACCCACCAGATGGCATATGGACTGCAACCATAAAAGTTTGCCAAAAAAAAAAAAAAAAAAAAAAAAAAAAAAAAAAAAAAAAAAACAAAAAAAAAAAAAAAAAAAAAAAAAAAAAAAAAAAAAAAAAAAAAAAAAAAAAAAAAAAAAAAAAAAAAAAAAAAAAAAAAAAAAAAAACAAAAAGATTCAGACTAGCATATCACAACGTGAAAAGAAAGAGAAAAGAGAAATTTAAAGGAAAAGTATAGTAGAAAAGCCGCATTTTATCAAATCAAGCGTGAATGATGGAACCAACTTCTGTCTCTGGTGACCGGTCTTTTGACCGTGCAACATACCAGAGTCGATCGAGACTTTGTTGGCGAACTTTCCGTAAATAGTTCCTTTGGTCTACAGACATATCACGAGGCGGAGGCGGCGCAGGGTACATCATTTGACGGATTCCGCAATATATCATAACCGTTACACACATGCCGAGTATAATGAGGCCGACAATCAAGCTCCCGTTGCCATCATTGTTGTCGTTCGCCATCGTGCGAGAGATTTATTTAGCAGACCGTGTTCAGTAATCGAGGTGCCACAGTTCGAGCAATACTCTTGATCGTGGTGAAGGCTGCGTGCGGCATGAGTTTGCACGATTTGAGGTCTCAACGGTCGTTCCAGGCCAACACCGGTATTCTAGAATCTGTATTAGATTTGAAACATTTCTGAAAGAATGAATGCACCAATGGACAACATACCGGAAGCTGAAAGTTACCTTTGGACTCTTCTCAAACCTTGACCTTGTAGCACCTTGAATATGGCGAGATTCCTTGATGCGCTTATTCAAGAGTGACGTGCCAATATAGGAGGCAGAAAAACAACACAAATCAGCGAGTGAGCCTCTTGCGGATTGTTTATTCGTCCTAGAATCAATGAACTAAATGTGCAACAAGTTTATAGGCTGTTACGCTATGGATGCGCTGTTCTTCGTCGTGTTTTCTCGTTATGTCCGAATAATAAGCAGGTCTCGAGGGCTAAGGGCTTCCATCCATTCCCTCTTATGTCCTCGCTTTCCATTACGTCCTATTTTTCAAAAATACAGTCGTATCAACGCTCCCTGATCCTTGGCTATTTGCCAATGTCAGCCTTAGCCTCCAGGCCGAAGCCATATCCTTGGACTTGACCTATCTGGGTTATTGACGTCAGGTTCCGAGCAGACCAATGGAGTGGAAGGGCTTAACTAGGGCTATAACCAATCAGAGTATAGCCTGTGCATGCGTGCTCCACATCTGAGATGGAGCCCCTTTAGGAGATAAGGCTAATGGCTTAGACTGAACTGAAATCCCTGAGACCTCCAACAAGAGAAATTAAAAATAGGGTAGCTGTGTATGGACAGGTCGTATATGAGCTTTACAATGCGAATGCGACTACGAGCCCCCACTCCGACCTTAGAATAAGCGCAAAGAAAATACATATGATCTCTGATGGGTCTAGATCTTAAAAGATGCCTCTTTTTATAGGCACCAGGCAGAGCGATAAATATCTGCACAGCGATATGCCATATACCATCAAATACAAGAGAATTTTGAAATGATTAGTCTCCTGTACAAGCATGGAGTTGCTGCAAATATCCATAAGTAAATACAATTGGCTGGATACCATTCTATGCAGCATCGTCTGGCGGGTATCTCGAGGTGGTGAAACTTTGTATGAGCACAGAGTCGATACAGATCTCTATAAAGGTGGTCTCGAAACTGGTGTCAGCCGCGAACACTATCACCGTGTTTCCGGGTACCTACCATGGAGACACGCTAGCACACGCATCACTAGCTTGGTGACAACCCCAGTAAAGGAGAGCATTTAAATGGCGGGCCATTCCTAGAACGGTCTATCGTGGCTTAGCGCGTTTTAGAATTAGGGCCTGAGTTCTCAAGAAGAGAGTGTTGGGGACGATACTCGTTTCAAGGTCTAGCTCTACAGCGACAAGATAGAGAGTGTAAGAGAAGAGAAGGTTAGAACAAGATAGCGGGGTTGATATCCTGCAATTGCTTGTTATCAGATTCGTGATCAACATGTATATGAAGCGGCCACTACCCACTATCCACGGTCCGGCAGACCCACTTGGAGATGCTCCGGTTTCCATCCACCAACACGCACACAAACACGCAAGGGATTGCGGACCCATTATTGCGGGAAAACTTCAAACCCTTGATCATCCTCACAAGCGAAAAAGATCCTTGAAATTCTAATAGCTGGATTTCTCTGTAAAGCTGGCTCTGCACCTTACTTATGGTAAGACCGCGGAGTGGTGGAGACGCTACGGCTAGTTCAGACTTCCTTCAAATATTAGAGCATTATTCGCCCAAGGGCCAGCCTACAAAGGGCCCCCACGTAGAGGCGATGAACACCGCGTCGGATAAAGTGTCCTGAGTGCTGCTCAATGTATCGGCAGTTTTGTAGTAGCACACGGGTTGGGCTGCCCTTCCACGATCTTGGAGGCGACAGACATCTGGTGATTGCTCGCTGCAAGCGGAGTGTCTCCGGTAACCTGCCACCGGTGGTAGGCTCGACCAGACTTCGGAAACAAGATATTGGCAATAGTCCATCACGCAAGCAATGTGGGTTGTCGAAGCTGCCTACGTAGTCATCGGTGATGAGCGACGCGATGGCATCAAAATGCTCGTTTAGTGATTGGAGTTCTAGTGAAGTAAGAAGAGGATCATAGTTCGTCCTAGATTGTCGCTGCAGTGGGCCTCGTATGATTGTCGGGCAACGACCAACGAAAGGTACGGAAAGATCGGAGATCAGGCTCCAGCCAAGGCATTTCAATCCTAAATGACCCTTCGGGACCATGTTCGGAAATAACACGGAGGTTGCGAATCCACCCGACGACTGCATCAAAGAGGGCTTCCCCAACGACCCTAGTAGACTTATTAAATTGTACTAATTTCCCATATTTATTTTCTTTAGCGAATGTAACCATAGAAAAAAGCTGGACAAGTTAAGTGGGGAAAATAAGTGGCGACCAAAAAATTCCTCTCGTTAGAAACAGACGGCGCGGACCGTAGGGGTATAGGCTTATAGCATCAAAGTATCACCTACTACAGGTCGGGAGCAATTCCAAATCCGAAACACTACCGAGCGACTCTCCCAGGAGAATATCTCCCAAACTTATTTACAATATACCGGACGTTCCTGCTCCGGTGGGTGATAGAGGGTGGGTATGCATATTATGGAATCTTTTTTAGCGTACAGCCGACGATAAGATACGACGGGACGGCCGATGCATTGCCACGTACTTTCGGCGGCGGGGGCACGCAGGAACACCAAAATCGGGCCAATCAGCGGGCCCTGATGCGGGATGTACAGCTCGACGTCACAAGTTTCCGTACGCGCCGCCTTCCGGCCCGAATCATCAAACTGACCTAGTTTTCTAAAACGGCCACCATTCTTCTATTTTCTTAGTAATTTACTAGTAAATTTAAATATGTATAGAAAAATAATAAATCTATCCAGCGACTAATTTTTGGCTGACTAATACTTAGTATACCAGCCCTTTGCCTGAATAACTGCCTCACAACGCCTAGGCATAGACTCTACCAACCTATTAAAAAAATCCTAGATATCTCATTCCACGCGCGCTCTATTAAAGCGCTAAAACGCGCTTTTAAAGCTTCTTCGGTGCCTTCAAATGTCTCTATCTCAGGATCAAGCTGATATATCATTTCTTTCAGCTTTGACCAGGCGTGTTCAATAGGGTTAAGATCAGGCGAGTAAGGCGGCCAATCGATAGTAGAAATCCCTATATCCTGGAACCAACGTTTAACCTTGTTGGCTGTATGTATAGGAGCGTTGTCATGCATGAATTCTAGACCAGGTTCCCATATAGAATAGAGATTATCTTCCAGAATCTTGAGATAGCTCTCTGCAGAGTAGCCACGTCGTCGGGAGTCAGGATCACGCGCCATTATATTGATATCTGAGCGAGAACTACCCCAAAACGCTCCCCAGATCATAATAGACAGACCTTTTGACTTGCTGTATGGGATGATATACTCCTTTTTTCACTTCTCCCCTAATCGGTTGAGCCTAAAGCACCATTTCTGACGCTTTCCCTTTCCTAATTCAACCGAGCATTCGTCTGACCAGATAATTGTACGCCACTGCTCAACGCTCCAATCCCGATGAGCTAAGGCCCATTCTAAACGCTTCTTAGCATGCTCATCTTTCAATCTAGGCCTTTTTTGAGCGCGCCAGTGGCCATACCCCGAAGTCTTGAGTAGTCTAAGCAAGGTAGAATTGGAAGCAGTCGTCCCACTTTGACGGCGTAATTCATCGTAGGTAATAAAGGGATCAGACTGTATAATGACTAGGATTCTGCGCATATCATGTTTATTAAGCATTGTAGGCCTGTCTGCTTGATTTATCGAATTCCCGTTGTTTCGAAGCGATTTCTTTTCGATGGTATACTGAACGGTTGACTTGGAAATTTGAAGCGATTCCCCAATTTTGGATAAAGGAATCCCTGTATGAGCTAAACCACATATAAAACCCCTAGAATAGGGACTTAATTCGGATTTCTTTATCCTATTAGGATTTATGGCCCCTAAAGGCGTTCTAGGGGCCATGATTGAAGAAATAAAAAATAGGTAGGAAAAACGCGTGGTCGCGGTTGACGCGTTTCGTACGGAAACTTTTGGTGGGGACTGTAGGGTACATCCCCCAGGTACTAGAGTATAGGGTCACGGGCCCGGCGTTGTTCTGGCGGCTGGGGGGATAGTAGGAAAGCAACGAAACGGGGCGAGAACTGGTGGTAGGAGAGCAGAAGTTGATATACTTAAGATATAACAGATGAGGCCGCTGGGCAAACCCTATCGGTCTACCTGCGGGCGTTAAGCCGGATCCGTAATAGTTATTGTCTTATCTCCAAGCAAGCCCCAACGGAAAGCCAAACAGGAAAAGTATATATAGTGTACAGAGAGAGAGGGAGAGGAGAGAGATAGATATTATAATAGCTCTGCTCTCTTCCAGTAAAGTCTAGTCAAACGCATGAAGTGGTCGACTCGCTTACGGGATACGTTACGGCCAATCGCCAACCAGGGGAGAATCCTATTTACATTGATGTCTAACGTGGCGATCTAACGAAACATCAAACGTAGAGGAGCAAGATAAAAAGAAAGAAAGAATTTTATCATACAAGAACTGTGGGATTTTGTGCTGTAGAATTAGATCATTCAGTGAATAGAGAGACTTGGTGCCAACAGTAGAGAAAAGAATGAGGATAAATACAAGACTGAAATCATGGAACTAGTAAAAATAGTAACAAGCGCAAAAAAAAAAAAAAATACAACCAGTAGAACAGGCTCAGGAATGAGAATTCGCAGAGCTTTCCAATACATATGGAGAGTTGACTTTTTCGGGTACTGAGCTCTTCGATTCTTGCTGAGCTTGACACAGGAAGAAGGCGTAAAAGACTAAACGGAACATGCACCCAGGATTTGGCCTTAGACTCTCTCTAAGTTTGTGCTCATGTTACTGGCGGCTAAGTACTGTGCTTGGAATGTAGGCAGATCGATGATATCGTGGACGTTTATCAAAAATCCTTTTTTCTCAAGGGCATTCGCAAGTATCACCGCCTTCGGAAAATCACCACCAAGATCGATAAACGAGGAATTCTCGCTAAGGCCGCTTGACCTTTCACCAGGTGTCAAAACCTGGTCCCACGTAGACCTCGCCATAGCAAGTCGTTCGCCAGGCTCATTAGACTGAATATCCTTCAATTGAGGACAGATCATTTCTCGTTCGGTGCTGCTAGAAACGTCATTCGGGTGCTCATATAGGATTTGCATGTCTGTCAAAGCGGAATCGGTATTTAATAGCATCTGCTTGATGACGAGATGCAGGAGATCAAGCAAGTACTTAGCGTAGTTGCTCTCGATTAGGTCTTTAGCGTAGCCAATTGAGATATGGATGTTGCTATCTGCTTGTGGGATAGAAATGACTTTGATGTCCACCATATCCTGTGGGTCATCCAGAGATGCGATTCGATAGTAATTCTGGCCAAGGACAATTTCCGCAGAAGGATTAAGATTTTGATGGACCGCAGCAGATGGAAGACGAGTCAAAGAGGGCCAGTTTGTGCACAGATCAATGATTTTTTGAAATCCTAGGGTCTCAAAAGGAATGCGGGAGAGTTGCTGATCTTGCAGCTGTGAGATAATATCCCTGAATCCAGGTGTTGAATTGAGCTTTATCCGCACTGGAACATAATTGATACAGGGACCCATTATTGTGTCCACTTCAGGTATGGCGGCATCGTTTCTTCCATTGACAATATGCCAGAAAATGACATCTTTGGTTCCCGAGATGTAAGACAGGACGAGGGCCCATGCGGCTTGCACAGCATTTGAGGGTGTGATACCGCTGCAGATGATTGATTCAAAAGAAATAGCAATGGGTGCTGTATATGAAATGGGCAACGGACGAGCTATGCTATGACGTCTCCCTGGAATGGAGGTCATCGAGCTCTTTTGAAGAAGGTCCTTCCAATAACTGACACACAATTGAGAACGCTCGATGCCGGACTGGATGAAGGGCGTAAATGCAGGCCTGGAATTGGCAGAGCCAGTCTGATATATGGTTTCAAGAGCTTCCCATAGCATGGAAAGACTGACACCATCATATAAGGCATGAGAGATTCGAACGATGATGCGATGCTGGTTGCTGTGAAGTCGACTCACAACGGCAAGACGAAGGAAAGGAACACCCAGGATCTGTCTACTGTGCATATCTTGTGCACGAAGGTTTTCAGTATATGGCTGAAGCTCTGTGTCTGTCTCATAAACTTCGAATCCAAGCTCAACATTCCTGACTACAACCTGGACAAACTGATTCTGATGAATCACAAATATCGTGCGCAATATGTCATAATTGTGAACGAGTTCATTCCAGCTGGACTTGAGCTGTTCGAGGTCAAGAGGGCCACTCCCATCCAGGAAGTAGTATACTAGGGACCACCGAGAGTCTGACACGGCACCACAGACAGAAAATAGTTGCATATCTGTGAGAGGCAGGATTCGGAGAATATCCTCGGGGGGGTATTGAACGAGTGGGGAAATTTCAGCTTTGCTGAATGCAAAAACGCGATCTGTAGAGCCTTTGAAGGATGACGACTGTACAAGCAGTTCGTGTCCAGAGTTGCTATGATGAGCTGCAGCAAATGCGGCGAGGTCACAAAGCAATGGGTTGTGGAATATATCAGTGACGGTCAGGGATATTCCGTTATATCTGGATACGGTTACCAGTTTCATGGCCGCAATAGAATCACCACCAAGGCGGAAGAAGTGAGCATTGACGGAAATTAAAGCTGGATCCACCTGAAGAACCTGGGACCAGAGTGCTTGTAAATCCAGTTCTATACGTGTGGATGGAGTCTATGTTGATACGTTAGAGAGTTGATATAATACCATATCGTCTAGAGACGAATTTATAGCGAGGCCACGTAAATAATACCTATCTTTTCTCTTTTATATATAATCTCTATTTATCTATTATAAATATAATTATAGACTATTATATAAACTTTATTAATTAATATATATTTATTTTAAAAATAGTATTTTATATAAGTCGTGAAAATAGAATTATAATATATAATATTTTCTATATTATTTATACTATTTCTAGAAATTTTTACTAAATTTAAATCTATTTTTCTATTGTTAAGCGATATATCTAGATTTTTTATTATTTTATTAACTTTTATTTCTAGAAAAACTACTATATTTTTTATAGAAGCCTTTTTAATATATTTTATTTTTTTATAATTTAAGATACTACTGTAATTATTATTATTTTATTTATATTTAGTAAATAGTACTGTCTACGTATTATAAAAGAAAATAATTTATAAAATTCTCTATTTTAATATATTTAGTTTAACCCTTCCATACTTATATTATTATAAGTAAATAATTTAATCGATATTTTTATTATTAATATATTATATTATTTTATATTAAAGAATAATATTAATATATAATTAAAATATATTATTATTATCTTATTATTATTTCTACGTCTGTAGGCTTTTTTCTGTTATAATAAATAAATAATTTATTAAAAACTCCCTATTTAATAATAAATATAAAAAAGAAAAAGAGATTCTTTACGATATTAGATATAAAAGGTAATTATATATTTTTATTAAATTAACTTTTTTAATTATAAAAGAATAATAATTTTTAATATCCTACAGTATAACTTTTATATTATTTAAAAATTTCTGGTGCTAAGGTCTACGGTTAAAAAAAGATTATCTAAGATAGGATATGCGGTATTAATATATTATTATATTTTATAATAATATATATAAAGCTATGGTAATAGTTATAAGATTAATAAAAAAGGTTCTGTATTTTAATTTCTACTATTTTTTTCTAAGTATTAATAATAACTAGATAATTCTGTTAAGACGTCCGCTAGGAATATAGCTATCTAAGTTTAACTGTTATCAGGCCACGCCAGGCGTGGCTCTACCTACTTGTCTACCTGTATATAGCCTGACCTGTAGCCTGCCCGCGTATTAGCTCTGATTAGCCTGCCTGCCGAAGCCGCACCCTGACATATAACATGTAATGGAAAATTGATAGCATATATTAAACTTTTATATACACTACCCTTAAAATCTGCCTAGCTTTAAATTAGTGGAAATAGTGGATAATGATGTATTAAAGCTCTTGGCTTTCAGTTTAAACAGTGCCCAGTTACACTTTGTAGCAAGCGAATGCTTCAATTTTTTCAAAAATATGTGATGCATTTCTGTCTTAGCGCCGTTAGATATACAGTACATAGCAAATATTACTCCACAGCGCTTGCATCCACGGCTGCGGGCCGACATTTCTTGTTTTGTAGTATATTACAAGGAAACACTACTTTATCTAAGGTATCGTGGGCCAACTGTTACCGTCAGCCAAATGGCTAAACAAGAGCGAAGCGGAGGACGGAATGAATAAAATGACAAGAAAAGAGTCAGTGCACTAATTTACAAACAAATATTCACATTGATTTCTCTAATAGCTCCTGCCTACAAGTTCCTCCCTGCAGATGAATGGGTACTCGGGATGTCATAGTAGTTGAGACAACATTCATAGAACGTCATTGAGGGACAACACCGAAGTTGAGATTACAAGTAGTGGTATGCTATGAGAGGTAGCTCTAGGCAGCCTCGCATCGCAATTGCTCGTTACCATATTCCTTATCGGCTGGTCAACAGTTGCTTTCAGCAGCCGCAGCATGGGTTGAATTAAGGGTTGACCCATTGCTTGGTAAGAGTGGAGACTTTGGTTCACTAGCGTGTCGATCCATCACTTCATGCCACGGACCAGGGCCTGCAGCGGCCTCCCACTGGTTAAAATCCTGGCCCGGGTTAACCGTCTCATAGTGGAATATGCTGAGGAAACCATAAAATCCACATGCAAGGAGAGACCCTAGCAATGGTCCTACCCAGTAGATCCAGTGGTATCCTGGGAAGCTGCGGTTGATCACATCAGGGCCAAGGGCACGGGCAGGGTTAAGAGCACAGCCGGTATAGTAGGTCCCTAGTTTTATAATCAGCATATGCGTATGCTTATTTGCATGATTCAGGCGCACAAACCGACTAATTGGTTTACAAAGAGGACGAGGCCAATTCCAACAGGAGCCAGAAATGTTGACTTTTGCTTGACCACAGCCAACATAATAACGACAAATACCAGATGAGCCGTTAGGAACATTTCAATAAAAAGGCCCTGGGAGATCGAGGTGCCACCGCCCAGCCTAGTCTGAACGGCCAGAGGTCCTGGGAATAAGCAACTGACGACACCTGCTGATGCAATCCCCGCCACTATTTGAGAAGCGAAGACCAATACACCCCGAACAGGATGCATGCCTCCACAGAGGCAGAGAGCCAATGTGACCTAGGTGGGATTAATATTAGTATCAATGTCATTTTACTAGCCAGGGGTCTTAATCAGAACATACCACTGGATTGAATAAACCACCCGTCACGCGGTAAAACGTCCAAACATTTACAAGGAGGGAAAACCCGAAAGACAGTGACAGATAGAGTAGATTCGAGGTATTTGGTGGCGCTCCTTCAGCCGGCTTAGGAGTATTGGAGACCTGACCACCAGCAAATGCGAAGAAGAGGAACATAAAAGTTCCGACAAATTCTCCCACTACCGCAACAAAGTTATTTTGGAATGTATGAGGTACGTGTAGCATGGGCAATTGGCCCTTCTCTGAGCGGACAATAGGGGCCGTATTCCCCCCAGGCTGGTGCCGTATACGAGCTGCTAAGCTCTGCATCAGTGGGGTATTCGGCATAGTCGAATGGCTTGTTGATGCTGTGTTATCGGCCGTCTCATTTCGTCTCTGATGAATCCAGCTTGGCATTTTCCCGTACGTGGAGTAATGTGTCTGTAAAACAGGGAGATAACAAGTTGAAAAACAACTTCTAAATGGTTTACCAAGCACGATCTGGCAACTTCTAGGGCCAAATATTCGCTATTTATGTTGAGCGCTCTACCGGGAAGCTACGGCTCGTGGATATAGATGATATCATGGCTGCTCTATGTGGGACAGTGTTCTAATCGGTTGTAAAATATATGGAGCCTGGTATGTCATAAGGTAAAGTAGTGGCAAGGTGAACGGTTGCTAAACGTCGGAGAGCCAAAGGATGGACGAATATGGCATTCAAGTACGGTACTCAATATATCACATCAGCAGTTTGATTGAGGCTATAACTCCATCTCGAAATTATGCTTTAGGAAAGACTAACTGGCCAATCACTCCAAGTGCAGTTTGGACCCACAACGGGACCCATGGCTGCGAAGCTTCTCAACGGTCCCCATCATTCCGAAGCCTTACCTAATTGCACCTAATGGGGGAAAACTCCTAGATAGCACCGAAAAGAAGAAAAAAAGCTACTATTTTATTTTATCATCAAGGTGTCATCTGAGTATCGGTCTAGACATGGCCCATGATGTCAATGAAATATGCTTGCATGCAATAGTAGAATGACGCATTCCCCGAATGCAATGATAAACATACTTGTATAATTGGCCGATGAGCATTGTGTCTGGAGCATGAACTGGAAGCATTTCCGTTGCTGAAGAGCTCCATTAGCTTTGGGTACTAGCGCTAGTTTTAGACTTATAACTTCAACATGGATCAACGTTATTACAGCCTTGCCCAAGGTATTGATGCTGAATCGTGACATTTGGTGCTTATACATACTCTTGGGTAATTCTTTGGAAGGTTGTCCTTATGCCAGTAACGCCACTTCAGTTCAATTGCGTAAAGTGGGGGTGGTCTAGTACTTCTTCAGGACACTCAGCTTATTGAAACATCAGCCCACTTCTCCAGCGAAAGAATTCCAGAAAGGTAAGTTCAAACAGCGAATCAAAAGTTATTGATTCTGACAGTATTGTGCCTTGGACTTTAGGGTGGTTCATGCGAAAGCTGCTGGGTAGGTCAACTGCTGTTCAAGCGTGATACCTCTTAGGGATTCTGACTGACACTCACCAGGGCTTATGGTAAATTTACTGTCACCGATGATTGCTCAGATATTACCTCGGCCAGTTTCCTCAATCAAGTGGGCAAGAAAACTCCAGTCTTATGGCGCGTATCCACAGTTGGGCCTGAAGCTGGCTCAGCTGACACTTCACGCGATGTGCATGGATGGGCAATGAGGCTGTATACTGACGAAGGAAATCTCGACTGGGTGTTCAATAACACCGTATGTTAGTATTCTAGCTCGGTGGGCCATGCATACTAACGGAAATACTAGCCCGTGTTTTTCGTTCGCGACCCGATCAAATTCCCTTCCATGAACCGATCCCACAAGAGGCATCCGCAGACTCACCTTCCGGATCCAAATATGGTAAGTAAATGCTCTTGAGATCCCCTCGGCGTGCATGAAATTATGTAGCTGACTGTAACTAGTTCTGGGAGTAGGTAATCTTGTAATGCCATGTTTTCATGCCGAACACTAACTCCAACACAGCTTCAATGTTGGCAATCCTGAGGGCGTCCACGAGTTGCTCCATCCTTTCAGCGATCGGGGAACACCCGCGTCCCTCCGTGACATGAATGCTTACAGTGGACACACATACAAATTTACAAGAGAGGTACGGGGATCCTGTTCCCACTGGTGTAAGGGTACTAAACATCGTGTTCCTCAGGATGGCTCTTTCAAATATGTGAAGATCCACATTAAAGCAAACCAGGGAGTTCAGAATTTAACCAAAGAGGAAGCCGTGCGAATTGCAGGGGAGAATCCTGATTTTCTCATTAAGGGTACGTTCGAGGCGATTGAAAAAGGGGATTACCCAACCTGGAATGTTTACGTGCAAGTAATGGATCCTACACAGGCGAAGAATTATTGGTGGAATATATTCGACATGACTAAAGTTTGGCCACATTATGACTTTCCTCTTAGACAGATTGGAAGGCTGACCCTGAATCGTAACGTGACTGGAGTATCATTTATACCGGGACATGGAGAGAGGCTAATTTTACAAAGCCCAATAACTATTTCACTGATATTGAACAGGCGTCATTCTCACCGTCTAATATGGTCTCAGGGTTTGCACCATCTGCTGATCCAAGTACGTACCTCTTTGATTACTTTTAAATGCTGGCACAGTTATTTACCTGGTGAGAGAACGCTAAACTGTTGATTTCTATATAGGATCACAATTGAAGCCGTTTCTTGAGAACGAGTATTTTGGAGGGGAAAAAAAAGTGATGGACAACCAGGTTGACTGCCCCTATTTAACCTCACAAAATTCCTACTAGATTGTCTGGCTCACCAACTTGTTCACCCCACTTGCTCACCCAGCTCTCACAGCTCACCCAGCTCAACCGCATTTACCCTGCGACTTAGCGGCGCTCACCCCTAAAGCAGCAACTCCTAAAGGGCTCATTTTCCAGTCGGCCGCGTTCAACATGTGGCTTAAGTACGGCTGAGCGGACGGGAAGCCCTGTTCTCCACACCCTGTGGTCGTATGTACTAATATGCTGAATGGATAGGTAGAGATACTAGCATCAGAATTAAAATATAACCCTCAGGCAATATGAGAAGATGTGAAGTGTGCTCAGCTACGGATTTGGGAAAAAAGCAGTACATATTCATATTAAGAGGATTCCACTAACGGACACTGATGATATTCCTCAAAGCTGAACTATTGAATCATACAAAAATGCCCACCAATCATGGCTTGACCAACTGCCCACCCCGTTTTTTGATCCGCCTTCTCATCTGACCCATCATATAAGTCTTCGTAAACTGTCGTAGGAATAGTGGCATGAAGGGATAGACACCAGACATTCCACTGACGAAGAGACCAGAAATGGCCCGTGAAGACTTTGTTGATTTCAGGAGGAATTGATCACGCACGCGGGGAGGCAACTGCTCAATAGTGAGCCGTTTAACAAATGGCATGGCTATAACAGCCAGTGGCCGGGCCCACAGTGGCAGACCTTTGGCCGGGTGGAAGATGTCATGCAACACCGCACGGGCATTCGGCGTCACACATAGTCTTTTATTCACCATATCGTCCCAGTAGAGCTGAAACTCCGTGAGATTCTCTGGCCACATCCCGGGTGGTACTTGCAGTGATGTCCCCATGATCGAGAATGCCCGATAGACTCTTTCGGCCCTCGTAGAATTGAGGGGTCCATAGATCAACTCGTACATATTGACCATAGTGGCATATATCGTGGCCGCCACCCACACTTGAAGTTCAGGGTCTTTTGCGTCATAGGACTGTTTGTTATGTTGTCCGACGACCCGAGAGTGAGCTTTATCGACGTAGGCCTTCATGGCCGCCTTTTCCGAGGTAGAGCCAAAGATCATGCAGTAGATATACATCTGGGTATACTCCGCCCGACTGATAGCCCGGGTTCGGAAGGTGCTGTGATCTGCGACGCCAGCCCCTACCAAAGGGTGTGCGATTTGGAGCAGGATCGCCGCAGGGCCTCCGACAAAAGTGATGCTTTCCCGAGCCACCATTTGCAGCTCCATCATTGCCAGATCAGAGATTTCAGGCACGGAGTATCCCTTCTCCACATCCACGGGAAAGTCGTCATCCTCCTGGGTAATGTACACGGCACCTTTTGCTTTCATAATTGGGACTGTCTTGAGTAGAAACTGAGAATATATTTCAAGGATACAATAAAGGACTCAAGGAGGTAAACGTTTCCGCAGAGCATTATAGGAGGCAATATCGCCAGCTTTATAACAGAGATATCACAAAGACCTGGTATGTCCATCTTGCGCAGCCTTTTTGGGCTCCCCTCATCACGGCTCAGCGACACCGGTCCGTGGAACCTGTATCGTGTATCCCCGTATACTTCCAGGTATACAGCGCGGTACCAGGTTGTTAACGCTGATCCCATGACGATGACGGTGAGCATGACATCTTCATGCGGGGACGAAAGAGGGTTCACGAAATCACAGTCAGTAGCCACCCACCAGTACAAGATAACTATCCACAACAGAATCATAACTGGCTCAAGCAGACTGGATGGTGTGGTGGGATCCGAAGAAAGAGATTGCTTGCCTCGGACCGCTTTGTGGATTCGTCATCATCTTGCAAATTTATGGAGGTGGCCAAAGTTTCAATGCTGTCTATTGGGTCACGAAACGTAAGGATAAGCTGACATCGTGGACGGCAGTAACGGTTATCGGCATCATTAAGTTAACTCTGGCTCCTTGATATGTTCCCTCCCACTTGCTATGAGCCAGGAGCTCACTGTATAGATTTAGAGTGGGCCTATCTTTGTGGTTCGCACCCTGATGTGCGAGGTGATAATCCAACAAGCTCCAGCTTGAAGCTTATCTTTGGCTGTACATCTGGGTTCCCTACCGAGGAACATCATATCAAGCCATTAGATACTCGGCTAGCCAAGACCTTGATGCCGGGATCATCCATAATTCTATCACCCCGGTAAATGTCTGATTCACTTTGACGGTCTGGGTGCATGTATGCTCTGGACAGGCTGAATAGCCCCCACAGTTGCTGAGTCCATACGGCGGAATGAGTGAGTGATAATCGAGTCAGATAGTCACGAGGGCAACGGGTTGCATAGGCGATCGAGCATTAATCTGAGCAAAGATATTTCTGCCTATCCAATTGAGCTTCGCCCTTCGTGATTGGCCTTGTTCTGTGCAATGCAGCCAGTACCCCGCGAGGTCATTCCATACGGATCCGGGATGAACTGGCCGTCCGAGGCTACTCACTGTTTCTTGTGGCTTGACCTGTCGTGTAGGTTACCGTTTACCTCATAAGTTGTAGTGCTAGCAATGAAGGCCTTCTCATGTGCATAGGTGGAGGCTTGCGGTGTCCACTATATCTAACTTTCCCAGGATCAGGATCACTGCAAGCTAAAACCTCACAGTTTCGTGGAAGAGACAGGCTTAAACCTATAGGGTTGGGAAGCCAAACCGCGGGATCATCTCCCGGGCCGCGGCTGCACCAGTCGCCCTCGGGACGGGACTGCCAGAGCGTCGACCAGCGCTATTTTTGGTTTCTTTCGTCTACGACGTAGGTATGTAGAGCACATGACCTGTTACTATAGTTATTCATGAGGGACGTAGGTCTGTGGCATCCCAGAGAGAGAAATTGAGCCCTTGTCGCAGTTCAGCAATTAGGATATTAATATCCGCCTTCTTGGATAGATGTCAGATAAAGCTTGCTGCTTGGACAGGTTTCGATACGTACTTTCAGCTGTTAGGTCTGGCATTTCTTTTGCGTATTGACAGCAATTAAGCACAATGCGACACTTACGGTACGTTCCTCTGCTGGCTACCAGTATTGCTATGGGGACAGAGGGTATTGCCTTGAGAGGCCCACCAGCCAATATCCGAGGTTTACGGGAGCAGAGGTGGGTGTCATGGCCCTTCGCAAAGGTGACTATAGTTGCTAAAATACTCACGCCAAGGTCCACAATGAACCACCCAAGTATCATATTCGAGAGGACGGCCTCCCCGAACAGCTTAGCCTTTCATCCACCACTGGCCTCAGACCAGATACGCTCAATACTAGTGGCCAGAGCACTTGTCGGGTTGCTCAATTCCCCGTTATCCAGTATTCTGGCCAAACACTCACAGAATGCGAGCATTGCCACAGGGTCCTCGATTAGCCACAATAAAACCACGCACGGTTCATCGAATATGGAATCGTATTTGGGATCGCCAGGTGTAGCGTATCCGACGGGGCTACTGTCGGAAGGAAGCCATCGGATTACTAGCACTATCACTGCAAATGGTGCCGAGGCAACAGATAATGCTTGTAGTTCAATCTCAATGGGTATGGCGCCTCAAGGGACAGAGGTGATGCTGGGACGCCTGCTGAGAACTTTGAAGACCCTAGGGGCGTTGATGTTTCTGTAAGTATCTTTCGAGCTGATGGGATTGAGCCCAGAGAATAGAGTGGCTAAAGTGGAGTACGCAACAGAATGGTCCTTACGCTCGATTCTCAGTTTGGACGCAGATTCATCAATGCATCAATAAACGGAATTTCGATCGTATAAATTCTGATACGAGCGTCGCTAACCTAAAAACAATGAAGGGGTCTGGAGAACCTCATTGTCGCCGCAATGCACGTCAAGGTCAACGGCATGGCGCTTCATATTTCACCGCCTTATGAACACCACTTGAACGCTATGGGGTTCCTAAACGACAGTGTCCCCTCCCCATCCAGAGGTCTTCCTGAACACAGCGGAAGAGTTTGCCATATCTTGTTTAATAAGGTAATCATATTTTCCACCCGCTTAGGACACCGTGACTATCTCTAAAGCCAGCCTGCTCCTGCGTGTCCATGCTCTCCGTCCCTGCTGCAAAAGACATCCCTGATGCATTCAGAGGGCCTTTCCAAGGTACAGGATACACCATATCATCCATTCGCGGAAGGCAAAACGCTGCGTCAATAGGTGGCATTGACTGGGGAAATTCGAATGCTACTGCAGGTTCATCCCTGTCACCAGGGAGACCTTGACCATTCTGAGTCACTTGACATGGCGAGAACAAGTACTCAGGCGCCTGCTGTCTGGTGTACATTTGTGGCCCTGTCTGGGAAGTGGTTCTCGGGCCCAGCTGTGCACTAGGACCTATAAAGTCTACTTCGGTAATATCTCGCGGCCTCACGCTCGACTCTTGCGCCTTCCGTTCAGTTTCATCCAAGGACACCTTAGTCACCCATGGCAGCTGAAACCCTAAGAAGCCGGAGGCCACTGACCGTAGGACCTCCGGTAAACCGTTTTCATGTGGTAGTCGGCCCGACGAAAGAGAGTAGTCTGTAGAAGTTGAGATGAGAAGGTATATACGGGGATAGCGGATGAACAAATCAAACCAACCCGAGGCATGCTTCGCCTCGACGGCCTTCCATGTCCTAGTCGGATATGTCGCTCTTTGTCGGTACGCCTCAGATGCCCGCGCAGGTCGACGTCCTTGACTACCCAGCTCTCCTGACATTTTCGTTACGAGGCGGAGGATCTCCTTTGTACCCACAACAACAAACTTTGTTACATCATAAAGTTCTATAAGGGCATGATAAATGGTCCCTAGAACGTTTAGTCGTTGCTGCCGTTGCACGGCTTCGCTGTTGTTTCGTGCGAGGCCAGCATCAATCGCCGCCACCACTATCGGCCATCCAATGAATGCCAATCTGTTTAACGAGCGGCGAGTCAGTGTTGTCTGTGGGAAGTAATGGCGCAGCCAGGGTACCTACATAGAAAGCGGAATAACTTCAATATCCTTCATATTACTGAAGTATTTCAGAACATCATGCAATTCATTTACAGCCTCTTGGAGGCAGTCACCAGTCTGCTGGAGCTGCATGGTGTACGAGTGTCCGACAAACATCAGGTTGGCTTCGAGGAGAAGGGCTTCGTAATGGGCCAGATGAATATGGGCTGTGCTGTATCGTGGGGTTAACTGGAGATATAAAGAGGTCTAGGGATGTGCTACCTACTAGTAATAGACATAGGTCATCTTGATAAAAGACGTCACTGAATGCAAGACATTAGAAAGAGTCGACGACAGAGAATACCGCGATTCCGTGTCCCATTGACGTAATCTATTTCTTGTCTTCAGAACATTACCCATGCATGTCGGGAACTCCTTTGAGGGTAATCCCATTCCAGAGCTTTCCCAAGATGAAAAGATGAAGGAATTCATATCAGTAAGGACAACCGCTAGACGGCACTGCTGCTGTAGCACCTTAAAAAGAATGCGCTTGGTTTGCACGTCATACACCTTAGATTCCTGGATCTCCTCTGTGAAGTCTCCCTCCTCCAAGGTATTGTTCTCAGCATCGAAATCCTTTGTTGTAAGCTGGCTGCGTCGGCGGAGGGCGAGGGAAATCCATCGGTCGCGCAGCAGAATTGACCACCATAGACGTTTAATGGTGGATTTCTTAACACTGTCCGATGGCTTCGGTGGCTTTCCTAGGATGATGGCATTCTGTATAGCATTGGCTAGAAGTAAACTACCAATTTGAGGATCATCAGGGGAGGCTTGGTAGGAGAGCAACAATGCTCCCTGAGCCCGTTCTAATGGTTGGTCTTCGGCTTTCAGATCTAGTAGCAGCTCGAAGGTGTGTCAGTGTCGCAGAATCCGAACTCATGCCGCATAGGTACGGTGCTCACCTTGGCTCTGTTGAAGAAGGTATCACTTGCTGTGGGCCGGTCCTTAAACCCACATTCATGCAGTGCCTCCAATGACACATACTAGAAGGGTTAGCTTGCCTCTTGATGAAAGCAAACAGAAGCGGCGTACCGGACAGCTTCTGAACAACATGGCCTGTAGCACTAAGACAGAGAGATTGCGACCGTGTGATGATGCGCGATTCCCTTGCTGGCAGTACAATTGCCAGAACTCTGCCTCATCTAGTATAGGGGTGCCGACGTGGATATGCAAGAAGTACTTTTTCACAAATTCATCCAGAATCCGTCGAACGGGTATTGTAAAACATCCTTTCGAGCCTAGGTATGATATATCCCATTTGTCTAAACAAGACAACGAGCGAAGCTCGAGGAATGGATAAGAAGAGAATTCAACATTAGAGCTCGACATCGGCACACCAGGTGGACTACCTGACATCTCGAGCGACGGCGGTCTGCCGCCACTGTCAGGTCTTATTTCGTTGCTCTGCTGTGTTTGCGGTGATGGATCCAGGGGACTCTTGGGACTCTCGGTTTCCTGCAGCTTGTGCGATGCCGGGTTTCTTCTTTTCCAGATAAGGCCCTTCGATCTGGTAATTGATTAGTTCAGGCGCCTAGTCCTACTGCTGTCCAAAAAGCGATGGAATAAAAGACAAGATACATACGCGCGTGGAGCTCGCTCCCGGAAGGTGCATAGCTGGCCATCCTGGAGGCACCTGGAGCAAGGGCATCCGCCAAACGATGCGTCACAGCGCACCTTGCGCTGTTGACACCAGATACAGGCGCGAGTGGCCCTTCTGGATCGTGAGATAAACATGCGTACGTTGGCGCTTCAACTCTAACAATACGCCGCGGACTTGATCTTGCCACCTGGTGCAAGAATATTAATGACTGGAGCCGAAAACATTAGATAGGAGAGAGTAAAAGCTAGTATTGAGGGGCGCTATTGTAAAGGAGAGCCGACCTTTGGGGGGAGGCGGCTACGATCCTGACCACGATGTGCTTATTCAGTGTGAGATCTTCATCGTCCAGTACTTGGCTTTACTCTCTTGAATCAGCATTGGGGCGCGATTATGCTGTCCCTGAATCAGATTCAAAACCTTCACTAGTCCGATCCTGGGGTCAAAAGCTGCTGTGAAGATCAATGGGTAAGATTATTGTCCTCGGCTCATGCGCACGGACGCATTCTTGTTGTGATAAACGCTGATGCATACCTGTACGCGTGTCCACCTTTCATGCAGAAGCCCCATTGCAGCTGTCTAGTCGAAGGGCTATCAGATACTCTGGCGTGCGGCGTACCCCGCAATCGTGATGATCAGCATGGACGAAGTTGCATGTGGAAGCCCTCGGTCCGCGGGCATCGTCGTATTCGATACGACCCAAACTTCAGTCCATTCTGGGCGATCGGGGCGCATTGATGGCAGGGCTATCTCCTGGTCCACATACTGCACAGCCAATGTGGTGGTCAGCGGATAAATTGAGGTGAGGGAAAGTGTTCTACAGGGAGGAAGTAGCTCGATTCGACGGATGCAGATCCTAAGGTCAGCGTTCGGAATTAACAGTGGATTAAGGCGGAGATTGGCAATTTTGAGACCAATAGTAGTATAGTGAAGCTAGGAGATGCTTTACTATGGAGTGAAGCTTTCTTTGGAAACGGCTGGTTCAACACCGGACCAAGATAGTGTACATGCCTCTGCAGATCAGCGCTTTCGCATAGTCGAAGTAACAATCCGAATGAATTATGGAAACTACCCATTTCACCAAGAATTGAGACCATGGGTAATAATGGCCAAAGTGATTATCCGCGATAAAAACAAATAACAATAACGGCCTTCTTCACAGATGCTTGTAGCTCTCATGAAGGTTCATGATCTGAGAGAGCTAAACTGGCTAAGGCAACATCCAAGAGGCAACCAAGATTCCGTCACCATCAATAGGAACCTTCCGCAAAGAAACCGATACCAGATTTATTAGTCACCTGAACGTCTAGTAAGAGTGATCTCCAGATCGCACTGTACTGTTCAAGATCTGAACCGGATATCCCTTTTGTCCTGCCAGCAGAGACAAAGGCACATGGCTCACAGTATAGCCTTTGTCTAGTCCAAGTCTCCTGGATTTTCAAGGTAAGATTGAGACCACTGGGGGTCTTAGTTCAAGGCACGGGTAGTGACCTATGTATTCTTTAGGTGTATCTGTCAAAGTCGATCGACTAGCCAACGCACGGGAAAAGTCAAAGGTGAGATGCTGTCTGGCAGATAAAGGTACCAGTCATCCTCATCTATCAGACTCAGAGTACGTGTCAACACAATGCACTCGTAGTAGAAGGGATAGAAACCACTATCCTCCCAGTCGATAATTGCAGTCACAACATATTGGCCGCTAGAACCAAGGTCCTGCTTCACCATAACATTGCTAGTTCTGACATCGCCATGGGTGAACACTGATCCATCCGCCAATGTCGAAGTATCGTGCTCCAAAAGGGAGCGAAGAAGCCTAACATAAGTAGCACTACCATAGTGACGAGCGGAAAACTGTAAGTCGTCGAATCCTTTTGTTGTCGTAATGCCTTTGAATAGGCTGCACTCGTCAACACGAAGTTCCTTGACTCCCTCTCCATAAACTGCGCCAAGCGCATGACCATCCTTTTGTTGAAACTCTCTTAGATAGCAGAAAATATCGTACAGCTGACGTTGTATCAAGAGCTTCTCTTCGTGTGACATATTGGGCCATGCTTGGGCCAGAGTTGTCCCGGGAATATATGACATGAATATAACGCGAAAGGGACCCAATGCGACAAGTCCATAATAGGGCCTCGGAGCAGGAACATTGGGCGCCCGCTCCATGAGAAATTGCATACTAGTATACTCTGTGTAATCCTGATTTCCTGTCACAACTTTAGCAACGATATCCTCGTTGCATTTAACCACCACTCAATCATATTATTTGCAGCATAGTCAATGAGTGAACGTTGCATGTACAGGTGGGTGTGGGCGATCTGGCCGTGGCCCTACCTTCCATGCTGTGTTTATTGGCCCGCATTTCTGTAGTTCCACCGTGGAGCTGCATGTCAGCGGTTCCTTGTTAATTCTTTTTCTTCGAACGGGTCATCTCATATAGCAGGCGCCAAAACAAGTGAATGCTGGAAGGCGCCCTCGTGTGCCGTGTGTCACGGCCTTTAGGGAACGGTGCCACACACTTCAGTTTCCCCTTTGCCCCTCCTATTTCTTCCTAGTCCTTTGTCCTTGTACCCCTTGTCATGGATATTCAACACCAATTTCCAGGTGTGCACTGGGTCTGGGGAGGAGGCATCTCCTTTGTCTACGAGGTCTATCCTCTGATCGTGGTCAAGGTGCCTAAGTCCGGACAGGAAGAGAGAGAGAAATTTCGCAAAGAACTGAAGATATATGAGATTCTATCTCGCCATCCGCCCTACACCTCTCTGGTTTAGTGTTTTCACTATACAATAGACGGAATCTTTCTAGAGTATATGAGGGGTGCGACCCCTACTTGTATATTAATAATGTATCTACTAAGTGCGGTTGTAGATATATTTTTTGCTGATCGGAGACAATTCAATCTTACTCGAGATCCCGGTTCTCGTGTAGTTTTTAAAATGGAAAAGCTGGAGTCCCTGATGTTAGGAAAATCGTGTTAGTAGACAATTAATATCTGATTTTTAAGGAACCGACCCCCTAATATATTTAGGGATGAACGATCTTGCTCAAGGCGTTCCTTTTCTCGGATCGTCTAACCTCGCTCATGGTGACCTGCGACCTGAAAATATCCTGCTTGATCGTGACCGACTGAAACTATCGGATTTTGATTGCACGGCCGAATTCGGGACAGATTTCGAAACTTGTCTTTGTCCGTACGGAAGACTTCTGAATAGTAATGAGGCAGACCAAGGAATACCAGGAACTGCCGGCCTCCTTGGTCCTCGAGCAGAGCAGTTCGCCCTTGGTTCGGTGTACTACTTCATCAATTACGGATTTGAGGTTTATGATAATCAATCTCTTGCTGATGATCCTTATGAGCATGGACCCAAGGTTATGGACCTACTACAAGATATGAAGTTTCCGCAGCTCGGTGGCGATCCACTTATTGAAGATATCATCAATAAATGCTGGCATAACCAATATCTCACGCTTGGCGATTTGGCTACACACACAGAGACATTTCTTAAGGAACCACAAAGTGTAGCACCGAACCACGAAGCAGCTGCCTGTCCGAGATGGAGCACAGCTATAAACAGAACACCACCTCAAGTATGGTCCAGCCTCGGGTCCCAACGGCGAAGCAACGAGGAGGTAAACAATGGCGACGACTATTACAATACGGATCAGAAGCGCTCTGGTCAGCGTAGACCCTCGAAAGAGAAATTCTGCCAGGACTTGGAGAAGCGTAGACTTGTTCGCCTTCTTACTTCGAGTCGGCCCATGGAGCTTGGATTCAGCATGGAGCACAGGCATGTGCCACGAACTACTCCCGCGAACTGGGAAGGAGGAGACCACTATGGGGGGAGGTTGGAGACTTCGGACCATTTCTTTAGCTGCGGCTGGTTGATGGTAATTTTAATTTATACGATCAGATTCCTCGAAACAATGCCATCATGCAATGAACTGACCTGAAGCAGTAGAAGATGGCAACGACTACGGTTCGATAACGTAGGGAAAACGGACACAACTCGGCACCCAAGGGATTCGTGGCTAGTGATTGATCAAGCCTACTAGGTGGAGATATATATCCTTACAGAGGGGTGACTCTGGATTAGCTCCTGATCCCTATAGCGTGCAGAGTTATAAGAGAACACCATCATTGGGCACCTAGTGCCCGCAGGAGCTACACAGAATCGGGCCCTTGTAAAATGGGGTTGTCCGACAAGAAGCCATATATATACTGGAAACACCAACTATATTGCAGGAGTGGTAGTAATCGATCTAGCTAAACATATTATCTATAGACACATCGGGTGGACAGGCTTGAAGTTGCCGTGTTTTCTTTTGTTTTTCTTTCCCTTTCCTTTCGCCGTGACCGTGTCCCTTTTGCTATTGGCTCCAATGCGAAGGTAGACTCTCGAATCCAACCTTAGTTGTCCCATCGGCCAAAGGCCAAATAGCCATCTGGCCGGATCAGCATCTCTCGGACTCCACACATATACAGGCTCGTCCTCTCTTCATCATCTGGCATGTCAACAACATCCACCACCGTCGTCCAGTTCTCGAATGCCGCAGGAGGTCGGACTTCAACGCTATGCTTCCCAGGAAGGTGCAGCTGGATCCAATTTCCGTCTTCGGTATAATTACGGAGTTCAGTCAGCACCCCATCAGGTAGTCTGATCTTGACATTCAATGCACGCCTTCCCTGAATGTTCTTGGGTAGGGCCTGCCATCCGTTTGGAAGTATCATGTCGAGCAACTTAGGGTAGGTGACTGAAAACCCGCTAATTTCCCTGGCCAAAGCCTTGTTAGCTTCTGGTACACACAAAAGCTTCTCCATCGCGTCCCGGACCGCCCATTCTGGGCCCGAGGAGGCAAAGAATAAGAGTGACTGTGAAGTGGTGTTTTGAACCACCGCTTTGGCAATCGGCCGCCGTTCTTCTTCGTACGTATCGAGCAACGAAACCGGGGCGGACTTGGAGATGACTGCCGCAATCTTCCATCCTAGATTCAGAGCCTCTTGGAGGCCGACATTTAAACCCTGACCGCCGGCTGGGAGGTGTTTATGGCATGCATCTCCGACAATGAAAACACGACCTTGGCGATATCTTGTCGCTAGCCGTTGTTCATTGCTGAAACGCTTCAGCATACAAGGGTTCGAAAGATTATAGTCGACTCCGGTGATTTTGTGCAGGCTCTGATTCATTTCGTCGAGAGTCACTTCAACTGACTCCGGAACTGTGCCGCGATCACTCGCGAACACATTCAGCCTGGTCCTTCCGCTGGGGACCTTCAGGTCAGCAGCGATAACTAATCCGTGCTCATTGTGAACAATGTAAGGATTCGGCATGGCCGCGCCCAGTGTCGCTTCACCACTCATGACTGTATTGACAGGTGCATTGCCCGTGAACTCAATGTCGGCGAGTCTGCGGATCGTACTGCGAACGCCGTCTGCACCGACAAGGTACTTCGCGCTGGCGATGAACGGCCGGTTGTCGATGTAGGCACCCTTCACCATGACAGCAGGCCCAGATTGGTTGACTGAATCGACCTGGACACCCTGGATGATCACTGCACCCAGCTCCACGGCCCGCTGGAATAATATCATCTCGGTTTTATACTGAGGTACGAGTAGCACATGGTTCTGGTCCGTTTCACGGCCGAAAACACTGTAATCGAGACGAGTGTCCAGAACGCCGTAATGCCACCAATCGGTTTTTTGGCCAGCTTGAACAAAAGAGTCCAGAAGGCCTCGACAGGCGAAGATTTCCAAAGTGCGACCATGCATCACAAAAGCACGTGTTTCAGCCATGCCATCAGAATTCGTTCGTTTTTCGACCACCAGAACGGAGAGACCGGCAAGACGTAGTTCACAGGCGAGGAAGAGTCCAACTGGACCGGCTCCCACGATCACCACGTCATGAGTATTGTTTGTCATCTTGAATCGATAGGAGAGGAGAACAGAGTGTGGAATGGCTGAAGCGTTTAAAACAATGCTGGATGATGTTCTTGCTTCCAAAACTTTGACAATCCGACGGCGTTCATCCAGCTTTATAGACGCCCAGATATCCGCCATGCCAAAAGTCATACATGTCTTACCCTAACAAACAGTAGGTTTTCGCGGATACCCTCAAGCCCGGAGTTACCTGTTTCTGTACTTATTCCGGGTTTCATCTCGTCGTTTTCCTCAGCCAGGTATCGGGGTTTGGATGCTATCGGCAATCGAACATTTAATCTATATCGCCTCGTGCTATACTCCCGATACGCCACAAAGCTCAAAAAAGTATGACTAACTTGATCGGCTTTATATACCTTCTTCAGACACTCGGGGAACTAGGTCCGACAGGGTCGGATTCAAGGGTCTCGGGGTGAAGACTCGAGGTGGGTTCTGCCCTAGTCGGGCCTAGATTGTGGCGTCACCCCACCCTAATCCCGAGCCATGTAGTCCGCCGTTCCTGACCCCGTCGGAGCTAAAGCAGTCCATCCAGCCCTGTGTTTATTAAAGGTGATAACAGAACACACTTGGTCCCATTCATTACCACACTTTACAGTAACCCGATTGACCATTTGGCCGTCGACATGCAATCCGCAGAGCCCTCTCCGCGAATTGGTTCCATAAAGAACGCCATCGATGCATTCCGTAAGTGAACCCTGTTTAGCTTTCCTTTGCACGATTGACAATTCCCTCTTCCTTGGACTAATCTTGTTGCAGGACAAGGGGAGTTCATCATCGTGCTAGATGCAGCAGACCGTGAAAACGAGGGTGATTTAATTATTGCCGGCGAGTCGGTCACAGAGGCGCAGATGGCGTTTTTGGTGCGTTATACAAGGTAAGAAAGTTCACGAAGCCCAAAGAATACATGTTTCCAGCCTACTGGTTCTATGTGACTAACCCCCGGTCATAGTGGCTTAGTTTGCGCTGCTGTCACCCCTGAAATTGCCCGTCGTGCAGGTCTGCCTCAGATGGTAACCAATAACACCGATCCAAAGGGGACTGCCTACACGGTGTCGATTGATTCCAATGACCCTTCGATCACAACCGGTATATCAGCCCGGGATCGGGCTATGACCTGCCGTGCTCTTGCATCTGTCTCTGTCCGAGCAGATGACTTCCGAAGGCCAGGTCACATCATGCCTCTCCAGGCTAGAGAAGGCGGCGTGCGTGAGAGGATGGGCCATACGGAAGCTGCTATTGAATTTTGCCTTTTGGCAGGGAAGCAACCTGTGGGTATCCTTGCAGAATTGGTCAAGGATGGGGAGTCTATTGAAGGCGAGCCAAATATCCATGCTAGTGGTATGATGAGGAGAGATGAATGCCTAGAGTTTGGAAAGCGATGGGGAATCACCGTGTGCACAATTCAAGACCTGGTGGCTTACCTCAACGAAGGGGGTACTGGGAACATTTAGTAGGTAGTCACGCTCGTGTTTACCAAATTGTATACTACTGTAATTATACGGGTCTGCTACTCGTCATCTCTTTCAGCGTTTTTCTCCGTTCACCAGCAATTAACTATATGCACGCCCATGGCTGGAGCCGCGGCTCAGGTGTTTGAGTCGCAACCGGCCCTCTTATGTGAAATATATCTCATGTGTTTTATGTACACATAAAGATATGAAAGAATGCTGGCTAATGGAATTTCCCTATGAAACATTGATCAACAGGCACACCGTCAAGGAATCAAGAATTCCTTATGTTAACAGAAGGACGGAGCATTTATTAGCTCCAGGAGAATACAACTACTAGTAGTAGGCACTTTAAATGAGATGAAGTAGAGACTTGGAAATTAGAATAATGTACGAATCCAGGGATAATTTATATCGTCCACTGCAACTACCATGTCAAACGTAGTAGTAACGTGTCCATGTTTATTGAGCAGGTCAAGGTGAAGTCTATGAAGGCAATTATATATCGCAGTAGCATAAGCTGATCGTCCTTTGAGGGCACAGCGTACACGCCCTTCTATCGTCTCGGACATGAATGAGGGCTGCTCGGAATTTAGCCCAATCAGGAAATTCCCGATGACGAGGCTCGGACTGACGGTCATGTGCTCTGTTGCAACAGAGTCAACAATGTGACCCCGCACTCGTAGTAAAAGAAGTTGTTCTAATGTTCATCACAGCCATGGCAAAAGCACCGGCCATTTACCCCAGCCTTGATGGCAAGACGGTCGTCATCTCAGGCGGCGCGGAAGGAATTGGGGCTGCCACTGTCGAGCTTTTTGCATTGCAAGGCAGCCAAGTCATTTTCTTAGACATCTCTGAAGATGCAGCGCAGAAGACCATCGCTCATGTTGTTTCACGTAATCAAGAAGCTGAAGCACGCAGGGGTCCTTTGATCAAGGCTCCCATCTTCTACCCGTGCGACCTGACGGATCTCCCTGCGTTGCAGGCAACTGCAGCCAAGATTTTAGAAGAGCATGGACCAGTACATGTGTTGATCAACAACGCCGCAGCTACTGGCAGTGTCGCACGGCTTGATACTGAACATGTCACACCGGAAGCCTGGGACTTTAATATCAATACCAACCTGCGGCATGTATTCTTTCTTTCCCAGGCTTTTATTCCAGGGATGAAGGAGGCGGGGGCCGGTAGCATTGTCAACCTAGGATCCATCACCTGGCGCATTCCTGAAGCTGGCCAACCTGTGTATGCCGCGTGCAAAGCGGCAATCACGGGTCTTACGCGTGTACAGAGCAAGGAAGTCGGCGCCTCGAACATCCGAATCAACAGCGTCATGCCGGGAGCTATCGCGACAGAGAGGCAAAAGAGGGACGTTCTCACGCCTGAATATCGCGCCAAGGTCTTTCGGGTCAGAGCTTGCAACGTGATCTGGTCCCCGAGGATGTTGCGAAGGTGATCGTTTTCCTGGCCAGTGACGAAGCCAGCGGTGTGACAGGAAGCACATATGTTGTTGATGGTGGTTGGGTTAGTGACCCTTGAGCTACTGAAGGAAGTGTAAAAGGCTGGCACCGACATATGCCTGAATGAGTACCATTTTACTAGTCCATTTTCTGCTGGAATTATAGTCATGTACAGTACAAAGAGGCAGATGCGGTCAACATTCAAACATAACTGACCACGGTCACTCTTTTGATGAAAATTAGAAAATGGCTATATTTCCATCAAATTGGATGATACTCAAATACGATTTTGAGATGACGAAATATTTATTCCTCGTTTAGTGTCCTAGGCTTTATGCAGAAACTTGTTGACGATGGTTTTTCTGCCTTAAGTGAAGAGCGTGGCTAACAAGTTTGACGATTGTACCACTTCAAGTACTATTCCTTAACCCCGATGGATTATAGAATTCATAGGATAAGTCTGCCAGTGGCTGGCGTAGCCTTTCTGATTATCCTAGTTGATTCTCAAGGCATTCAGTATCTCAGCAACGAAAACATGTATCGTGCTTCTAGTCAACATACTTTGCGTGCCTTACTATATAAAGTTCTATGAGGAGTTCTGACACCGAACCTAAGAGATCAAACGTGCAGGTTGTTCATACAGCTCAGTAGACAAGCGGGATTGGGTCCAATCTTATATATTAGTGCTCGGCAGCTGTACACTAGGAGAGGGCGGGAGCTCAGAGTGCTGGGTGGGGCTTTGGGGTTTGCCGTTTTGAGCTCTGACTCCCCCGTTCGTGGGACAGTGAATTTGTGGGATTGACTTTAATGCAGGTAGAGAAGCCGAGTGTTCTGCGAGACGCAAGGATTTCCGAGGTTATATGGTTTCAAGATGCCTACTCCGTTCTCTGTGTGGGGAGGCTCATACCGGCTACTCCGCAGCAACAGTTCTCCTCTGGGGTTTGTGACAGGTTACTCCATATAGGGCATGGCTTGGGGGGTTCTACCAATCATTAATCATGTAGCCAGTCGCAGAGTTGAGAGATACAATATGAGCTCTACCTAATAGGATTGCTAAATGTATCACAGACCCGAATTCTGCTATAATAGACATGGCACAGCCTACCCACTTATCTATCTCCCTTTGATTTGTTTCTAACTGTCCGGCATACGTGTGTGGAGGAATGTAATAACCGGGCAGGATGTTCCATAAAGGCGTCTTAGGTAGTCGTGACTATATATAGTGGCTAGTGTGACAGCAGACTTTTTGCTGCAGGATAGAATTGCTATATTTGTGAAGTAGGGGGGCGCCCTTGAGGTTCCGGGTTCGGACTCAATGGCTCGGGCGCGCATTTTATGGTTTCTGGGCAGATTGTAACTCTGGTAATGATGGGAAAAAAGAGCAAATGAGAGAGGGAGGAGTGGTGGTTAAAACTTGGCATATTTGATACCTGCTGTGATTGGGTGGGCACTTGAGCTGCCACTCGAGATATCTCGATAGATTCCTCACCGAAGGATGCTCTTCTTCTCGACTGCTTGAGCTACCGAAATAGTTGAGGCTGTATCCGTAGGCCCTCATGTAAAGGGTAGTGAGAAACTAGAGCCAATCGTGGGGTTAGAAGGTGCTAAAAGAGATTACAGGAGATACACCAAGTTGATTTATCTGAACCGGACTCGATGGAAGGAACGGGGATCTGAGAGTACTTGGCGAAGAGTGATCCCCCTAAGGGCCCAGGTGCAACGTGCATGTATTCCACGGGCCTCTGACCCTACCCCGCAATCTCCATGACCTTCAGCCTGCAGGGTTTGACTTTCAACTCCGAAAATGATTGATCTGTTTGGGTCGTAGTGACATACTGACACTACTGTGGAGAACGTCGACCTCAATGCTTGGCACTGCTAATCTATCTTTGTACGCGTATTTCTATACCGGGCTTGCATCCCAGATATGCCGTGCGGGGTTCCCTTGGCGAGATCGTCAGGAAGAGCTAGGCCTGGGCAATGTATTGATTGGCACTAGAAGACTCTCAATACGGAGCCCCACAAATTCGGTTATCTACCCCGTGGGGTAAACCAGGTCGACTCGAACCAGAAGGCAGTACAAGCAAGCTCTTCGATTCTGGCAGCTGCTATGTGTCCTAAGCCAAGCAACAATGAGGAGATATAACCGCGCAGCCGAGGGTACCTATGCAGGTCTTCAATACTATGGGGGGAAAGCAAGACTACTTGAGGCGCCGACCAACTTTAAAAGGAAAAGAAACTGGTGTTCTGTGACATGAAATCTGTGACAGGCGCCTGCATATCCTCTGCCAGAATGAACAACAAACACAACAAAGCAGAAGAGATTGAGGAAGCCGGTTCTTATCCGCTTCAAGCCTTAGGTTCAATCAATGACGGAGAGGCTGATAGCGGTCCGCAGTGGACAGATGAGGAGGAAAAAAAGCTGGTGTACGTACACCAGTTACTGCTTCTGCTCATAGATGGACTAACAATCGCTTAGTCGAACGATTGACTGGCGCGTGTTCCCAATGCTATGCACCATCTTCGGGCTCTCACTATTGGACCGAACTAATATATCCTCTGCCTACATTGCTGGCCTCAAAGAGGACATTCACCTCTCGCAAGGGTGGGTTATACCGATGGCCCACACCATTGTTTGATCCTAACCTTTATAGATCACGATATAACATCGCTCTGCTTGTCTTTTTCATTGGTAGGTTCAACACGTTTCTGTGGGTGGCCAGATACATCTAACCAAAGTCAGGATATGGGTTATTCGAACTCCCATCGAACCTCGTCATCCGCCGAATCGGCGCCAGGGTGTGGCTCAGCTTCCTGATTGTATCATGGGGCGCCTGCGTTCTCGGGATGGGTTTCGTTCAGAGCTGGCAGTCCTTAACCGTGTGCCGTGTGTTGCTCGGAATCTTCGAGGCTGGACGTATGATTCTATACCCAATGATATCACCTTCATACATTAATATGTGGCCCAGTCTTCCCCGGTGCCGTCTTCATCATCGCATCGTGGTACCGGCAGTATGAGACAGCGACAAGGGTCTCGCTTTTCTATATGGCCGCACTGATTGCCTCTGGATTCGGGCCGATCCTCGCTTACGTGTTTTCCTTGATTCGAGTTGGTGATGGAATATACAGACAGGGCTGGCGGTGGATTTTTATTATCGAGGGGATTGCGACCATTGTGGCCGGGATTGCTGCTGCGTTTTTCCTCGTGGAGTGTACGCTTTACCTGCCCCGCTGAGCCCGCTGAGAGTTAAGGCTGACCGAATAAAGTCCCCGATAAAGCACGTTGGTTGACGCCCCGACAGAAACAGATTGCGATCGCCCGGCTGTCGGATGATAAGCGCGAGAGAGAGTATAAACACCCCAGTATTAAGGAGGCGATGGTAATGATCGGAGATTGGAAGATCATCGTCTAGTAATGCGCTCCCAGCCCTACCCCGTGCCTAGTCGGCATGCAGTTATCTGAACTAATGGACCTAGTTCTATCCAGTACTTCATCGCCGCCTCGAGCGTCTACTCAATTGCCTACTTCAAGACCATCATTCTCCGAGAAGGAATGGGCTTCAGCTACGCCCTGGCCCAAATCCTCTCATCACCACCGTATGTATTTGCTGTGATCATGTCTCTGGTTATGGCCTGGCTGTCCGATAAGTATAAAATCCGCTGGGCCATTCTCGTGGTCCAATCGCTTTCCGCAGTCGTTGGGCTCCTCATCACTCTGTACTGCAAACCACCAGGCGTTCGTTACTTTGGTCTGTTCATTGCCGTATTCGGGACGCAGGCGAATATACCAGGGACACTATCATATGGCCAAAGCCAGATCCCGACTGTGGAGAAACGCGGTGTGGTCGCGGCAGCTATGATATCCGTCGGTGCTGCTGGGGGGATTGCGGGGTCCACCATTTTTAGGACGCAGGACGCGCCTGTAAGTATCCTCTTGGCGCTTTATGGTGTGTTCTTCTTCCCACCATTTTACTGATTTGTGCCTGTAGAGATATCTCCCTGGAATGTGGGCCACGATCGCTATGCAAATGCTATATACCGTTGTGACGTTGGTCTTTTCGTTTTACCTCAAGCGACAGAACCGCCTTGTAGACGAAAAGAAGCGAGGTGACTTGGAGGGCGTGTCCGGGTTTCGATATGCCCCTTGATTCGGTTTGGGACTATATTATGAAGCGCCAAAACACTGGTTCCGTTTGATCGAACTTTAGTGACCGCACAAAATCAGTTTCCAGGCCGAAGTTACCGTCAGTTCACACCCGCTCGGTCATACTTCGTGTCCTTCCTGTTGCCTTGTTGTTGTAGTTAGTTAACCCGTATTATTGTTTATTTAGTGCAGCGTAGTAGCTAGCTTTATGAATCAGGACTTAGTATTTTTGTGGCTATGACCTCTACTCCGTATGCAATCTCCGGAATTCACACTTTCAATAAAAAGCTCAGTTCTGGGCAGATCTCCTAGAACTTAGTGCCTGTGCTTATTGAAGCGCATTAAAAGTAATATCTTTGACGTATATCAGGGGTAAATGCCAAGACTTGTCGAAAAAAAAAAAAAATATCAAAAACGGACTTAAGAGATTTCTACAGCCAATCTATAGAAGACAAAAAGAACAAAGTTTCAACATAAAAAAAAAGCCTACTCCCTATCATGTCCCACATGGCCACATCCGATCTCGAACGAGCGCATGCTTGCACAGCGCTATTATCTCATGCCTTGTGGAACAGTGAATAATTTGGTTCGCAGACAGTTCCTGGAGTGGGCAGTGTGCCGTTCAGAAAGTATTGCTGGATATGACGGATTGTGCAGTTTGACGGTTGAGCGATAGATGTGTGCTATATAGATATGTTAGAATCACAATTGAAACAGGATAACACGTAAGGAACGTACCCCGTAGCTGTTCTGCTGTAACACAACACTACCCTCTAGTCCTGCGCTGACATTCCGAGCGGACACGAGAGGCGTGGCAGGATCATAGGTATTGCCGATCAATAAAACTGGGTTCTTGGTTTTCACATGGAAGTTGCCGCTATATCGCTCTTTAGCCTCGCCTCCCCAGCGTATACACTGCATGGCGGTGGTAGATGCGACATCCCCGAACCACTTTATTGATTGCAGGTTTTTGTTGATAAGAGGGGTAACGTCGGATAGACTTGTGGCTCGTGTAGATTTGTCGTCGCATTTAATGCCAGCCAAAGCTTCAGAAAATCCTGGAGAAGAGCTCGATGAGTCCTCCGAGCCAGCACCCATGTCTGTGAGGTTCCCAGTCATTAGACCATCAAGTAGAGCGGCGAGCTGAGGCCATTGACCTGGCCAGTAGAGAGTTGAGAAAATCTGGCCTTTGATGGTTGAGTAGTCGATAATAGACTGGCCAATTTGAATAGGCTGGTATTTGATGGACTCGAAGAAATGGGACAGGGTTCTCCCAAGGCTAGCAGCAGTCGTATTTCCACGAGCCAAGGGGCAGTTGTTGGGCGAATCGACACAGCTGGACAAGAAGCCCTCAAACGCTTTTCCGGCGTCGGTGAACATCTCAAAATCTCTGTTGATCCTGTTAACCACCCGTTATAAACAGATCACCTGAAGAAATTAACTCACAGTCCATGGTAGTACTCATGAGGGTTCTGCACCCCATCCAAGATTACCTTGTCCATGCGATCTGGGAACATAGAAGCAACTGTTGCGCCCAAAACCGTTCCGTAGGAAATACCTAGTGATGATTAGCTGACTGCATCGAGTACAACTATCCGGTCCGAAGCATTCGTACCCCAGTATCGCAACTTTCCATCTTCGCCAAGGGCATCCACAATCTGCATCATATCTCTCGCCACGAATGCAGTACCGACAAGAGTGGCATTATCCTTCAGACGACCAAGGCAGGTGTCTGAGAAAACCTTCCCAGATGTCCATAGTCTTCCCAAGGCTGTATCGGAAGAATTGACCAGCTCCTGGTGAAGAGTTAACTGACTAACTGTTCTCTCAATGGCGTTATCATAGCAAGAGAAGTTGAGAGTGTTGCCAGTTCCTCTACATATCTTCATCAGCCCAGCGCAGCCCGAAACATGACCTGTGTCGCTTACCTTGGATCAAAGCTTATCATGTCATGGTAGCCACCGGTCATCCTGTGGAAACTAGTGAGCATTGTCTGTGAGATAATATTTTTGGAAAGCCATGCTTACGGCTGCATCTGGTCTGCGATTGAAGCTAGATTATGCAGGCCATCGCCGCCTGGACCACCGAAATTAAATAAAATACTTCCTCTGGATGGTTTGTTCACGGCAGCAACTCTGATAAGGTCAAGACTAAGGGTCGCTGTCGAGTCCTTGTCTGTATAGTCCAGTGGAACGTCCAGCTTGCTGCATTCTATGGGGAGGGTGCCATTGAAACCACAAGGGCCCCATTTGAGCTTTGGCGATCGTGCCTCGGAGTTCCAGACCGGAATAGCGCCGGCATAAGCCGTAGCGAGTAATGAGAGTGGAAATATAACTTGAGAGAAGAGCATATCGAATGATGTTGATGGGATTTAACACAGGTATGGTGAGATGGGAGGTGCCTGTTTATATATTCAACCAGGTCTGATCAAGTAAGTTACGACATGATTCTCAGTGATGCCAGCACCAGAAATGGCCCCAACCATGGCTCGTAATCGTAGCCATTCAAAGGACTCTATCCACATTCATCACATCGTAGATTGATGTCCTGGTTGCCTGACCCAGAAAAGGTACGTAGGCCAAGTATTCTGCAAAGGGTATGGCAAGGCTGGGCTGAATATCGTTTCATGGATATACTAGACAAGTCAGAAGAAAAATACCAAATGTGGTATAGTGAGAAAATAAAAAAATAAGGATCATCGCTCCTCGAAGATTCGAAGCTGTTGGGAGCGCCAGGTAGAACCAAAAGCGGTTAGCGCGTCTGTAGCACAGCCCTCAGCCATCACCGACAGTTGCTTTGCTCGAAGCAATAGGCTCCACGTTGTTCTCTTGGCTGTGGCCCAGCGCATGGCGGGCTCACGTCGAGTTCTTGGACAAAAGTTTCAGGTGTATTTTACTGCGGCCAAAACGCCATTGAAGAACCTATGTCGGTATGAGTAGTTCATCGGTGCGCTCAGTTTTATAGACTTTATTCGCAATTTGGGTACATATCGAGGTCAGAATGGCAATCTGCCCGTGATTTCTAAGATATTCCATGGAGAGTCACTGTCTATATATAATACACTTTACCACACAGAATGGCCAAGGGCCATCAACGACGTCGAACGTTAACATCGATAGCCACCGGCTTATACAGCCAATACGATGTGGTCTGTATCTCCTCGTCACACCCAAGTTCGAACGCAAAAGACCTTAGAAGCTCCGGGATGGCCTTGTAAATCTCGCACATTGATATCTAAACATCGATTCTTCAATAAGATCTCCCCCGGATAGATCGTACTAAGAGACGGAACTGAACTCACATTCTTCCCAAGACAAGTCCTAGCCCCCATCCCGAACTGCATAATATGCCGATCCATCCTACTGGCATCCCCGTCAATCCACCTCTCGGGTCGAAACCGATCCGCGTCTTCTCCGAAAATAGTCTTGCTGAAATGCATAACCCCCGGGTTCACCCCTATCCGCGCATTTCCGGGGATATAGTGCTCGCCAATCATGCAACCAGATGATGGCGCGTGACGGGGGAACGACACGCCAGTGATTGGGTGCATACGGATTCCTTCTTTAATGCAGGCGGCTAGGTAGGGCAGTTTAACGGCCTCATTGTAGGAAATACGCGGCGTGCTGAGTTGGTTGCACTTGACGGCGGCATCAATTTCAGCGGTCAGCTTTGCATATACGCGGGGGGTGCGAAGAATGTGATAGAGAATGCCAGAGAGCGTGAGAGCTGTTGTTTCGCTTCCGGCAAAGCTGCGTATATATCTGTCAGTAAGGAAGCATTAGTGGGTTGAGGGAGCCTACAATGCACCAAACGACTCCATCTTGACATCATCAAGCACGAAATCAAGTTCCTCGCCTCTTTTGTGCGAGATTTCGAGCAGCTTGCTTAGGATGTCTTGTCGTTGAGATTCAGACTCCGAATCACTCTGTAGAGTAGCGAGGCGGTCTTTGAGCATTGCATTTGTCGCGTCAGTCAGATTTTCTAGCGCTCCCAGCGCTCGTCGGACCTTTGGGAACAGGAACCCGGTCAGCATGAATAGACCCCGGACGTAGGTAGGCATATTGGCGGCCAGGAACTGAACAGGGACCAAATCCTCCGTTGCGTCTATGTACCCGAGGTGGTCACCGCCGGCTTGGAGGAAGCCGAACATTTTGCTGAAGTATAGCTCACCGATCACGTCGTATGCGTACCTATACACTTGTCAGCATTTAATTCTGAAGAGGTGGGAGTGAGTACATTCGGGTCCATATCCACAAATCGAAAGATTTCTTGCTATCCGCCATCTCCCCCAGCTTCTCGAGCCAAATGTCGATGCACTTCTCAATGTACTTTTCTGATTGGAGGATGCTTGTCATTGTGTAAACATGGCTGACGATGCGGCGGCGCTCCCCGTGTTGCTTTCCGCCTTCTGACGAGAAGTGGTCGGGGAATCGTGCTGCTCTTATCAGTTTTTGCTCTGCATAGGACTGCGCTCTGGCGTACCCCAGGGTGGTCTGAAAGCCAAATAGAAGTCGGTCTAGTTCGTTGGTCAGTGAAATTGTGCTCTGACCTAGGGCCATACCTTGGTTGTGAGAGATTTGGTTCCGTAGAGCGTTTGGATTGCGTCCGGATCACTGGTGACCAGCTCGTTGGGGGCGATACGAACGACAGGTCCTATACGTCATAAACATGGGTGAACTATATCTAAGGGGAAGCTCAAACCATATTTCGCATGTAGCTTCATCTGCCTCTTCTCAGCATTCCCAGGAAGCACATGAAGAAGCGTCCACAGTCTCGTGACAGACGCCCAGAACGGTCCAGGAAACTTGGCGAGAGGGTGGAACCATCGTGTGTAGATGATCCAAACGGCCCAATACGTTACAACCCCAACAAGGGTGCCCTGAGCTAACAGGGATCTATCTGGCAGTCTCAGCAAGTCCATTATTCGACGGATTACAATTGCACTGCTGTGTAGTGGCCAGAGAAAGACCCCTGTGGGCGCACAGCCCTCTTAATATAACGATTAACTAGTGCGGCAGACTTCGATGCGTATCTAGCGCTAGTCATGGTCGGCGCTCCAGCTCCACAGTCCAGGTCCAAAGAATTGACTAGAGGACGAACCAGTTAGCTTTGATTACAATCCAAGTCGGATTCAAATCAACGGTAAACCACCGTCTTGCACCGGCCCGGCACGGACAGAGTTAGTGCCAGACTAAAACAGTAGTCCTGGTCGGTTCGTGATATTTTATTCGAGGCCTGAGATTACTCCGCAGCGGCATGAGCTAGCTAGAGCAGTGAAATTGTGCCAAGGAGATAGTCCAGAGGCAAGATCGGGACAAGCAAATGGGTGAAATATTTTAAGAGGTAATGTCCTCCAGGCCTTCCCGAATCCGTGCTGGGCCACGCATTTTATTCAACATGATATAGACTAGCTGTATGAACATCTGAGCTGTCGCTCTACTTGCAATTAGGGTCGCTTGTCAGCAAATGCCTCCATGCGCGGTAAGCCGAATTCACTTAAACCTGGTGGTATGAGCTAATATTATCCAGGCGACATCCATAGAGGCAGGGCGCAATGGCTCATATTGTTCGCCCGTTGACACTCAGTGTGTTTGCGCAGATACAGCGCTGCAGCAGAATATGAGCAGTTGAATTATGATGACGTGTACAGTTAAAGAAGCATTGAGTATGTGCCTCTCGTAGAGCTCACTTTCTTCGCTGACTTGCATAGCCTCACACAATGGGTCTAACACAATGTGCGGGATTGAACCTCGCGATATTTCTCATATCACGACAACCGTTACAGGTGTTTTTATGGGTCTCGCGATACTGCTTACCTTCATGCGGTGATCCGAGTCGCATGATCACTTTGGGCCGGAGGATGCCTTCGCCATCTTAGCCTTGGTATGCCTCTTCAGAAACACTAGTGAAAGAGTGAAGGCTTGAGGAAATGATAGATCTTTACCGTTCCAATGGGAGCACTCGAATACCCAAGTATATTGGATTTCTCCTCTCGGGTTTGATTCAATGCTAATCTGACCAGTGGCAAAGGATGGCTATGGGAAACACATCTGGACCCTCCCCTTTGACAACATTACGCGCATTTTGAAGTTCACCTGGCTCCTACAACTGCTCTACATCCCTGCCCTAGCCGCAACCAAAATGGCATTCTAATGTCTGTATCCGGCAAGCCACCTGGTTGCTCATAGCTATCAACGCCCTGTGCCTTTTGATCTATGCCTTTTGCAACTGCATTTAACTGTCTCCCCGTATCATATATCGGATAAAATGGCATGGGGAAACAGAAGGTTCATGTCTCAATTTAATGCCCTTGGCATCGCGAATGCGACCAGCAATATTGCATTCGACCGGGCAGTTATTGGGCTTCCGCTGCACAAGATAGCCGGTCTTTCTGTAAGCTTGTCACGGAAGATCATTTTGTTGTCCATGTTTGGGCTAGGATTCTTGTAGATATAGCTTTCGTCTCCAAAACCCACTGATTGCTAACCTATATAGTTTAACAGTTGTCAGCATCCTCAGACTCAGAGTCGTGATCACCTACGCAACAAGCACAAGCGCTACATGTACATCCCCCCTTCTCCAACAGCAAAGTTCATCTTAACTAACATCTACCCCGCAGACGACACAGTTCCCACCTCCTACTGGTCCATAATCGAATGCTTCAGCGGCATAGTCTGCATCAACCTACCTTCCGCGCGTCGTCTCTACCGCAAAGTCACTTACCTCTGTTTCGGTACCCTTCAGACGGGGCAGGAGGAGGGCCATCAGAACGTCACGCCGGGCTACTCATCCGCGTCTAAGAAAAGGAAGCTGCCGATGGAACTCTCAATTTTGAAAACGGCTGCGACAACGGTCCGGCGCGAGATAGAGACGGAGACGGAGTCTTTGGTTCGAGTTTCCAAGAGCCGGGAGGGAGTTCATTTGATATGTTGAATATGACGGGTTGATTTTGTTCTTCTGGGCTGGTTCAGTCTGCTGTCTGTGTTGCTTCTTTGGATTAGGTATACCATGCTACATTCGAACACGGGATGAATAACGCAAGGCCATGAAGTATACGGGGGACGGGATAGAAATTGATCATCTATCTTAGTTGGTAAGGAAGAATCTGTAAAGGACAACTAAGAATAGTACTATGTCGGTATGTTTAATATTAAATTCCTTTTTGTAACTCCGTGTCGTGGTTATCGGATATCTCGTATGCGATGTTGTTCCGTGCTACTAAATATATCATCAGCAGATAATGAGTTTAGGTATAAAAGTGCTACTATTGTAAATATATTCGGTGAGTTTAAAGTGAATATTGAAGGACTCATAGTCCTGGGATATGAAGACGTAAGAATGGCAATTTTGATGGTAATCTATGACTGAATATCCTTATTTAGTGCTTCTTCCTTGGTCGCTATTTGACGCTGACCATATATAACCCTAGTTACACTGTATGGCAATTGGCAATCTATGTTTTCCAACATATACAACATTTATAGTCTAAGTTCTCTATCATCCCCGAAACACCTGCTGTCTATGCAAACAAAACAAAACACCCATAACAATAGACGATACCAGATAAGATGAAAAGAATTATTGATCATATCCCAACATCTGCGCCAACGTGGTGCTATAATGAGCAGGCTTCCCAGTGTCATCGGTAGGAACTCTCTGCGATGCAAACGCCAGGAAAACACCCTCCCAATGTCCATCCGGGAACCGGAAGAAGAGGCCACCATCTTCAAACACACCGTTTTCAAACTGCGGTAGGTTTCCCTGGTTCAAATGAATGTCATGAATACCGTCGTTGTATGGCTGACCAAAGATATACATGGTCGCTCTGTGACGAATTGCATCGTTTAGGATGGGCTCCATCAGGTCTAGCACATCATTCATTGGGCCGGGGATGTCATGAGGAAGCAGTCGACCTGCCTCGACGTCGACGAGACCCGGGGTGCGGAGATAGTCGATTCCTGGCACGGAGCCGGTGTGGTGGTCGTGATTGTGAGATTTTATAGGGTGGAGGCCTGGATCGAGCTGCTCGAGATGACGAGCTACCGGGTTGTGCAGATCTCGATCCAGCCAAAAGACTAGTCGAGTATCTCTATTTGTGGATTTGACATTGATAGCTGCTTCATATTCTTTGTCCATATGCGAGCCGTCGGTGAAGTGGAGGTAAATGTGGGGAGATCTGGAGTCCTGACGGGCAGTCTCAGCTCTGTATCTGGTGGGCTTGCCAACCCAGACGCCGTAATGGGGAATTGCCATGCTGAGTGGGTTGAAGCTAGATGCGCAAGGAATAGACTTGCCCAGAAAGCGGGAGAGTGATGGCCAGTCCAAAACGTGGCGGACCGTTGACCATATTTATCCGCTTCGCTCACTTAATCTCAGTACCGTGTCTACTGAAACAAACCGGCATCGCCAGCGGTGAAGATCAACTCTGATCTACCATGAATTTAGGAGTATCGGCGCAGCTAAATGGGAAACAACTGAGGCGATTGGCTGTCTTGCCCCCGCTCTGGGCACTATTAAGCCGTGAGGGGCAAGGTAAACGACACCGCTGAATGCTATCAATATCTATTACTTACCCGAATAGTCCTTGGGAATCGACTTTTTTTCACGGTTGAGATCACACAGAGTACTACTGGGGTCTCGCCACGGGTTGAGCCCTGTGAGGCTGAGACATTGGCATCCAGACTTCTGCCTCAGGCACCGACCGAGGCAAGAACTCACTGGGTCACATGACCCAGCTGCTGCTTCGCTCCCATTTGTTTACTATGATCACAGCAAAACTCCGCGCACTTCCTAAATTTGAAGCCATTTAACACACTACAAAGCCTACATTTCGAGTCCTACCACAGTCTGGACTAGGACCTAAGCCCCTTTAGGGATATAATATTTGACTCACCCAGAAGAGTACTAGTACTTCAATTGATACTTGGCGAACCATGATCCTGTTCAACAATGTTTTCAGCAAGAAGCCAAGCTCATCTCCCTGATATCAACCTTTTCGGACCCCATCCCCCCCACATCAATCATCCCACCGAACGCCGCGTGGACCGGCTGATCCATCGCAGTTGGACCCTCCAATCGCAGCACCAGCAAACACCGTTTCCCCCGCACATCTCCCTTCATGTCGACATTCCACAAAGGCAGCAACCAGGCATTCGCCAGAAGAGGATCCTCCGCCACAGTGACTGTCTGGGAAGACACGATCCGCAACCCATTCGAGTCCTGGCGATAGTGACAGAAATACGTGATATAGTCTTTTGAGACACGGAAGAGGCTGATTCTCTGACCATCGCGCGCTTTTACACGGAGGTCCTCGGAGATGAAATCCTCGTCCGAGAAGTGGAGTGTTGGCTCCTTCTCAAGAGGCAATTCCGGGTCGGTATGTGATTCGACTACGAAGAGACTGGCAGGTAGCAAGGCGTCATCCACGATGTCCGTCCACTGGAAGGGCCGTTTGACGGTCCCTGTCGCTCCCTCCTCTTCGACTTGACACTCCCAAAATGGCAGAAAAAGCATCATCCATTGATACTTGTCCACGAGTGCGGAGAGAAACCTTCTCTTGATTTCTGGCTTGGGGAAGTCGTAGCTGACTTCGATATTCTCCACTTCCATGGCGCCAATCAACGCCCAGCAGGAGTCTTGTATCATGCCATACTTTCGGCTGTTCTTCCCACACAGAATAGACAGAGGGCTAAAGGTGAAGAATCCGACTAGCCCGGACTGAGCTAAAGTTTGAATTGATCGACGTAACCAAATGACCGACTCCGGTGATTTCGGCAGCAGATGCCCGAACTGACCGGCACCAGGTCTTGTGGTGTCCGGGTCGTGACCTTCACTTTGTATAAAATAGGCCGAGGCTGAATTACGAGCTAGGACGGACACCGGGATTGACAGATCACGAACGGTGGCCTGGCTGCCGTTGTAGAACCTGCTATCGGAGAAGGTATTCCCATGCCCATCGATCAGAAGAGTGCTCCCTAGAAGGACGCCTTCCTGTAATGTCCAACCAGACTTCAACCAGTGCTCGTCCATTTGAGCAGTTCGAAGCCAGTTCTCGACCTTCTCTGTATATTCTTGAACGAGCTTTGGTTCCTGGTTACCAGGTCGTGACATTTCCAGCAGCAGGTCTTTCATTGCAGAATCCTCGTCCCATGAAGTCGGATGGAGCCAGACGATACTTTTAGCCGCGTTTTTGTAAATGTGCCTGGGAATGATTAGACTACGCACCGGACGCTTTGTAAAGAGACTCTTCTCGTTTCGCTCCAAGTAGGTGAAGCCGAACAAGGGCCAACCACAAAGCCAGGATTGTCTACTTACAATTGTTTTCCGATCTCCTCCCCTTTGGCCTTGAATAGCTCAGGGTCAAGCTGGTGCTTCAAACCCTGAGGAACACACATCCAATCCCACCAAACATACCGAGTTCCCATCTTCTCCATCACCTGTCTTGCCCTCGCCAGGGGCCATTTTGACGTAGTAGGTACCGTCCACACAACCCCCTCGGGCGTATCCGATGCCGGTTTCTCCCACTGCGCAATATACCCCCAGGTATATGACACCACGCCGTAGCCTTCGTGGTCAAGGATCTCCCTGGGAACTTCCGTATATCGCTGGATTCTCCACTCCTGCAGGTCCAGCAGTCAACGTGGGGTCTTGGGGTCGTTGGGGGGTACGTTGATCCTGCCCATGTTGAGGATGATATCGATCTTGGAGAATGCGGTGGAATTTCGGGCTGTGTTGAACGGACGGTTCAGCTGGCTTTTATCAACGACACTCAGCCGCATATGGATAGTGTAATGAAACGCTCGGGGTCGAACGAGGGAGGGGCAATGACTCCACCAGTCCTTTCCAACCAGACCCAAAGAGGATCGTTGCTCACCGACTTTGCAGGCTTAGCTGAAGTCTGCCATTCTCCGCTGCAGGTCTTTCCCCGATTTGTGTGGAGGGGGCCATGACCCCCAACTGGAGCCCAAAACCCTAGCGAGGGTGTGGAGGCGGCTACGAACTGATGTCAGCCTGCATGAGATGGACGCTGAGCTGTGCAGGGCTACCGTGGCATTACGCGAGACAACGCCTGATATATGGTGCTGAAGAAAGTATTCGACGGCCCCAAATGGGCAGTCATTTTGGGACTATTGATTATGGCTACGAGGTGTACCAATGAATGGCAACATTGTAGACTAAAGGCAAAGCTTCAACTTTCACTAGTCGACGAATGTAGTTGCTTCCCTCTTGCGGGTCAAGTCTATTATCTCCAGCGATCATGAGCAACCACCGCTTCAAGATTGCTCGCCTGCAGCCTTGACTATTTTCGAGCCAATTTGTTCGTACAGATCGGCAGCACTCCTTCCGGGTGCCCATTGCGCCTCAATGTACACCGGTTTATTATTCCATCGAGCTTCAACTTTGAAAGTCAGGGGCTTCTTCTTCGCAAATACCTCTGTACAACCAGTTACGACAATGCGTTTCACAGTGGGGATGCCCTGCTCGAGAACGTGAACATATCCTCGCGCCAATTTTGTCGTCTTGTCGATGCCTGTTCGGACCTCTTGAAGCTTCTTCTTAATGTTCTGGATCTGAGCCGTGACACTTTTATGGTCTTGGAGCTTGGCCTTGTATGCATCCTCGAAGGGCCTCGTTTTGAGCTCGCCTCGAAGCTCCTCAATCTCCTTTTGTAACTTCTTCTCCTCCTTGGTGACCTGGCCTTTATTCTTTTCGAGCTCCTGGTGGGCTCGCTGGAGCTTCGCCTCTATTTCTTTGCTTATTTCTTCGAGGTTTTGAATGGCCGCAACCTTCCTGTTGAGTGTCTTTCTCTTATCCGTTTCCAGTACCTCGATAGCCTTGTAATGCTCACCATTGATGATATGGTGTAGGGCTATGGCGTGTTTCTCAATCTGCTGTGCTGCGTCGTTGAGACCTTTCTCAATATTCATCCATAACTCAGTGCTGAGGAACAGCCCTGCTGCATGACGGAGTTCAGCGTCGGCAGCCTTTTTGGCGAGGATCCACTCCAGGTTGGCCTCTTCTTTCTTCGTTCGCGTATTCTATGAGGCAGGTTGATTAGCAATTTGTGGCTACTGAGTACCAAGACGCCCTGTCTTACCCAGTATGTGGCTCCACCCCAATCCCAGTTGTCCCATGCCTTCCACGCTTTGGAGCGGCATTTCTTGACTTCCTCCCATTGGCGATCCTCCTCCGCTGTGGACCGAGAATGGTGAGTACTTCTCGGGATTATAAACATCGTGAAATGAAGGGTAAATCCACTTACCCACCGTGGCAAAAGCAGTCTAAATCTATATATTAGGGTTAACAATAACAAATCAATACATTATCTATTTAAATCTAATCTAGATTTCGCATGGAGTCGGATTCAATTAACTTAAATCTATGCAGACTCGGGGCGGGGAGAATAGTCAGTCAATTACCGAGTCGGGCCCGGGTCCGAGATCTCGAACCCGAGCTCCAGTTACTAATATATATCCACATCGTCTTTCAATGGGACCAAGCTCATCTCCAACCCCGGAGTTCTCTGGTTTAGACAAGTTGAAATGGGTGAAGTTCGGTATTCTGATTCAGTCTAAGGTTTTTCATCCATGTAGTCAATTGTTTCTGTTGAATCACTGATTACTGTGGATCAAAAAGTGAGCATTGGGGTCAATAGACCTTGGAGATTCTGTCGGCGAATAGGGCTTGCCATGGCATCTCTGGCAATTAGGTGTGCGGCTTGAGGCATAGTCCACTTTGTTTGCACTGTTTCCATGTAGTTAGGCTATAGTTATGCCTTCTTCCTTCCCCCCTCACGCGTACCTAGAATTCTGCATATGATAGTGCCAATATAATTACTATTGAAAGGCTGTCGCATATATGCTAATCATGGCGGTCTATGTACATTAAGTGTCTAGAGGTGTTTGTCTGCGCATACATTGCTTGCTGTTCAGCTGTCCGTTGAGAAATGGGTCATGGGTCTTGGATGAATAAAGAGATTTTGGTAGTGAAAAAGGCTTCTAGACCGCACCGCAGGTAAATGGACTGTGGACATTGCCGGTACGATAATTGTTTCTCTGGGAAGATCTGTCAGCACACGTGCATTGGACAAAGGGGAAGGTAACTTACTATATCCTGGATACTGGAATAAAGGCCGCCGACCAACACGACAAGACCAAAGATGAAGACAAAGAGGTTCACAATGCTGAGGAGAAGGTTTTCCCGCGAGCACCAGCTGCCCTTGCGAAGTAGGAAGAACCACATCACCGGGGGCAGATAGAACGAGAACCCCGATGTGAACAACGCCGACGTGATCGAGAGTAGATCGTCGAAGAATGGAACCGCCTCTGCAATCACCCAGGCCAGTATTGTGAGGACCGTGATTAAAGCCAACCAGGTAATCCAGCCCTTGGTTGTATTAACATAACGGGTCACACTGTTTTCGTAGATACGGCCGTGGATCAAACGCCCTGCGACAATCGTTCCGATCGCGCCGGAAATGAAGATCACCGGGAGCGCTATGCCAAAGGCAACCTTGCTCACGAGGGAGCCAGCGGAGAGGAGCGCAGGCGATTGGACCTCTTGGCCGACAAAGGCGTAGATGGTCGCTCCGGTGACGGTATAGATTACGATCTGCAGGATACCAAGGGTCCAGATCGATTTGGTGAAGTCCTTCGGCGTGTGCATCTCGTCCATGAAGGAGAACAAGCAGCTGGCGAACGTGTACGCAAACACAATGTTGCTAATGGCAATAAAGGCATCCGAGAAGCTTGGATCACCCTGTGGAAGGGCCGACCAGTCGACCTTGGAGAGTCCCGACTGAGTGCCTTGGATACCGGTGGCTATGATTGTGATGCCAATAGCGGCCACGATCGATACAAAATCAATGTAGCCCAGCCAAGCCATGTCGGCAAAGGATGACGGGATGGATAGTAACAGAAGAATCACGGCAGAAACAATGCTGAAGGCCACGGAGCAGACATTGTTGCTATCGGTGATATGGCGCCATGCAATCGTTCCCGTTAGGCAATTTGACCCAGTGAGGAAGACAAGCTGCAGGATCAACATGAAGGTGAACAGTTCATTGCCCACACGGCCCATCAAGAGACCACCAGCGTCACCATAGTGTCGGACGCCAGGAAAGGCGAGTTTTACCTTACCGATGATCCAGGATGTATAGATGGCAATTAGCCCAATGCCTACACAGCAGATCACCCCTGCAACCATTCCCAAGGATGCAAAGGCGGACGGAATTGAGAGCGCTCCCAGACCGATTGCCTCGATAATCAGCATGATCGTGAGGCGTTTCCAGCCCAGACGATGGTATTTGGCCTCACCGGCCTCGATGATCTGCTGCTCGCCGTCGTCCAGCGCGTCGGGCAGCACCTTGCTATCTGGAGACCAACCATTGGGTTTGGGGGTGTCCATCTTGCCCACACCACCACCATTGCCTTGACTGGCGTCTACTATTTCTCTCGGGCAGCTCATAGTGAGGAGAGCTGTTGGGAGCCTGTGCTGAGAGGGAAACGGGGAAGGATGCCACACGTAAATCGTAACATTAGACGTTTGATGAGCAATGATAAATGCAATGTAACCAATCTCTTCACTTTTTTTTGAGTCATTTTTTTTTTTTTTTTTTTTTTTTTTTTTTTTTTTCAATCTGGGGTACCTGGTCATAGATTACCACTGTTGGTAAGGTTGAAATCGGAGTACATTCCGCATGCGGTCTGCAGGGATTCAATTCAATCCCATTGGTCAGTGCCTGAAAGAGCAATGACTCAGCGACGCCCATCAGCCAATGACAAAGAATCGGGAAACCGAGTGGTATCCGGATTTCCCTAGTGGTTACTTTCGGAAAATGTCCAAGAAAATTCTGTCGGGGATCGACATGAGGTTATCAACGCGATTCGGCGTTTACAAAGCTTCAATCTTCATGGGTCTATGTTGTGCGGCTCTCCGTAGAGCAGTGCAGTATTCCCTTCTTTGTATTTCAACCACCTGAGCTTGACGAACTCGAATCTACAAACAAATTATTCATATTGCTAGGTTCGCCTTGGCTTACATGGATTGTGTGTATCCGCAGCGCCACAAAGTCTTACATTATTTTATTAGTTACTTTATGTGACGTTGAAGTTCGGTTCGCGTTCTGATTGGTTAATGCCCTTGCGGCTAAATACAAGGATTGCAACTAGGGAAAAAATCTCAACCTCGGGCCGGGCCATACTATTTCCCCTGGCCAGAATCCTGCAACAGGGGCGACGAATCGATCAACGTATCCCTGGGATTTAGGAGCACATATGGAGTACGTAGTACGGAGTCAGAATCTTACAGAAGGATTAAGGTAATTTCTATGACAGCCCTAAATATCCCATACCCGCACGGGGGAGGGCATAAAATCGCTCACTAGCTTCCAAATCCTTCTCCACATGTGCAAGCTATCGGATTGCACCACAACTTGCGTGTTGTCGTGTGCGACCCTCTGAAAGATCTCCAGTAGAACAGACTCATCGTACCCTCTATCCAAAATGTCATCCATCCCCTCGAAGATGAGCATTGTGACTGCGTCAGTCTTCAACCATCCACGAGTGATGCACTCCCATATCCGGCCAGGTGTCCCTATGACTATATCGGGGACCCGCCCCATCTCCGACCCTTGGAGCTCCGCAATCTTGTCCTGAGCATCATAGAACCCTCTAGGACAGCAGTAGACTTTCACTGATGGCATTGCGGACGCCAGCGTTCGGGCGATACTCTGCACCGTCCATGCTAATTCAAACGCCGGGCTTACAAACAGGGCTTGGCATTGGGTTGGAGTATCAGGCGGAGCAGCTGTATAGATCCGTTGGAGGATGGAGACCATGAGGTACAGCCGTTTAAGAGGGAACGGGCCTTGGGCGAGGACATGGTGACCTGTGGGCTGAATTCAACTGGCTGAACGTATGAACATCTTGCGTCGGTAGGTCAAGAAGATACCTTGAATAATGGGGTGAACTAGTGGATAATAGTCTGGGAGTTCATCACTAAGACTCCAAAGGCTCATGCCCTGCAGCAGCTCCGGTTTGAGAGCGAGCTCCTGCGCGGTCGCTAAGATACTAAGTTAGACATATGTCTTATCACACATGGCATCCAAAAAGGGATATGTATACCTTCGAAGCTCTTCCGTACAGAAGGTGAATGTGACATCTGCTCTGTCGGTTCCCCAATCCAATATCTATATTCTAGTATGGTACAATTCTGCCTCTCCCCGCCAATACTCACCGAGGAAAGAACAATGAATGCGATAGATACCAAAAACCTTCCGACACGTCGTTGAAACTCGAGATACGAGGAACCCCATGATGTTTGTCATGTTTGTTGGGATGTCCAAATCGGGCGGTGTTGCATTCAATCCATGGCGCCAAGCTCCTCAAGCAGAAGTAATCTCAGCTTAGATGATGGACTGTTGCCTTCTCGGCTTGAGGATATACCAAGTGCTATTCTCATTCTCGTCTTTGATGTGTATCGAAGACAGTCGGACTTACCCCTCGGGGATAACTACGGCAATTTCCTTTCCTGTCAAACCCCGAGATGTCTACAGATGTACTGCGAATGCATATAAACAATGTCAAGTCAGATTGCATGTCCAACCCTCACCTAGCATTCACCAAGAGACAAAGTGAGAAACAAGAACTGAAGCTGAAGCTGAAGCCATGGCCGGACTGAAAGTTCTTATCTGCGGCGCAGGAATTACCGGCAATGCCCTTGCCTTTTGGCTGTCAAAGATGGGCCACCATGTCACGGTCATCGAAAGGTATTCGACCTTGCGTGCCACCGGTCTGCAGGTTGACCTCCGGGAACCAGGGATCACAGTCTTGCGACGGATGGGCCTCGAGCAACAATTTCGCGCCAAGTCCATTCGGGAACAGGGTCTGGCAATTGTAGATCATACTGGCAAACGCAAGGCATACTTCGCCGCCAATAGATCTGGGTTGGGCATGCAGAGCTTCACCACTGACTATGAGATTATGCGAGGCGATCTCTGTCGGCTATTATACGACGCCACCAAGGACCGCGCAACGTTTATCTTCGGAACAACGGTCGAGAGCTTCACGCAGCGGGAAAGTCATGTCGACGTACAATTTTCTGACGGCAGCCACGGCCAGTTTGATCTATTGGTGGGTGCCGATGGGCAAGGCTCGCGCACACGCAAGATGATCATCGGATCCGCACCAGACCCGTTTCACCCACTGGGGGTTCACATAGGATATTTCACTGTCCCACGGGAGATTCAACCGGGGGAGGAATACAACGCGGCTGTATATATCGCTCCCGAGCGGCGCTTTATCTTCACCCGGAGACATAGCCCGCATTCGGTTCAGGTATACCTCGCGTGCAAAACCGAATCAGATCGACTGGATAAGGCACGCGGAAACATTCAGGAGGAAAAAGATGGCTTAGCAGAGATCTTTCAGGGAGCAGGATGGCAGACAGATCGGATTTTGAAGGAACTTCAGAGCGCGGATGATTTCTACTGCGAGCGTCTGGGAGTGGTCAGAATGGACTCATGGTCTGCCGGCCAAGTCGTCCTAGTCGGAGATGCGGCGTATTGCCCATCGGCGACCACCGGCATGGGAACGACCTCAGGCTTGGTTGGGGCTTATATCCTCGCGGGAGAGATCAGCAACTTGTCTGAAATGGAGCTCGAGTCAAAGGATCGTCTTCTTCTCGCTCTCAAGGCATATGACGACACGTATCGACCTTTTATGTCCCAAGTTCAGAAGGGGATCGAAAAAGGCTCGACATTCTGGGACTACACCCCATCTTCATCATGGGGGATTGCCATGGTACACCTTCTCCTATGGGTAGCTGCTTTCCTACGATTGGATATCGTCAGTCAATGGATCCTCCGTGAGGATGCAAGCTGGGCGTTGCCGGAGTACAATCGCATGGATCAGATATAGCCTTGCGTTGCAGGTTCGGGCCTCTTCTAATGTTGCTTGTTTTTTTCGAAGCAAAGTGCAACTTTCTGTTTTATCTCTAACCTTGCAGCACATTAATATATACAGTCTTTAGTTGCTTTACCCAGATAGTGGGGATAACAATGCTCTAAGGATTTCGTCAACTCAGAGTAATATATAGCGAGGAATCAAATTGCAGATTATAGCTATTCAACCTGTGAAAAAGGTCCTTACAGTCCCAGCTCGGCTTCTTTCCAGTCAATTTCCTCCTCCCCTCCCTTTCACTTTAAAAAGGAATTCCTTGTACACCTAGCCTTAAGATAACAACTCAAGTACTTCCTATCACAGTTTGACCTTGTAGGTCTTTCAGCTTTGCTCGTGCGCCTCTCCAGTTATCTGTCAGATCTTCTATGGCATCTTCAAGTGTTCTCTTCTCTTCAAAGCCAGGGCTCAATGTGCTGTCGTTGTCTTTGCACAAGGTCTCAATGTGGGTATCAAAAGCCCTCCTAAGGATGCGTGCGTCCCATCTGTCCCGACGGATGATAGTATAGTCGTTTTCATCATTGTAGTCCACCGGTATGGGCGGCTCCTCCTCAGTCACTGGGTCCACATCGAGAAACATCTTGGGGTAGTAGAAGGCTGCCCACTGAGGGAGCACGCAGGTCATTTCCCAATCAATGACAGCAACGATGTCATGGCTGATTGGATCCAGGATGACATTGTTTTGATTGAGATCGTGATGATAGAGTATATGGCCTGTGTCGCGGTCCGTCGGGGGAAAGAAACGTGTAATCAAATCCTGAGCTGACTCGCATACTTCTAGCATCTCGGGTGCCTCCTCCAGGAGATCCTCGTCACAGTCCGAGTCAATGTCGCTAGCATCGGATTGTGCGATCTCAACCCCACTCTTGATCCAAGCGGTCTGCATTTGCACCTTTGCGGTTAGATACTGGTGTGAATTGGCGAATGGCCCACGGTCGGAATGGAGATAGAGTCGTCGTTTGAAGAAGAAGAATGGCAAAACCATCGGCCCGACTTCTACCCCTTTTCCGAGATAATCGGACATGAGCTTAATCTGGCCAGTGTATTCAGTATTGCCGCTTCTTGCAGAACGGGCGTTCGTGCCCTCGAAAAAAAGACTCCCGACTTTGTCAAAGGGTACAGCTCGTAGCTCAGCGGCGTATGTTGCTAATTGTTTGGAGATTTGGACTTTTGTTTCCATAGAGATTGCACGCCACCTTTGTTCGAGTGGGACGCCTTCCACTTTCTCCAAAAGAATCCATTCATAACTGAGGGCATTCTCTGATGTCGAGCTCCATGCCACGACTTCAGGCACCGGAATGCTAGTCTTTTGGCGTAGGAAAGCCAGGGTAGCAACTTCACTCTCTGTTTTGAAGAAGGGGTCGACTGGAAGGGTGACGCGGAAAAGGAATTTCTGCTTTTGATTTGGGACCACAATCTCATAATTCTTGTTGAATGACCCTTGGGCAAAGAAGGTCACATCCTCCACTTGCAGACGCTTGGACAATACTTCTGAGGCAATGGAGAGAATAGTGGAGATCGCTGGTTCCGAGGGCCAAACTGGCGAGGATCCGGCGAAGGTTGTGTGCCATTCTAGACGCGGTTTAGAGAGATGCGAAAACGCCATTTTCCTTTAGGTCAGAACTGATATATCGCACAGTCCACGTCTGTGGAAGACAAAGAGTTACAGAACGATGCTCGCATGCGGTGGACATGCTGAATGAGTCAGATCTTAGTCATCATGCCATCCAGATCGGTAACTAGTAGTCAAAGAGGCCGTAAGAGTTAGAGTAATCAAGTAGTTTACCGATCTAGCACGGGGTAAGGATGTACCTGGCTCCAACTGTGTTGTGACGGATTTAAGCCAGGGTAACTACAATGCTAATTGATACCTTAGTGTTCGCTTGGCTAGTGGTATGTACTAGTAGTGTACTCCGTCTATACTTGACACAACACCTGGATAGGTAACGAGTGCAAGCTGAGAAAGAAGGAAAATCACGATAACAAAAAGACAAGTCGAAGTACAACTAAAAGGTGAAGGGGCACCTTCTATAATGCGATACGTTCCATGAAATAGTTAGAACATACACATTATTTCATGGTAGTTGGATGCACTCTGTGCATCGTTGCGAAGTGCGCTCTTTACTTCAGATTCCACACGCCACCCACGACGCCTTGAAGTTCCTTGCCACCGTTTTCATAACTCTCAATAAGGCCTTGCTTGATTTGAGCCCACGTGGCAGTGGCGTTCGCGTCCACTCGGGCAATTATCTCATTTGGCTTCCTCGAAGTCGTAATGCTGCTCCTCTGGCTTCCGGTCTTCTGAACCGCGAGGCGATGAATGAACTGACCCTCAGCAGTATTGCGCTGATTTTAACATTATCTCTATGCCTCTCACACCAATCACCCGATTCCAAACCCTACTAACAGGGGCGGCGAACTTACTCCTTGATAGTCCAGACGAATATGCTCGTCTGTATCGTTGTATAAAGTCCATTCATGATCAGGGAAATCGGCTGGATTGAGTGTGAATGTCTCCAGCCAATTTTTGAAGTGCCTTTTGCCCATGGTGACCGCGGATGAATTTAGCTGTAGCACAAGCTTGAAGTGAGAGTGAGATTTTGAGGTGTCTGAAGCCTTGGGGCGGGTTTAATATAGACAATCATCCAAATGTAAGCCCCTCCCTGTAAGACAATTTGCTTTTTCCCACTGACACTACGAGGCCAATAGTATTTAAATGTTGGCAACCTGGTCTTGGAGGCACGCGTATACCGTGTCGTTCATCACACCGTAGCCGTTGATGGACCTGTCGTCGAGGTCCATGCCCCGACAGCCACTATCCTGTAGTCAGATCTGTTACCCAATAAATGCAAGCAGGGTAGCCAGTTACTATAGGTTCGGGTGCATTCCAACAAGGCTGTGCAAGTATGACAAGTGAGGGGAAGGTGGAGAAGGCAGTTCTGCGGATGAAGATACCATAAAGCACCCTTGTTCTAGGCCGGTGATCCCTTTCCAGATCGGGTTTCCTATGCATGCGACAGCTCCATCCAACAGAGAGGAGATGTCACCAATGGGTATTGAGAGGAAAGAAAGAAAAAGCAAAAACACACAAAACTTGGGTGTGGTATCCGCTCATCTGCAGGGTTATTGCCCACTCGGTGCTTTGACCTGATTGAACCAGACAGGGTCTGGCATGCTTCATTCGCCCCTTGTGCCAGACTATAATCTGACCTAAGCTAATCTCACCCCGTCAGTCAGCAAAAGCAAGATATTGTAATGTAGCAGCTACTGTTTACTCTACGAAAAGGGTATCTTCAATATGGTAGGGGGGTGTTCGATCCTCGCAAGACTCTCAGCTGAGGCTACGTAATATACATGATGCATACTACCTTCAAGAGGGATGTATGTACTTCGGAGAAGCATGGGGCCTTCAAGCCCTAACTGCCTACAATTTTCTGACATCTCTATAGACACAGATTGATAAGGTATCCTACCAGGCGAATTAAAATTGAACGAGAATCGCACCCAACCCGCTTGGGCTCCGTCTTTGCTTTTGTTTTCACACATAGAGCATGCATTAAGCAGATCGCTAGCCAGGGAAGCTTGAGGCAAGGTGTTGATTTAACGTTGATTTTCATTGGAACCTTAATCCTTAGAATTCTTCTGGGCTTCATTGCATCATGTATCCTCTATTGAAATTATACCGCCCGATGAGATACTGCACTGAAATGTGATTCTCACAAGGTACTAAACTCAACTGAGCAACATTTAGAGATCATCAATCATTTCCCTGGCACTGTTAGATTTGGTGCTGTCTTTTGTCTGACTTCCACAGCGGTGACCACCTAACAGAAGTTCAATATGCGACATGCAGCTACCCAGGGCGACTGTCTTTCGTGTCGGCACGACAGTCATACTAGGGCAATCTAGGGTCAGCAACGCAACCACTTCCTGAATACGCCCGACTATTATGTCTCGGTACGTCTGGTAAATCACATTGATTAGTATAGACAAACACAATACCGAAAGTGACTTACTTCAGCGGCAGACAAATTACCCGCAGCGATGCTCTGCTGCAGCGCAGGAAATGCGCTAGATTGAAAGTAATACGGTACCCGGGGGATAATCAGGTGGTGACTGGATCCCGGTTGAGGGTGAGGGTCGGCGAACAGCCGCTCGATCTCGATGTACCTGTGGTTTACTTCTCCAGCCTTGGAGAGAAGCTTGGGCTCATCTGGATGAGCTGATATCTGGCTACCCAGATAGTCGGCATACGCATCAAATGCCAAGGTCGCTTGATTCAAATCACGAATGGCTCTCTCCATAGAGGAGAGATCGAGGCCTGGCATATTCACTGATTTCAGAGAACCTTGCAGGAGAACGGCGTATTCGTTGACCGTCACAGGGAGTAACACGTCGCTGGCAAGAGCAAAGACCGCAAGGGACCATATCTTCGTTGTAGTTAGGTGATAATCACGGTTCGGATCCCCATAACGATCCATCCACTCGTCCGTATCGTAGAGAGAATGATATGGAAATGGAGTATCCCCTTCCCCTGCTGAGAATCCAAAGTCCACGCTTGACAAAAGAGCTGTTCCCAGCAGGATTGACCCGTCTCCACCCGTTCCTAATGACACTTCGCCACCCCACACGTCGAGCATAGTTTGGTTCTTAGCTTTTGTGTTGGGATCCAATACCAAGCCAGCACCATAACGCATTGCCCGTCCAAGAAGAGGGCTTCCTTGCACATGGAACTTGCTACCTGCACCAGCAGAAACAACATCCAGGTATGCGAAAGCACTGTCGTTCAGCCACTGGTTCTGTTCCCACCAATCTTTTGTACCCGGCAAACTGAACTCGAGTCCCTCGAAGCTGGCTATCATGATTGTTCTAGAAGGCTGCCACCCTTGGGTCAACGCTGTGCCAAAGCTCCTGGCTACTTCATTCAGGGCGGAAGATCCACTAGAACCATCACCAGCCCCGGGACCCCAGGAATCGCGATGGGTTCCCAACATAATAACCTCATCTGGGAATGTGCTGCCTGGAATGGTACCGATGACATGGTGCACGTGCCCATCGGTAAAGGTCGGTTTGTTACATATATTCAGCACGATGTTACTAGGGGACGGACCGACATTATATTGAACGTTTTTATAACCCAGTCCCCCGCCTTGCCATCGCTCACCAAACTCTGTGGCAGAAGGGCCATAGCCGTTCAAAGCCCGAAGAATTGGAATGGCATCAGCAAAGGATATGGGCATGGCCGGCACGGTTGATGTGGAGCCTGGTTACGCTACCGAATTAGTTGTTTGAGCCTTTCATTAGGTAGGCGAGTTAGAAAAGAACCCACGTGCCTGCAAAGGTGATGACTCCACGTTCGATCATGCTCGATGGACGAGCTGGCCCTTCCGGAAACGCCGCATATCCATTGGCTTCGGTGATTTCACCGTCCAGCTGGGGATCAGTGTACACAATCAATCCAGCGAGACCGTACTCTTCTGCGGCCTTCATCTGCTCTTGGCGATGGACTCCCATATGAAGTTGTCGCAGAAGAGACGACCCAAAAACGGTCTTGACGACTGCAATCCTACCCCGGACGGTGACATGCGCCTTGATCAGATCGTCATAGTCCTCACGTAATCCAAAGTTGGCAAAAATATATTGCGCTGTGACATTGCCAACACCTGCCCATGCGAAAAAGCTCGGGATGAATGGTTTCAAGCCCTGGCCTGCACCCGGTGCAGTATCCTCGATTCGACGCGCCTCTAGAATTAAGTGATCCTTGTGACTGAGATCCAGTAATGCAACACGATGGTCGCCGGGATACGTCAAATTCACTTCGTGAGTAGTGAGGTTTGTCTCGATGCCAAATCCCTCCCACAAGTCTTTCGTCCACTGACCCTGTTCAAGCCCTTGACCAGGAAGATGTGATGCGTTTGTGTAGTAATGAGACCACTCCCGTATCTTCTCTGCCCGAGGAACGCTAAGCAGAAGATCCTGCACTGCGTCGTGGGAAACCGCCAATGTCGGCAAGAGCGAGCAGAGCAGGGTAGCTAGATATTTGAGGGGCTTACTGGAGGTCATACTTGGTCGGTACCTACGAAGCTGTAGAGTATGGGTCTCTAGCAAGGAGCTACGATAATGTACTCATAGGAAGGACTCAGACAAGTTATCGCAAGGGATGATTGTCTTTGAGGCGGAATATCGGTGAGTCCTCTGGACGATGCATGGGATGCCGTTGAAGGGAGGAATCCTTGTTTGCTGCCGCCAAGACAAACCCCCTGCATGAATGTGTTTTGCGGAGGACCGAGAAGATGTGTTATCGACACCATATCAAGCTAGGGTTGGCTATGCATACCTGATGGCTCCCTCCGTATTGATCTGTGGCGAATCTCTCAATATGACCAAACAAGAATGTCCCAAGATGGACAAGCGTGAGCTTAGTCATACAAAGAAATCTCGTAAGAAGCCGAGGCATCTTAATTGGTTCTTATCATATAAAATTCAAGCCGCCTCGGGCTCTTAATCTCAACGGAGTACTCCGTCAACCTCGCCTAGTTAGAAGGTGTGGACAATTCTCTATCCCTTTCTTACTGACAAACTAAACTCGACGAGCATGGTTGAATCGGAAGAGAACCCGAAGGGCATCCTGTCGCCTGCAAGTACGTCTACGCCTGTTCTGCGCCGCGCCCGAGTCGCTTGTAGGGCCTGTAATGCCAGGCGAGTGAAATGTGATGCGGCTGATGGGCAGCCCTGCTGGCATTGTCGCACTCGGCAAACGCCGTGCGAATTGATTGAATCGAGGCGAGGCAAGTATGTTGGTCTTGGACTCTACGGACTAGTAGCTAGGATTCCCAGTCAAAGTTACCAACACTGCTAGGTACACTCGGCGGCACACCCGAGCTCGAGATGTAAATCGCTCTGCACGGCCACAGGAAATCAAGGATCCATCTGCCGGTAAGCGGCCCCAGATGAGACCCATCGATTCGGGCCAGACAGATACGATCCACAGAACAACCGAAGGAGGAAGACACGATCGGGACAATGGCGTTGAGATACCCGGTGTGGGAATAGCCGGCATTAATGCTAGAGACCGATCCCAGAACGGCCAAGAACAGTCACCTCCTCATTTACAACCGCCAGGCGAGCCTACGAGTTTATCGTACGTCGTCGAGGTGGTCTATAGTCCCAATGACGGTTCCACCGAGCCCTTGAAAGTGCATTACCCGATCCCGGCTTCTATTGCAGATCGACCAGATACAAACCATGCACCACGTCTTGAAGAACCGGTCTCCTTGCAGGAGGCTTTCATCATGCCACCCCGCAACGTGGCTGACCAGCTAATCCAAGCATTTTTCCGCAAGCTCCACCCGGCATTCCCAGTGTTTGATCGACAAAGGTTCACCCGGTTGTACCATCAGGGCCAAGCCTCTCCACTTGTTCTGCAGACTATTTTCTTCTTGGGATTCACGGTTGGCAGTGAAGAGCTAGTTCACACGGCTGGCTATAGTGAGCGAGCCACCGCCAGGAAAACACACTACCTTCGGGCAAAGGCATTGTACGATGCTGACTACGAGAATGATCGAATGAATCTTGTGGCTGTCCTTCTCCTCTTTGGATTTTGGTGGGCTGGCCCCGAGGACCAGAAGGACCCTTGTCATTGGATTGGATGCGCGATAGCTCTCGCTCAATCGTTAGGAATGCACCGGTATGTTCAGTCATCTCCCCGGCAGGAGTCTAGGCTGACACTATCTTAGCACGTCGCAGTCTGCGATGAGTCAACCCATGAGGTCTTTGAGGAAGCGGATTTGGTGGGCTATATATGTATCTCACCACCAGTTGCCCTTTTGTTTGACCAGGCTAACCCAGCTAGACGCGTGACCGACATATCTCTGCGGCCTTCGGCCGACCCTGTCGCATACGAGATGAGGACTGTGATATTGAAGCCCTCGATGAGGATGACTTCAAGTTTGACGATGACTATGACCAGACACTCATTCCCGTCCAAACGAGTTTTCATATCGCTTATACCCTTGAAATGACAAAATTAGCTACAATACGTTAGTCGTCACCGATCCACTGGCCTCGACCCCCCAGAAAGCTTACGATACCTATCTAGTTAGCGATATCCTTATTGGCGAGTTCAGCCCTCGTCATGCTGCGCTAGACAAATATAATACAGAAATGCTGGCAGGAAGACTTGCCCAGTGGGAATCCCAATTGCCGGATCAGCTCCGAAAGACAACTCCGGATGGATCATTGGGTGCATCATTCTGGGCGTCCATGATACATTTCAGCTACCAGTACGGGTGCAGTCCCCCTCTATCTGTCAAACATACACTAATCAAATTTAGAAACTGTCTCATCCTTCTTTTCCGACCCAAGGCTATCGAAAATCTGTCTCCAGCAGAAGCCGAATGCGATGCACGAGGACGCATGGCTGCTGACACCATCACCCGTCTTGCAGAGGACCTTTTAGGTACCGGGATGATTAAAGAAGGGCTAGTCCACCTGTAAGATTATAGCCATCCCTGTGCTGTAAGAAGGATCCTTCCTCCTAACACATTATATAGCGTCCCCGCTCTGTTCTCTGCGCTCTCCGTCCACACCATCGTCATCTGCCGGAAGGATCCCATACGCCGTCAACTGGCCGAGAATAAGTCGCGACAATGTCTATTAGCATTGAGCGAGCTGGCCAGCAGTTGGCCAGTCAAGATCTGGATTGCTAAAGCATTTGTAAACCTGTTGCGAAGGCTGACGGTGCAGGGCTCTGCCTCGATAATCAATGTGTCTTCCAGCATTGCGAACAATCGTAGCAACGTAGCGCTCTCGGCTCGTTCGAATTCATCGGGGCTACACCAAGCTCATAGTCCTAAACAAGCTATATTGGAGAATTCCAACAGAAATGAGCTGATGAGCCAGGCCAGCTACATTCACGGACCACAACATCGAGATCTTTATCCTTCTGGGAATTTGCCACAAGGAGCTGATCACATTGTGTATAGTTCCTTCTGGGCAAGTTACCTTGACAATACGTTCGACATGGACCTACTTCTACATAACAGTTTAGGGCCAACACTAGCGGGGCCATTGGACGGTTTAGATGCGGCGGAGGGTGCAAATCCTCTACAGTTTTAGACTACGATGATTTCACCATTTGTTAGCATGTATTTTTATTTGAGCCATATATCACACCTGAAATCAAATTCTTATAGTGCTCCGACGGCAGGGTGACCACCTGTTCTCGTACGTGTAGCCGATGTGAGGAGGCCTAATGGAAAAGAACCACGTTCTCTAGCAACGTTCTAAAATGGAATAACGTTGGATGACGTGATATTAGTAGACCAGGGCCTTGTTATATCCCTTTGGCTCGCCGTTGACCTATCAAGCAAGTATAACCTCCCGACTATGTGCACTCAAAGCACAGGAGAGTCTTCGGAGACGTTTGACCTTCAACCATATGCAAAAGCTACTACAACTCGAAGCAGCTCGATGAGTACAAGGTTCATTCCACAGCCACTCTTGGTACTTCTTGTCGTCGCGCGATGCAATGGACTCTGTACTGGTATTGCACCGCTCTGCACTGTGTCCACTGCCTCCCCCCTCAATATGATCACACATAGGTGAAGGACAGCTAGATACCGACAAAACCGAAGTCAGTACCTCATTTAGCGAATCTGCTCTTGGCTCTCAGCGCCTTCCCGTATTTAAAAAATAGCCACGGGAATGGCATCATGGCAACTGTCAGAAATGCCAAAAGACTAGTTGCCCACTGATAGCCGAGCTTGTCGTACATTTGGTTACCAAATAAGGGAAACGCAGCTATTCAAACTATCATCAGCAAACGAGTACAATAGACTTTCGCTAGCGAGGCCTGCTTGCGACTGAGACATACCGGCAAATATGCACCTAGCGAAGCCATTAGCGGCCAACGCGGATGCCGCGTATTGTGGGTAGGCGTCGACCTATGTTCAGAGTGAGCATTTCGTGTCTTCTGGATCCCCAAGGAAGGAATGGGGTGAGAGCGTATGAACATACAAGAAATGTAAAGATGCCAGTAAATTCCAGCAACAACCTGCTCCGTGATATTATGTTAGCCCAAAAGCATGTAAAAGTCTTGCGCAATCTCTCCCCCGAATTGGTAGACATGATAGACACATGCCATCAGTTAGGGAACAGACGCAAGTTGAGAGATTGGGACCCGCCAGGCACTTACCCTGCCCCAAAGACAGCGGATCCGAGGATGGGTACTATCCAATGAATACTCGCATAGGTGGTCCAGCCGAACCAAAAAAGCCCAATAGGAATAAGAATGCCACCGAGAATAGCTGGAGGAAGTCGGTATTCTGGCTCACTGAGTCCAGGTTCTTTGGCATTGTTGTTCATCAGACGCTCCCGAATGTTGGACCAGATCGGGGTCATCGCGGCAGCGAGAGCCATCCCAACGATCATTCCCACAAATGTCAGTCCGCCCTGCCAAAGGTTCATGTCATATGTTGTGCGAAACACCATGGGAAAGGTGCCGAAGAATAAGTAGAGAATGCCTAATAAGATGGCCGAGTAGATGTCCAAACAGAGACACATGGGTTCTAAGAAGAGAAGCTGGAATGGTCGCAGAAGTGAGACAGCGATGATCTGTCCCCATGTCTTGGTGTCATTCTCCATCGGTGCTCTATAATTATCGTTTCTGGTTTCCTGGCGAAGGGTTCTCGCCTTAGCACGTAGTAGGATGGGGTGGTATGTCTCTGGCACGAAGAATATCATGCAGATGAGCAGTACAGCGGACCAAATGATCATAATATAATAGGTCCACCTCCAATCTAAGTATGAGTTGAAGAAGCCCCCCAGCACAGGGCCCAAGGAGGGTCCAATGAATGGTACGCATGAGACAAGCGCCATCGGTGCTTGAATCTGATTCTGTGAGAATACGTCTCCAGCAGTTCCTCCCGCGACGGAAAGGAACGTGCCTCCAGTGAAGCCATTGAAGAACCGAGAAACGATAATCGTCTGGATATTCTTCGCCACGGCCGATGGAATTGTCCAGATCAGGAACATCGACCATGCCACCAGATAGATGGGTCTGCGTCCGTAGTGCTCGCTCAGCGGCCCAGTGAGCAGTGGCCCTGTACCGATCCCCAAGACAAAGGACGACAGCCCGACAGTGGAGATCAGCGTGGACGTGTTAAACTCAGGATCCATCTGAGTGTATGTAGTTGTGTAGATCGAGCTAGTGCAAGTCCTACATCCACCTGATCAGCTATCATCTTGGAAAACTAACACAGAGAACGCCGAGCAATAGAAGATAGGCCTACACGCATAAGGTTCCGGTACAGACAATCAACACAATCACCCATTTTCTCGCCGACGACATGCTTCGAGGGCACATCGGGTCTTGGTCACTATCGAAAGAGACCTCGAATGGGCCATGGCCCGTTCTTGCAAGGCCTCCCTCCACACGAGCATCGGGGTGCTCTCCGCACTTTTCCGGCGAAAAGCGTCCGCTTCCCCAACTGCTCCTAGAATTAGAATGGTTAAATGTAGCGCTTGTGGATGACGTTGGAGGGGATAGATTCGAGCATCCATGTCCTTCTTTCTCGAGAGCCAATATGTGTTGGTCGTTGGCTTCATGGGTAGCGCCGGAAACTCTTGCTTGACCGGCCATCTCCGTTATCGTATCCATATCCAGGGCGTTGGGTATATGGTGAAGATATCATCAGACGATTGATTCCAACTTTTGAGCCTGTTGTTTATGTATCCTCCGCCCAGAGTTATGATTTACAAACATTACTTTAATGTCATAATCATTGGGAGCGACCCTAATTAGAAATAGAAAAACAATGAACGAGCGAGTGATAGAGCCTGATCTCCATATGAAGTACAGAAAGCGAAACCGGCGACGAAGAAGCCTCGGTGTTTCCCAGGAAAATGTGGAGCAAAACCGAGATTGCGACAAACACTTTCTCTCTACTGAAATGCCGAGAACATCTTACAATTACGTAACAATGCTGATGTCTGTTGCTGATGTCGACGGGGGTCTACATGAGGTCGCGAGTAACACCAGTCAGCCCTACAGTCCCGGCAAGCCGAGCCTGGAATAGCATCATACTGGTAAATATTTCTTTCTCTTCGTGGACGCGCAGAGTGAATTACCCCGCCAGCTGTTACTACTAAAGGGACATATTTTATGCAATGGATTGTTATGTCCACCTTACGTAAGGCATAAAAAATCTAACTATTGGTTAACGTCATCAGACGAAGTGAGGTATTGGCACAGTCTCGAGGATACCCTATGCTACCCATGTCCATAAATCGTGAATTTGATCCTCTGTAACATTAGGACACTTAGTCACCACTCCCACTGTGCGAGTATTGCGAAAGCTTCGCCTTTATTCTTCCGAGCTCTCGAATACTCTCGCCTATGTTAACAGTATATGACTTCGCCCCACTTGGCTTCCGGCTGAAAGCATCTCACCTACCGAATACATGGTGGGACCCTTAGGATAAACTGTACAGAAAGATCTCGGATATGTCGTGGGAGGGCGCGCCAAGTCTGGAACACATATGGTCAACTCGGCCGTCTGGAGACCATTGAATTTGATAACGCACCCTGATCCACCTTTAGCTCCGAGTCTCCTAACAAAAGTATTTATGCGAACCTGTGGATAGCGGGGTACTGGGTCACTTCAAATTAGCCAGCATGAGCGAATTTCATCGAGAGGAGCATATCGATGCAGCCATATTACAGCATCACTTGTCAAGGCGAGCCGCAGAGAATTTCGAGTACCGAGATGTCTGGGGTCCACGAGAAAAGTCCATGGCCAATCCCTGGTCACCAGAAAACCCCGACGGGACGTAGGTTCATCTGTTGCCAATTGGTCTGTATCTCGTAAGAATATGTTCTGACTGAAAGTGAAGCATCATACTTCGCCTCGCGGAGAACAGCCTTCTGCATGACGAGATGGGGCAGTTGATAAAGGAGCAGGTTGACAATCCCATCTCATAGTTCTCTAGTTGCACTTTCTCATTTCTCGTGGGCATAGATCACTGTCCTTCCCTTGAGTCACCTTACCTATAGCACAGGCCCACGAGGATCACGTCGTCTCCGGCGTGCCGCAGCTGCATTCTTGAACGAAGAGTTTCACTCGCGCCAAACCATTACGCAGGACAACATCTTTATCACACCTGGCTTGGCCAGTGCTATTGACGCCTTGACCTGGGCCATCTGTAATGACGGGGATGGCATTCTCATTCCCCAGCCATATTATAACGGATTCGATTTTGACGTTTTGAACCGAAGCAATGGTCGGGTGATTGGGGTTAAGTACGAAGGCGTCGAGGGATTCTCTGGCTTAGATGATTTGTTCCGTCCTGATGTAAACAAGCGGGCTCTGGAAGTCGCTCTTCGTGAAGCTAAAAAGAACGGCATAACCATCCGCGCTCTTATAATCTCCAAGTAGGTGACCCCTTACTAAAAAAAAGTAGTTAACTGTCTACTAACAACAACATTTCAAGCCCACACAACCCTCTGGGACGATGCTATGTCCGTACTGCCTCTCGCCAACCTGACTCGTGAACTGTATATCCGCTAACTATTATCCAGCCTCCCGAGACTCTTCTAGAATTCGCCGCTTTCTGTGGTAGAAACAAACTGCATTTCATCTCCGATGAGATCTACGCAAAATCAGTTTTTCCCAATACTGCGATGCCGAGCCCGACACCGTTCGTGTCTGCTCTCTCTCTTGACCTTCGCGATGTCATTGACCCAACCCTGATGCACGTACTTTACGGGGCAAGCAAAGACTTTTGCGCGAACGGATTGCGTCTCGGAGTCGTGTGTACCATTAATGAGGGGTTAATTGGCGCAATGTCTAGCATTAGGTTCGTACTGAAAGCTGTGCCTTTTCCTGGAGGCCGTTCCTAACATATGATCGGTATAGTATGTTCTCTTGGTCACCCCATGTCCTCCAGGACGTCTGGGCAGCCATGCTAGAGGACAGACAAAGATTAGGAGACTTTATGCTCAGAAAGTGCGAACTCATGGCAGAGAATTATCATATCGCAACGTCCTTCTTCCGGGAGCGCGGGATTAGCTACCACGAGATGTGAGTTCCGTTGCGTGTAATGCTGGGTCTAGGCTAATGCCCTCGAGGAATGCTGGCCTCTTTATCTGGGTCGATCTACGGCATCTGCTCATACCCAAATCGTTGCGGCAACAGACCGATTATAGCGAACTGAGAACCGCCTCTCCTGAGGCTAGCATGTACAGACAACGTGAACAGAAGTTTGCAGATATATGCGCTCAGAATGGCCTTATGATTACCCCCGGTAGTGTATATGCGGCAGAGGAGTTTGGGTGGTTCCGGCTTACTTTTACGGTGGGGAAGAATGCGTTAGAAGAAGGACTGAAGCGTCTTGAAAAGTCATTGAGCACAGCTGAAACAGATATGCAGTTTTAAATTAGGGCTGTTTGAATTAAACTATAACAGGGAAAGGTTGGCAAAGCTGCTGGAAATGTTCGTCACCTGATGGATGTACTAGTAGATGGGATAGTTATTCTGTCACCACGATAACGCCCACATCCAGGGCCAGCTCTCCATGCTATGAATGTCTACTTCATGGCCAAAACCTCTGGTAGCAAATAGACTTAACGCCAACACATTCTTCCGGCATTGGCTCCTCACTTGGGGCTATTTGCCGAAAGATATAACTTTCCCCTTGGAGTGCGGCCTTGATCCAGTATTTCCGCTCCACCTGCTTCGATTTATCAAACAGTGATACCAGCTTTCCTGCAACGCCGCTCCTATGGGATGCAGACAAGATTGTTTCCTGGACGATAAAATAGCATTCTTTGACATGCTGCTCATTTTTTGGGTGCATTAAATACACAAGGGCCTTGCCCTCGCATGCGCGTAGCTCGCGTAGATACGGCCCTCGAAGTTCGATGACTGCGATGGGTTGGAAACGCCCGTCTGGGGTCCACAACTCCATACGTTGCTCGCCCATCTTTAAGAGAAAGGAGTAGAACGCGAAGAAATCGGTTCCTGGGTGCATAAAAGATAGATCCTTGTTGAGCAGGTCGTCTAGTGTCTTGACCATGGAGTCGTCGCATCCGCCTCTGTAATGCCAGTCTGGATAGAAAAACACGTCAATTGTCTCTGCCACAGATTCCGCGTATGACGGAGGATGCAATTCTGTTGTTGTTGGAGTGGGTGGTGGTCCCATCTGCGATTGCTGCTCCATTTTGCCGACAATAAATGGGACCGTGAATGGGATACTAAAAAAGCAGGACGTATCCTAAAGTTAGACGTGGGGGAGAAAGGGTGGACTAGTAAAGGCATGACCTGAGTCCTACATATTAGCTAAAACCCTATTTAAGATGTTGTAACTAAGTCTTATTGTCCCCTATCACAACTCTTTGTTTGTTCATATTTTTGGTCGACTTTTGGTTCATAGTGTCAATTATACGGGAACCATACCACGTGTGGTAAATTGCTCAACCATGGTACTTACCAGTGACCGTCGAGATTGCAGTAACGGAATACTGTACATCCCACTCTCAGTCAAGCTCTGACAGTTGACGTAGTGGAAGATATAACCAACTCGCTGTATCATGTCTTTGTTTAGACAAAGATGAAGGAGGATCACAAGGTCCGAACCACGACAAGGTGGTGTCTTTGTCTCTTGCTTTATATCTGGCTTTGAGTCCTTGATAGTATATGTATATACGCAGTACTTTCCAAGGCTTTCACCCTGGAAAATACACAATTGTCTTCATTATTGCTCCCATTTGGAGGCGGGACACATAAGAACCTCTCTGAGCCTCTGAACGCAAGCGTCTACACTTCGCACGACCTCAGCCTCTGACCCTTGGAAGGCATTGATGGAGGAGTAGTCGTATTCATCTTTGAATATACACTACCACAAGAGGTTAAGGTACGCCATATCTCGAAAGAATTTAAGGTATGTGGGGATTTGGCCGTCTAAGCTTTTGACAAGGGCAAATTCATCTGCGTTGTCTCGTGAGTACTTAGTAGCAAGCCAGGGTGGGATGGTGGAGAGCAGAGGATCGGCCTAAGTGTTGAAGCACCCGAAGCTGGTCAATTGGGTGAATTCGCATTCTGTATTCGATACTGTGAAATAGAAGTTTCAGTTAGGACAAACACAGGGAGCCGAATGAGAGTTTAGTGCTATCATGCACCGCAACGGGTGAACGATCGCTTTTTGGAAGTTTCAAGGCTGGAATATCGAAGCGTCATACGTTATTATTAATTACTCTAGATACTTGGAGACCGGGCAGCAAGATCCAGGTTTTGAGTGTTTAATTATAGACAAGCACGTGCTCGCACTGCGCTAAAATGAACTTCACCGACAGAAGCACTAAGAATACCCTGGTAGCTCCTCACCCAAACCCCAGGCTTCAGCATAGAAATGGCTTTCAACGTCCTCACGACTAACGCGGTCGACCTGCAGCAGCTACTCGAAGAGAACAAGACCACGAGCGCTCGAATTGTGGAAGAATACTTCGCACAAATCGATCGCCATGAGTCTGCACTCAATGCGCTGATTTCGCCTGCCCCGCGGGACAAGGTCCTCAAAATCGCCCAAGCTCGGGATGAGGAGCGCCAGAAAGGGCAGACCAGGGGCCCATTGCACGGCATTCCTATAATTTTGAAAGACAGCTTTGTCACGGCGTCGGAGCTGGGCATGAGCACCACGGCTGGATCATATGCGTTCATCGGAGCCAAGGCGTCAAAGAACGGAGCCATCACTCAACGGCTGATTGACGCTGGCTTGATTATCTTGGGGAAGGCGAACATGACTGTCAGTTGGCGTTTAGCTTTCTGGGAACATTATTGGATTGACCGTTGTTTTAGGTATTCGCTGGTATGAAAATGACCATGATGATGCCCGGTTGGTCTGCTCACGGTGGTCAAACTCTGTCGCCGTATGTTGGGAAGATAGAGGATAATGAGAAGATACTTGGCCACTCAGTGAGTAGATTGAATCACAGATGCTATTCATCTGTACTGATCCTAAGCAGGCCCCTGGAGGCTCATCCACTGGATCTGCAGTCGCTGTAGCAGCTGGGTTTAGCCCTCTTGCAATGGCCACTGAGACCATAGGTTCCATCGTGACTCCGTCAACACGCGCCGGTTTGTATGCGCTCAAGCCTACTACCGGGGTCCAAGATACCACTGGGTTATACACTATGACGGAGTTTTTCGACAGCCTGGGCCCTATGGCAAAATCAGCAGCTGACGTTCGCGTTCTTTCTGAGATTCTGCTCGGTCGCCTGTTTAACTCCGTGCATTTGGGTTCCTGGGAAGGTCTTTCGCTAGGCTTCCTGGACCCAAAAGAGTGGAGCATGTCGCCGGACTTTTGTACGCAATTTGAGGGCACCGCAGAGCAAATGGTACGTCACTATCGTTTCACCAGTTCAGAGCTCTAACGGCTGGTTCTAGGTAGATGAGTACGAGGAGACGGTATCCGCTCTACGAGATGGAGGCTGTCCTCTTAAATACCCAATTTACTGCAAGGATCCCTCAGTTTTACCGAATACTACATTGCCAATCGCATGTAGGTTGCTGCAGTATAAGATGAAGTCAGGATGGCTAACCACTCCCAGATTGGGACTTCAAAAATGTCTGCATCCCTAAGTTTATTCGCTCGTTTGATGAGTGCGCTGTAACAAGCGTTGCAGATATCGTCAGGTTCAATAAAGAAAACAGCGAAAAAGCCCTCCCAGCTCGTAGGTTGACAGAGAGGACACAATGTCACGGTCTTCGTGAAGAGTTACTAACACAACGCAGCATTCGTCGAGCAGAATGATCTGGAAGGGGCAATGAACACTGTTGAAGAAAAGAAACATATAGATGAGATGAAACAGAACCTTCGCAGGGCCGCGAGAGATATTCTGGATGACCGATTTGAAAAGGAAAGAATCAATATCCTGGCAGCTCCGGGAGACTCCCCACTATGTGTTCATGCTTCTGCTGCAGGTACCAACTCATCATGTGTACGTTTGACTCGTCGTTGCTAATAGGATCAGGGTATCCTGTCGCCACGGTCCCGATAGGACAACTTCGCTACAATGGCCGGCCGTTCGGTCTATGTCTGGTGGCCAGGGCGGACGAAGAGGGGACTCTGTTGCAGTTCATGGAGGTGTACGAAAAGGTTGCTAAGCCTCGTCCGGTTCCGAAATTTGAATAATTGCGGCATGAATTACCGGGGACGACAACTCGCAACATGAATGGGAGATTTTATCTACAGGCATGGCTGGCAGTAGACCTCAGGTGGGTATCGTTTTGTTGAGAGATTATCAGCCTAGAATGTAGAAACAGGGGAGCCAATGCAGCAAATTAGATTATATTCAGTCATAAAGTGATTGTTCTGGTATTCATAAAGATATATAGGTGCATCGTGGTATCAGTATATTCAGCAATACGGTGCATCACGGGGATTGAATCCGGGGCTTACACAGATCTAACGTAATAACGGGATGGTTTAGCATAAAACAAGAAACATTCTTATATCAACAGATCCACGTATTATGATAATAGGCCAACCTTTCAGCCAACACTACTTACTAATTCCAAAAGCCCAGCTCAGTCAAGCTGCCTTGACCTCTCGCATATAGTTCCATTGACCTAGCGAGGAAGGATCTAGTGCCAACATCGGCAGCCTCTCAGAGTGACGGCACGATGACAATGGTTTCTAGTGGGATATTTAGCAAGGGAGGTATCCTATGGGATGCAATTTCCTTGTTGTGGGTTATAACATAGCCCCTTGTCTTCGCTACTACAGTACCTACACATAGGATAGGTTACATTATCTAGAATATATGCAGCACGGTGGGCGGGGATAGTCAACCCGACAGAGCCAATCCCCCCTCATTCAGTTACGGGATTAAACATCTCAGGTGGGTCATCAATGTCCGTTGATCACACCTCTTCGAGGATTCCTCAGTGAAACAGCATTGTGGTTGGCCTGATCGTCTATGCTCGCGTCTCGGCGTGGGGGCCTTGCATTGTACACTATGTCGATTGAACAACATTTGAACAACATTGCTGCATTGAGATAAACATTGCCGATACATTTAATATAAATATGTGTACACATTCAACTACTTCCCTGTTAATATTATCTCTAATTAATTCCAACCGCTCTTTAGCTGATCCAAACCAGACGACCCGATTATCCCGCATTCTGAAATACCCTAATGTCAAGCTCAACCAGAGACTACATTATAATCGGCGGGGGGCTTGCCGGATGCGCACTCGCCAGCCGGCTTTATGAAAAGAACAACTCACTCAATATCCTGATCATAGAGGCCGGAGCCAACGCCGTCGGCCACCCCCTCACCGGCGCCCCCCTTGCGTGTTTCGGTGCCCATCATTCCCCCCTCGACTGGGCCTATACCACGGTACCACAGAAGCATCTCAACGGCCGGGAATGCTACAACAGCGCAGGCAAGGCCCTTGGGGGTAGTTCTGCCACAAACTACGGTACCTGGACTCGCGGAAATGCCGCCGACTATGACCGCTGGGCGAAGTTAGTCGGCGATGATGGTTGGAGTTACAAAGGCCTGCTACCGTACTTCAAGAAAACTGAAACACATTTCGATGGCACAAAGGCTGATCCGGCCACGCATGGTACCGATGGACCAATACACAATACTTCGGTCTCTGCTAGTAGCTCTGACAGGAGGTACGGTTTGAGGGAGACGCTGCGGGAGGCTTGGGCCAGGGTCGGCGTGGAATATGTGCCAGACGCAAACGCGGGATCGCCGCTAGGGCTGGGGGAGTTAGTGGAGAATTGGCGTGCAGGCCAACGACAGATTTCGAGTGAGGCATATGGTATATTTAACTGTCCCGGGATTACCGTCATGACCGAGACGATGGTACAGCGAGTTATTCTCGAGGATCGGGATGGCAAGAAAGAGAAAGTCGCAACGGGAGTAGAAGTGGTAGGCGGAGAGAAATACTTCGCATCACGAGAAGTCATTGTCTCGGCTGGTGCATATCGCACACCCCAGGTGCTGATGCTCTCTGGGATTGGGCCGGCAGAGATCGCAAACCACAATATCACGCAACTGGTCAATGCGCCGGGCGTTGGCTGCAACCTTCATGACCACTTCTCGTTTGTGCGGTGGTGGAAACTGCGCCATCCGGAGCAAGGCTTGTCCATGGGTACTCCGTTATGGAAGAGCCCAGCGTATGCGTTGGGTCTCCCGGCTGACTGGAATGTCACTGTGCAAGCTCCACGTGAGATATTGATGGAGGCATTGAGGGCGGACGGTGAGAACGAATCGGCTCTTGGGAAGCACCCTTATCTTGCCCCTGATTCCTGCCATGCTGAGATTCTCATTGTTTACGCCCCTGCTGGTGCAGCTGTTGCGGGTGCTGATATCCCGATGGATGGCACCCATGTTGCGTCAGCTATTCTAGACATGGTCCCTACTTCGCGAGGCCATGTTACCATAGCGTCGAGCGACCCAATGATCCCGCCTCTTATCGATCCAAACTATTATTCCACTGAAGTTGATCGTGCGATCCTTCGGGCCGCCATTCGACAGGTAACACAAGTTCTCCGAGAGACACCTGAAGGTAGAGCGATGATCGAATGTGAGACGCCACATCCTGGGTTTAACCCGCTAGGGCCCGACGCCACAGATGAAGAAATCGACGCTCAAGTGAAACAAGGGGGGAATACATTCTATCATCCAGCTGGCACAGCGTCAATGGGGAATGTTGTAGATACTGAGCTCCGTGTGAAAGGCGTCGAGGGTCTCAGGGTAGTCGATGCCAGCATCATACCGTTGCCGATAACAGCACACTACCAGGCAGTGGTATATGCAATTGCAGAGAAAGCTGCAGATATTATAACTAACTAAGACAGAACTAGGTAGCCAATTAACCTAGCGAACGCAACTATTTACTTCACGAGGTCCGATCATTCAATAGTTACAGTAAATAAAGACAGAATATTTGATCGCTAGACTAGTGGGAGCGAAGGGTGTTGAAAGATAGAAAAGCAAAAGGACAACTGACATCACGCGTCCAGAGGTCCTGGTCGGCCTTTACATGGTTAAAACAAGGAGACATTCCGTTCTGATGTCGAGGCAAAAACAAAAAGAGAAGCCGAACGCGGGGGTCGAACCCGCAACCTTGAGATACCGTGACGACTAAGAGTCTCACGCTCTACCGATTGAGCTAGCCCGGCTACTTGTTGAAGAATCATGTTTCTTTTGACTACATAAGCCAAAGCTAACGTAAGAGCCTACTACCTCGATTGATGTGCATTAGATGAGATCTTCACCCCTCTCCTCATGCCCTACCATAACTGCATACAGATCGATGGATGAGGCATATTTTGTCCCTTGATGCTACAAGAACGCTGTCGATAGCTTATTCAATGTGTCAAATGCATGCCTTTGTTGCATACTGGTGTGAACAGTGTTGTAACTAGTACTCTTCGCTTCCGTGAATTATATATTTTGCGACAAGGGACACACTTATCTTTTTTATACATTCCCGGAGAGGCTCACTCTAGTGGATGCTTGAATACTTGCATAACAACCAGTTACTCATATTCAATAAATCCTGTAATATTGTCTTAGAAGCTTCTAAATGTCTATGATGCGATGTGACTGTTTGCTTTCGTGCCCCATTCCCTTCCAAGGCCAACCAGGGTTCATCCGCCACCAGGTCGGCAACACCATCAATAGCTTTTAGTAAATCGGAAACTCGATATCTTTGAAGGCCATGAACCTTGGAATCACGAAATGTGATACCTTTCATAATTAAAATTACTGCAATCCTCGGGCGACTTCGCCTCGCCTGGGTGTTGCGACGGAGGTACTATGTCGGCTTTATGCCATTTACCTCATTCCTTTACCGACCTGGGAGTATTTCGTATGCACAGTACATCATTACACACAAAAACAGCAACTAATCGGTGCAGCAACAGCACTACAGTAGTACAAATCCATAATGGAATACCTCGGCATGGGAACATAGTTTTTCCCCACCAGCTTCGCGCCCCGCATGTATGCGCCCAGCCCAGCAACCTAGAACCGAGCCGTAGCAATTATTTACCAGCCACGATGAAGACCTTACTAGATGTTGTAAAGGATTGCGATAAGTAAGCGCTCTCCAAAAAAACCCCGTATAACCCCGCTAAAAACCGCCCAGCTTTCCTTACGCGGAAGATACAGATTCCGCACACGCGCAAGTACAGGCCTCACCATGGAAATTCTATCTCCCGGAGGATCCCAGACCGCACGGTCTCTTGATTGATGCTGTGGTAGAGCAGATGCCATGGACAGCAGACTTCCGGGTGCTTCCTGCCCCGCAGAAAGAAGTGCACCTTATTCAGCCCGAGGGCGTCAACTGGCATGAGAAATGCACGGAGATCATTGAGCGACAGGCGGAACTTGCGCGCGAGAAAGGAGTGTTTCCTAAATTCGGGAAGAAGAGACACGAGCAGTTCCCGATCGTCGGGGCGAAGTTTCCGGTGGGGGTTGATCGAAGTTTCTTCTCGTATCTTGGTATCATAGGCCGTGGGGTACATATGACAGTGTACACCCGGACGGAGGCTGGGTTGAAGTTCTGGATTCCGCAGCGACAGTTTAACAAGGCCTATGGGGGTATGTTGGATAATACTGTGGCGGGTGGGATGGCCATCGGAGAGCAGCCGTTAGAGTGTTTGGTTCGCGAGGCATCGGAGGAGGCCGCGATGTCTGAAGATCTGATTAGGACGAAGGCACGGGCCGCAGGTACCGTGAACTGGATCGGTATCAGCGATGAGCGATCTGGTGGTCACCCGGGGCTCATCAACCCGGGGGTGCTCTATGTTTATGACCTTGAAGTCGACTCAGATATGGTGTTCAAAGTGGTCGACGACGATGTATATGCCTTTCATCTGATGGACACGAATGAAGTGAAAAAGGCCATGTTGGACGGTAAATTCAAACCGGCCAGCGCGAGTGTTCTCGTGGATTTCTTCGTTCGGCATGGTCTTATTACAGCCGAAGACGAGGAGGAGTATACGGAGATTGTGTCCCGACTACATCGAAAACTTCCTTTGCCAACTAGTTCACGTTGACAGATAAAATGGGTTTTCCCCGCATCATGATCGATATTCGGTGCTTGGATGGTTGAACGCTTGTATTAGTACATTGGCCAGTACTTAATTAAGGACGCACTACGGAGTACATTGGGCACTGGGGCTAAGCTGGGTTAGACGCCCTGCAGGGATTTCATTGTACTAGCAAGTGGCCGGCGTCTCACGAAACAATGAAAAGGCTTTTTATAGCACCGAACACGAAAAATTCCCGCGATGGGACGAGTGGAGCGACCGCACATCCCGTCGGAAGTGGAGGCTGGTCACCAATCACTGCGCCAGGTGAAATGCTTAGCTGTTGGGATCATGAATCCTGCCCCGCTCAATGTCCTGGATTCACTCCGTTGCTTACTGTTCCTTTCGTGCTCGAGACTAATAAATTCCAACGATGACCTGCTTTTATCATCGGCTCTCCTTGTTTCTGAATAGCACTTCTGACAACATAACCTAATTAACTACACTGCGACCCGAGAAAAAGGTCCTAAAACCATAGACAGCATACACCATCGCATCTCACCATGTCCCAAACACCAAACAAGCAAACCTCAATATGGAACAAAACAAAAGTCATCGGCAAGAAAAACTTCGACAAAGCCTGGGATGCGCTGGACAAACTCGGGCCCCCCGTTAACCGCCTGACGAACAAGCTCGGCTCCGAGGCCTTCTGGCCCATGACACTAGACAAAGAAAGCGAGAAGGTAGCGCGCATTCTGCAGAGCTTCTGCAAAGATGGCGTCTATGTCGAGGAATCCAAAGAAAGCACGCCTGCACCGGAAACGAAAGGAGGAAAACAGGCGATCGACAAGCCGCGAGGGAAGCCGAAAGTGTTGAAGAAGATCCCGACCGAAGTGATCCGACAGGCGAAGGGATTGGCTATCTTTACGGCCATGCGAACGGGACTATGGTTCAGCGGTGCGGGCGGTAGTGGTGTTCTTATTAGCAGAGTGCCGGAAACCGGTGAATGGAGTGCGCCGTCGGGGATCCTGCTGCATACCGCCGGTTTGGGATTTCTGGTCGGGGCAGACATCTACGATTGTGTGATGGTGATCAATACGTATGAGGCACTGGAGGCATTCACGAAGGTCCGGGTTACTCTCGGAAGCGAGATCAGTGTCGCTGCTGGGCCAGTTGGAATCGGCGGTGTGCTAGAGTCGGAGGTTCATAAACGGCGAGCCCCGATCTGGACCTATGTCAAGAGCCGAGGATTTTATGCGGGTGTGCAGATTGACGGAACGGTCGTCATCGAGCGTATAGATGAGAACGAACGATTCTACGGTCGAAAGCTACCCGCTAAGGAAATTCTGAGTGGCCACGCCTGGGTCGACAATCCCTCGGTGAAAATGCTGACGCACACGGTTCGAGCGGCGCAAGGTGATGTACAGTTTGAGCAGACACCCTCGGGAGTTAACATGGCAACGGGGCCAAGTCCCAGCGATCTTCAATATGGAGATCTTGCGGGTACTCAGATGGCTCAGGTTCAGCCGCCTCCAAATCAAGGTCCACAGTACAATGCTGGATCAGAGTATAATACTGGACCACAACCGAATGCTGGACTGCAGCATAACCCTGGACCACAGTACAATGTTGGATCAGACTACAATGATGGGCCACAATTCAATCCTGGACCACCATTCAACGCTGGATCGCATCATCATGTGGGACCGCAACCCAATGCTGGATCACAGTACAATGCTGGCCCAGAGTATAATGTTGGATCGCAGTATAATGCTGGACCACAACCCAATGCTGGGCCACAATCCAATGCTGGAACACATCCTAATACTGGATCGGAGTACAACCCTGGACCGCAACTCAATCCTGGCCCAGGGTACAATACTGGGCAACAGTCCAATGCTTGGCCACAGCAGAACCCTGGATCACAGTACAATGCTGGAGCACAATCTAATGCTGGGCCACCATACAATACCGGACAAGCTGGGCCTGCTAGATACTATTGATTGCTATATTAGAAGGTGCTTAAGTTACTGTGAATGCATACTCGGAGTCCTGTTTTTTATGAGACTTAGCTATTAGTACAATTGCGTACCCGGCCAAGGAGACATACCTGTAGCATATCTGAGAACCCTATATTCGTATTACTTTTTTTTTTTGCTTAATGCGTTGATATATGGTTTCTCTCATGAAGATGCCGCGACCGGAGGAACTCGATGTGATTGTAGACTGCCCTCATTGGCAAGCATATCCACAGATAGACATAGCTATAGCACACAACTGAACTTCGGGGGCAAATGTGAGGATAGTAAATAATATAAACTGCACCTGAAAATCACAAATTCATCCATACTATATCATGTCCCTGCTCCGGCGGACTGGCAACACGTGGTATTACGATCAATATGTACAGTATGATCACTAACACGAGTCAAGCATATCAACAAGAGCACCCTTCTCATCCTGGGTAATAGTCAAGTTATACACCGACTTGACTCGGACCCACATCTTTGCATAGGTGCAATAATACGAAGCTACACGGTTAGCGCGCGACCAGATGGAATGTTAGGAAGAACTTACTCAGAGGAGGCTTCCACTCCTCCGGCCCATCATCGCTCTTCTGACGGTTAACAGTGCCTGTCACTGCGATTAGTTGGGGATTCGTCAAGTCATTGGCAAACGCTTGACGTTGGTCCGTGGTCCAGTCTGCCGCTCCGCTCTGAAATTTCATTAACCATCAGATCAGAATCCATCCTTGCATGGACGATGACAGACTTACCTTCCAGGCGTTGGAAAGCGGTACAACATGGTCGATGTCTAGATCGCTTTTATCCGTCCAAGTTTTTCCATCGTATGGCGACAGCCATGTCCCACTAGTGGGAGAGCAAGAATCGTTCTTCTCGACGTTCTCGCCATCGCGAGCAAGCACGACTTCACGTGTATCGCATGAACTTTCGTACAGTGATTTAGCACATTTATCCTCCAAAACTGGATGACAATACCTACTGGCCCTGGCTGATCCAATGGGGAAACTTATCCCGGTCATAGCCATCCTGCGAGCCCTGCGCAGCGACTGTTAATCCAGCCAATTCATTCTCAGCCGTGGTTGTCGATGGGATTCCCGGGGGAGTTGGGACAGGCGCCGGGGCAGGGATGGCATTCACGAAGGGAAGGGCCAAGAGGGCCAGGACGGTGAAATGGACCATGATGCGACTGGCCCAAGGAGGATCGGATATGGAAGAAACGCACTGTTTACAGCACATTGTGGCTGGCGGCCTTTTAAAATATGCCCACTACCGGGCGATCAGCTCCATCCCTTGCATATCGCTTCATCTGCCGGGTGTAACGTGCTCAAGCCAGTCAAAACACCATGTGCCCGGCCGGGCTCTTGGCGTACATGAGCGCATGCAATACAGTAACACACATTCTGCAATGCCGTAACGCCTTTGGCCGCGGCTAGGGGCTTGGCTAATTTAGTACCTGGACCGCCCTGACGATTCCCCAAATGGGAGGTCTTCAGGATATTGGAGCGGGGCGCTTATCAGTCCCCCTTTGCATCTCCGGCGGTTGATGACCACGCTCGGCATGGAGTAAGGCTGATTCGCCCATGGACAGGTAGAATGGGGGGGATCATCGCTGTCAGGGTGGTCGGCGTGTTAGATATACATTGATCCGCCGGAATCCGACGGAAGAACAATAAATGAAGCGAAGTGAAGAAGATGATCATTTATTTCTCATAACAATCATACATTTCATGAATTATCAGGATAGAGTAATCTGTAATTTTAAAGTCCCAGAGCCTTGAGGATTTCCTTTCCAACGCCCGTCGCACTGGCCGGGTTCTGACCGGTGATCAGAGTCGCGCCGTCGGAGGTCTTCGAGACGACAACCTTCTCGCCCCACGGCTGATCGGCCTTCACAAATTGACATCCGGGGATCTTGTTCATCTCAGTCTCGACCAGGTATGGCATGAGCTCGGTCAGTTGGGCCTGGTCTTCCTCGACGTTGGTGAAGGCGGTGACGGTGGAGTTGGCGAGCAAGGGCTGGCCGGCCTTGGTGGTCGCCTTGATGAACACGGTCGGGCCGTGGCAAACGGCGGAGACGGGCTTTCCAGCGGCAGCGAAAGCCTGGATCAGGGCGAGGGAGGTCTCGTCGTAGTGGAGGTCAAACATGGCTATATAGCGGTCAGTGCGATCCCCTCCGCCAAAATGAAAAATAAAAGGGCTCCTTACGTCCATGACCACCGACATAGAAAATCGCATCGAATTCCGAAACGCGGGGCAGGAAATCGGCCAGCTTGTGGGTGTTCTTCCAGAGCGACTGCTGCTCGTTCAGGAATTTCGTCGACACGGGATCGCTCTCGAACATCTTGACCGACGAGGGGTCGAGGGGAGCCTCGCCACCCTTGGGGGAGGCGACGGTGAGCTCGACCTTCTCATGAAGGACCTCCCACGGATGGGCGAACTCGGGCTAGGACTTCGCATTAGACCTGCTCGATCGACAGGCGTACATGGCGGGGTAATACATACCAGGTACCATCCGGTGGCGTGGTCGCGGCCAGGAATCTGGGCCTGGGAGGTAAGAACAACGAGCACCTTGGGAGCCATTTTTGTCAGGATGTGTGAGTTGCGTGGTTTTTCTGCGCGGACTCGTCGATCCTCAAGAATTGGGTCCAGGTCGACCTTATATAGGGTACGGTGGGGCAGCTGATGATGAATGACATCACTTCCCCTGGAAGGTCCTGAACTCGCTCACATCCTTTATTTTGGAGCATGATTGTTTCTAACTACTTCCTCACAATTCCACTAACATGTATGGGGCAAAAGCTTTGGCAAAATACGGTTCCTAGGTCCAAGGGTCCTTACGTGGACGAATGGTCTACGAGTTCCTGAATAGTAGCCACACAATCGACGGTGTCGAAAAGTAAAACCGAGCGCTAATGTTTTCTCTCGCGTGGAGGGACCCACGAGCTACCGTCCGTTCGGCGAATAATCTCCCCGGCTCGGCGACTATCCATTAATAAGTTCAGTAATCATGGTTGGGCACTTGATGATCAGAGCGGCTGTCTCTATTCTTATGTTCAAGGGCATGGATCAACTACTAGTTGAACACAGCAACTAACGGAAAGACACGGTTGTTCATGGAAGACTATCTGACTGCTTTCATTTAACTTGCTACCCAAATACCTCGGATATCGTACCTAGGCAGTAGGATAGTGATTTGACTTCAGTGCTGCATTAGCCTTGAAGAAACAATTCATAGAAAAACAGTTCTACTTACCTGGGTTCTATAAAGACTAGTGATTGTGCTTCTCAGCTTTACTGATTAACGGTCTTAATTTGTATCGGGAGAATAGAACTTGTAGTGGCACTGGAAACATTTTGAGCGTTTGAAATTCGTAGTAACCAGTCACTGGCTATTGAAACAAGGTCAGCAATGACAGAAAGATCAAAAGGCGTCTACTGGGTTCGATGTAGCCTTTCTGTCCTACAATGATGCAGATGGACCTGGCTTAGAGAGTGAACCTCAGCTAGTGTGACAAGGACTAACATTAAAACTGGGTCTATATTCTGATAGGTTCCTAGTCCCAGAAATGGGCACACTATCACTAGTTAAGGAACAAGATTACAACCCCAGAAGGTGTCATGTGAAACAGACATGTACTGTGTTTTCATCATGCATCATGAATTCCCCTTTTCCTGGAGCCGTCAGCTTGGCTAGAATGCACTTCCTGCATAGCTCAGGAGAAATTCATTACATGCCCCTTCTAAGCTGGCGCAGAGGGGTTATGGGTTCTTAAAGAATACATACAAGCGCCTGCTTAACAGTAAGAGAGGTGTAGAAAGCCCCTAGCTGGGACCTGCAGGTAAACATAATCACTATATTGTCTCACCAAAGTCAAATCACATGTGCTGAACCGCTGCTTTCTTGCTTCTGAATCGTACCCATTGTTTGATAGTTTCGAAGTCCCGACAAGTATGCGTGCGCTCCGTCTCCCCCAAGAGGATCAGATATCGCCTGCCTTCTCGCAGCTGAATGACGGGTTGCAGGGTAACAGGGGTCAGATCTGCCGAGCACATGATCGCCTGGCGCAGCTGATCGATACAATGATCTAGATAGTTCCGTTAGCCCTACCATATTCATACGAGACCACAAAATATCCAGAAACAACGTACCAATATGCATCTCCTCTATTTCACCGGGGAAGAATCCTGGTGACCCACGGATCCACCAGGCCTGATGCGTCTCCTTAAGATGTCCAGACAATGCAATGGATGCAGCACATCCACACCTCCATACACACCACCGTCTTGGGGGACAACGACGCTTTTTATCATATTATTGAGGGGCTCAAACTCGGACTGGGATGTTTCCCATAAGGTATGGACTCGAACGGGTCTTGAGAACGAGGCAGGAGTTCCGGGCCGGGGCAGCCACCCTAAACATCGAGTGCCCAACAGAGATTACCATGTCTCAACAATGTTAGCTTCGCACCTTGCGCTAGCTGGTGGCCCACAGTCAATACGTAGATACATACATAGATTCTCACATAATAGCCGCGTCCCATATGGACAACCTGAAAAGGAGCCCGTACCTGCAGCGATTTCTTGCTTCATGTATTCGATCGCATATTCCGAGTCCTAGATTCTTATGTACAGCGTCAATGGCTTCTAGGCGACCACAACCGGTAATCGCCGTCAATGTCCTAACACCAGGGTTGGCGTAGTTACAGTGCAAAGCCCAAGTGCGGTATAAGAATAGAAGGTGAACGCGCAAGAGAAAAGGCTGCCTTCGCGACGTCATGAAATCATGATACGGACCCGATAACGGACGAGGGGCAATAATATTATTACTATCAACTGATAGAGAAGAGAAATAACCAAGGTCACAGGACCACCATAGTCATCAGGCACCGAAAAAGAAATGAAAGAAAAGGATCAATTTGATAATTACTATCCGACCGGGCGCTTTCTCACAACCGCCAAAGTTTCGGGGTCCCCAGGTAGAAGACTCACATATCGCCCAGATTCTGCAAGCCGACAAGCTCAAAGTATGCCGACCGCTTCTGCATCAGCTCCGAATGGGTTCCACACTCGATGATGCGGCCTTGGTTGAAGACATAGATCATGTCTGCCTTTTGCACCGTACTGAGACGATGCGCCACGGCGATCGTCGTGTGGCCTTTAGCTGCGGTATCCAGGGCAGCTTGCACGAGCTTTTCAGACTCTGAATCGAGAGCCGAAGTGGCCTCATCCAGTAAAAGGATTCGGGGGTTGCGGAGCAATGCTCTCGCTATTGCAAGACGTTGCTTCTGGCCGCCTGACAGCATGCTGCCCTTACTACCAACGAGGGTATCGAAGCCATTTGACAGACTGATGATGAAATCGTAGATGTTGGCGTTCTTGCAGCATTGCACCATTTCATCTTCCGTAACGTTGTCTCGATCCGTTCCCAGCATAATATTTTCGCGAATGGTACCTTGGTAGAGCGTTGGCTCTTGGCTGACCAGTGCCAGATGGGAGCGGTACTTATTGATGTTGAATGATGAGATGTCTTTGCCGTCGACGTAGACACCGCCGAGGGCTGGATCGTAGAATCTCTCCAGGAGGGCAATTGCAGTGGACTTGCCACATCCACTAGCTCCGACGAACGCGACGTACTGCCCGGGTTTGACCTGCAGATTGAGACCTCGCAGAACGAGCTGATTTGGTCGCGTCGGGTACCTGAAGTACACGTCTCTGAACTCGACATGGCCTTCTATACTCTGGACCATCTCCCCATCATGGCTCCAGCTATCGATTTCCGGAGTCCGGTCGAAGAGAGCCTTGAGACTAGCAGCAGCGTATCTGGCTTTGGCAATATCAGGTGCAAAGCTGAAGACGGTTCCTGCAGACTGCGCCCCGAAAATGACTACGCTGAAACACAGGAAGAATTGGAACCTTAATAGAAGGGTTAGAACTAGTATGGTGTCTGCTTCGGGAATTGCCATCTACTCACATAGAATATTCGTGTCGGCCAAATAAGGTACCCCCATACCAAAAGCCGAGAGCCATGCAAAGAAATTGAAGTGATTGGGATGTCGCGTAAAGAATGGATGACTTGAGAATCGACCACACTAGCCGACGGCCTTGTGAGAGGAGCTGTTCATGATAGTGATTGCAAACGTCGCTCTCACGGGTCAAAGAAGCTACGGTTCGGATGGCTGAAGTGGCCTCGCAGGCATAGCTTGCAGAATGTTCAAAGGCTTTCTTCTTCTCCTTCTCGAGTCGGACCAGCATGGCCAAACGGAAGTACCCACAAGCGAGAAGTAGGGGGATAGTGGACATACACACTAAGCTAAGCTCCCACCCTACGGCCAAACCAATGACGCAGGAGGCAAGTAAGGTGGTGACCATCAATAAAATCGTCATCAGAGTAATTCCAGACAGCCCAGCCAGGTGGGAGGTCTCAGTGGATAGAAAAGAAGTAAGAGCACCAGAGGAACGTTTGTCGAAAAAGGCAATTTCTTGCCGGAGGATATATCGAAATGCTTGGTCGCGAACCCGATGGGTAAGTCGCTCTGCGCAGTAAGAGAACGCAGTACCCTGACAGATGATAACGAGCAGCTGTACAAAGGCGAGCATCAAATACATCAGTGACCAGAAGTTGGCTTGTCGCCGTATCTCAGAGTGTTCTGAAAGAGGAAGCGAAAGGGCTGTAATGCACTTGGCGAAGAAAACAGCTTGTGTTGGATTGCATCCACCCCAAATGGGCGAGAGTAAAAGGCCAAAGACCATATATTTCCATTCTTTTTTGTTCAAACCAGCGATAAACCGTATGAGCGTGAACAAGGTATAGTTGTCAGCAATGTCTTCTCCCTCCTTCGCAAGTACCGCTCTCGATGCGGCCCTGTCTGATCGTGTCTTGTCCACCTGAAGTGCATCAGGGTCTTCTCCCTGATCCTCTTTGTCTAAGCTGTAGCGACCTTCCTTGAAATCGGGTCGCCATAAACCGTAATCGATTCCAGGCAGTATGGGATCTTCATCCTGGTTTCTAGACTCTTGCTTCATCGCGATTCGCTGAGCCTCAGCCAAGTTGTAGTAAGCCCCTTTCTTCTGGAGAAGGTCATCGTGGGTGCCCTGTTCGACGATACGTCCGTGGGACATCACCACAATATTGTCCGCATTCTTGATAGTCGACAGTCGGTGAGCAATGATCAAAGTGGTTCGTCCCTGGGCAGCTTTGTCGAGTGCAGCTTGCACAACGCCCTCGCTCTTCGTGTCGAGTGCGGATGTTGCTTCATCAAGTAGCAGGATTTTAGGATCGCTGACCATGGCCCTAGCAATGGCAATGCGTTGTTTCTGACCCCCCGAGAGAAGGAACCCTCGTTCGCCAATGTCGGTGTCATAGCCCTCAGGAAGCGAGGTGATGAAGTCGTGGGCCTGAAAAGCAAAGAGTCAGAACATAGTATCGTATCGTATATGGCACGAGCAAAGAGGGTGTGTTTAATGCAGGGCAGCGTGGCATTTGCCTTACGTACGTTTGCCATCTGAGCAGCACGTTCGACCAGCTCACGAATTTCTTTGTCGGACTCATGCTCGTGCGCTGTTCCGATCAAACCGTGCCTGATATTCCCGAATATCGTAGTAGCGAATAAGGTCGGCTCTTGGCTCACCAGAGAAATTTGTTGTCGCAACCAGCGTAGATTCAGGTCTTTGATATCATGGCCGTCGATGTGTACGCATCCACCGACAGGATCGTAGAAACGCTCAACCAGCCCGATGATCGTGCTTTTCCCAGAGCCTGAAGCCCCAACAAGCGCAGTAGACTTGCCCGCGGGAATCAGTAAACTCACATCATCCATCACAACCACATCGGGGCGGGACGGGTATATGTGCCTGATATTCTTCAGTTCCACATTTCCTTGCAGTTTCTCTAGCTTCTGCCCCTCGGTCGATGTAGGGTCGAGAGGAGAGACACGGTCAATGGTTGCGTAGATCTTGTTGGCTGCAGCGACCGCTGAGGTGATGGCCTGAATATTCGGTGTAATATTCCCGAGGGCAAGAGCCCCCATCATGATGGCCATCTGAATAGTGAGGATTTGCGATAATCCAACGGACCCATCCACAAGGAAGCGGGAGCCCATCCAGAAAGACAGTCCGTAGTTGAGGTAGATGTACCTTGAAAAAAAAAAGCAAGTCAGAACACTCGGCTGTTTGAGGGAATTCAAAAACCGTCCATTGGATGGCGAGGTACTGTGACACTCGCTGTACTTACAGAAAGAGAAGAGCAAACATTGAGCTGGTGGTGGACTTGAGCTTGAACCCGGACTTCTCAGCTTCGACGAGATACCCATCGTATCGTTGAGCCAGCTTCTCTTGGGTATTGAAGGCAGCCGCATTTCGGATCGAGCTGATGGCCTCTTCCGCAATCGTCCCTCCTGCAGCAAAATGGGCGAGGTATTTCTTGCTGAGCTTGGCGACGAACGAACCCACGGCGCCCAATGTAACAACAATGGCAGCGACAGTGGAACACAGAATCAGCGTGAGCTTCCAGTATGTGACGAAACCAATCACGAACGCGGCCACAAAGGTGGCGACGGCTGTCAAGGTCAATGCCACTTTCTCTGAGATACCCTCCTGGACAAGATTGGTGTCTGCTGTGATCCTTGTGGTGATCTCACCCGCGCCGAGCTCGTCGAAAAAGGCAATATTCTGCCTCAGAATGGCGGCCAAGAACTGCTGTCTGATCTTTGCCGTGATGTGTTCACCAGCATACACGAAACCGACCGTGGCCAAGTACACCATCACAAACTCGCCGACCGCGAGGTAGAGGAAGAAGAGAGAGAATCTGGCAAGGTCGCCGGTGAATTGGCCTTCACCTATGTCGCCCAGTATGAAGCTGCGGAAGGTGCCTGCAAGACCTCCAAACAGGACGGTCATCAGAGGCATGAGTGCACCGCCGATGATTGCTGCGAGCGAGGCGATGACCAGGATGATCTTGTCATTTCGTGTCGCATAACGATACAGCGTCAGATAACCGACGGTGGTGGCGGGCAGATCCAACTGTCTCTTGAGGATGGCCTTCTCGTGCTCAGACAGATGCTTGAACGGATCACCATCTTCCTCCTTTCTGTCTGCATCTGCCGGTGCTGGGCCGACTGGGTTCAAGGGAGGGTTCGCGGGCGTGGCGTCTCGGCCTGCCTGGACAGGCGCGTGCTGGTCTCCAAGGTCGCGGCTCGGCATGGTGAGGCAGTCCAGCAATCATTGAAGGAGGCAGTGGCAGTCATCTATGTTGGTCAAGTCTGCCAGGAGTGGAGTCAGGGTGAAAGTGAGAGGATTCTTCGACTGTACAGCTGCCTTTTGAGAGGGGAGGATGAGCTGACGGTTCGCGTTTTCTTTGTTTGGAATCAGGGGGAGCGACAAGGATCTGGAATATACAGTAGCCTGTTAAAACTGTCGTATTGCTGTGGGTCACGACCCAGTCTTATAAACACAGGTCTACTGTGGTAGGGTGATTCTTCCCTCCAGGTAGCTAGTCTCGTCCAATCTCGCGTCTGATCGGCCGCTACGAACTTCTTTGTTTGATTTCTTCGACTTGCAAATCCGGAGCTCACCACATCAATGCGCGTCATCATGGTTGGCGGCAGCCTGGCGAGCCTCACGCTGGCAAGTGTATTAGGAAAAGCGATTGTTGTTTTTGTATTGCTAGAGGTCCGAGGTTCAAGGTCGATTTGACCCCAGACGGAGCATCGATTGGGCTGAACGACGCCGCAATGCGCATCCTGGATTGGCTAGGCGCAGCCAAGAAGATCATGAATCATACAGCACCACTTAGAGCATCTAGTGTTCATCGCAGCGAGGGTACACGAGTCATACTACTAGTGTTCACTTCCGCGACCTTGAAAGCCTGGTGGATGCTCCAGTCACAGGTTTTGATTGCGATCACGCGGTGGATAATGGCCAAAAATCGGATGAACGGAGATAGCACGCATGAGGACACGATGAAACACTGATAGGTTCTATACTTCAGGTAAAATCACAACGATGCCTCAGTCTCATATAGAATGAGGACAGAATGCTAGCAGATTCGGTGCAAAGGGTCTAACTGCTTTTACTTCTTCGTAGAGCATGCCCAGTGTGACTGTTTGAGTGCCAAAGGACTCGGAACTTTAGTTTCATTATGATCTCGTTCTTGAGTCTAAAAATATCTCCCGTTGTTAATACTTCCAGTTTATGTCGCGCGTGGTGCTGAGAACCCTGTAGGGCTTCAGCAGCGAGAGACCTGTCCAGACCTAAGTAGATACCGGTAATCAGCCAGATGAAGTCCCTACTTTGTTAGTTCTTGAGGCTTGTTTGATGTAGATTCCCAGTATGATTGCGGATACGAGTAGGGTGTGAGGACGGCTAATTAAGGCATATGAAATGTTCGGGAGCTATGATCTATATGCGATGGCTAAGATGGGATAGAGGAGTTATGGCCGTTGCCCCTAAGGCTAATCTAACCAGCTTCTTTGTTGCTTGTTTATGGAGTGGAGTGCATAGGCTGATGCTTATGGGGGCTTCATTTGCTATGGTTACTTCAAAAACGACCTCGTCACCTATCTACCCAGTATCAGCCGGCTCTTCCAAAACCATCGAGTCCACATCGCCACAGACGAAATCCTGGTCGATGTCGAAGGTTAGATGCAAATGATACAGCAAATGTACCAGGAGATAAGGTCCCTGTGATGTAGCGTTGCTCACCCATCACACAGCAACTTTCAGAGGGCTCAACTTCCAGGATATTACTAAGGTCTTCGATAGCGTGTATGGATACATTCTTAACATTATGGAAGTTGGTACACCCAGTTCTATCATCACCTTCCAACGAGGTTGTCTGGTCCTTCCACTTCAAAGTACCACTGACCAATCGTTCACAAAGCAATCTTATGAGTTGGGGATAATAAGACAACATTGTTTGCAGATACGCATTTCAACGAATCTCTGTCTCTTCGACGTCTATTTCTACAGTTTTCAAAATACCCTTCTGGCTTGTACGGCTGTCCGCGATGGAATTCGCATCTCTGCCATAATAAATGCCTGGGCCTTCGCGGGCGCCCATCCTATTATCTACCAGTCGCGAGCCACGACATTGCCATTCATGTAGTTCATCCAGCTCATTGAATTCCATTGGTGGTATGATCTCTCCGTGGCCATTCTTCCACCCCGACCCCCTGTTGGAACTCCACATTTGTCTTTGGGACAGACTGTGTCGGTTTGATCTGCTGGTGCTTTTCGCCTCGCTACCAATGGCTGTGGCGACCTTTCCCTTGACATGGCGGAAGAAGGATGGGACTGCAGGCAACGAGCTAGCAATGATACCGGCACTAATCTCGGCGGATCTGAGGAATACCATCGTTGTCAATAAACTCCATCTGTAGCTGGAAGGGAACGGAGAAACTTACGTCCAGAGAAATTCAGGGAACCAGTCGTATGTCCTATCAGACGTGTTGTTCTTTTGCACACTGATGCCAATGCGTATAGCGCTTGAAAAGCATGCGCTGGGTATTTTGTCAGCACTCTTGTCAATCCGAGGCTTCTCGAGCCACAGCGCATCATCTTGGTACTTACAAGAGACCAGCAGCGAAGATGGCAGATATACCCAATTTCTGAGTATTTTGCATATGCAGACGCCAGACAGAGAATATGGGTAGTATCAGTAGCGAGAAGTCTGAAATGGTATTCAGGATAGCGGTCGCCAAGATCATCGCATTCACATTGACACAATACCCATGTACATCAGGGTTCCAGATTTTCTCGCGAGGCACGCACGCAAAAATCTCGAGGAGCGTGTCCGCCAGGTAGAATGCGGCGTTGAACCAGAGAAGCCCGTGGATAAAGATGTACATCCAGCTTTTCTTGGTCGGAGCAAAAACCCGGATGTAAAGCAATAGGATGGACAGCTTGGTGACGAATATCAGGGGGCCGTACATGATCTGCGACGCGTTGGCGAGCTGCATTACAAGACTGATCAACATCTGCATAACAAGAGAAAGCTTCGAAGGTGGAATAGTCCTACCTTTGCATATTTCGCCAGGTCTTCTTTAGCAACCTCTGCTACATGGATACCACTACCGACTTTATCGGCTTCCAAAGCAATGGTAGCATATCCTATAAAGCAAACCTAGTCATGGAACCGTTAGCTCTATCTGCTTTCACCTCAATTGCTTTCCACCCCTTTCACATTTTCTGCTATATCAACACAGCTACGCAATTAGAACCACTCACCGAAGCAATGAGGCAAGTATCTGTCACAATTAAAGTTAGCCTGTGGTTTCCTGCTCCTAATATCTGGTACATACAGTCTTCCCAGCTTGCAGACCGCCTTAAGAAGAACTTCGTATAAATTCTCATACCCATGACTAGAGCACTTGCAGCAAGGCAGGTTGATTGACATACTATGTTCCATGGCCTCGGAGAATCCCGGTAGCTAAACGATGGGGCATCCTGCATGTCTGCCTAGCTTGTTCGCAGGATACTTGATGCAAATGGTTCTATAGCCTTGAAGTTCACTTTAACTATGTTGAGAACAAAAGAGATACAAAAGAAAATGTGTGCTAGGAATAGAAGCACATAACAAGGTTGACAAACGAACGAAAGGAAACTGTTTAGGGGCCAACATTCGTGCCATATTTTGCAAAGGTGATGCTACAGCCCTACTAGTACAGCAGAAATTTATTGACTAGGGATCGCAGGGTTGACATGATCCTGGAGTGGTAGACCGGGTCGATTTGGCCCGAATAAATTAAAAGAGAATTGCTAGGCTGTTAAGTTATTGACGTGTAGGCTATGACACCTGCATGTTGCGGCTGGGAACGGCTGCATCTACACCTTTCGCCAGACGACGGATATTATACTAATGAGTTAGGGCCCCAAGAAAAATACATGATTGGGTTCAAATTACTCCGACGCTAACCCACCATATAAAGGCTTGCGAGGTGGGTCGAGCCGAAGGATTGATAACCCTCGAACTCTTTCCACCTTAAGCTTCTCGGTGGCTAGCGAACCCTGCAAAAGGTTACATTTTGCCCCTGCTTGGTTAAAAGTCTAGTGTCGGCTACAAGGCCAGTTGTGGATCCTCCAAAATGGCACCATACTTACATTTCCGAAGAAAAACATCACAGGCGAGAAGGGTCTGTCGCCCTACGTATGGACTGTCCAGCCGTAATAGGAAGTCGTCTAGTAGGCAATGCAACCCTATTGGCAATTTATAGCATGGCACTGAATGTAACAATGTGCCTATAGCCCGGCTACACTGACCCTCGAGTCTTGCCAGGAGATATACTACTAAGGTAGGGCCATGTGTGGGTACATCGCTCTCAACGACCGGACCAATAATGCGCAATATAATTATAATACCCGAAGAGTATATCCTGACTTCGCCTATCAAAAACGAATTAATTTACTAGAGTTGAATTATCAGACATAATGCACAGGGGTTCGGCTTAGAGTCTCAGAGAGACGCGTCAACACGCCGATCGCTAACAACCTTCTCCCAGGCTTCCTCGAAATCCCGCTGCACATCGTGCCCATAACACCAGGCTTGTGTTTCTCGGTCGGTCATGCCGTAAGGGCTTTTCTCAAGCGGCATTCCTTCCACCGAAGGCCGCATGGCATTGTCTCTGGCTTCCTGCTCCGGGCCATCGCAAAGATGAAGAACTCTCCCGTTAGCAAGGCTTGCCTGCTGAACTTGTTTCGTCCGACAACTACGTAACTTTTCAACCAACTGGAGTACCAGTCGAAGATCACGCTTGTCAGTAACATATGTTAGAGCTTTGCTCAGTGTAGCTGCATCCTCGACGGCCATGGTGACACCTGGAATGAAACAGATGATCGAAGATTAGTCCCATGACGATACAGCATCAAAGAAAAGAAGCGTAGCATACCCATCGATAAGTATGGCACCATAGCATGGGCTGCATCGCCAATGAGAATAAACTTTCCAGAGTCAGAAACCCATTTATCGAGAGGCTCTACCTCAAAAAGGGGCCAATTATGAATTGACTTTTTCTTTTGTACAATCTTCATCAGCCTAGAGCCTATTGTGTTAGTCAATCAATGTTGCTTTTCGGGCATCGCATAGTCATACATCGGATCCCAATTATGAAAATACGACAACATCTCCTGGGTTAATTCTTCCTGGGACATGTTGGAAGTGTCACTCGCATCCGGGTGAGAAAGCACCAAGTTTAGGCGAGTTCCATTGGATATCATGTAGGTCATGGCGGAGCAGTTGTTTCCTAGCCTGAGAATTGTGAGCTCCGAACTAAAACGTTGTTTAGATGTTAAGTTGATCAGAACAATACCAGAGGTTGAGATTCGGATTAGAGACAATCCATGCTGTCTCTGGATCCGCCAGGAGATCTGAGACCTCGACCATAAGTCGATACGCAGCAACACCCGTCTTACGAGGGCCTCCTATTTCGGTTGTTCCTAGTAGCTTCGTCCTGGCAAACGAATTGATGCCTTTCCATCACTGTCAGTTACTACGTACATCTGTTTCATGGTAGACACGTACCATCAACTGCAACTATCAGATCGGGACGTACGATTTCGCCCGTTGCTAGTGTAATTGTTGGCGCATCCATGTCGTAATCCACAGCGCGACTGGAAGTTCTGACATCGACGCCCTGTTTCAGAGCGTGCTGATAAAGCACACTGTGCAGCTCAGCGCGGTGAATTACCAGATATGGCGCCCCGAACCTCTTCTCAAAATCTGGATTTAATTCAGTCCGAGCGATAAACTCTCCATCTTTCCATCGGCGCATGTTCAGTTCCCAGGGTAGAGAGGACTTTTGCCAGAGGTCCTCGTTGATGCCCCACTTGAGCCAGTAACGAACACCGTTCGGTGACATTTGTACACCAGCACCAATCTATGCACATTTAATCACTTTCTCGGGGATTGGGTTTTCATTCAGGCAAAACTTACCTCCGATAGCTCTGGCGTAGACTCATAAACTGTGACGTGATGTCCATCTCGAGCCAGGGCAATGGCCGCAGACAAGCCGCCAATGCCAGCTCCTACAATTGCAATATTTAGCTTGACAGCTGATCTGCTCTTGAAGACCGGCTGATTCATATTGTGGTATGGATTGCTCTCGTCCTTAAGATGATAAAACGTATTGAACCCGAAGAAAAAGATTGAACCTTCACAGTCTGGAAACCCCTTGATTCGTTGCCATTTTTATAAATTCGTGTTAAAGTTCAACCCCACCGTGATCTCGAACCCTTGTTGATCTTGACACGACCACTGCGCACTAACGTGATATCCATGCTCTACCCACTATTATTGTGACGTTGATTTAGTATTAATATAATCTCACGGACTGCGACCCGCAGTTACACTGGAAAGAACTAGACTTCGGCCGGAATGATTATAATAACATTGAGCAAGGGGGCCTTAGCCTTTGTAGCAGGAGAAAAAAACCGCACGTTGGGAATTTGTTGTTTATATTTGAATTTTCTGTTACAAATGCCGGCGTTATACCCGCTTGCTCGTTTATTCTTGTCTAGTATTTTGGTTTTTGTCCAATTGCAGCAGTTGTGAACTGCTCGCACGCATATCCTTGTTTCGCCCGCGGTGGATCGGGGCTTTTGGACAGCCTACCCTGCCATTCCGATTTTTTTTCTTAGACTTCTAGCGTCTTTCCGCTGTGTGACTGCCTCCTCCTAGGCTTCAATACTAAAGGACCTCACACACACGCGAGTTGCATGCAGCAAGATGGCGGTTTATAATATGAGTAAGTCAGGCTCATCTGTCCCTCGAGGATTTCTCTGCTCTGGCATCCCTCTTTAGCACCTAATCACCCAGCTAGCGCACTGACAGTGTCATAGAGTCCGAAGGTGATGTCACGGTCGATTCCAGCAGTACCAGCGAGGAGTTCGCCGACGGCGCTGTCTCGGGTATCAACGAAAAGTGGTTGATGTTCAAGATCGACGCCCATGTTTTGCCAATTCTGTGCGTCTTGTACTTTCTGGCCTTTCTAGATCGGTGCGTTCCATAACTGTAGCAAATTGGCTGCGTCTGCCTTCTTTCTGTTGCCCCTCTTTATACGTATACTTACGGTGCTCCGTATCAAACAGGATTAACATGGGCCATGCAGTTGTGTTTGGCCTTGAAGAAGATCTGGGAATGGATCCCAAATCTAACCAGTTCAACACGGCGCTGACAATCTTTTTTGTGCCATACGTGCTGCTGGAGGTCCCATCAAACATCGTCCTTAAGAAATTGCAACCCCACGTTTGGTGTATGTCCTTTCTGTGCGAATCCAGATCTATGCCACTATTCAATTGTGCGTAGGAATACGGCTAACACAAAACGGCAGTGGCAGGATGTATGTTTTGTTTCGGTATTCTGACAATTGGTCAAGGTTTTGGTGCGCTGTCCTGCCCCTGATTGATTTGACGGTAATGCATTTTTTAACACGTCACACTGAATAGTGAAAAGTTATGGTGGTCTTCTAGTGACACGCTTCTTCATAGGTGTGACAGAATCCGGAATGTTTCCTGGGTGTAAGTCGAATCTGAGTGGAAAACCGAGAGGGTGACCTAACCAGCGTCCAGGCTACTATCTGATTGGAATGTGGTACAGGCGTCCAGATGCCCTCCGCCGATATACATACTTTTTCAACTCAACAACACTTGCGGGCGCACTTGGAGGGCTGATAGCGTATGGCACAGGATACATGCAGGGCACGAGAGGTTATGGAGCCTGGCGTTGGCTTTTCATAATCGAAGGAGCCGTAACATGCTTTGTTGCCGTTCTTGCTTGGTACCTCATCTCGGATTTTCCCGAGCAAGCCAGATGGCTGACCGAGGCCGAGCGGCGATGGATGAAGAAGAGAATGGAGGTTGAACATGGGAACGAGTCGGCAGAGGATCCCATACGTTTCACTGACGTGGTCGAGGTCCTCAAGGACTACAGAATCATCTTGGGTGCACTCATATATTTTTCTTTTCTAGTGCCATCATATGTATGTGACCCTTCCGCTGAGTTTCCTAAGAGACCTTTCTCACCATCATCTAGTGTTACGCATACTTTTCACCGACAATCATCAAATCTTACGGCTACAGCACTCTTCAGACGCAATTGCATTCCGTGCCTCCATTAGCGATGGCCTTTTTCCTTTCTCTCGGGATTGCATTTGCCTCCGATAGACTATGCCACCGCTATCTATTCGTTGTCTTTAATCTGCTAGTTGCAATCGCCGGGATAGCAATCCTGCTAACAGTCCACGATAAGCCTCGAGTCCAGTACGCCGCACTGTTTCTGGTGGTCTTCGGCCCGTACTGCGGAATGCCCGTCGCTATCTGCTGGTTCACAATGAATGTAGGGGGCCACCGGCGGCGAGCGATTGGTACAGCGCTCCAGCTCGGGTTCGGTGAGATCGCGGGCATAGTGTCGACGTTCCTGTTCCAGGCCAAGGACGCGCCATACTACCATACTGGGTACAGTGTAGCCATTTCCTTCTTCACTCTGGCCGCCTTCTGGTGCACTTGCTATTTTTTCGCGTGTTGTATGGAGAACCGCAGACGAGATCTACAGATGGCGGATGCGGGCAATACGTCCGACGCTACAACGGCAGGGAACGGCGACTTGGATGTGTCATACCGATACATGCTGTAGGTCTACGCAGTGTGAGGGCGGGGATGGTGCAGAAACGAGATATGGTCTTGGAAGAACGCTCTCTCGATTTCCAGTGAAAAAAGATCTAGATGAATAAAGACAACTAACTGTATAATGCTTTGCGCTTTCTATCTTCGGGTTTGACTTGGTTGCAATAATTGGTAAATTTTGCTCTGGCGCACATGTGCCCAGAAGATAAACAAGTGCTATATATGGGCCCTGGAACCAATTTCAAATGTGAGGACTGAAGACAGAGTACCAGTCACCAGTAAACATGGTTTCATACGAAGATATCTGAAGCAAAAATTACAGGCTGTACCCCGCTGATTCTTTCCTACAGTCTACGTTATTATCCGGACAAATGAACCATGATATTTATTAACCCGAGTTGTACATGATCCAAGCACATACGTCTATAAGATGTGGCAAATAGGGCTAGCACTTAGTACTTCAACCACAATTGTAGACTCACGCGGGTCTACCAAGAGTTTTCATGGTGGTTATTATCAATAGGTATATAGGGTGCATAGAAGAGCATCCCGCCAACCCCCTCTGCATATTGGTATCCTCTTGCACAAGCCAGTTGCTCACACTTGATAAGAAAAATGTATCTACCCATTGAGAGGGCGATAGTCTAATCGCACCCAAGGTTGATATCGCGATTACCTGAATGATTGGCACAATAAATCCCTTGAACCCCATTTGCACTGTTCCAAGTATAGACCTGTCGAGCACCAAAAGAAATAACACAGCAGTAACATATTAGCTAACTGACAAGGAATGGGAAGAGACAAAGCAACGCGGATGGACAGGATATAAGCAATAACTTACCCAAGGTTAGTCGGATGAATGCTTGAGCATCATCCATACCCCATTTTTCACCGTGTATATTCTCAGAAAGGACGAAGAATTTTAGAAGGCCTCCTTCTACTGTGCTATATGCCAGTGCATGGAGGCTTCGAGCTGCTGATGCTAATTCTAACCGTGGCTGCTTGCGCAACCATGTACTGTGCAATTTCCATTCTCCCGACAGGGTCTGGCCGCAGATAATAATATGATCTCCTTTCGTAATGGCGAACGGATCGGAAAGCACAATTTCGGCTTCTCTGTTTTCTTGCGTGCAGTAGCTACGTGGTTTCGCCATGTGCGTCATCCAGTTGTCCCATCTATTTCTCCACAGCACTAGAGGCAGGCATGTCAGCGACAATGAGATTAAGAATATCGTCAATAAAAGAAGATCAACCTTGTTGTTCAGAGTCCGACCTGTAGATAGGGCGTTGGCGTATTCCGTCAACTTGACGGCGTGTGTTACAGCTGGTTGGTTTGACTCCAGTGTACTCCTGTTCAAGTATCCATTCTGAATCGTGGCACCAAAAGGTAACTTCGTACCAAGCTGCGGTCAATGCTTCACGCATCTTTGACCTCATTCCTAAATGAACCTGGTCAGTGACGTCCCGTTTCGGATACTGGGCCAGTGACCTTCAATTTGATCAATGATTTGATTAGGTTGGTCACGACCATACAAAATCCAGAACAGATTCATTCTAGAGTGATCTAAAGGTGACAATTGAACCGCCGGATTAACAAGTATAAGGTGTTGTCGAAGACGTTGCAGGACAGGTCCCATGTGATCCAACTATTCATCCGTCAGTCATTTTTCCTTACATGCGGTGATTTTCAAACAGACCATCATGACGATATTAAGCCATGCTGTTTCCATCACTTTCACCCTCACCCTGCTACATCCACATCGGAATTTAACGCCCCTTCTGTTACGGTCCCAGCCAATGGCATGTCCGTAATTGTCGTTTGGATTGTTGTTGCCCTCGTATAGCCCTGTCTCTTGATTCACATGTGTATGCTCATCCCGCATGATGGTAGGTTGAAACGTTCCGAATTCAGTTTCCCACTCGTGATCCTCACCGTCACGACTATAGAGCACCTTCAACGTATCGTTTTTGTATGCAATGTGTTTATCCATCGCGGTAGAATCATCAAGTGGCGGTAGGCTACCAGGTGCGACAGGATCGGCCAGCGATTCAGCATTGCAGGATTGAAAGCACAGTGCAAAGACAATCAATATCTCCCAGACAAACCATGTCTGCAAGAAGCTGATGCACCTCATGATTGAAAACACTTCTGGGTGACAAATGGAAAGTAAAGAGTGTTGGTGTCGATAGATATTTTCATGGACGTTAGAGCTGAAGTATCCAGGTATAAGTACTCGTCAAAAAAGTACCACCCAGAAACAGTATGATGACTACTTTAGAGGGCTTGAGAGCTCAGACTAAACCATAAATGAGCAAAGCCTGTCGTCAAACCATTAAGAATGCCACCGCTAGAAGCCTAGAACGCCCAACGGATTAGTTGCCCCGTTCTGAGGGTTACAGAAAAATTGCCCAAATGAAGTATCTCAATTCACATATAGGCTTCCTCTTTGAGCCGAGTCTAATGCCATATATCTTTAGAAGATATAGAGACCCAAGACACCGAACCAACGGGCTGCGGTGGTGTTGATGACGCGGTTATAGTAACGCAACTGATGTGTCAAGGCTGGGGGCTTTGACAATATCTGAAATCTGGCCCATGATGGGCGTTATGTGAAACGCAATACCGTACACCGCAAGAATGCTGGGGTGACAAAAGGCCTTCGTTTGAGCTATATTCCTACCAGTGTCCTGGTAATGGCTATTATATCAGACCCTCAGAGTTTATATCCGCTCGCAGGGCAACTGCCTGGCATCCGGGTATTCTTTGTTAAACCTGCTAAGTAGCGGACTAGATAGCCCAGGATCACCGCGTGCGTTACACTATTAAGACTATGTATTAACCATAGGATCTACATATAATAATATCTTGGTCCCGGAAAGGGTCTTAGACGTGTTAAGCTTCCAACCGTTGCACAGCGGGTCCATCGGCGTTATTTATGTAACATTCTGCAGCTACATGGAAACTTTGAAGCATTGCAGTGACATATGCTAGGATCCGTTTACGCCAGGCTAGTACCCACTTGCAGGGGTCATGCTGTCCCAGGGGAAATGCTGCATACATTACGCGGCGTCTATATGCTTTTTAGATCGACAAGCAACCGACTTCTCAGAAGTATATGCTTATAACCCTAGAGTATAAATAACATGAAACCTTATATACTGGAATTCAGTTGGATATAGAATTATAAATATAATTACAGTTTTAGATATCTACTATCGCTATGCAAAGATACTGGCTTTAGGTAAAAGAACATATGGAAATGTATATGTATGTGGAAGAAAACTCGATTGGTGATATTGTGTTTTACTCGTGAATAATCAGAACGGAAAAAGGGGGAAAGCTTAAGTCCATCATCAATCATGTGTGTTCTCAGTTCCCTGCTCAAACAAAAGGTAAAATAATACACGAAGGGTAGTCGGGGCCAAGATGAAGGGTGTGAGTCCCATGCGATGCAAGCTCTTGGAACTCGTTGTCTTCCTTGAACTCACCGCGCAACAGCGGGCTATTCCCATGTACCTGCACCTGTATACTTTCGCCAGCCTCGTACTCCACACCCATAGCCCATATGCCGATCTCCAACTTTACTATATCACCCGGTGTGATATATTCATCACGGTCATGTGGATGGAAGGGGTAATTCTCGAGCAAGGACCGGGAACTGTCAATGGCTCGGCGCGACGCACGAAGGATACCTAATGATCCAACATGGAACATCAGATTGTTCTTATTTCGAGCGGGTATGTCATCGATGTTATCTTGACTGACCCCGTGGTGTGCAATCGATGACCAGGGAATGTTGAGATTCAGCAGAGCTTTCCCATTGGCATCCAACTTGCGCACAAGCACATACACGTCCATATCATGGAAGTCGGGGCATGACATGTACACGACTGCTTTTGGAACACCTGCTAACCGTGTCCGGGTATCGAATGTGTGCGTGAAGCTGGCGCAGTCCAAGTACTTTTCCGAATTATAAGAGACTGATGCTTCTGCCTCCGGTATATCGACGCTCAGACGCCCACCAGGGTGGAAATACATTTTCCGGTAGTCGGTGCGTGGGATGGGGTAATCCTCTTCGGCAATATTATACAGTGGCTCTTGGTTAAATCGTAGGATGGTGGTCCGGACCTTTGGAGTCTTCTCCCAGTCGTTGTCAACGCCATTTAGGTAACGATCGAAGAACCTTGCAAGGTCATCGGCGGAGTCCTTGCAATTCCAAATGTCGTACCATTCCTGCCATGGACACAGACGAAGCCATTTGTGTGAAGATTTCACCTGCAACCAGCCCCGCAATGAACCCATGGTATGTACAAAGCTTGTGTAGGACGCGGTGATATAGGTGGGAATGTTAATCTTGGCAATGTCCGGTCGTTTGTCTTTCCAATACAAGGCGTCGGCTTTGGGGTAGCGCCGATACATTTCGTGGAAGTCCTCCACCCCACCGTGTCCCTGAATATTAGTGTCGATAATAAAGTCGAATAACCCGGCGTCAAACACTCCGCCTCTGACAAACTGTTCACGGTACAAGTCGCCACAAGCCTCCCAGGGAGCAATTGCCTTCAGAGAAGGCGGCTGCAATGCGGCGATGAACCACTGAACAATGGCCAAATGAGAGTTACCAGCCAAGCCGACACTCCCGTTGCACCACGGCATCTTGGCCACGGCCTCGATTACATCGTATCCATCCTCAGCCTCCTGCGTACCCATAATCCCCACCGTGCCTTCAGAGTCACCGGATCCGCGAGCATCGACATTGATGATGGCGAATCCACGAGGAACAAAATCAGCAGGGTCCGGGCCCTCAAATTTCTCCAGACCACTGAGTACCCCACTGGGTATCCCGAGGCCCCACGGTAGGAACTTTAGCATGGAAATACCATTGAACTTCTTGCCAAATGGACTCCAGGCTAGGATGGCGGGCACGGGTTTTGTAGTGTTGGCAGGACGGTAGATGTCGCAGTATAAAGTGCTCCCATCACGAACCTTGACTCCTACGTCATGAGATGCATGGATGTCACAGGGTAGTGGCCTGGAGCCATTCTGACTCCAACCCGCAGGAAGCACTTCCTCACGAAATCCGAAGGGTTGGTAATTATTTCGGCCCACGGAGGGCTTGTCAATTGGTCGAGTGGCGACAGGGACTGGTGACGGCATTGTTGGAGAGATTATGTATGCTGGATGCTGACTCCTGTTGTCTCTTGGCCAACGTCCTCCCCTACATCTTTAAGTCATGAATCTTACCAGTACTGTGGGGAGCTTCGGCAGGGATATTGCCTTCATGATTCCCGTTATGGGGAAGTTTTGAGGCTAAAGAGGGCATTCGGGCGAGTTCGGCCGAGATCGGCTCAGCTGGAGAGAAACACTCGGTAGATGCCAACTCACTGCCGATATAGACAGGAAACGCTGGAGAAATCACAAGATTCACTCTCTTAAGTTCTGGAAGAGTTCGGCCGTGCTATTATCTCGTTGGTAAAGATCTCGGATGTGGAACGTTCCCTTTATAGCCGAGAAAGAATCGTCACAGGTTTAAGTCTGTACATACGGTCCACATCCCCAGAGTTTGGGTAGAATATCCGTTTATTTCAGGAATATCATTATTGCTACTCTTCTATTCGATAACTTCTCCATATACACGACAGTATTAGTGAATTATGGCGCCTTCTCGCGTTGATACACTCGAGCCTTTGAGCACATCCAACCCTCTGAAGACTCAGCAAAGCGCAAAGCAAGAAACTCATTACGGTGACTTTCGTGATGACTTCTTCAAGAATGGCTATACAGTGATCAAGGGCGTTCTGAGCAAGGAGCGCGCGCGTGAATACCAGAGCGAGGCACTCGACTGGCTGGAGTCATTTAATATCGGATTCGACCGCCATGACAGAAGCACTTGGAAGAAGGAAAACCTGCCTCAGAGCTTCAAAGGTGGAATGTATCTTCACTTTTCTGCGGCACACGAGAAGTACATGTGGGATGTTAGAACGTAAGTTTGCTCAATAGACACAGGCCAAAGAGTCGGATGACTGACACTTTGCGTCCAGCGAACCCGGCGTTATTGAGCCATTTGCGAAGCTCTGGGGAACCGATGAGCTGGTTGTCTCCTTCGATACCGTCAACATCACACTCCCTCAATCCATCGTGGGTGAATATGATTCCAAGCCTTGGCCTCACTGTGACCAGGCTCCAGAGCGCAAGGGATTAGCTTGTGTTCAAGGCATTGTCAATTTGTCCGAATCTGGACCAAATGACGGTGGCCTCGTCGTCATGAAGGGATCCGCCCCGCTCTTCGATAAGTTCTTTGAAGAGAACCCAGTGACGGGCCCCATGCCATGGCGAACTGCTAAGCACAAGGACTTCCATCCATTTTCTGACAAAGATCTGGACTGGTACCGCGAACACGGCTGTGAATTGATCAAAGTCTGCGCTGAACCGGGTGATTTAATTTTGTGGGACTCACGTCAGATGCACTGGGCGCAGTTTGGAGATTCTGACCTTATTCGCACCATTGTCTACGCAACATATACACCGGCAGCCTGGATGTCGGATGAAGACCGCGCAGCAAAGAAGGAGCTATTCGAGAATTATGAAACTACCACCCATTGGCCACATACCAACCTCTACACTCATGGCAAGGCAACAGTCAAGGTGGATGGAGAGGAAGTACCGGACCCCTTGGAAAGGGATGAGCCTCTGACCAAACCAGTGAGGACTGAGAGGTTGTTGCAGCTAGCTGGTGTTGTTCCCTACTAAGTTGGGAAGCGTTGGAAGTGTTGGACCTGTTGAAAGATATCAGATAGGAGATTGTACTGTATATTCAGTTATTACGTATTCAATTCAGCAGTTTTCCATGATATGATCTTTGTTGGAATGCTCTATCAAATGCACAGGGTATAATAGGTCTTAGTACGCAAACCGCTTAAGCTTAGGATGATATGATTGTAGGATTTACTTTCCAAAAAACTCGAACTCAACATGCTAGATTAAGAAAAATTAGACGTTCTGGTACCATACTTTCATAAATAATGTTTGAAGATTACTGGTGGGCAAAAGCGACACAGTTGCGCATTAGTGGCCACAAAGCCTTCAGTTATTACCTTCGGACGACCACTTACCGTTACCAAGCTGTGTCAAGTGGTAAAAAAGATAAGACTACTGTTTTAATTATTGAGGCATGTCGCCCTCACAGGCTAACGTGCGCCTAGCGGGTACGGAGGGGCAAAACTCGGTCGAGCTCGGGTGAGTCTTAAGTATGGCTAGCCCTTGCTGTCAACGTTAACCAGCCGTGGACGGGACACGGACCTGCCTCGGCTCCACATTCGCTGTCCCGGTAGTTTCTGGCGACCTTAAGGGCTGCTGGTTGGTTTCTCCGCGATCGGCTACCGACCGGTACTTGGGTTCCCCACGGGGACCCCGTGCACGCAGAGCGGCGCTATAGAGGTGCCGTAAAAAGGTGTCTCCCAATACGCGCGAGGATATTTCCAATGGGACATCTACAATCCCTATATTAACGGTGCAATCACCCGATATCTTCTTCAGAGGTTATAGAGTAGGTCGACATAACATATCAAAAATGGCGAAGGAGGTCGACGCCGCGCATCATGAATTTGCTATTACAAAAGACTCGGCGCAGAATGTCCCAACAGGAACGGTGAAGCTAGTCGAAGATGGAGAAATTGTCTTAATTCCAACTCCTTCCCCTGATCCCAGAGGTAGGACGCACACCCAACTGCAATCGCCTACCCTTTCTTCAACCATTGTTGCTGACAATAATGAGATCCTCTCAACCTACCCCAATGGCAGAAATGGGTGATAAGCAGCACTTTAGGAGTTTGTAAGTTTTGATCTTGTTTTTCCTCTCCTTCATACAACTCTGAGAGAAATTGCTGTGAGATAAGAGAAATATTGACGGCACGATTGTTGCCTAGTTGCTGTGTTGAGTGTCCTCATGACCTCTGGGATGGGTCCCATCATCACTACCATCTCGGCCTATTACGACGGTAATCCCAGAACGAACGATCTAATGACATATCCAACGTTGTTCATGGGACTTGGAAACGTAATCGCTGTACCACTCGCCGAGGCTGTGGGACGTCGCCCAGTATTCCTAACCTCTGCTTTAATAGTGACAGTCGGGTCAATCTGGTGCGCTGCGAGTGATAGTCTGGCCTCGCATATTGCTGGACGGGATGTGCTATCTTTAGCCGCTGGGCAGTCGGAGGCATTGTGTCCTCTCATCATTCAGGTACTCCTCCCATATCTGGATTCAATATACACAGAGCAGAGACTGACATTCGGCTGCACCCACGACATTGTAGGAAATTCACTTTGTTCACGAGCGCAGTAGCAGATTAGCATGGTTCAGCGCTATCCAATCTATAGGTAGCGCTGCCTTGACCATTGCTACAGCCTACCTTGTTCAGAGCCTAGGGTGGAGGTGGTGGTACGGCATATTCGCTATCATTAGCGGCGTTCTGTTTCTGGTCTCCTTTGCACTGGTCCCAGAATCTTTGTATGAACGGCCTACCGACGCTTTCGATGGTCAAGTCCATATTCAGCATGAAGGCGAAGACCTGGCCATTGTTCGCGCAACTACAAAGCGCAGAGTCGAGTTAGACTTCACACGGTATCAACCGCGTACATGGCGGCACAGCCTGAAGATCTTCCACGGTCCCGCAAAGTGGTCGGTAGCGATAGAATGCTGGAAGCACATGCTGCAGTGTATCTTGTTCCCCAACATCCTGTGGGTCGTCTTGATGAACAGTGTCGTGCTCGGGATCTATGTGATCATGGTCACTGTGTTCGGAAGCATTCTTACGGCCCCGCCATACAACTATCCCGCCACAGCTTTAGGCCTTGTCCAAGGAGGCCAGATAGTCGTCTCAATGATCCTAGTCCCTGTTCTCGGATACGGTGGAGACAAGTTCCACGAATGGATAGCAAGACGCCGCAACGGCGTGGCCGAACCCGAGTTCCGCCTGATTCCCATATTACTGCCTGTCATTGTGGCACTCATCTCATGTGTCATCTTTGGTCATGCTGGCTCCGACCCCTATCACTGGTCGCCGTGGGCTATCACAGTCGGTTTCAATGGGATTTACTTCGGATTTATTGGTATCATTCTGATCGGATACACATACTCGCTTGATAGTTATGGAGAGCGAGCAGGGCCTATTCTGGTGCTGATCTGCGCAATCCGTGGCTTGATCTCCTTTGGAATTTCTTTTGGCGTCACTGAGTTTGTCACAGAGGTGGGTTATAAGCAGGCGTTGAATATCTGTGCTATCATCATGGGAGTTGTCTCAGCTTTTGGCTTCGCTGTTTTCATCTTCGGTTCGAAGATTCGGTTCCTTACGATGAAGTATGCTGTTGACAAGAAGACGGCTGAAATATAATACGTCCGGAATATGCTTCTTCATTGCTCTGCACCCGCTAGATAGCTCGAATGTTTCCTTTTTAGTACAAAGTCTAATACAGAATTTTCTTCTTAACTAAAGTTGTATGATTACGGGTTGTTCATTCTTGGACCATACATTCAAACATATTAAGTTCTCTATTCTTCGTTCATGATCGATACCAGAAGTAGAGAGGAAAATATAGATTAGCACCTTCATATCATATGCTCCGAATGTTGTATTTTCCATCTTTAGATGACGTGAATAGTTCATAAGTAGAGATTCTGGTGCGGTACATAATTAACATAACCATTAGACCGCTTAGGATTCTTTCATGAAGTCATCAAGAGGAACTGAATCAAGCCATGGCATCGACATATCAATGAGTTCCAAAGAGGATGACAAATCGCCGAAGTGAGGTAGTATTTCGCTCCACCCAGCACCTGTTGTAAAGTCCCATTCAAAAGGTACTTCTGACTGTATTGTAGAATCCCCGGATAGTGTACTATCAACCCCGTGGCTACTGCTCGGAGATGACGGCGACGTGTTTCCTGGGTTGTCAAAACCTGGCTCGGGAAACAAATACCCTAAGGTCGCATCGGCATCTGGAAGGGAGGCCCACAAACGAGGCGACGCTGTTAACCTCACAATTTTCGAGAGTACGAGTCGGTTGATTTCTTGCGATGGATCTATGATATCGTATAGATGGGACAGCCGCCGAAGGACGAGTAATGCGCCGTGCCGCGTCTCTGTGAATGACTGCTCGAGCAGACTGATGCTTAGTCTAACTAGCTCCCTTTGTTCGCTCAATTCGGGAGGCGATCGATACTTCCGCAGGCATATCAGATCTATAATAGTATAGATTCCTGCGGTTATTATGGACGCCGTCACTGCCCAGAACTTGTGGAAATGAAGGCATGGTGCGTGTTGCCTCCGCTGAAGAAGTCGTTTTGCAGCTAATATCCCATGCTGGAGGACATCCCTCCCCTCTTCGTTGGGGGTTTCCAGGATGTGAGGCAATATGGCAACACAGAGATGAATTCGCCAGCTATCTAGACAGTTGTGGAGCAAGTATCTTTGCACTGTGGTCCAGTTGGGTTCATGCCCTACCACCTCCATTGTGGCCTCCAGGCCTAAAAATGTGAGGTGGGGTGGGAAGGATAATGAGACGCGATCTAATTCTCCAAGAGTATCTTGTAGCACTTTTATATCCCAGCTTTTGATGGATCCGGCGTGGTTCTGTATAGTAATGGCCAATTGAGCTATTGCTCTATGATATTCGAAGACAGAGGGACGGCTCGTCCCTTCATTAAAGCTATGTGGTGAGTCTGGGGTAAAGGTTCCATCAATAAAGGTACTTTGGCCTTCTTCTACTTCCAATACTGTTGTGAAAGACTCTGGGTGGATCGTTGTCGGACGTGACCACACAGCTATCCTACGTCGTGTTAGCGTTTTTTAGCCTCTCTGGCCAGGCATATAGGCTTACCAGTCACAAACCACAAGTGTCCACCACAGCCTTCGAAGCACATTCTGCTGACTTGAGTTGGACTCTAGGTTGTCCATGTGTGTGCTCGCTGTTCCACGGTCATGCCCAAGACGATCGAGCCCAATGAGTCGAGCAACATTCACCGCCGTACCATGAAGTATATATTCCTGGTCTGATTCCCCGAGATTCTTATGAATCACATTCAGAATTGCCAAGGCCTGGACGGTTCGCAAGCTTGGCTTACCCGTGTAGTTGGCATAGTTCAACTCTTTCAAGGCAGCAGCTCGCCAACTACGTGACAACTCTATAGATCCCCTGCCCAATGAAGACCGCACAGAATGATCCCGGGCTGAGAAGCTTTCATAAACCAACTGGAGATTATGTATCTTCTCTTCACTAATAAAGTATACGCCAACCTGGAAGCTGGTCAGATCGCTGAAGCTAAGATTGGCAGAAAGACTTACGGCTAAGACACTTAGATACACCGCGATCCAGGCATGGTTCCTGAGACTATTCCCTTCGTTTGCGATCAAACTATCCCAGAAAGCTTCATGTTCTCGTATGAAAACTGATGCATCCAAGGCACAATGAACCCACCCTAGCTCTCTTAGAGAGAACTTGACGATTACTTCGCTCCAGTGGCGGGCGGGCAGACAAAGCATTACATGATCGTCCCACGGGCGAGTACTATCAGCATGGCTTTGGCCTGGCTCGACTGACAGCTGAAATGGCAAGCGCTGAAACTCGCTTAAGATACTCTCTGGGGACTGAAAGTCCTCTACGGCTGCTGTACGTCGGGGGATATTTGCCTCCACTTTTAGCATTTCCGGTCGGGAGAGAACGGCCTCCAGCTGCTTTATTCGCATTTTAAGGCTTATGTTCTCCTCTAGGAGCCTCGACGTGGTGCCAGAGGTACTATCGTCTGACACATCTTCGTCCACTGCACTGTCGTAAGAGATTAGACCCGTTAAACCAAAATGTATACTCTTCTTTGACCAAGAGTCGAGAATATTGCATTGGGGGATCTCACACCGTGACTTTCCCGGCAACCTTAACGACCTCTCGCATACAGGCAGCCGACTCCCCTCGTTCAATGCATTTATCACAAGGTATTCTCTTCGAGCATTTCACTTTCCTACGGGTGCATTGTATACATGACCGAGGGACCCTCTGAGTCTGTCGCATTTGTGGTCGCATGGTTCCGACACGATAAGTACTGTTTAACAGACAGTCTCAGGCTCCTGTCTAGAGAGCATCAGATCTGATTCTGGGGTAACAGTCCTCGTTGATTAACGATTCATATCTTGCCTCTTCACTAAGCGAAGTCTCGGTTGAGTTCGGGTGAGTTTGGTCAGCTGACCGCAGTCCGGCCAATCATAATTGAGCTTTCTAATCCCATCTTTGGATAACTGGATGGCAACTAAAGAGACACAAGAGGATTAAAGCTCATGCATCAAGCTTTTATATCCACATTACACTAATACTGAAAAGATTTGGCAGGGCCTGGCTTTTTTTTTTTTTAAATCCAAACAGCGTTAAAATTATTAGGGACAGCTCACCACCCATTTAGGGCTAATTCGTAATGCCTCAGGCTCCAAGGCTGGGAAAGAAACTGTTACTAGTTGAACCCCTCATTCCATACAGCCTCAATAATTATATATCTTTAGTTAATTATATGCAAACTTTCTCTTATATGTCCATATATACTTGCTTTGCGACTGTAATTACGAATGACGATGCTGCATGCCGCTATCTAATGAATCTAACCCGCATGTCGGCAACACACAGTAAACAATAAGTCTAAAACATCATAGCCAGTGCTAGAACGAAGGGAAATATGGCAGCAGTGTAACCAGGCAGTTCCCTGGGAGCCAGACTGGTCTTGATCATGAGCTGTGGCTCATAATTCTCGGGCTCCGTACTGTTTATAGTTCCATCCCAGCAGTAGTTCTTGAAACACTGAGAGCAGACATCAGGCAAGGTAGTACCGGTGCGTTCAGCAGAGCGCGAAAGAATAGCACACCCCACACATGATGGCCAGCTGGCATCCTCCGTGCCATTCCCACGGGTGGCAACATTATAACCGTTCGTGATCATGGCATCACGGTCCTCGTAGCTGTAGGATAGGTCGAAAGTGGACGTATTAGAAAGAAATGTATAAGGAGCGTTTGGAAGGTAGACAATCAGCGGTGCTGGCCCAGTCAGGTTCTTGCTATCGCATCCGAAAAAGGTCGGACGTTTGTTCAGTCCCAGGTTGATGAAGGTATTGGGGTCAGGGACTGCAGGGAACACGGTTCCGTTGCTGACAATCGAGCTCAGACTCCTTTCGTAGGTGCGCACTAAGGACTTGCCGGAAGGCCAGCTGTGGATATTAGCTGTGGAGTCCACGGCGAAGATGACATCGACATGGCGCTCTGGCTGGATCAACGGATGTAGTGGGACGTTTTGTCCGTCTTCACCTCCATCTACGACACTCAAGTGGGACCGGTTAGCGATAGCCGGCGTAGCACCAGTATACTCATAGAATGGGTTGGGGTAATTGGCAATATCGTTGTTGTCCTGGCCCAGATCTTCGAGAATACTTGCGATAGCCGACTTGAAAATCTTAGGAATCTTTGTGCCATTCAATCGTAGCAGCCCTTGATTGAAGAGAGAAGACGAGGTACCCATGACATAGCCAGCATTGTCGAAGCCCCGAACACACGAGCCGTTGCTAGATATCTGGCCACCTTTGAAGTCAGAACCCAGATATTCTAATGGTGCAAAGCTATAGATAGCAGGATCAAAGGTGCCAAATTCCCAAGGATTGAACTCGTACACAGTAGAATTACTACCGATAACTAATTCACCGGGGTTCCGTCCATCCGCGACCAGAATGGGCAGGGGGGTTTGACCTCGTTGGAAATTCTCCATCAAAGCAATTGATGACCAAGTATAGTCGGGACCCCCGCTGCTGGCATTGATAAACTGGTAGGAGAGTGCGCGGCCCCAGTAATCGGTAAGGGATGTGTTAAAGCCCGCCTCTTTCTTAGTTTTTACTGTGTCGACTAATTCACTCCAATAATCGACGGTGTTGAGGAACTGGAAGTGCTTCACGTTCGGACCCTCAAGAATGTTGTTTGTTAGATCCCAAGTATTCTCACTCGTCTGAAGATCGCTGATGGTGGTGAAATTGTTGATAAAGACAGATCCTACCAGCCATCCACCGCCGCTTAGCGCTGAAAGGTAAGTGGCAGACTGCAAGAGGCCTCCCAGCTGACCAGAAGCGGTCGAATTGGTGGTTCGACTGTCAAAGGCCTTGAGAGCCCCAGCACCGTTTAGCATGGCGCGATATCCACCACCGGACACGGCAATCCCAATGTTGGGTAGATTGGACATGTTCGTAGACACTCGGTCAATATAAGCCGATGCATCGAAGTTTGTCAGGTTCAGGCGACCGAGCAAATTCTTCAGGGGCGACACAACTTCCTTCCGACGCGACTCGAGCCAGTCTGTTTCATTCTGGGATAGCTTGGATGCACTGCGCACTGTAGGCTTCACAGCAGGGCAAGAGACATTTGCAGGAGCGTATTCATCTGGAGCATTCGGCAAAGCGCGTAGGTGAATACCAGGGGCGGCACTGGCCAGGGCAGCCCCTAGCAAGAGTGCATTCAGTTTCATATCGTAGGTTGAGGTTTATAGAGAATATAGGAAAACGTCGGCATGAATCGTTCAACACAGTATACAGTACAGTCTAAAAGTCAGACAGGCGACTCTTACTTCGCTTATAGCTATGTCTGTAGGATTCTGCTTCGGTCCCATTAGGCAACCACCAAAATCCTTCTCAGCCCTAACGTTGGCAGGGATTCAGCCTTATGAGCTGTGGTAATGTTTCATCAAAATTCCAACTAGCGGCTATGATGGGTCTCACTATTGAACTAGGCTACCACATAGTACATCCCTTACCCTATTAAGCACCGCGGAGATCCACACCTGGGCGAATAAATGGGGCCTCCACCAGATAGAACTCCCAGGGAATGGTCTTGTTTAAGTTCCAGGTTGAAGGATTCCTTCTAGCTCCGCGGACATTCAGGCATTCATCAATCAGACCGCTACCCGCGGGGCCCGCCTTCCCATAAACGGTGGCAATCCATTATAGCAAATTTGGTTATACTTGCTTCAATGAACTTCTACCTGGTCGGATGGAGCAAGGACTCTTAATCTATCCAGGAACAATAAATGTACAGCTTGACTTCTGTTGTTTCAGAGAAAACTAAAAGCTATAGGGCTTTCTGTGATATGATGATTAGTGTGATATAGGGTTCGTGCTTCCCAATGGAAATCTTCTTTCGCCTCCATACTACCTAGCTCATCAATTTTAGGGTAAGTTCTTCTCAGGATGTATCAGGCTTTATCTTCGTGCAAATGCTTTTGATCACTGAGATATGTATGATAATCCCGCCATGGTCTCTCATTTGCCCAGTCTCTCAGGGAGCAATTCATTTCATCATTATTGTAATCTGTACGCACGGATATTATCTCAATGGAAAGCGAGGTCGGAAGGATACTAAGTATTGCAAAACCCTAAACCTAAGCAATATTATACCAGATGGAAGGTATTCTATAACGAATCTCCCAGCCGTGACGGTCGGCAGCTAAAACCACTGGGGTTGTTATAGGGAGAGCATCAGGGATACCAAGAGCTTCTAGGAAAGGTGCAAAAAGTTGGCACGCTGCCAATTTTATGCCATCCTCGAGGGCTAATACTTGTATGAATTGCTTTGCCCGGTCATGGATAACAACGTCTATCATCTACGACCTCCGTTTGATACCGTGAGAAGACCTTTCCAAGTCCGCGTCGGAGACAATGACAATCGCCTTTGAAGGTGGTCCTCTTCTAGACTTCTTTATTGTGAGACCTTTTAGACAGCCAAAATCTCACGGCTCTACCCAACCCTGAAAAAGGATGGAGTTTGAAGCAATCTTCTGGTGTCAAATCCAGACGGGGTGCTTCGGCAGACAGGAAAGCCATCTACCCCATATCCTGACAGAATATATGGAGCCACGTTGAACCCCGGTCCCCAACTCTGTTCCAAGTAAGGGGCACTAGGGGCCGTAGCAATTAACATTCCTAGGAAGCAGAAACAAAAAGGAAACGCCCAATGCGGGGCTCGAACCCGCGACCTTGAGATAGCAGGCTTTCTAAGAGATAGTCTAAAAGTCTCACGCTCTTCCAACTAAGCTAACCGGGCCTTGATTAGTAACGCCAGATTTTAGAAGGCTACCAGAGGGAGGACATGCAGTGTCTAAGGATTCAGGTTACAATTGTACATCGAGCCGGGCGCCTAGGAAAACTCCTCATCAGCAGAGGTGGGTCCAGGAGGAGAAGGCAAAGAACATTCCCAGCAGCAAGGCTGCACCTGTCAGTCAGAATCAGATATATTGACTACAAGAACATGTAACAGATACTAATGAATGCTGCGGAGACTCGTCCACTTGCAATAGGTAGACGAAGGAACCTGCAACGATGAACTCGAGACATGAAAATGTCGGAATCAAAAAGGAAGTCTGTTTTGCGGTGGGCGGCAGCACGATATGCTGGTGTGAGGACATGAAGGTAAACTAGGTAAGAGAGTAGGCAGTCCCAGTAAACACAGCAAACGTATATGGCGACAATCGTCAACTAACGACGTAAAAAAAACAAAAATCAAGCAAAATTGATCGGGGAAACTTCCCTTCCGGGAGGAAGGAAGTCAAAAAAAAACCGCCCGATAGGGGGCTCGAACCCCTGACATTGAGATTAAAAGTCTCACGCTCTTCCGACTGAGCTAATCGGGCTTTCCTGATAATTGAGCCACCACTACGACATTATATAGCAAAGCTCAAAATCCCTTGATATTTAGCCAGTATACTATTTGATATCCTGTCATGCTCCAACTCCTGAGTTCAGAATAACTATGGTGCCCCATTTGTAATGAATCAGTATACAAACCGAAGAAAATTTGGCCTCTGTAACCTCAACATTTACCAGATTGAGCGAACTATTAGGTGAGCTCCAAACTGCCTTGGACATCCAAATGACCTACTTGATATATCTGAAAGCTGTCCGCCTTGCAAAAGCATATAGGAGACATTAAAGAAATGCGCTGGGATCAAGATATCGGGAAAAGATGCATCTTCTCCTCGGTCTCATACCTTTGGATCTATGCCTTAATTTCAAAGGGGCTGCGCTTGATGAGGTACGTACCGGTTTGACACGCTTCGCCACCCATGGTTCTTCTTTCAACAAAGCAGGGTGTTCGAGGCCGGACGAATATTCAGAAGCTTGTAAGATAAGGAACAACAGTTTAGTCCCACTGTTGCCTGTCGCTTGGCTGCTGCCCCCCATGATCACACGCTTTACGAGTTCACCCATTGCCCCGGTCTTCCGGGAAGGACTCTCTTTTGCAGAAAGAGAAGTCTCAATCTGAGATGACGTTTGGGTTTTCCGCAGCACGGATCTGTTATGGGACAGTAGCAGGCTTATGCGACAAAGCCTGACGGTATTTTGATTTGCGGTGCTAACATGGTTGATCCATGTCATGTATTCGCTTATATATAATTTGGACACATCTCTTTGTCCCGTACGCATCATCTTATCGTAGAAGTTGGATGAAGTTAGTACTACTAGTATCGCTTTCATCGAATTGTACTTTGCGGTTAGATTACCTATGATCCTATGGGTTTGCCGTGTATCTTGTATGTGTCAACAGAGCAGAAATGTAGGGAGTATAGAAGAACAACAGCGATGCCCCCTACCTATCATGTCGATCACTGTCTCAACGGACCACTCAGCGAACTCCGATAAACCCACAGTGGGGACACGATACGGATAAGCTTCACCCCTCAATCAGAAATTTTTTTAAATATACAGACTTTGGTGTTTACAAACTCAACATTACTATAATCAGACACAATTTGGCATAGCCTCCTTTTGTATTGTGGAAATAGCGTACATTAGACAAAACACCACAATGAACCCACTACGCTACTTGGCGCCGCCGCGCCCATTCACGGAAATTTCCACCTCCACAAGCAAAGAAATCAAGGAAAGGATCAGCTATGTGGACTCCATGAAAGCGAACCCTCACTTCAACATCTCCGAAGAAAGAGAAGACGCTCTATTGGACTACCTGGAAGCCTGCGCCAGTTTGACCGAAGGCCCTGCCAGCAAAGAAGAGCGCGAGGCCGCCCATACTTGCATCAGGGGGTATGAGAAATCGCTGGAGAACAACGAGCCAGCCCGGCTGTCGTTTGATCTCGCGACCAAGACCAAACTCGGCGAAGAGCTCGACAACCTGTGGAATATGTGGACCTTCAATCGATATGAAAACTACCTCCCTGAGGACATCATCAAGGAGGCTCAGCACCACCCTTCCTCTCAAGTGTCTGATCCCTGGCACAGGGAATTCTGGAGACCTTTCAACGGACGTCTTGAAGCGGAGAAAGCCGCCTTCGACAAGGTCTTGGTGGGCCAAAATCATCACAACGAGTGCCCGACTTTCCTTTTGCTGGCGCTCCTGTGTGAACGCCACACGCTTGATTGGGATGAGACCCTTGAATTGATCAAGGCTTGCGCAAGGGACGGCGATAAGCTCGAGCTCCCCGCGGTGGATCTTGTCGAGTTCCTCAAGAAGCGTGATGTCACCGGTCTGGCGACGAGATTGGACCGTGATGAGGCCAGTATCTCGCTTTCCACGGAGTATGTCATGGGGGTTGGGTCGTTGGTCCTGGCTTTCTTCGCTTCTCATCTCCCGGAATTTTTGTTTGATAGAGATGAGGTTGACCCGGCGGATTGGACACCGAAGGAGCCCTTGAAGGTCCTGCTCGATCTCGACGAGGCACACGAGCAGGCTTTCCGGTTCATGATGCAGGAGATGTTCAATAAGATGGCCGATGGCGACTCCGATGAGGACGGTGACGATGTTTACGATGATTGGGACAATGACGATGATGACGATGACGACGACATTGTCATGAGTGATGAGTCTGAAGACTATTAGCTGTGCTAATCTGGTAATTTTGCTTCTCGATTTGTTAGTCTTAAAACAAGAAGAGCCATGTGTATATAATATACCATCCCTGCTGCCAATTTCCGTTAAATACCAAGTTGCTGTTTCCGACCAAGGCCCGCTACTCATAGAAGGTATAATGTCACAAGAAGTATTTAGCAATCACCAATATCTCTCATTCAAACTACGCTGCCACCCCCCTTAAGCTACTAGCACCGGGGGAGCGACGAGAAGAGACAAGAAGGTCAACATCACGGACATTTACTCTTCTATCCCAACTCTGCCTGCTCATCACATCGACCCGAAGATCTCAACCCCATACATTTAAGCCAATCCAGATCAGCAACGCTGCCCAAAAAAAGACCCAAGAGTGTCAGATTGACCTAGACCACCCAACACGAGCATTTCGCATCCGGATGCACGCATGAGCAAGTGTACGTGGCCTTTCCTTCCTGACAATTACATTTCTTCTGCTTGTTGCAAGTGCCATAGCAGTATTTTCCACGTTGCTGGGGATCAAACACAGTTAGCAAGATGCCAAAAGTTGATTACATCGCGGGGGGTTACGATGGATAGAATGGCCGTGGCAAACGTACGAAAGGCTCGCCTTCAGCGGGAGCAGGAGACTTTTGAGCTGCAGTGTCATAGTTTTTGACGGCAGCAGCAGAAGGGATGGATTGGGTGTTGCCGGGGAGGGCCACGGCGGTTTGGATGGAGAACATGAACATGGCGAGGAAGGCAAAGAGAACCTTGAAGCTGGTCATTTTGGCTAGAGATAGACTTTAATGTCAAACTAAAGCGTGTGTTGGTTTTGTGCAAGGGAGAGTGTTCTATGGAACTTGGTGGCGAGGAGCGGAAAGAGGCTGTGGTGTCTGGTCCATGGTGGTATATTTATACCTTCTATCGTAGAAGGATTAGAGATAAATTGCTTCACTAGAATGAGAACTCAGCTATGAGGAGTTAATTCCATTTGGCCCCATGCAGCTATTCATACTGTAGAGTATATTCCCCATCAAATAAGGCATATGCACTCTTAGCACGCCCGGGTGTTTAATTAACAGTAGATGAACTAAATTTTTTTATTTTGCCAACAGTTCTCTATCAAGTCGGGTCTAATAGTGGTTGAGCGAGTCAGGGCGCGATGTCGGAAGGAATGATTCATTATAATAGGGTTCAGGGCAATGGAGATAAAGGAGGCTCTTCTTTCTGTAACTTGCGCCTTGTAGGATTACACCTCATACCCACCAGAATAGAGTTGGGAAAAGGGGAAAAGGGGAAATTGGGTTTCATTCTCTTTATGCATAGTGCTAGGGAATATCTCAAAGTAAAAAATGCCGTGAACCCTGGCTATAAAATGCCGTTCCGCTTTATGAACTGCAATGAACCCGTTCTATACTACTCCGTACTTAGTTTTTGTTACGAGATTTGATATAAAACACAGATTTCTATCCGACAACGGGCACAAGACTATTACTGCACAAGCAGCATTAATACATGGCTTGTGGGGGGCTCGAGTGAAATGAGATGATGGATCCAGCTGTGATGAACTACATGCAGACCGAGGCCACAAGAAATAACCCAGCAGTGCAGTGTAGCAGCATAGCTTCAGTCACTCAGAGGGATCCTCCAGATCAATCCGGCCTGCACGAACGTTTTCAGTAATCGCCGGCTCGGGCTTTTATGGGGACATTGCAGCTGCCAACACTATGCCATCTTCAGTAGTCATTGTCCAAGTGAAGTGGTTCTTCGCTAGTAATTTAACATTTCCTTAATGCACAGGATATTAGCCGGATCCAAGTCAACAGGGCAACCCCTTTCACTAAGTTCGAGTTGTGTCACCTCTAAGGTTCCGGCATGTCACTTCCTCCCGGAATTGCTCCATATTGTTGTGTTGAATGTTTCTTTGCTTCCATATGGATCCGTGGTGCCGCCCTCGGCCCGTGAAATCCAATGGATTGGGCAAGTGTTCTCACTTATTAGGTATTCATCATCACGCCCGACATCCTAAGGGTCATTGTTAATATTGAGCCTGGTTGTATCTCTTGACCGCCAAACATAGGGTACTGCTGGTCTCAAGTCTGAGACCTTACGTTCTTGAGGGATAACTCATCCTGTTAGCTTTATTGACAGAAGACTACAGCATGCAAAATGTGAGAAGGGGTAATTCTCCATTAGACGTAACTTAATCGCTTGATAATGACTTTTCCTGCCTGCTACTAACCTGTAGTACTAGGTCTAGAAAATCGGGAGCGAGTTTTAATTAAAAGATAACGCTAGCTAAGCAGAAGCTTGCTCCATTCCCCATCTAATTCACCCCGGAGAACGAGCTTCCGAAGAGAATCACAGGTGAGCCAAGACAGCCTCGGCGCCCGACACCTACCCACTCGGTTAGCACTGGCAATTGTAAATAGGACCAAAAGAAAACGCACCTCCACAACACCCTTCTTAGTCTCGATCTGAGCGTAGGTCACCTTGCCATGATCAATGACAATCGCATAGCGACCGGTGCGACCGTTGTTGGCCCAGCCGATGCTGTTTGAGAACTTGGCGTCGGGGTCGGAGAGGAACAGCTGCAGCAATCAGTATCCCGCAATTAAAAATGCGTTTGTAAACCATCACAGGAGAATACATACAATGTCATCACCCTTCACCTTATTGGCCTTTCCCCAGGCGCTCATGACGAAGGGGTCATTAGATGCAACGACAGCAACGACCTGGACACCCTTTTCCTTCAGCTCGGGCAGATTCTGGATGTACCCGGGAACGTGGTTGACGGAGCAGGTGGGGGTGAAAGCGCCTAGAATTGTGAGACCGTGTTAATCTCAACATATCGATGGGATGGTAAGTTAATGGAGACTGACCAGGAACGGCGAACAGGACCACCTTCTTATCGGCCCATTCTTTAGAGGCGTTGTAAGGGATGGGGATACCGCAGGCGGCGATGTCGCCCTTCTCCTCGGTCCAGGGGACGTACCTGACAACAATTAGTGGGGAACTCGGACGGATGAATGGAAGGTTACAAACTGGAAGACAACGTCGTTGGGGAAGGAATCTCCGGGCTTGAGGGCCATGGTGACTGATGCGTATGGTGGCTGTTGGTGGGAGTGGTGGTGAGGAGTGAGAGTGAGACTGAGAGTTGTGAGTTGGATGTTTTGGGGTAAATGTAATTGGACGCGGGGTAGACGATTATATCATAATCAATTAATATCAACCAATTTTATGGTGGGGTTGATCAAGACTACAAGCTGTCAATAGTTAATTGTCCTAAACACGAACTAATGCAGGCGTGCTGTTCGGACTCCGGAGTCCTCCGAGTTGAGCCGGACTTAACCGAAGTTAATCGATTCGAAAACTCAATTGTATATCATAATCCAAATCATATTAGTTCTATCATGTTCATAATATCCTCTATGCCCATATTATATCTATAATGCTCGCCAGAACTGGTGTGGGTGCGTCACCTTGACTCCTAACTTCTTCGCCGTGTTAATGACCCATTCCGGTTCTCTCATGAACTGACGCGCTAAGAGAACAACATCTGCCTTGGCCGTCACGATGGCCTCAGCCTGCTGCGCTTCATCGGCGCCCTGAACGATGCTCTGCGCCTGTTCTGCCTCAGTAATCAATCCCACACCTCCCACAAGGGTCGATGCACCCGCTTTCCGGATCGCCTTTCTCAGCTGCCCGGCCAGATCTACCTGGTAGCCAGGACTCAGTTTAATCTTCTGGTCTTTATGACCTCCGCCCGAGCTAACATCGACCAAATCAATGCCCAATTCCGGCAAGATCTCAACTAAACGGAGAGAGCTCTCTAGATCCCAGCTACCCGACTCGGCAGCCACAGGCTGACCCTCAAGCCAATCGGTCACACTGATGCGGAGGAACACCGGCATACCATTCGGAATGACAGCACGGACGGCAGTCGCAACCTCACGGACAATGCGAACACGGTTCTCGAAGCTACCGCCGTACTCATCGGTGCGCTTGTTGGTCGCGGGGCTCAGGAACTGATTCAACAAGTACCCGTGTGCCGCATGGATCTCGATAACATCGACACCAGCCTTCACCGCCAGTTCTGCGCTCTTCGCAAACGCTTGGACCACCTCCTTGATTTCTGCTGTGCTCAATGCTCGGGGAGCCCAAAATCTGCCCTCCGCGGGGTCCCAGATATTTTCTTCACCGCCACTAGGCCCGACCACGTCCTTCGGCCATCCGAAGACGCTCTCCTCGGCCCGGAGACTGGGTTTTCCGGCTTGCGCTGCTACCCATGGGGGCAACACACTGGCTTTCCGACCGGCGTGGGCCAGCTGAACGGCCACCTTGGCACCCTGGCTATGGGAGAATTGGACGACGCGTTGGAGACCTTTGAATTGTTCGGAGTCGGTTCCCTCCTGCCAAAGACCGGCATCGTTGGGCGAGATACGTCCATTGGGCTGGACGGCCTGTGCCTCGACGAAGACCAAGCCGGCACCTTTCAGTGCGAATTGGCCCAGGTGTGCGATGTGGTAGTCGGTCAGGGCGCCGACGAAGGGGGAGGCGGGGTTCGACTCGGCGGAGTACATGCACATGGGGGACACAATGATGCGGTTCTTGAGGGTCACATCACGGATGCGCAAGGGTTTGAAGAGGGTGGGAGTGTTGGGGTCGTCGGGGTTGACAGCGGCGCCTGCATTGTTGGCGGGGGTGAAGTAGGGGGTATTGTCAGCTGGGACCACGGAAGGGGATGTCGAAGAGATAGATCCCATCGTGACTATCTTGGTTTATGATTGTGAGGATAGAACGAGGATAGTTTGCCCTGCCGGATAAAGGTCATTGTGGGCGTACTCATGGCGATTTATAGCTTCGATATGGTGAACCGCGTGGAGTCTTTTTGGATGCCAGAAAATCACGGCTGACAAATGCTCGGCTCAGGTGCCGAAGCCGATAGACTTTTGTGGCTTCCTATTGGCCACTGATCTACAGAACTCTACTGCCATTGGCTGGTTCTTGTACCCTTGTCAAATATCTAACTCAGTAACATAAATATCGATATATCACGTAATGATTGCTCTACTTCAAGTAAGACTTAGGATAATCATGAGCTAAGATGATTAGAAATGCGCTTTTTACCATAGGACCCATCATGGATGCAACTAGTGGATACTCAAACAAATGGGATAGGACGTTTCCAATTATCAGCACTGGCTCACGATATTCAAGTTGTCATCATTAGATATTAGATCCACTAGGCCGTTTGACCTGACAATATTAGTACATATTACTATGTATTCATCTACGTAGCCCAAAGCTTTCATTTGGACTCTGCAGACCAAGTATTAAACCTGAACCCGACTGTCTCTTCCATTCCTCGCCTCCCCATACCTTCTGGTCTTCCTGTCAAAATCGATCCGGAAAGCCCACCACACGCAGGACGCTAGCAACCCCAGCAGGAAATCACACACCGTCCAAAACCGCGGACTCGGCCCACGCATATTATTCAGCAGAAGCTCCGTCTGAAAGTCGACCGCGATGTACGTCTTCCCCTTCTCCAAGCCCCGGACAATCTTCCTCGCGATCTCTCTGGCACCGGGTATCTTGCGCACCAGTTCCTCCTGGGACATACTGGTTCCCTCGAGGACCTTTGTGAGTCCGGGTTTGTGTTCTTGCTCCTGGAAGAAGGACTCGGATAGGAATGATCCAGGAAAACAGCAATGGACTTTAAAAGCATCTTTGCCGTAAAGAAGCAGTTCTTGACGAAGGGTATCGGCCAGCGCGCGAATAGCTACCTTGGTAGGTGTGTAGGCTATATAACCCGGTAGCCCCAGGAAAGCGGCGGTCGACGATGTGAGGATAATATGTCTGGGTGAGGGCGTCTGCGGGGTAACGAGCCATAATTTCAAGCAGCTTTGGACGGCGAATATTGTGGTGTAGTAGTTTGATTCCATGCACGAGGTCAGAGCTTCCGGAGGGATATCGGCGAGAAAGCCGACCTGGTTAGGAGTACCCCCTGCTGTGCAGACAAGGATGTCAGGCGGGTGGTAGTGTCGTAAGGCTCTAGATATCTGTTTAATTAGCAAGGACGAGCAAGGATGGCATGTATGAAGGGGATGTACTTCATCAGGTTTGGTCAGATCAACCGCCCTTGTATCGACAATTTGCTTTGACGAAGCACATGCAGCTTCGACTTCATGCTGCGCAACTTGTAATGCACTTTCCGTCCGGGCGAGAAGGAGAAGATTGGCGCCTGATTCTTGTCAGTTTTATCCATGTCTATGATAGAGAAGGTTGTATGATTATGAAGGACTTTTCTTTGGTAAAAATAAGATCGTACCTTTCGATGCCAGCTCTAGTGCTATTGCCTTCCCTAACCCCCTCGATCCCCCCGCTACTACTACTAACTGATAGTTGTTAGCATATATGGATGATAATAGGGGGGATGTAAGACCTTCCCGTTCACATCAAATTTATTTCCAAACATTGTCATACAATCCTATACTCATCCAGACTGCGTATTGAGTGAGACAAGGATTACTTGAGATACGACATGCAGGGGAGAGTTCTTAAAACGTTCTCTGTTTTGGTAGCGGGCACGCGAAGCATGCAAGGGGTGGGATGGGGTTTGGCCAGGGGCAATGTTTACAGCCGACATTACACATGCAACTCTAAAAGGTAAACTGGAAGATATCTCCGCGTATTCCTTGCATGCAAATATTGAGTAAGCGAAATATGATTCACCGATGTTTGACTAATCGGTCAGGACGTGTCACATTTGTGTCCCTCACGATCAGCATTCCCCATATGCCAAGACATTTACAGTGTAGACGAGGTTGATGATAACCTCTAAGTAGGCCTAGAATCTCGGAGCACAGAGTGCTTGTGTTGTGTATTGAACGCGTCGCGCATCGCCGGATTGTTCTCCAATGTGGATGATAGAAACCTAGAAGCCACAAAGCTAGATCTTTCTAAAAGAATTTTGACGCTGGGAGGGTAACATTTACCGATTCTACAGGCATAATCGGAAAGTCTTCAGTATAAGGTAAAGATATCAGTCCGAGTTGGATGTAACTTACGATATGTGTATTATCGATTGATTCGTTTAGGGCAACAAAATCAACTATCGTTCCGTTGTCCGGTTATTGAGCTTTTGCCCAAGTTACTACGCCCGAAGCATGAACAATGTTCACTGGCATTCCCCAGGAGCTGCAAGTGAAGAAAACGAACAGTTCTTTCACAACAAGAAGTGCGGCAATGCGCTATATAAAGTTGTACAATTTCTCTTTCAAATAAAGTCAAACCAAAAGTCTCACATACTCACGTACAGAAGAACTACACCTCAAGCTTATATTTCATCCCTTCTCAGCTCATATCCCACATCCGCGTATGGCTTCACCCCGAAAAACTTCCACACCTTTGCGCTGTCCAACTCCTCCGCTCGGCACTTCACAGACATGATTATTTCGGCCGAACCATCGCCCATCCAAATCAAGGCTTTCCCCTTTGTGGTGTCAGTTTGTGCATGATATGAAAGGCAAACAAACAAGCCACTTACTAGTCCTACGTGTAGTTTCGTCATTCCCTCCCACCACTGCGGGCGATACTCTAGCTGATTCTGCGACCTGATGGAGCGCACGATATTGTGTGCGACAGACTGCGCCTGCTGTACTGCTGCTCGACCATTCTTGATATTGTCCATATCTACGACATCCCCGGCGGCATAGATATGGTTGAGCGACATGTCTGATATTTGAAGTGTAGGGCGAACTTTTACATGACCTGTCTCAGAGATCGATTCGGGTGACAGCGCCTGTATTAACTCCGAGTTGGGATGCTGGCCAACACATTTCACCTGGAAAATTAGCAAGCACTCAAGGACGTAGCTGCGAGAAGCGTACCAGGTAATCACATGCGAGAGTTTCGCCGGAGCTCAACTTGACATTACCCTCCTCTGCACTGTCGCTGAGCACCCTTTCACCCATGATAGTCACCACCCCTAGCTCCTCAAGAGCTTGTAATGCCTTTTCTCCGATTCGACCACCAAATCGACCCAGTAATGTCTTCCTGGAATGAACTAACGTGACATTTTTCTCGGGATATCGTGACTTCACATCTGCCACGAGCTCAATACCCGCAGCTCCACCACCAACGATGATCACATCCGTCGCAGCTTGGAGCCTCTCCTGCTCAGCCAGTAACTGTTCTATCCCTTCCTGTTTGGTCCCGGCTGGCACTCGCGATGGAAGTGCTCCCGACGCCCCAGTCGCAAGCACCAAGTAATCGAATTCCACCTCCTCACCAGACGCAAGCTCTACCTTTCCAGTGTGTCCATTCTCACCAGGGACAATACGCTCAACACTATCACGAACCCATTGATAAGAACCTTTGGGAGCCCGATCAAGGTAAGGCCCATATGGAATGAAAGCCTTATATTCGTGGCCATTCACCACGCTAAAACGCGGCAAAACCCAAGTCAACTGGAAATGCGTATTCTTCTCGATAATAACAACCCGATACCCAGTTGGAAGCGAGCTAGCAAGACATTTAGCCGCGTGATATCCAGCGAAAGAAGCGCCAATAACGACAACGTTGCGCGGATTCTCCACAGCGCGGTAAGTGAGTCGGTGTAACCGGGTGGCAACCGCCTCTCTTAAGCTGACGAATATCTGGCCGAAGATAGGACCGAAGAGCTTACAGATGAGCAGCAATTTCGCCAGCATGGTGACAGGACTATTGGCGTCATTCCGACCCGTGCTTAGATCCGTGTTTTCATCGTCAACTCTAGCTGCGGGGAGGACGAATGCTAGGTTTTAAGAGTTGGCGATGGCTTTCGGGGCTCGGATCGATGAAACATCCGTCCAACGAAAGTGAGACCATCGTGTTCTTTCGCTTGGCTTGCCCGAATATGTCTTTGTCCTTATGTCCGTGGGACGGGAAATTCGTTGTTTACTCCATGGGGCCTCCGTGGTATCTCCGAAAGGGGGCTGACTGGTTATCTTATCTGATCCGTTCCGAGAATCGGCAGTTATCCGTGGATCCCGGATCTGATCAGATTTCCAATTTCGAATTGGACGGCTTGCGCATGTCACGGCTCATTGGATGTACATGTTCTAGACCTTGCGGCCAAAAATATATTCCGAAAGGCGATGACGGTGAAATACGCATGTTTATGTGAGAAATTAGTTGACAGGCGCGTGTATCGCTAGAACAACTATCTGACTTGCATCCGCAGCGAAACACAAAAGTACGCGGCGAAGAGTCGCGAGCGATGGCCAATTCCCAATATTATCTTCCTCTCGGGTTATCGTCCCTCTGTGGATTTCTCATGACACCTTTCTGCTAGTACAAAGGTCGTGCACATAAACCAGCAAAAGAAGAAAACAAAAAGCGCAGTATTGCAATTATGAGGTTGCCTAAATTACGTCAAGCCACAGAATTAACGCTCAGCCCCCACGGTGTCAACCCAGATAAGTGAGGTTAGCACGCTGCGCCCACCATTATATCTCTCAGGACTATACCTTACTTTGATGGCTGCTGCAGGGTTCAAGGACCATCATTGTGGTGACTCCCGACTAGCATCGACGGTCCAGAAAAAGGGTTTGTAGACACATCCTCTTGTTCTTAGGACCAGGCGCTTAACATACGTCCATCAGGTTGAATAGGATACGGAGATGTGGGACAATCTATGTGCCTTTGCCGCGACCCTGAAAATGGTGAAACGCATGTTTTATTCCAAGTTCAGTTCTAGGTTTGACTTGGGATGAAGGATAATGACAAGGCTGAATGAGCGCTGGAATGTGGCAAATATTCCAGGCGCTACAAAAACCACAGAACGAACAGGAGGTTTTCAACCTTTCGCCAGTGGTTTAGGCAGACACAAATGGATTTATGCACTCATGCCTTTTCCAGCGCCTGTAAGTGAATCCTGAACTTCCGTCAAATTCGCCACAAGCTAAGAAACCAAATAGACCCGAGGGTGATATGGAAGGGCGCCAGCGCCTGATAAGAAAGCCTTGTATAGTTGATGGCAGCTGATGGATTGGACAGATGGATGCCCGAGGGTACGCATCCACTCCAAGGATCGGCCCGCAAATCAGTATCGCTTGAGTCGGAACCATTGGCTCAGATGCTTCGTGTTCAGCCCCATATGCACCTAATTTTCCTGCCTCCAATCAACGAGCCCTAAAAAGTCCCTGACTTGGCCCCAGCGCAAATGAACCACCACCTGCCAATGATGTCTTTGCAAGTTTCACGCGCTTATGCGCTTGAGCGTCTGGCCAATAATGAGCTCCACGGGGAAGAGTTTCAGCCTCCCCAGATGAAAAATAAAAACGGACGGCCCGTCTGTTGAGTCGCGGCGAAAGTGACACAACCTCGCAGTGGGTCGTATCCTTGAAATATATCGAGCGTACCCGCATGTCACCCTCTTTTACCTGGCAACACACAGCCCGTTATGTTCTTCAATGACAGTTTCGAAGATTTTCACCTCGACATCGTCGGTTTCCTCGCCATTTTGGGCGAGGGTTCCGTGTCGGTGAACTACCAAGTCTCGACGTTATCGGCCTTCACCTTTCTCCCACGCCTCTTGCCTGCACCCCAGGCGTTTATGAGACCGTCGCGACCACTCCGTCTAGATGATGTTCCAGGTACCGTGCTGGGCATTCGCTCCGGGAATTGCCGGCCTCACGTCTGCCGCATCCCGCATATCATCCTACCCGGGGATGAATCGATGAAGAGCGACTCCGATTACACGGTCCGCCATTATCGAATCACGATCAAAGACGGTGGGAACCCGTCAGATGCACTGATCTCGGCTCGAGCCTTCAGCCTGCTCTCCGTACTCGCCGTCATCGGCTGTGCCATGTCCATCGCGCTGCTGGGCCTCTCGATCCATTTCAATGACGGATGGGCGCTGGTAGCGACCGTCCTCCTCTCGTGCCTCTCATCCCTTCTTGGTATCATGTGTAAATGGTCCCTGAAGCTCGGAAAACGTGTAACGGGCCGAGACGATATCCCGTCCGGCGATGTGATCATCTGCTACCCGAACGGTGCTTTCATAATTGTGGAGTGTGAGGAAGCAGTCGCCCGATCGCTCTTCTTCGCACCCGAACGATGCAACTATCTCCTCTCGGGAACGTGGTATCGCTCCCTCGCCCTCCTCGGAACAATGATGCTTATGTTTGGAGTTATTGCGCTCGGGAACTCGGGAGCACGCATGCAAGTCACCTTCGGTGCGTCGTATCTGTTGCTCAATGCTGCGTACTGGATGGTTGCGGCATTGCCTGAGAAATTACACTGGGACTACTCGGCGCTTCACCTTGAGGAGGTCGCACCTGTTTTTCCGGCGCCGGGGGAGGACCGGAGCTTCCGAAAGGCGCTCTGGGCTGCAATTAAGTCGACTAAGTCCACTAGGTGGGTGAAGACTGGACGTATCGCACCGGATACAGAAGCTTGGCATTATTGGTTGGGTCAAGCTGAATCCGCTGTTACCCGGCTGGATGGGTTCGATCCGGAGACCTGGGATTATTCGGCGCGCTTGGACGACTGTCTCGGCACTATCGGACTGTTTACTGATAGTCCGGGGAAGCCTGCTGCTGAGGAACGGCCTTGACTATGATTTACTATATGGTGTCTGAAGACCTTTGGATTACGTATATCATGCTTTGATGATGATGACAACGACTATGATGATTATTGCATGACTGATGATTGCATTTAGGGTCACTTTTGTTTCTTTTGGTTAGAGCTCTATCATGATTTTGGTTAGATGCTCTTTGTTTGCCTGTGTTTCCTTCTGTGGATCATGATGATAAATGCTGTCTTCTCATGCTGATAGAATGTTCTTCTCACGATATTATACTTAACAGCATACATCTATATTGTGCCTAATATGGAAATGTGATTGTATCTCTTCTTTCCCCTCCTGTCAAGAATACTCATCGTACACGACATTCATTTGTGACAATAAACAACTGCATTGGTGACTCGTGAATCAAACAGACCCAAGTATCTTCTCAGAGATTGCGACATTCCTTAGTATTCCGATAAATCTAGAGCCCACAAATGATATTATCCCATGCAGGCCTCGCAGCCTACCCTGCCATCATGCTTGTCTCGATCATTCGTTCTCAACTAATTTCAAAAACTGGACAAATAATCAGGATACCTCCCCACATGATATACGCGGGCAAGAATTCTTCCTGAACCGTCAATCTATTGACGTGACTAGCTTCTCTTCTAGGTATGATGGGTTGCAACTCCTAACGAAGGCATTCTCTGATACCAAGTGGTGATAGGATCAGTTTCACGACTTGGACTTACCCGACTAGGGACTAACCTGTCAATAGTAGGTCCAGTGTTAGCATACATTTTAACCAGCCAATCAGTCAAGAGTCAGTCAACTGTCCATCCATGCTATCAAGATCCTAGTCGACTTCCGGTCTTTAGTAGAACTCGGTATTGTGGCACGAAAAAGATTCGGTACAATTAATTCATAGGAGCAGAATCACAGGATTGGCACAAGAAACAGTTCTTGTGCTTGTGATTCTCAGCCATCCGAGGTAGCTGGCCGTGGAATCCCCCAGAAGACTTTAAGTACTATACGTAACTAGCTAATTTCATACACTTTAATGTTACCATCGCAACTCATCACGTGAGACGTCTTTAACTTCCTGTTCTAGAGTCTAGACATCCCCCTCGGGTCTAGCCACAATGGATGATTTCTATCCACAATGAGCTGGGGGTCCAATGGCAGTCTTCTATTGAATACCATGTGAGTTAATACCCAGCACATGGAGTAAAGTTGAATTGAAGTCCATCTTGACTATGAAACAAGCCTATGACGTCGTGGTAGTGCGTCATCGATACAATGACGTCATATAGATATCATTGGGCCTCAGGAACCAAAGTCAAGAGTCCAGGAACAGCCCTATATAAACAACCATCTTGGCTTGTCCAGATCACCATCAACAACAATCATTCTAACAAACAAACAAACACAACCAGAGTCAACAACCTATCAATTCTTCATCTACCCCCTAAACAAAAACTTCAACCACAAAACAACAACCACAATGTCTGATAACGGTGCTTCCACTCTCAAGTCCTACGTCGACTCTGCCACTGGCATGGTCCAGAGCGCCGTCGGTGCCGTGACTGGCAACTCCGCCACCAAGGTACACACTACCACCCCTCCTTCAATGTCAACGACAAGTATAGACTAACCAGCACAGGCCGAAGGCGATGCCTCCCAGCAGAAGGCCGCCGCCGAACACGACGCCAGCCACACCACTGCCAAGCTAGGCCCCATCTCCGCCGACCCCAACACTGGTGCGACAGCCAAGGACCGTGAGCAGCGCTCCACAGGCGCCTGGGACCAGACTGTCGGTTCCGCGAAGGAGTCCCTGGGCAACCTGATCGGCAACGAGAACCTGCGCAAGGAGGGCGAAAACCAGAACCTACGTGGCAAGGGTGCCGAGGCTGAGGGACAGCTGAAGGATTTCGGTGAGGGTGCTGCTGATCGCTTGCAGGGTGGTCTTGGAAAGGTCGCTGCTGCTGCTACTGGCGATCGCGCTGAGGAAGCGAAGTGGACTCAGGTTCACGATGAGGGCAAGGTGAAGCAGAGAGGCGCCGAGCTTGATATGCAGAAGCATGCTTAGATGGGACATTCAAACGTTACTTGTGATACCACTGCGACTGGGTTGATATCGCTGCGTCATGGAGTTTGACGGTTTATGGGATGTGCTTTTTATGACTTGAGATGTATTATACTTGATGGGAATTGATGAACTTATTCAACACCTTCCTACTCTGGTAGATTTATAATTGCTGTCGATTGTCTGTTCTTAATATCTAGTAAGATGGCACAAATGCATTCTTAGGCTTGGGTCGAGGGCATCATTCAAGACTCGTTCGCTCGTACCCCACGAATCCTTTCGCAAGATCTTCGTTCTCATCATGCTCTGAATATCCCCGATCTCACCGAAAAGTACCAAGAATATAATGCTCCCGCTACCCCCGTCTCTGAGTGAACGTCAGCGGATGGGCTGCGGCAAAAAGTGGTGTCAAAGCTCCATCCATGGGTATGACAAGGACTTTGAGTCTATCATTTCCCTCACCGAGACTCACTGGACAGGTAGATATCTCCCTTATAATAGATTGAGATGGAAGCATTTGTCAGGCTTTTGTACAATATCATGATAGATAGTTATAGAGATCCGATTTCCTCTAATACTTAGCTGATTCCGAATGACAATATCGATTATTACAGTACCTGAACACAACATCACAAGCTAATAACAAGTCAATCTTAGCAAGCATATATCCTCCGCAACAGCACACCATAGAAACGGGACATCATGCAAGCTTGGTTGAATTTAGTCCAGCACCAACTTTTCCGATACCACCTTAGCATCAGTCGCCAAGGTATAGTACTTCCCACTCACTTAAACGGGCTAGCTCTGAGAGAGAGAGAAATAAACCTCGCGAGTTTATTAACTGAGCGAGAACTTAAACCCCCAAAAAATTGGGCGAGAGGATATTGTAAAGTTCTGCTTTTGGATATTACCCCAATCCAGATGCCCAAAAGCACCTACCTGGCGGGGAAAAGGATCGGCCGCGGAACCACAACGGATCGGCCCATCTGTTACTTCTCTAAACCCTTCATTTGCGGGGGCCGGTGATAAAGAGTCCAATCATCAAAGATATCCATGTGAACTTACACTAAGTTCTCATCTTTAAAGAGATTAAGGGGGGGGAGGGGGGGATGCTACTGTGGTAGTTCATGTAGTAGTTCAAGTGCGCGTTGCGGCACACGAGGCCACGTAGTATCTGGCTTCGTACGATTGGCTGCCTGCAGGCAAGACATGACTCGCGTACACACCAGGAGATCCGTGCGTCTTCGTTTCACTGGTTGTGCGGTACAGGAAACCGAAGCCTTGCCAGCCTTGTACTTAAACCACCAGAGTAGAGAGCTGCCCATCCAACGAGCAGGTAAGGGTGAACTGAATCATGCCGCAGATTCTGCAATGGCCACAGAAGTCCTGCCACGTCGGCAGCTTGGGATCCCGAGTGAGGCGGAAGTGAGGGTATGGGGCCTTGAGGCATTATCCCATACGGAAAAGCAACAGGACTTAAATTGACCTTATGTGTCGATGTGTTGAGGCAGGAGTGTCTACGGCCTCAGTTCGTTGACAGAACAGACTGGTGCGGAACTTTAGGTGTTATCTATGGGCTGCTTTCGCCTTCTCTTTGGAACTTGTTAACCAACATGCCTCCTCAAACCCTGACCTCACCACCTATACCCTCCCCTAACGCCCTTGACCAGCATGTCCTGAGAACGATTTTTACTCAGCTCAAGACAGTGACCTCAACTACAGGATTCAATGCCATTTTAGAGACTTACGATGAAAACAACAAGTTATTGGACCAGCTGAAGTCCAAGGGCCATGAGCTTGCAAGCCTCAGAGAAGAGATGGACGAGGAAAGAAAGAGGAAAGACATAGCGCTGGACGAAATGTTTCAGGCTAATGAAAAAGAGAAGGGCAGACACAAAGAAACAAAAAAGCATGCGCAGACACTACAGACGATGATTAATGACAAGGACACGTGCATTTCCGAGCGGGATAAGGTGATAGATGAGTTTGGCAAGCAGGTGAAGAAGCTCCAATCCGATATTGCAATGGAGAGGGACAAGTTAGCGGTAGCTCGAAAGGAAATCAGTGGTTTGCAGCAAAGTATCCAAGAAAAAGAAGCCACCATTGACAAGATGAAAGCGGCGGGGACAGAGTTGAAAGACAGACTGAATTCCACCAAGAAAACGGTCAAGGAACTGCAAGATGAGCGTACTTCCCTCAGGGAATCGCTGACAAAAACGGAAGGAAACCTCAAAAGATTGGAAGGTTATGCTGCTGGATATAGTGAGATGACTGAAGACTCAGTGTACGTGTGCATTCACTTTGGGATCATAGCTTCGCCCAACACTCCAACTGACTTCATTTAGGATTGAGAGCTTTACCGGACTTTGGGAATATGCTAAAATGGAAATATTTGCCATGTTAAAGAACGACCTTCCTAGAGACACACTTCGGGTAAGTAGTTGTCATAGTACACCGTCCGAGAACTAGAGAAAGCAGGGAAAGGCTGACAGAAACCAAATTGATTGAAACGATAGAATGTTTCAGCATGGGAGAAACTTCGGCAATGTGATTTGGCACAAGACAGCCAGGTCCCTATTCCATGTTCCAACACGCCAGCAGCGAAGCAAATGAGGTTTGCTATCATCTTGGCTATTCTGGCTAGAGAAATTAATACACATATCCTCCTACCAGTATACATCGCCGCCGGAGATAACAAATATAACCAATTTCGAAAGGTCCTCGCTAACCAGGCAGCTATTGATAGCGAGAAAGAGTCATTTTGCCGGTCGGTTCTTCTGTCGATAGATCCAGGAACTCAGGAAGGGATATGTTTGGTGGGTATCCAAGCTGTGGTGAAGAATGTGTCAGAATACCTGGATGAGTTACTCCCGGAAGATCAACGCCTCGCTTTCCATAACACTCTGAGAAAAGTTGTACGGAAGGCAGCGGATATCTGGAAACCGATCCAGCACAGTAAACGCAGATATGAGCCCGACTTTGACCCGCCGACCGCCGAGGATGATTGTGAGGCCTTCAAGTTTCCCATTACCGAAAACGTCACAACGGAGAATAACGCCAATCAAAAGAACATGAAAAAAGTTTCTTTGACTGTGTTCCCCCGACTGTCGATTATAGAACACGGCATTAGCACTGCATACACTGCTATTATACAAGTAAGCAGTTCGCAACGCCAGTGGGTAGCTGCAGAAAGTGAGATGGACAAAGAACCAGCCAGCCCTACTACTATTGGGCGGATCCCCTGGCGAAGGAAGTCGAATACTCCAAAGACCACATCTGTTCCAAATGGCGGCTCAAAGAAAGGTAACGGGTAATAGACACTTGAGTAGTATATGGCTAAGACGTGAGTCTTAACTAAGTCGCATACATGATTGCTATGTCTCAATTGCGTTAATGGCAAGTTTGTGTTAAAATTGGAAGCACCCTTCTCCCACACATTAAATTGAAACATTTTGTTGCGAGCTCCACCGACTATAGCAGGATTATTTGGAGTCTTGGGATGTAGCAGCGCAAAGCCTTGCTGAGAACTAAGAATATTTGATATCATCATTTGGCCATTCTTTCTCCTTTCTCTCCTCCGGAGGATCACTAGTTTAGAAATAGACTGGGAATAACTCTCCAGGCTCCGTTTTGCACCTGCATAGATGCTATGGTAAATCGTATGGACCCAAATAGGGTTTAATCTCATGCTCGCAAGACACAAACTTCCTTAGAGTTCTTAAATTATAGTTATCTACACTAGTCTTAACTTCAAGGCTTCCAGGATGGCTAGGGGCTTGTGTAATATTATCATAGAATACTATTGTTTTAAAAAGACAGTCTTAAGGTAAAAATATGTTAAAACAAGTATCTGTTGTGACGGTTAGCGGGGCGCCAAAAACGGCTCCCATTGAACCGCCATTCTGCCCTCCACCACCACCTGTCACATACGGAAATGCCACTGCCCGTTACGGCCTAGTACAAACCGTGTTGGGTATCACACCCGCTTCTCGCCGCTTTTACACCCTTCGCCTATCGTCTTATATCTCCCTACACCATCTATATAAACCCAGTACCTTTCCCTCGAAAGACAACGCACTTTCTTTTTCCATTTTCCCCCTGGCTATCTATCTCAGCCAAAGCACTGTTCTCTTCTAAAGATATTGTATTACCCAAGCATATTCCTCTTACGATATAGCACCGTGTATTTCCTCTCTTTCCCCCACTTCTTTAACAACTCTAAATCACCCAGAGATTCTCGAGAATTATTAACTAGTAATTATTTTATTAGTTTTTAAGCTATTTTTATTCAACCAGTTGAGTGTCCTCTTGTTTATAGCTGTCTATTATATTCTAAGTTTATAAAATCGCGGCTATTTACAGTGCGGTTATATATAAGTTAACTAGTAAATTTAGATATTATCAGTGGCGGCTTCCGACTACCCACCGCCTTCCGCCGGTGGGTGGTCGGCAGCCTAAAGGAATTTTCAGCCTAAAGAAAAAAAATAAAGTAATTCATATTATCACTACTAAATATCTATAGAATTAATAAAAAAAATTAATTACTTAATTTCTTTATTAATTTTATATCTAAAGCTATAATTTTATTTTTTATACAAAACGCTGATAGAAAATAACTGTATATCTTAAAATATACTTTATCTATTATTTTCTTTTTTTTCTATCCTCTTTAATCTTTCTATTTATAATAGACCGATTCATATTCTTTACACGTAGTATATCACTGTTTCTAAGATATTAAATTTTTTACTTAATCTTTTTATAGCTTCGGGAAATTTGCGTAGTCTTAATTTACTTAAGAGTTAAATTTATAATAGTAAATTATTTAAATTAAAGTTTTTATTAATAAAATAAATAGTTAAAATAGCGCTTAATACAAGGATTATTTAATATATTATTTTTTAAAAGTTTAAATAACTTTTTCTAATTCTTTTTAATCTATTAAATACTTTTTGAAAGTATATTCTCTATACTTAAAAATTAAGGATTTAAAGGCGGTGTAGTCTCTCTATATATAGGTAAATTAAATATAGAGATCTTTAGTATAAGTAATAAAATATTTTAAATTACTTTAATAATTAATAATTTATCTAGAGAAAAGATACCGCGTTCTTTAAAAAAATTATAAATAAAATATAAATTAAAAATCTTATCACGTACGGCGATAATATTACGTAAAAAATTTATTTTATTTCCTGGAATCCTATACTACTGCGTAATAAAATTATTTATAGTATAAAAATATATTTTATATATAAGAAAAGGCTTTCTATTAAGTAGTTAATAAAGATATATTATATAAAACTAGAAATAAAAAGAAAAAATTTTATATATCTTATAGAATTAAATAAATTTAATTATTTTATAAATTATATAACTATTAAAAATAAGTATATATTTTTTTTCCCTTTTTTATATAATTTTTAATCTTTTTATAGAATTTTTGAAACTATTTAAACGCGATTTTATTATTTATATAATCTTTTTTAATAATTATAATATAATAATCGAGGATTTCTTTATTATACTAGATCTTTATAAATTTTTTTCCTTTAAAAATAAATAGTAAAATTATAATTTAACTATTTATAGTAATATATTTAAACATAGTAATATTCTTTACAATCTTAATTTTAAAAAAATTAGGAATTCTTCTTTTTATATTAAAAACTTTTTAAAACTTTCTATTATCTAATTAAAAGCTATATTTATTAAAATTATATATAAATAAATAGAGATATTTTTAAATAAATTAATAAATTAATTATACTAAAACTAAAGCTATTTAATATTTTTTATATCTAAGTATTTTTTCTCTTTTGGCCTTTAAATTACAAGACTTAATTTAAAATTAGGAGAAAGGTTTTTGAAAAAGCGATATATCTATAATTAATTAACACTTTGTATAGGATTATTATATTATATAATAAAATCCATCTACTCTAAAAATAATAATATTATTATTAAAAGATAAATATTACGTATTTTAATAATTTACTACTTTAAAATAATCTTTTAATATTAATTTAATATTTTATTTAGTATAGTTTAAGCTATACGAGGCTTTCTTCTATTATATATATAACCGTGGAGTATACAATAAGAAATTTTAAAATTTTACGTAATCTTTATAATATTAGGATTTTTTTTAAGATAGGTAACTGTTACGCCTGGGGCTTTATTGTCAAGTCTAAGACCAGTTAGCGGACCACGTTACAAGGGTTACTAATCTAAAGTCGTCTGTTGACTTCTGTCGTTATTGGATTACGGTCTTGATAGAATGGGAATTACTAAAGAACCACTATTAATACAAGACTACTGTTAATATTAGCTTACTATTATTATAGAGATACAGTTAATATAAGACTACCGTTAATACTAGATTACTATTATTATAAAAATATAGTCGATATAAAACTATTATCGATACTAGACTTAAGTCTAAAAAACTAGATTTATTAAATATATATATTTAATAGTTAAAAGAGTATAAATAAGTTAAAATTAGTTATACTACTAAAGGTACTCTATAGTAATAATATAAAATTAATTATAAAGAATTAAATTAAGTATATAAACGAGTGTTTTTATATATTTTTAAGTATCTATTTCTATCGTAATTTCTCTAGAAATAGGAGATAGAATATATCTAATCGTAGTACATAGTACTGTATACTCCCGATATATTTTTTCTAAAATAGATACTAAAGTAAATATTACGTGATAAAATTATTATCAATATTTATAATCCTTCCCGAATAATTATTAGATAAATAATTTATTAGATATTTTTCGCTTAGAAATTAGCTATTATTATCCTATTATTATTTTATTTTGTATATCTATTTTTAATAAGATATACTAGACAAGAGTTTATAATATTATCTTCTCTTTTTTAAACTTTTGTCTTCGAAAATATAAAGTTATAGATTTACTTAGATAAGTAGTTTTTTTCTTAACTTTCTACTATATTTTCCTATTATACCCGTATTTAACGAGGTGCGTAAATAAAATAGATTTTTTTAATATCGTACGATCTTGGCCAACGGTTTTGTTATTAATAATTTTTATAATTATTATATTTAAAGTAATAAATCCTGCGTAATAGATTCTAAGAATAAAAATTGTATGGAGTGTATTTATTATAGTTAGAAATATTTAAAATAATTTTATAGTAAATGTAAATGGGAGAATTTTTATTATAACTAAAAGAAGATTATTTCTAAATTTAAAAAAGTCTAGTAGAACTAACTAGAGCATTTCTAAAAAATATAAAAAATAATATTAAAAATTCTTCGCCTATAGAAATAGTAGTATTTTTTAAAAAAATATAATAATTATATATTAAAATATAATTCTTTGCTTATAGAGTAACTTAATAAGAAAGATTTTTCTAGTATTAAAGATTTTTATAAGCTGGAGTGTTTTATTAATAAGTTAAATACTATTTTCTTTAATATTATATTTTTTAATTCTAGTTTAATCTAGATAATAAATAACCCTTTTTTCTAGATAAATTTTAATCTTTTTATTAATAGTACTGTTAAACTAGCTGGTAATAACCCGTTAAATTTTTAATAGATTTCTATAAATTTTTTAAGATATTATATTTTTTCTATTTTACTAAATAATATAGTTTTCTATTGACTCGTTTATAATTTAGTATTTTTTCGATTTTGTATTCTATTTTCTCTTTGTCGAGTTTAATATTTTTAGCGATTTTAATATTTTCTAGTATAGATTTTAATAATAAGATATAAAATACTAGATATATTTTTTTTATCGAGTCTGGTAGTTTTAATCAATAATTAATATTATTAATTTATTTTTCAATTTTAAATAGTCTAATTTTTTAATAGTCGAGTTTCGAACTTGGTCGTTTTATTTTAATATTTCTATAGAGTAGAAATACTTTTTTTTTTTTTTTAAAGATAGATCTTTTTTTATAGTATTAATTATAGTATATTACTGTGCGATGGTTAAAGAATTTAATATTTAATAATAATTAATTTTATAAATTCTTTAAATTTTTAACTGTTTTGCTAGCTTTTTTTGTAATAAGGTATTTATCTTTTAGTTTTTTAGTTAACTTGGTATAGTATCCGTAATTTATATAAAAAAATATTGTTTTTATTATTGAATATTCCGTGTTATTATATACGAACTATGTTGTAGATAGCAGGTTTATTCAATTATTTTATTAGTAATTAACGTAGTGTTATAAGTATTATTTAATTATTTAATTTATTCTTTCCGTTTGACCGTTTCCTTATAGATAATATACCGTGGTCAATTTTTAATCTATTTTTATTAAATCTATGAGCGATTGCTAAAATTTTAATATAAATAATTTATTTTAATTTAATATAATTTTTTTTACTATTTTATAATAAATAAAAATATAGTTAAATAGTATATGTGCGAGTTATATCGTATTAAGTATTGATTTATTTAGTATTAAATAAATATATTTAGTAAGTCGATTTGTTATTACTATTATTATATTCTATTCTTTTAATTTAAATAGCGGTTCTATAAAATCGATTGTAATCTATTTTTAAGATTTTGAAAATATATTTAATAATTATATAAATTTATATAGTTTATATCTCGCTAGTTTATTTTTAATATATATTTTATATTTTTTAATATATTTTTTAACTTATTTTACTATATTCGGGAAATAGTAGTTCCTTGCGATCTG